CGCGGATCTCTCGCGGTCGCGAGGGATGAGGAGACGAGGTCGGCAGCAGGAGCGAACCTCTCCACGGTTGGGACTGCGGGAGCTGATCCCGTGGAGGCGGTACCAGGGTCTCGAGGTGGGTCGGAAGGCGAAACATTGGAGGATGGATGGCGCTGTCGGTCCCTGGGTACTTTTATGGTGTGTCCTAGCCGGAGTCCCTGGGCCCCAAGCAGGCCACAACAACTGGGCCGCCGCGCATCGAGCTGGTCTGGGAATCTCAAGTGGTGAGCGGCGCGCGCGCATCTGTGAGTGGGCAGAGGTCGGGTGAGCGTGTTGGTGGAAAGCGTTTCGGAAGGAGTACACTACGCAATAATTTCCATGGTCTCCGCGCCATCGAGATCGCGCGCCCATTGTCATGGAGAGCCTGTCGTTCGCACGCGTATGTCGAGCGTGCAGAGGGCCACGAGCCGCGTGCGGCCTGCTTGTGGCCAAACATCCACGCCGTTATCGCCGAGAGCCAGGAACAACTCTACGGAACGGATGGCGATGTCGGGCATGCTGCAAAATTGCACCCCGCAGAGTCCGGCTCCGAGGGCGGATTGTCAAGGAGACCTTTTCGCTTCCCTGTGATACCCGCTGTCCGGGCTCGTTCATCGGCCCTGGAGTTGGTTCACGTGGCGGATAATTGCCGTAGTCGCCCATCCGCCCGCTCCGCTTTCCAAGTCGCCGACGAGATATCCAAACCCCAAGAACTGATGAGGTTGCCTACAACCACAGTGCCACGATAATCAGCTAAAACCCGCCTCGATGAAGATGCTTTGGGGAGTGCTTGATGACATCGTTGCTCGTGTTGCCGTCAGACTCCGTCGGGGTGCACCAGAGGCCCGGTTGCCGGCCTGGAGCGGGACGACGGTGTTCCGGCGGCTCTGGCCAGGGGTGGGAGCAAACCGTGCCGAGATCATCCTAAATGAATTGATATGGACGACTAGCTTCTTCCCGCGATCGAGCATACTCACACGTACCTTATCGCACTTTGCCCAGCCTTCAGGACGCGGAGCGGACCAAGCCCGCATGCTTTGCTCTCATTCACCGCCGACGGACGCGTTGAGCACCGATTTGTGTCCAAGCCTCACCGTTCCGTCGCCGAACGCGCTTCCGGTCGTGAGGGAAAGACGTCGAGCGCGTCATTCGGGGTCGGTCGTAATTTCTCCGAGGGCGCGCGCACTAGCAGAATGCAGCACGGAAGCAGCGCGCGGTCTGCATCCGAGTAGCGTCCACTGTGGTCAGCACAACATCTCCATAACGCCCAGTTGGATCCAGCGGATCGCACATACCATGATGACCCTGAGCTGACGTCGCCCGAATAGTGGACGTTGTACCGTGTGGTCTTAGCGAACCTCGTAGCCCTGTCGATCGGCCAGCTCGGACATGCGCGTACCTCAGCTGTGTTAGCTAACGAGTGACTCTATCCGACATCGTCGTCATTCCGATGTTTAGCGAGTGCTTCAATGGAGTGAGTGATGAAGTTCGAAGCTCGCGGAGGCTGCAAAAGCCACGAGGAGCCACGTGGACCCCGCAAAGAGACACCATGACGTGTTCGGTGCCTCGGGCGGGACGGGGGACCTCCCCCGGAACGTGAGAAACAGAGGTGGGGAGTTGCTGGATAGTCTCCTGCAGAGTGGTAACCGATCGTTCTAGACCGGCAGGTTCGGGTCGAACCGCGATGTCGCCGAATGGTCGTTCCAGTATTTCCCTTGGGAATACAAGGCAGGTCAATGTCGTTGCTCTGGTAGCATTGACTCAGGCCCCACCTCACGGGAATCGGAGCGATCGTCTAGGGCGATGGGAGCGACCCCGGTTATGTCGAACGCGGCGGAGACGTTGGCCCGAGAGACGTTGCTGATGCTTCCCGGGATGGGCGTATGTCGGCGCGCGCCACGTGGAGGTCTTGTTCGACGTAACGCCAGCAAGGTGTTCGAAGAGCATGTTCGAGCTCGTGGCACTCCTCTGGTACTTCTGCCGGCGCCGGGGAGTTGGATACGTTTACGCTTTCATGCACCACTTGTCCATGGTGGCTGGCAACGTGCGCTTTTTCCGGCGGGTTTTGTAGCAAGCATGCACTATTCAGAATATATCTTGTGCATACAGAGCCACACTAGGGTGCTCACCGGGACATATTTGCCCTCCAGCTTGCCAAGCCAGAGCGAGATAATAATTCGAGGCCAGCGCTGTGTTGCGCCCATTGCGAGAGGTAGAGTTGGCGGCAACTACGGGTGCCTGTAGCCAACTGTCGTGAGATGGGAGAGGACGTGCCTGAGAGGGGGGATGTGAACGAGGAGTAACGAGAAGAGACGAAGCAGGGAAGCACGCACTCAGGAGCGCCATCCGCCTGGTTATGCCGATGCGAGGCTACTGACAATGATGTCCCTGAAAGACGTGGCGACGACGTGTAGGAACTGCTTCGCAAGACAGAGGTCGTCGACACATGACCTACCGGCGAATTCCAGAGCATATAGCCAGACAGCGTGATCGTATTGATCCTGCGTCGAACGATGAGGGCGAAGACGGCGCTCGAGAGGCATACATACCATGTACCGCTCTCGCATCAGCTGTCTTGCCGATGCACAAGTTGTAAGTAGAGACATGCCATGGGCGGGGAGGACAAGGCGTGAGGCCCTGCGCGCCATGCGCAGCCAGAGCACACCGGCCGCGCCGGGCCTAAGCATCTCATCTCCGCGCCCTCACCACGGTGACCTGCCCTGGCTGCCCATGTCCTCTCGCATGCCCCGTCGGTCTTCCAGAAAGCCTTGTGTGGTCGTCAAGTCGCCTTACTTCTCAGACTCCCTGCCCCCCAAACGCCGCAAGCCATCGTCTCCCAAACAGACCGTCATTCCCCATCCTGCCACAGCCAAGTCTCGATTCTTTCCTCGCCCGCCCATTGACATCGACAGCTACCTGAAGGATCCCCGATTTGTGTGTTTCTACGAGGATTTCGTTGCTGCTATGACCGCCCTCTACCACGCGAAGCCCATCCTGATCCAAGGCACGTTTCATCTCACTCCTACCATTCTCTCTCGACTTAAACATGACCAGACCATGTGTCTGCCGATGTATGGAAAGTACTTGTGGCAGTAACTCTACTCAACAAGACTGCGGGACGCTTGTCTGTCCCCATATTCTTCGAGATACTGAATACTTGGCCGACTCCCACCTCGCTAGCGGGAGGTATGTGCCGCCTCTTTGTACGCTTCGTCCTTCTCGCTCATCCTTCCCTCTTGTTCAACAAGCGTCTCATACCGAGCTCTTCGCCATGATCAAAGACCTTGGCCTGGGAGCAACGCGTGCGCACCGGCTCGTAAGCATCTCCCAAACATTTTTATCTCAGCCTCCTACTCCTTCTACGACATACAAATCCCGCGGAAAGACCACATCGTTGTCGACCTCTCCGACCGGTGAACTCGTATTAATCGAGGTAGACTATCCTCCTACTCCCATCTCCCACATCCCCGGCTGCGGCCCGTATGCTCTCGACTCCTATCGCATATTCTGCGCAGGCGACGAGTGGAAAAATGTACGACCTACGGACAAGGAGCTCATCCGATACCTGGTCAGTTTATGCATCGCCTCTCATCTCCTAGTCGCTCGCTGAGGCTTTCCTAGGAATGGCGTTGGGCCGTCGACAAGTATCGTCAGTGGGATCCTGTGCATGGACCCGGCGCCCCCATTGACCTCCCCTATGTACATCGTCTTGTCGAGTCCCTGGCCAACAACCCACCAATCAAATCATCTTGAACAATGTAACGAAGTCGTTGTGTCTTGTTTCTAGTCGTTGGCTGTACATACGTGGTCTTGCGAGCCTGAGCATCGATGCCGTGCAATCTTGTCGTAATGCATGCGCGTTAGAGGACAGAGCCACGGAGCGGAGGCTGGCACGCATGAACGGAGACGCAGAAACATACATAGCATTGCGCAACAGCGAGCGCGGACGACAAACTACACGCCTATTTTGTTATAGTACAGCGGGCCCGTGGTTGCGGAAACACGGCCCCATCCAGCGGCATCTTAAGGGCAGTGTCTCGGGGGAGTATGCAACAAGAGAAACAGACAGAAAGCGTACGACAGATCAGAATCCCCGTCCTCGCCCACGACCGCGTCCCCTGGGGCGTCCACGATCTCCGCCCCGTCCGCGCCCCCGTCCGCGCGCGTCATCCTTCTTCCTGTTTTTCGGCTTCGGGGCGTCGTCAACCAGGAGGGTGTCGACGGGGAGGGCATCGGGGAGGACGAAGTAGCGGATGTTGTTGCCACGGATGGAGAGGGAGTCGAGCGAGGTCGGTTCGCGATTGCGGGCGGTCATTTTGACGGTTTTCAGGTGGGTGTTCATCTGCATGTCAACACCTGCGGAGCAAAGGATCAGGCATGGATCATGCAAACTACGAACACTGCGCGCACCTGTGATCGTCCCATGGATCACAGAGCCGTTCTTCAGCTCGACGGTGACCGTCTCATTGTTCAGCTTCATCAAAAATCTGCATCAAGGAAGGTGAGCATACTATGACACTGACCTGCGTAGCGTGACGCGCACTCAGTACATCTCAAGAGGGATTCGCTTACCTTACGAGCTTCATCCTGACACACAAGACTGGGCGGCGAGGAGATGGCTGGAGGACGCGAGGCGCGAGTTCGCCCACGCAGACGCGACGGCGCAACGCAGCAGTAAGCGCTTCTATGCTTTCGGACTTTTAATAGACCAACTGGAGTCTGAATTATTGCTATCGGCATCTCAACATCCAAACAGCCCAGCCTTGGCCACCGGCGACCGCGCGTGATAGGCCAATTCAACCCCGCCTCCCTTCTCGCAGCCTACTCGAATGTCGGTTGCTCTCTCGGAGGAGCCTCAGCTCGCTAGCTTGGAGGAATGGCCGCCAATGCAGCCGTTCCTAGACGTTTCCATCAACGCCCGCGAGACCCTTTAGACGCGGCGACCGGTGCACTCCTTGTTATCCTCCTGCCACTACGTTCTCATGTCTCCGCCAATGTCCACCGGTATGCGGTGGTCGTGTTCACCTTCTTTTGTGCTATGTGCTTATTTGCACTATTTCCCAGACGCCTTGAGCGATGAGGAGCTTCTCCAAAAGGCGAACAAGATTTTCGCACCCGTTACCCTACCATGTGGACGCGTCTTGCCTAACAGGCTGGCCAAGGTGCGGAAACAGTCCACATCCATGCATTTGCTCTCGTTTCTCCCACTTCTTCCCCGCTCATGTCGCCTTCCAGGCCCCGATGTATGAACACATGGCTGCCATGTGGGGCTCGGAGCCTCACAACGGCATCCTTGCTCTCTACAAACGATGGGCCGAAGGCGACTGGGGCATGGTCATCACCGGGAACGTCCAAGTTGCCAAAGACCATCTCCCCCTCGGCCGCGACATGATCGTCCCCGACGAGCTCACCGACGCCACGCTCGAACCTTGGCGCGCCCTCGCCGACATCATCCGCACCCCCCACGCCGGGTCGTCCAAAACCGCCGACGCCCCCGCCCGCTCGCGATCATCCAACTCTCCCATGGCGGTCGCCAGTCTCTGAACTTTTCGAGCAAGCGCATGCCCTTCGCCCGCCCGCTGGCGCCGAGCCCCATCCGGCTTGGGGCCCACAGTCCCAAGGAGGGCTGGGTCGGGAATCTCGCGCACCGGCTCATGCTCCAGACGCCGCGCGAGATGACCATCGAAGACATCCAGCACGCCGTCCAGCAATTTGTTCACGGGGCGCAGATGGCAGCGCAGAGCGGGTTCGACGGTGTGGAGGTCCACGCCGCGCACGGGTATCTTGTCAGCCAGTTCATATCTCCGAAGGTGAGCCGCGGTATTCCTCTACTGAGCGTGCGCGCCTGACGGCGGGTTTCAGAGCAACACGCGCACCGACGAATACTCGGCCGAGACAGACCCTCTCCATTTCCTGCGCGATATTGTGTTCGGCATCCGCACAGCGGGCGTCGTCTCAGAAGACTTCGTGGTGGGAGTCAAGCTCAACTCTGCCGACTACTCGCAAGATACAGGCACGCCATCGTCAGACCGCCCTCTGAGCCATGTTAGGGAGATCGGAAAGTGGGGCTTGGTGGACTTCATCGAAGTCAGTGGTGGCGACTATGAGGATCCTCGTGAGTCAACTCCATCACGTCCTGTCACGCGTATAGTTATTCCCGTCCCAGAATTCATCGACACCGTCCAGAAGTTCAAGTCCCCGCGGCAAGTCATTTTTGAGACCTTCTCCGCGCGGAGCATGGACATCTTAACCGACTGCGTCCCAACTGCGACGCGGCGTCCACCCCCATTGGTCATCCTCACCGGCGGTCTGAACACCCTCCCCCGGATGGCCTCCGCCCTCGCCCAAGACCACGCGCACCTTCTGGGGATCGCCCGCCTGGCCGTCCTCCGCCCCACGCTCCCGACGGACATAAAACACGCGCTCGCCACAGGCGACACACGCGGCCTCCTCACCGAGCCGCGACAAGCCACAGTCCTTGGAGACCCTCCCGCGTCGCTACTAAGTCTGCGTACGCTCGAGCGGCTCGTGTTCAGCATCCTCAAGTTCATCTGGGCGTTCATCCCCGGGCGCATCCCGCGGATCGTCGGGACGTCGGCGAGCGTGCAGTGGTACAACATCATGCTCCGCCGGATCGCGTTCGGGCAGGACGTCGACTACACGCTCGGGCTCATTGGCGCCGCTCTGCGCTGCTACCTCGGCCCGACGCCGTACCCGCCCGTGGTGGGCGACGGGTCGTGGAGGTGGTGGCTCGCCGCGGCGCTGGTGGGGATGGCGATGGGCGTCGGGCTCGGGCAGGTGGTGTGATCCGGGGGTCGGTCGTGGCTGCACGGAGTCTCAGATTGGACCTGGTGGGCAGGCACGGGCTGGTGCGCACGTGTATTCTCTTGCTTGTACCGGATGGAATGAGAACATCGCGACCTTCACTCGGATCGGATCGGCGAGCGTTGCGCGGTCGTTCCGAAGGCATCCGGCGATGGACGGGCGCCAATTGCGCTGGTCCGCGACTCGGACAAGAGACGGAAGAGCCGGCCATGAAGCCGTTTGGGCCGTTGTGGGCCGCGGGCACCCGGAACACCCCCGGTTCTGTTCGTATTTCGCAGACAAATGGGACGCAAGCGAGGCCGCCCGGTCCCATACCGGCTGGCGTGCCAGGTTCGTGGTCTTCCGGGTGTGTTCCTCCAGTCGCTCACCCTAAACTCATCACCTGTCATTCTCGCCTCCCAGTCCTCCGACATGGCCCAGGATATAAGGACCGTCGGTCCTCCGGACTGAGCCTCACCACTCCTCCACTTGTTCCCTCTCCGGCTTCACTCCTGAACATCCCGTCTCACACCATGTCTTTCCTGAACGCCTCCGCCGCCGCCATGAAGCGCGGCCTCCGCTCCAACCCCCGCATGCTTAGCAGCGGCACGCTCGCTCCTACCGTTAACCGCGTGGACAAGGCAGGGATGAAGGTGCGACCACTCAACTCTACAAGCCACCCTTTCTGCTAAACCGTTCGCCAGATCCTCGCCGTGCTCTACAAAGGCGGCGATGCGGCCAAAAGCGAGCCGCGCCTCCTCGGGACGGTCGAAAACCAAGTTAGTCGCCACTTTCCGTCTTACACGTCGCCTCTCACACTGCCCCCCAGCTCGGGATCGCGAGTGGCTCGAGTCCCAAGGGCACGAGTACATCGTCACCGACGACAAGGAAGGCCCTAACAGCGTCTTCCAGCAGCACCTCAAAGACGTACGCCCCTCTACCGTCTTTTCTCTCTCATTTCTCATCTCACCGCTCGTGCTCGCGCAGGCCGAGGTGCTCATCACGACACCCTTCCACCCCGGCTACGTCACGCGCGAACTGCTCGCGTCCGCCAAGAACCTCAAGCTCTGCGTCACCGCCGGCGTCGGCTCCGACCACGTCGACCTCCCCGCCGCGCTCGAGCGGCACATCGAGGTCGTCGAGGTCACGGGCTCGAACGTGACCTCGGTCGCGGAGCACGCGGTGATGAGCATGCTCGTGCTCGTGCGCAACTTCGTGCCCGCGCACGAGCAGATCGCGCGCGGCGACTGGCGCGTCTCGGACGTTGCGCGCAACGCGTTCGACCTCGAGGGCAAGGTCATCGGCACGCTCGGCGCGGGGCGCATCGGGTACCGCGTGCTGGAGCGCCTGACGGCGTTCGCTCCGAAAGAGCTGCTGTACTACGACTACAACCCGCTCCCTGCTGGTGAGTGCTCGCTCTGTGTGCGCTCAGGTTGGGAGACGCTGACGGCCCGTTTGGCTTTGTAGACGCGTGGCCAAAGTCGGGGCGCGTCGGGTGGAGGACTTGGAGGAGTTTGTGTCGCAGTGTGACGTGATCACCGTCAACGCGCCTCTGCATGAGGCACGAAGGGGCTGATCAACGTGGACCTGCTCAAGCACTTCAAGAAGGTAAGCTTCTATCTGCTACCTCCAGTACGTGAGACCGACGGTCATTTAGGGCGCCTGGCTCGTGAACACCGCGCGTGGAGCAATCTGTGTCGCCGAAGACGTCGCGGCGGCGGTCAAGTCGGGGCAGCTGAACGGGTACGCAGGCGACGTGTGGAACGTGCAGCCCGCGCCCAAGGACCACCCGTGGCGGCAGATGAAGAACCCGCTGGGTGGGGGGAACGGGATGGTGCCGCACTACTCGGGGACGACGCTGGACGCGCAGGCGCGATACGCGGCAGGGACGAAGGAGATCCTGGAGAACTACTTCGAGGGGAGGCCGCAGAAGCCAGCGAACGTAATTTTGGGCCCCGGTAAGCCTTTGCTTGTCCTCTCGTGCGTGCGGCATATTCTGACGTGCCGGGATGAACAGGCAAGTTCGTGAGCACCTCTTGTCAGTATTGTCTTCATCTCGTTCACAATCCCAAACTAATCATTTGTGCTGCAGACGGACAGCGTTGACCAGGCGATCCGTGATAGATAGAATGCAATGTGTAGAGTACCGAGAATCTATGTTTCCGCTCGTGTTGTACTTACGTTGTGCGAGTGGTATATGTAGACGCTGGTGCCAGACAAGGCAGGCGGCCCGCCTCTTGCCCTCGGGCCTCGCTGCTCTCGTCTGCGCCCACTCTCGACCGGCGTTCACCACGTCCACCGCAACCCCGCAGTCGCACACACCGGGGGGACACGCGACATGACTCCCGCTGCCACCCTCGGCGCGGGGCAGTCACGGGGCCCGTCGCTCGAACGTCATGCGTTCCCCGCCTCGCTCTCCAGCCCCCGGCCCACTCGCCCCGCTCTCTTCTTGCCCTCACCCTCGTCCCTGCCCACTCTATTCGCTATCCACCCTCTGCTCCACGACGACGAGCCTCATGACTGCGCCGGAGAGTGAGCGCGTCCTTCTCCCGCCCGCTGACTTCGCGACTGATCGTCCCCACTGCCTTCTCCCTTCAAATGTCCTCACCCAGAACAACCTCCTCCTCGCGGTCCACCCGCAGAGCAGCGTCACAAGGCCGTGCTTCCACATTCTGCGGCGCGCTATCCCGCTGCGTTCTCCCTTCGGTCCCATCGTAAGTCCCTGTCCTGCTTTCCATAAAGCCACTCCAACCGTCTTCCTCCCCTCCAAGCGTCGCCATCCCACGCATTCCTCATGGGCTCCTTCGTCCTGCTTCTCGCCTCTATTCTTGCCTCCTGGACTTTGCTCTCCAGGGAGCCCCGCGTCCACGCTCTCGAAGATGGGGTCGCCAAGCTGCCGGGTGAGCTGCCTTCTAGCCTTCGACTGCGCACGAGCTCAATCACTCCGTCGTCCAGTCCTCGGGTACAACAGTGAGTTTCCGACCCCGCTTCGCGTATATATTCGTCTTCTTAGTCTCCATCTCGCCAGCTTGGAATGCCTACGGTGTGAGTGACCTTCGTCTCAACCCGTAGCCTCCCTATCTCACGCTCGGTCCCGCCAGTGCGGCATCAGCGAAGCCGCCGTCCTCTCGGATGCCCACATGCTAGTCTCGCTCGGGCTCAGGGTCCGTGTCCACTCCCGTCGTCTTCTCTCGTCGCAGATCTCTCACCCCTCGGCAGGACGTCGGCTACACTCACGTCAACATTGACGACTGTTACGCCGAGAAGAACCGCAGCGCGTCGGGCGACATCGTTGCCAGTCCGTCCTTCTCTCCCCATGTCTCTCCGTCTCCACGTGGCCCTAATTTTGTCTCCTCTCCCTAGGTGCTGCGCGTTTCCCGTCCGGGATGAACAACCTCACCGACCAGATCCACGCTCTCAACATGTGTGTCCTAGCTTCTGCGCGATGTTCGAATCTGCCACGCTGATCGTTCGGTCTACAGGAAAGCGGGAATCGTGAGTGACTCACGATTCGCATGAGCATACAATCTGATTATCCTTCTAGTACAGCGACTCCGGCTGGTACACATGTGCGCATTACCCGGGTCCTACCAGAACGAGTACAGGTACTGTGTCTTGTATGCGCATGTAGTCACTCCACATTCGTTCCTTACTTTACACGACAGAGATGCGAAGCTATTCCAGGACTGGGGATTTGACTATCTGAAGTAAGCTAGTCCTACCCCCTCGCGGTGTTAATGTGCTAACCCACATTCTCGTCAGGTTCGACAACTGCGCTAGTACGTCTCCAGCTTCAGCTTCCTCTCGAATCGCAGCAAACTGAAAATGTGGAACTCAGTTCCTTATGATGACATCATTCGCCAAGGCATTGTCGGGAGTCCGTTTACTCCCTTAATCATCGGTCGCACTATGCTCATCGTAATCCCTAGAGTACGAGCGCATCGCCACCGCGATTGCGCAGCTGGCACAAGACACCGGAAAGCCGCCTCTTATTCTCTCCCTTTGCGAATGGGGGAATGTGAGTGTCGATCACGCTAGTAACCATGTCACCAACTCATGTTCCGTAGGAGCAACCGTGGCTGTGGGCGAAGCGCTTTGGCCAAAGCTGGCGCGTGAGTCTTCCTTTCATCTGGTGCATTTGTTGGCTCTAACAGCCATCCTAGACTACGGGCGACATCAGTCAGCGTCTTTTCTTCTGGCCACTGATTTCGTGGATCCTCATAGTTATCTTTGAACAGACACTAGCTGGGGGTCGATCACGAGTATAATCAACCAGTAAGAACCTTGATGCTCTCTTGTCATCGAGGACTCATCGTCCATCGCTCCAGGAACTCGTTCATCACATGGGCATCGGACTTCTTCGGCCACAACGACATGGACATGGTATGTCTCGATGATAGCTTCTTTACCTTGCATTCCTCTCGCTGACACGTGGTCGTTGTAGCTTGAAGTGTATGATGTGCTTGAACATTGACACGTACTCTAGGCGCTGATCCTTCCACTTCCAGCGGGAACTCGGGCATCACGCACGAGGAAGCTAAGACACACTTCACGGCCTGGGCCCTCATGAAGTCTCCCTTGCTGATCGGTACCAATGTACGCCGCTTTCGACGAACTTTCAAGTCGAGCTTTTTGCTGATATGTTTCGGCAGTTGTCGGCGATCAGCCAAGATAACCTGTCCATTTTGAAAAACCAAGAGATACTCGCCATCAACCAAGACCCTGTTGTGGGAACGAGCGTCTCGCCGTTCCGCTGGGGCATCAACGTATGTCGTGGTTCACACGAGGAGAATGCCGCATTCTAAAAGGATCCCATCACAGCCCAACTGGGTCAGCAACAGCACCCACCCAGCTCAGTACTGGAGTGGGGAGAGCCAGAACGGCACCGTATTCATGCTCGTGAGTCCTGCGCAGAGCGTCACCCAATATACAAACTTATCTTGTCACAGATCAACACCCTGAGCAAGCCAGCCGACATGTTCTTCAGCCTCACTGAGTCACCCTGGATCCGTGCCGGCCGCCAGTACGCCGTTCGCGTAAGTCCATCCTCCCACACCTTGCCGTGCTCGTCCTGATAACGACTCGCACCTAGGACCTCTGGACGCACACCGACAACGGCACCGCCATCCGCAACTTCACGGCGAAAGCCGTGCCCGCGCACGGCGTCGTCGCGCTCCTGCTCACCGACGCCGGCGACGAGCCGCCCAGCTCAGGGCCGCCTTGCGCCGTCCTGCAGTGGTGCATGGACAAGAACGGGACGCTTGCGCCTGGTGCGTGATGGATCTGGGGTCGAGTTAAACGGATGTAAGGCGTGTGCAACGGCGTAGTATATACTCGTGTACTACAGAAGGCGAATGAATTGCTATGGAATGTGGATCATTGCACTCGGTTGGTTACCGACGGGCGTTGAGAACTCGACGCACAAGATAGAGTACGAGCTGTCTACGCGCGGCAAGCATAGCAGGGAGCACGCAAACCACAAGTCGACCGACTACCTCTACTGACGATCGCCTCCGACACGAGCAGGAAAGGTCGACCACCTTGGGGGGCCCGCCGCTGCACCTCGTGCCCTGCCGCTTCCTGCGAGAAGAGCGCGCGCGACGTGGCGCGACGTGGCGCGGAGGACGTTGAGTACGCTGAAGAAGGAGCAAAGAAGCCGTACGCGGGACCTGGAAGAACGAGGATGCGATGTTCATCCAGTGTCCATCGGCGGGTTGGCCTGGCGCTTCGGCTTCGGCTGTGCCTCCTTGCTGCGAGCTTCGTCACTGCCGCCCATCGGCTCTTCCTTCCACTGAATCAAACAGGTCGCACCTCGCATCACGGCTCCAACTCAGTCTACCAAGAGGCTTCAGATCTGCGTCTGCCCAAACGGCGAGAATCACTCGGGGCGAAGCCGTGCATTCCATCAACTCACACGTCAAACGTGGGACGAGTCTGTAGTCAACCAACTTCTAACCAAAAAACTTCCAGTCTGGCCGCCGTACCTGCTCCGATATCTCAGAACATACAATTCGCGGTTGTTCATGCTCTGAAAAGCTACCCGAAAACAGCAGCTCAGGGCCAAACTCTCTATAGAGTTCGTTGACGGCGTCCCTGCTTGCGTGCAGAATGTGGCGACCATCTTCATCGAATGTCCCGATCACGAACCTGCCAAGTCTCCAAGTAGCCTGAGAACTCGACTTTCCCCCTCCCCAGCTCTTCCCCATGAGCTTTCTCTTTCCTTGACCGCTGTCGTCCATGTACCATGCTCTCTCTGGCAACACCTAGCGCACAAGATCCAACTCCGGCAGGCTGCTGTGTCTATGCCAACGACACCCGCGTGTCGTACTCCGGAACGTGGACCCCGACAAGTACCCTTCTGGGCACCTTTCCAGACGGCACTTGGGGCGTCCAGCTGATGGGTACCGCCCACGACGGCTCAACAGCGTCACTCACCTTTGTCGGTACGTCTATGTCCAAGCTCATACCTCAACTATCTCATTTCAGTGACACCGTACAACCGCCTTAGGAGCGTCCATCACAGTACGAGGCGCACGCCTTGAAGACGTCCCTGCGAACGCCTCCTTCGCCATCGACGACACGTCCAGTACATTCCTGACGCCCCACACAGCACGATCGACATACCACTCCGACATCCTCTTCCAATCGCCTCCTTTGCCCCTCGGTGTGCACACACTCCGAATAACCAACCACCTCGACCATGGCCACGCACTATTCCTAGCATCCTTCACAACCACCGCGAACGCCTCTGACGCCTCGCCCACTCCACAACCGCAGGCTAGGATTAACCTTGCCGTCACCGTCGGTGCCACTGTCGGAGGCGCAGTCGTCGTCTCCGGCCTCGCCATCCTCGTCTTCTGGATCTACCGCGCGCATCGGAAGATGGGCGAGCGCCACCGGTACACGGCAGCACCAGGTCAGCCCTCTTCCCTCCTCCTTCCCAACACACTGCTCACTGCTGACGGCGGCACAGGCCCATCCACAGCCTCACGCCTCGTCGGCCTCTCCAAACGCACCTGCTGCTTCTGCCGCAAAAAGGCGCCGCGAATCGCCGCTGGCGCTCCGGCGGAGCGCGCGGCGCCCTGGCGCATGCACTACCGCGCGCACCCGTCCGACGGCTCGATGGCGATGCGCAAGGACGAGCCGTACGATTTCACCGAGCTCGACATCCTGCCCGCGAGCCGTGGCCGGTCTGTCGCAGGCTCGCCCCTGCCCCCCGCCACCGTGTCCGTCCCGCGCTGGCCGCGGTCCGTCGTGCGTGCGCGGCCGCCGCTCCAGACTGCGCTCGACGTCGAGATCGTGGACTACCGGCTGTCGCTCGCGTTCGATCGGCGTGAGTCGCCGTCTGGGGGGCGAGCGGAGTCTGATTCGCATGTCGTGTGAGGTTGTCGGTTCGGCTTCCGTGTGTCTCCTATGCGCGCATGTATGGAAATGAAATGTGATATATGATCACTGGTCCTGGTCGGCTCTGGGCGCGATGCCTATCGCGCGCCAGACCGGCGAGAACGACTGCAGAAAACAAACACAAAATGTACTACAGCCCCCAACCGCCGTCGTACGCCACGCGCACATATCAAACTTCAAAACCCCGCAAGAGCACGAAACCCTCCCCACAAACCCTCCCCTCCACTGGCCGGAGGCGCACTCTCCGCCCCTCGTACAACCCCCGCAACCCTCAGCGTCGGACCGCGCCGCTCAGAAGCCTCGAATCTTGACACAACCACGCACGCCGCTCAGTTTGGCCCTGCACTGCACTGCGTCGTCACCGCCGGGTCCGCACACGCCGGGCCCGAGTTCGCGGGCTCGTCCCCCGCGTCCTGCAGGAGGAGCGCGACGACGCCGTGCGCGGGGACCGCGCGCGCGGTGAAGCTCCGCACGGCCGTCCCGTTGTTCGTGTGCGTCCACAGGTCCTGCTCGCGGTCGCCAGGGTGAGTGTCCCGTCCGCACGCGACGCCGAGCGAAGGAAAAACACACGCACGCGGACCGAGTACTGCCGGCCGAGGCGCAGCGAGGGCACCTCGTAGAACGAGAACGCCATGTTCGCCGCCGCGGTCCCGGTGTTGATCTGCCCGCGCAGCTCGTCAGCGTGATGGCCATGGATGGACCGATCCGCGGGGGGCGCCAGACGTCGACGGGGAGGACGGACTGACCATCATGACGACCGTGCCGTTCTGCGTCTGCCCGCTCCAGAACTGCGCCGGGTTCGCGGCGTTGAACGTCCAGAAGGGGCGCTGTGCGTTTGGGCGCTGTCAGCGTCCCGGAGGACCGGAGGGTGAGGAAGCGACGTGACGTACGTTCCCGCCCCAGCGGAAGGGCTGGACGGCCTTGCCGACGACCGGGTCCTGGTTGATCGCGATGATCTCCGAATTCTTGAGGATGGAGAGGTCGCGGGCGCTGATCGTCGAGAGCTGCGGGGTTCGGGTCGCTCAGCGTGCGCTCCGGGCGTTCAACGAGGGTGGTGTACGTACGTCCGCGACGTACAGGAGCGGAGACTTGAGCAGCGCCCAGGCGGTGAAGTGGGTCTTGGCCTCGTCAAACGTGAGGCCTCCCGTGCCGCTGTGGACGACGTTAGCTCTGGCACGGTCGGTGGGAGATGGCCTGTGCCTACACGCGGATCTGTCCACCGACACCGTCAATCGATTGCTCCGAAAAGAGTGCGGCGGACTCACCAAGTCCAAGTCGCTATGTGCGTAAAAGTCGCTGGACCATGAAGTGAACGAAGCGCTAGAAAGGTCGCAGTGAGCATCGGTCCCAGTAGTACTCGTAATATGGACGCTCACTTGTTGATGATGCTCGCGACCGACGCCCAGGTAGCCTCTGCGCTCTCAAGTCAGTCGGACAGCCCCATGCACACCATTGTGACCTACGATCGTTGGAGCCCGCCTGGTGCATTTTATTGTGAGTCACCCCCCTCCGCCCCAAGCATGCGAAAGCGACTCACCCTCCAGCTGTTACCGATTGAAGGTGCCCAGATGTAAGGTTCGTGCTACGTCGGGGATGCTCAGCGAGACGACTTGGCAGTCCAGAGTGGTGTGACGCTTACCGCGGCCCCGCCCAAGCTGAGGAACATTGGGGTTCGGAAGAACTCCTGAGAAACCTGCGCGATGGCGTCCGCAGTGCGCTGGTAGACTGCGTGTGCATGTCACCGGTCAGGGAGTGTAAAAATGAATGAAGGAGACGGATCGAGAAACTCACGTCCGGCAGGGCCCTCGCGGCTGACGTCGTCGAACGGAGCTATCAGCTGGTGAGACTCCGTCCAATGCATTCATACAGAGTGGTAAAGGCCTCACGGAAGCAGCCAACCAATCTATAAGGGAGCGGTCAGCGCGTGAAGCTCTGTGCGGATCGACGACCACGCACTTGACATAGTCGAAGCCCCAGCTGATCTGCCACTGCTGGACATCCCTGTGCGCGATGAAATGAGCACAACGCGCACCATTGTTTGAATGCAAGAAGCTGACTCACTTCAGTTCGTTCGAGAACGAGCCAGGCTGCACCCCATCGCAGAAGAACCACCCGGAGCTCCCGTACTGGGAAAAACGTCATTTAGTCCGTCAACACGACTCTGTTCGAAGACGGAGCTCACAATTCCCGCCTTCCTGAAGACACCAAAACCAGATTAGTTCCACACTCGCAACAAGAGGCGCTAGAAGCAACGCACAAGTCGAGCGAGTGGATGAAATCCGTAAGGGCCCGCATTCCGCTGGGGAACCGCCCGGGGTCTGCGCAACACCACTGCCGTCAGATCATCCTCTCCACCACGGAGGAGCCAACCCGCTCACCAGCGACGAGCTCCCCGTCGGCGCCGCGGTTGGGGATCGCCCAGCCACTGTCGAAGTTGACGTAGCTGTAGCCAAGGTCCTGGAGCGGCAGCCACAGGTCAGGGCACCGTACGTGGGGGAAACGGCAGCGGCGAGCGTGCACTCACGCGGAGTCCGAGCGTGGCCATGAGGTTGGCGGCCTCGCGCATGGCCGCTTCTGTGAGATTCGCCTGCGCAGGACATCGTCAGTCATTCGAATATTCCTAGCCGGGATGGACAGAGGGATGGCGCACCTTTGGGAGGCTGAGCGCTGTCGCCCGAGAGACACTGTCAGGAGAAATAAAACTTCAAGGTGGGGCGTGACGTACAGTTGAAGCCCATGGCTACAAAAAGGGAGGCATAAGCTGCAATTCTACAGCTCGGAGGGTGAAGCAAAGGACGAACCAGGCAGCTTCCCGACGCCGTTGTCGAGCGCAAGGACAGCGGTGGGGAGCTTGGCGAGGCCCACGACGACACCCGCAAGGGCGCCGAGACGACTGAACGAGAGCATGTTGAAGTAGAGCAGTGGGTCAAGACGTGCCAAAGAACTTGCGCGCGGTGCAGCGAGCGAGCTCTGGCCCTACCTCCACCCGCTCCCCGGGCCTTTGTACCACTCAACCACCTGCCCAACACCCACAAACACCGCCCGGAGTTTTCGCCTTTCGAGCATCTGTTGGCGTCGCGCCGCCTGCCTGACGTCTGCGATGCATGGACGTGCGCCCCGAGCCCCACTAACCGACGCTTCCTCGTACTTGGCGCACCCGCTAGGCCATCCTCGTCGCCTGAACCATGCACGCGGCCCATCGCTGCTGTCGATGAGGTTCACCGGGTACAAAAAGGAACCCCGCAAGCACTAAGGACCAGGCTAGATGCTATTTCGTGGAGCTCGCGAACGGCCTCGTGTCCCATAGCGGCGCCCGCTTTCTGTGGGATCGGAGGGCAGTGGGTCCTAGGACAACGCGGGGCAGGGAAGAGTCCGACGGTATTAATTCAGAGGAAGACGTCTGACTCAAGCAGCTGAAGAACCCACCCGGCGAATGGTCGGGAAGTCCCAACTGAGGCACGGCGTCCGCCTGATGGGACTTGACGCCTCGGCGCAAGTAGTATGTTGTGAGTTGGTGGGATCGTCTCGCCTCATCACATATCTATGCTCTTGAAGTGTTACCCGGGGAGCGATGCAGTGACGGTGGATCGACTTCATGCGATTCAATCAAGAACACATCCTCCTCTCATACTTTGCGTGTGTAGCTGTTGAAGGGGCGGTCAGCGTCGAGAAGCATACAAATGACTCGGCCTGGCATCTGAAACAGGTTCAGCGATGCCCGAGTTGAACGTTGAACCAGGGCTAAGTTGCGTGTCTTCCGATCAACACTTCTTCTTTGCATGACATGTTTTGCCGAATGACACTCTGCGCGGAAGTGAAGTCCATGTCTACCATTGAAATGGACGACTCACCTCTCTACAAATACATACCTCAAGTCCAAGTTCCAAGCCCCAAGCCCCGGTCCAAGTTCCAAATCAGCCGACCCACAATGTCAAACGCCGAGCCCGGGCCGCGATGCCCTCCCGCGCGCCCACAGTGCACACCGCCGATAGCGATCGGCCCATCCTCCCGTCGCGAGTCCGCGTCGGTAGTGATGAGCGGGCCGGGGTGTCGCTTGACACGATACGAGCACACAGCAAAGCACATGCGGGAACCTGAAAAAAAAGGAGACAGATAGATATACTACGCTAGAGCTGGCAAGGACGACGGCGGCGACGGATCCGAGATACATACACGCCGTCCGTTCGCGAGAGGAGGACCCGGATCTGTACACATATACACCACCACGACACGCACAAGACTTGGACAGACGACACCGGCGGCACGCGCGACCAGAGGATGTCCCCGATCGGCATGACGACGCGGGGGTAGGACGAGGGAGGGAGTAGGGAGCGCAGGGCGGGTCAGGGTAGCACCTGACATACGTATGAGCACTGTGTGTGGGGGACGGGGGAGACGGGGCGGGTGCGGGAGAGTGGCGAAAACGAAGAGCGTGTGATCTCGGCGATGGCATCCGGGAGGTGTTATACAAGAGCGCGACCAGGCGCGGGGCGGGGGGACCTTCACACCATCGCCGCGTAACTCCATATTCGTGCTGACCAGTCCCCGCTGCCCGTCGCGAGGACGTTTCCTGCCGGGCTCAGATCGATCGAGATCACTGTAGGCACATCCAGTCAGCACAGATTCAGATACACCATCGACCGAGCAGACGCACCAGAGTTCTTGTGCCCCTGCAGCATGCACTGCGCGATCGCAGAGTTCGCGTCCCAGAACTGCACTCCCCGGTCCTTCGAGCCCGACACCACCCACTTCCCGTCGTGGCTCACCGCGACGCTGAGCACGTAGTCCTTGTGACCCGTGAAGTTCATCGTGCACTGGCCGCCCTTGTCGCCCTCGCCCTTCCCGGCCGCCGAGCCCTTGGTCACCACGCTCTCCCTCGCGCGCATGATCGGCCGTACATCCCAGTACTTGAGCGTCTTGTCCAGCGAGCCCGACACGAGACCCTTCCCGTCCGGTGTGAACGCGACTGAGTACACCGAGTCCCGGTGGCCCTTCAGCCGCTCGACGAGGATCCCGGTCGCAACGTCCCAGATCCTAACGACCGTGTCGAGCGAGCCCGCCGCGACGAGCCGCCCATCGGGCGAGATGCAGACCGAGGTCACCCCCGCGTCGACGCTGTCCGGCTCTGGGATCGTCACTGTGGGGGGCGCGTGGGAAGGCACGGATTAGCTTCGTTCCTGAACCGACAACACAACGGGAGTACGCACAAACTTTGCACGCCTGGCTCGTGTCCCCGTTCATGTCCCAGATCCGTGCCGTCCGGTCCCCAGAGCCAGAGACGATCAGCTTGCCGTCGCGCGAGAAGTCGAGCGAGTAGATCTCTTGCTGGTGGCCGGAGAACACGGTACGGATGCGCTCTTCCCTGATGTCCCAGATCTGGAGGACATGATTAGTCCATCTGAGATCCGGGTCGTGAAGTGAACAACGCATACTCGGATTTGCTTGTCCTCGGCACCCGTCGCAAGGTACCTGCCATCGGGGCTGAAGCAGACGCTCCGAATGTACAGGTCTCCAGTTTTGCTCGCGCTCTCGTCAACGAGCATACTGGGGGCACTATCAGCACGACGTATTCGATCACAACGTAGCACGGGACGCACGAAGTCTTCTGACCCGTCTTGGTGTCGTAGATCTGCGCTGACCGATTGCAGCCGGTCGCCAGATACTTGCCATCCGCAGAGAACCGAACACAGCAAACCACACTAGAGTGACGGGCGTCAGCAATCCGAGTGCGGCTCACTTCAATCCCGACACGCACCTCTCATGCATTAGAGTGTGCACAAGCTTGACGTCGAGTGCACGCTTCTTCTGGCCTGGTGGGTCGCCCGGAGCAACGGGCGCAGGGTTGAAGATGGCGAACCAATCCGCGCCCTCGTTCTTGAGTTCTGGGGGTACACTCTGAGGGTCCATGCTGAGATCGACGGCCATGGGGCCATTCCAGACGAGGAAGCGACGGCCATTGAGGACTCGGGGCCCGCATTCGACGACGGGCCGGGGGTGGGAGGGTATGGTTGAGGACCTACGAGGGGGAAAGGTGCTATTAGCACCAGAAAAAGAGTTCGCGAAGAAGAAGGAAGGAAAAAAAGTGGAGGAAAGAGCCCCCGCCCACTCACCCGCAGCCCCGTTGGCGCCGTCCTGTCCTGGTGCTTGCCCTGGCCCGCCCGGATACGGTGGTCCCGCGCTAGGTGTTGGGGGGAGTTTGGGGGTCGCCTGAGGAATTGGTGGACCCGAAGGCGTTGGTGGGGCGCCATTCGAGGGTGGAGGGGCGCCGGGGCCGAGGGAAATTGATTGATGGTGGTGGTGTGGTGGGATATGGGAAGGCGGAGGCTGTGTTCCCATTGAAGGTGAGAACGGGTCTGGAGGTCGGGCGTGCAGGGCGTGGGCGGGCGTTGGACAAGGACAGGATTTGAAGGCGGACGGGCGGGCGAGGGCGGGTGCGAAAGAGGGAATGGGGGAAGCGATAAGGAGTGAGGTAAGGCAGGAGAGGTCGGGGATGGTTGAGAACATGCCAACGCGGGAGCTGGAGCAGAGAGCTTACCTGGACGGTCGCCCTTCATGCGATCTCTTTCGGTCTTTATCCTTTTCACATCACGGCCGTCGCGATCGCGGTCGCGGTCCCTCTCCCGCTCACGATCCCGGCTGTCGAGGACGGTGCGATCCCTGTCCCTATCACGCTCCCGTTCGCGGTCGCGGTCGGCGCGAGAGTAGTAGGGATCGCCGTAGCCTCCGCCTGCACCGGGACCGGCGCCTACTCCAAGACCGACAGGTCCGGCGTGAGGTGTCAAACCGAGAGGGCCAAGGGGCTCACCACCAGGACCAGTCGGGGGACCACCGGGCATGCTGACGGGTGGGCGTCCGAGACCGAGGGATTCGCGTGCGAGGGCGTCGGGGCGGGGCGTCGGCTGAGCGTTGGCCATGACGACGTCACGGTCGCGGTCGCGTACATCGCGTTCGCGTTCACGTTCGCGGGCGGTGAGTTCGCGCTCGCGTTCGCGGAGTTCGCGGTCGCGGCCTAGTGAAGCGAGGCCAAGGGGCTCTGGGGCACCTCTGCGCTTGTAGGAGTCGAGTTCTGCTCGTAGGTTGCGGAGATCGTCCTCGTATTGCTGGCGAATTTTTCCATGTTGAGTCTCGAGCTCGTAGAGAGACTGGCGGATGATGTTGAGCTCCGTGACCTGGCTGCTGACTGGCCATCGGTTGAAGTTGGGGGAGGGTTAAGTGGGGGATGGGGGTGGAGCGGGAAGAAAAAAGGCGCACTTTTGTTCTCGTACTCGTCTCGCTGGCCCCGGAGGGAGTCACACTGCTCCTGGAGGGCGGAGAACTCGTCGCGAATCTGGTTGAAGGACTGGTTGAGGGAGGCAAAAGAGTTGGGACCCTGGGGGGCCGCGCCTGTTGGTTGTAGGTGTTTGTGCTGGGGGTGGGGGGTGAGCAGGAAGAGCGAGGCGGGGGCGGGGGACGCACGTTGTATATTGTGGAGGAGGCCATGGCGGGGGTGATGGAGGGGCGGAGAGGGCGAGAAGCGCGGAGGACGGGGCTGGGGCCGCCTTAAGACGACGTCCTCTGATCCATCCCACGTGCCCGCCAACGCCAGATCCAGATCGATCCCACACCCCGCCGGCTTTCCCCCGCCCGCTGCCCTGGCTCCCCTCCCCCCGATCCCATCGTCCCACGCCCCTCTGACGTCGCCTGCACGTGCACCGGCGCGCGTTAACCCCGCGTCCGCTGGTCGTCCGCATGCCCCGTTCAGGCTCTGCCCATGTCAACCTCCCGCCTCCCGCCTCCCTCCCCCATCCCTCTCGCGATCCCTCTGATCTCCCCACCCCCCGCCCTCGCTCCCATCCGGGTCCCATCCCGCGACACAGCTCGAGCATCCGCCGTCCCGTCTTCGCCCTCGCCCTCTCCTTCTCCGAAATGCTTCCGTTGAGCCTCCCTCTGCTGCCACAGCCTTCTCCTTCGCCTCCCACCTTCCCTTCCCAGCCCGCACCCACCCTCGAGCCAACATGAACAGCCTCCCGCGCCTCCACCTCAAACCAAACCAAGGCGCGGCCCGAGCGCCGTGCTCCCCGTAACTCAACACCCCCTGCTTCCTCATGCGCTCGCTCATTTCCAATCCCATTCTCCCGGAACGCTTCGGACCCTCGCCTTGTCCCAGACCCTCCGCCCCGCGCCCACCACACCGCTTCGCTGCCAGCTGTCCCGTTCTGTCTCCCTACCGCTACGCCCGATCTCCCGTCCCTGGATTGCTTGTACGAACCCTTTGCAGAATCCGCCCACCACCTTCGTCACCAACCCCGTCGCCCTCGCCCTCGCCGCCCACCAACGATCCTCGAAGCGCAGACTCTTGATGCCTGATCGCCCAGGATCCGTCGTGCCGTAAACATTCATCAAGCGTCGCATAAACTCCTCTGCGCCCTCTCCACCGTCCGGGCCCGCAGCGACCCTGCCATGGTTATCGCCCCCAGCCTGGCGCTCAGTCCTGTCTTCCCAGAATCCCACTCTGTCATGCACAAGCTTCGCAGACAGCTCGCCGCTCCGGCAAGCACACCAGCACCCGCCGTCGACGCCCACGCCCACTGATATCCTCCCAGGCTACCCTCCCATCGGCCTCTTGACGACCTCCGCACGCCCGAACTCCTCTCCCCTCTCACGGTATACTTGGCCACACCCAAGCCCCCTTTGCCCTGGCGAAAGAACCACGAGCCCATGCACGACTCCACGCCTTCCTAAGGTCCGCCCATTCGTCTCTCCCGCGCCTCCGTCCGTGCGACCTCCACGCTCCCAGTTCCAGCCCAGACCATCCCAGGACGCACGTATGGATCTATCTGCTTACCAAGCTCAAGCCTACCCCACACCGCCTTCATCTCCCCGAGCGCCCGCCACCTCGAGTCAATTCTCCGCCCGTCTTGGTCGGATGTTCCAACTTCGTCGACAACCTGGCGTCCTCTCAGCCGCCCACGGCGCGCCCCGGAGTCCGCCGCTTTATCGCGCGCGGTCCTGGTCCCTGCCACGACCCTGCGCCCACACCGAACTCCAGCTCCGATAAGCGAAGTTGCCAAACCGTTTCGCGACGGCCTCTGTAGTTCTGCGTCCTTATGTTGCTTCTGTGTCAAGACCTCAACGTTCAGCCCTCGCGCGCAAGCGTAGCGTCTCAAACGTTATTCTTCGTTTCCCCGTCCCACGCACTCGAACAAGGGCCCACCGCCGTTAGAACCAGACTTCGTGGACAAAACAGGGATGTGCTATACTCCGATGAAGACGGCAAGAGCGGCTCTGGGGATTCGCCACCACTTTAAACCTGACGGGAGCAGCGTTCAAGACGCACGTGATGGACGGAGATCCCCCTGTGATGATGAAGCTGGGCGAGTCCGGTGGTGCGTTGGTGATGGGTTGGTTACAATTGGCAAATCCGCTCGCGAGTAGAATCGGAGGATATAGCTAGTCGCCAGATGGTTGGACGAGGAGACGTTATAAGGACGTGCTCTGCGCAGTGTCGATGATACCTTTGACTACTTCCGAGTTTCCGATATGTGTCCATATGTTCGATTTGCACCCTGAACCACGCGCGCAACAAGCTAGCCGAGCTCCACTTTGCCCTCAATTGGTTTGGTGCTCCGTCGCGGCCCGGCGGATGGCCTCAAACGCCCGGGGCGCTTGTACACATATGTCGCGGCTGAACTTCACTCCCAACGCCGACGGGCCCGTCTCTCCTCTCTGCCATCACGATCATGAGTCCCCATGTCGCCAAAAACAACAACGTCGACGACGCTAGCACGCACCTTGATATCCTGCTACTTCCCGAGTTCGAAGCACACAACAAGCCTCGTCAGCCGCATGCACTCTTACCCTCACCCTCCCGCAGTACACCACACATTCAATGTTCGCCGCTATGTGCACCACTGCCGACAACCCCGGTCTCGATTGCGGACGACGGTATGTCTCAGACGCTATCCGCAGATGCGTGGCAGAAGCGGCCGGGCAACCCGAGCACGACACAAAAGTATGCCTGGCGATGTCTCTGGAGAAGCAGGCGGCGTCGTGGGTGGCGTACATGCTCTGGCCCTGTGAGTTCCTTATCCCTGTGTGACTTTCTCCGACCGACCATATGCGTTGCAGTCGGTGTGCTTGCACACATGGACGTCGAACGGTCCAACTATTGGGGCAAGACTTCGACTCCCGCCACACCGAGCCCGACCGAAGACCCGGTAGATTATCGTGCGCATCTTTTGAGGAAACACGTGAGTACTTCATGTCCAACGCTCGGCGACCCGAATGTCCTCACCCAAAAACTCCCCGAGGTGCTCCTCCGAGATCGTTGGACGTGCTGCTTCACTGGTATCGTCAACGATGGTGCACCCGACGAGCTATCGAGATGTGCTACTGAGGTAGGAGACGTACTCGCAACGCACATCTTCAATGACGCAGTAGCTACCTTTCACGAAGCGTCGGCCGATGCTCAGGTGAGTGGTGAACGTTGAACAGTCGGTCCCGGGAGCCCTCATTCAACCCAGGATGCTAGACATCTCTGTATACCACATTGAAGATACTCAACGAATACTGCCAGATGGACGGCCTCCTCCAAACTACTCTTGATATCAAGGACGAGCCACGAAATTCATTTTTGCTGGACGTGCGCCCCCTTGCTGGCTTCGACAAGTTCAAGTGGTGCCTGAAGGCGACAGAGGTATGTGCTGCTCCCGACTCGACCAAACTCAAGTGGTTCTCACATCGTCCGAGCAGACGCCCCATAGCTACGAGATATGCTACATGCCGGACGATCAACGATACCGGGGGACGCGCGCCTCCCGCCGGCATATCACATTCGAGGATCACAGCGCCGAGTTCACTGGATCGTCGGTGTCCAGCGTGGTTGGCAGCCATGAACGAGGACACCATGCCACAGGCGTCGATCTGCCCAGCCCTGAGCTTCTGCGAGTGCACTGTGCGATCGCGCATGTGCTGCATCTCAGTGGCACGGCGCAGCTGTTCCGAGAGCTCTGCACCTCTTCGGGAGAAAGGGAATACAAGACCGGGGCGGCTGCCCATGTGGCCCTGACGGGAGCGTCGTTCATGGCGCATGTTGTCGAACAAGATCCCTACCTAGTGATGGAGCTGCGAGAGTCTCTCGCTGCGACGCTCGATCATGCATGATGCATATCCGTTCGAGACTTGTTGGCTGTACTACCTATACCACAATGCATCTCCTGTCAAGGACGTCTTGCAAGCGTGCATCGGCCTTGGCGGTCCGGCGAGCCCAGGGGTCGAGTCCTCCAAGTTGAAGGGCAACATATTCTTTCCTCGCCTCACAACATTACATACCCTTCCGGAAGCTACGACTTCATGGCCAATTCCGTCTTGCCATATCACGACGATTCCTGTAGACAACGCGACAGACGGCTTGGAGCACGTGCATATATCCACCTGGGCGGGACTCGGGGTGGGAAGTTGGGGGTCGGATGAGTGACCGTCGAGTACGTCCTTGACCTTCGGTGACATATTACCTCGAGCAACACACACCGAGCTAAAGCACACGACATAATTTCCTCACTCAACGTTCGGATTGTCAGCGACAACGGCGGCGCGGTCCGAGCGCGGTCAGTGGGCAATCAAGCGAGCCGCCGCGCGCGCGCGCGCGAGAGGTTGCGAGCCTCCTTCGCCTTTATCCTCCACCACTCGAGTGTATGCTCTACACACGTCCCTAGATGCCCACCCAGACTGTACCCACTTGCCATTCTCCTCCAGTGCTTGAAACCAACCCCGACAAGGCAGAGAGGTATCTCGACGTCCTGCTCCTCCCCCAGTTCGAATCGTACAACAAGCCACAATGGGCCGCCAGAATCGTCCGTAACGCGGACCCTGACCACAGCGCGCACTGGCAATACACCACCCACGCGCTGTTCGCCGCCATGTACGCGACCGCCGAGCTACTCGGCATGGATCGCGGACGACGGTACGTCTCTGACACCATCCGTGCGTGCGCCACAGAGGCCGCCGGGAGACCGGCACACGAGAGGGAAGCATGTTTCGCGATGGCTTTGGAGAGGCAGGCGACGGCGTGGGTAGCATATATGCTCTGGCCTTGTTCAACCGCGACGTCTTCCTCTTCCGCCCATTTCCACGTGTCCCTGAATGCCCACCCACGACGTATTCACAAGCCATGCGGGGCCACATCTCGGCGGCGCAGCTCTTCCTCGGTCTCGGACATTGCGGTACGAAACTGAAGCAGCGGCTCATGTGGCCCCGATTTGCATGGCGTATGCGGTAGAACATGATCCTTCTACGGTGCATGAACTGCGAAAGTCGCCGAAGGCCGAATCGAGGCCCTAGGAATGTGCATAGTATAGAACTTCGCCAGGTTTTTTTTTGTTGTCCTCGTTTGACGCCCTATGGTAAGCGTGCAGTACATGTGGTAGTTCTAACTTCGCCAGGTTGTATGCACCGAGCGATCCATCTGTTTCAATCGTGTGATCATAGTCACAAAAGCGTCATCATAGCATCACAACATAATCTGCGTGTAATGGAGATCTAATGGTCCAACACACCCGCACTATTCATGCACATACGAGAGCCCAAACGCAGAGGTTCCGTATCCAAACTTACATAGCATGTACCGAAGCCTCGCCACCATGACCTGTCCGCCAGTTCACAGTTCCAACGGTGCCCATGGCTGGTCCAAAACCGGAGCCTGCTTACGCAGGGGCAGCGGGATCACGGGCGTGGGTGCTCCTAAACCCGCGATTTCGCACGAGCGAACGAGCCAGTTGCGAATGCCCTCGTATTCCCTGCGTTGACCTATACGCGCATCCAAGGGTTAGCTGGAGAGCGTGGGGGGTGAGCGGGGGACGCACCGGGTGAGGGCCAGAGCATCATCATGTACTCGACGCACGGCGCGAACGCCTTTGCGACTTCGAGCGCGACAATTATGGTTGGGTCGGCGTGCCAGAGCGCAAGCGCGCTGCGAGGGGAGGCGTCAGCCGCCAGGGTAACGCGGGGGAGATGGAGAGGGTGCGCACCGCATCATCTGGGACATGTACCAGTACATCAGGAAGCAGCGCCTGGAGTTGTTCGTCGAGACACCTTGCACGGCGGCACTGATCATGTCGCGGATGTCGTTGGCGACGTGGAGCATGAACCGCACTGTGGTGGGGAGGGTCAGTTGTTTGAAGGTTGTCACAGACGCGGGCTACGCACTCCACTTTTCGGCCTTGTCGTGATAGAACTGCATATTAGAGGCTCTGCATTGACCATTACGTTCAATCAGAACCGCGCTGTCTACCACGAGACACAAACTCACGTCATGGCCTCGGGGATAAATCTCCTGAAATCGTTCGAAACAAGCATTCGGGTGCTTTGCGGGTGCGGAGGCACATCAGCGCGCCTATTCCAACCTCCTCGAGCCGCCCCCGACACTCACTTGAATAGAAACTCGCGCATCTGGAGCATCATACCGCTCTGAATGCCGCACGAGTGCGCGTCCATCGCACCCTCGATCGCGTCGAGCTCGAGCCACGCTGTCGACGCCCACTGCGCGCGCTGCGAGTCCGCCACGAGCGAGTCCGAGCGCACGCGGAGGCACGAGTGCCACACCAACTGCACCCGGATGTACAACGCCCACGCGGACCACTTCGACGTCGCCACCCCGCCCATGCCGAGCGACTCGAAGTTTTCCCCTGGGAAGAGTAGCGCATACTAGACCTGGGCGTCAGTTTCACACCGCGCCCGGGGATATAAGAGGGGCACGTACGTTCGCTGGATCCTTGATCCACAGGTGCTGCGGCTCCACGTCCGTCCCCGCAGTCGACTTCGTATTGTGCGACGCCGTCAGCATCACCGTCGCCCACACCAGCCGTCGACACTCCTCCTTGAGCTGTTCGCCCTCGCTGACGTCTTCGAGCCACATGGGCATATTCGCGAGCGTGGGTGCGACCTCATTCACGCGCGGCCACGCCACGTTGAGACTGTACAGCTCGCAGCCGCAGTGCCATTTCTCGACCGGGGTCTCGTACCGTATGTGTAGTGTCCCGGGGATACGGACGTAGTGGGCGGTAGGAGAAGGGGTGGCGGGCACGTAAAGGTAGGGTGTCGTCGGGAGCTGCTGCATCATGGACGGGAGGCCGAGGGTGTCAAGATCAATCCCGAAGTCAGGCTGGGGAGTTGGCGGAGGGGAAGGGACGACGGGCACGGCGCCCGGGAGGAAGATAGAGGTGCGTGGATCGTCTGCATCGAGAGTCGTCAACCCGAGGCTCCGGATGAGCGAGTCCAGCACGTCGAATACCGAGCGTGTGCGCTGAGTTGATGCCTTCGGGTGGGCTTGGAGTTCGAACACGGCAAGCAGCTGTGGCCAAGTTAGCTCTCGCAGCTTCAGGACATAGAGAGCGGCGCACCCATGCTGCCTGGACAAGCCCAATGTCCACCCACCCGGCGCTCAGGCTGGCCTGGAACATCGCATGGGCTTGATCAAGCAACTGCAGCGCCCGAAGCCTTCCCTGGGACCCATTTTCCATTTCCGAACCTTGATAGAAGATTGCCAGCGCCGCGGCGCTGAGTATCAAACTGGGCTGCACCTTGCTTCGTCGCTCGGGGTTAAATACGTTGGCGAAGAACCGCGGGATGTGGATAAAACTGAACCAGTGCATAGACATTTGCCAAAAGAAGCGAAGGTCTGCCACGACACCCCGCATAGCGGTGTCGCGCACGGTGGGGGTCAATGTCATGCTATTGTCGCCGTCCGTCGAGGCGTAGAAGCCGAGCAGCGCGTCCCACCACGTTTCACGCGTGAAGCGCATGCCGGGGAGAGTGCTGATGTTGACCACACCTGGTTCTTCAAAGTCTTCGTCGTCTTCCACACGGCGGGCGATCGCTATGGCGTCGACAGGTACATCGCGCATATTCCGTGGACGCAGGGCGGCCAGGTAATCTAGCTCGCAGGTCAAGGGAACCGCGCCGAGGAAGTCGAATAGAGCGGACTTGACGAGCCGGTCATGTGTCCGCGACTCAAATGTGCCGGGGAGAGTATTGAAGAAAGAGGGGGCTGGGGCGGGAGGAGAGCTAGTGGAAGGCGTTTGCGACGGCTCAGCGAAGGCAGCCGCGAGCGCGACCTCCTCTGCTTTCTTGCGTTTGGCTTCCTCTTCAGCTCGCGATCGAGTCGTGCGCGTCTTCTTGGCTTCGTAGGCTGCGAACTTGCGCGAGCCGGGCGTTCGATCCTTCCCGCGACGTCGAGGAGCGCCGTCGTAGGAGCAAGTTCCGGCGAGTGGGTCGGCGCGCCGGACGCAGTTGTGGCATTCGGGCTTGGCACCGTCGCATTTGACTTTGCGAGTACGGCTGTTGGGGTGTACTTGGTCAGTTCGCGTCTGAGATCTTCACGAATCATTGACGACTCATAAGGACTGCGCTGCTGATATCGTGATCCACGCATACGCCCATAGGGGACAAAACAATGACCGTCATGTAGTATTCGTGCAACCATGCCGAACTTGAATCGTGTACCTCACTCGGCGATTGTCCAGGGTGCACCGGCTGAAACGATGGCCGACTATATGCACTCTGAGCATCTCATCTGCATGGATGCTTTGGGTATGGCCGGTGTACGATACAACATATGTGCACGGAATACGCATGTGTTTGTACATAGGAAACGCAGCTTGCACATGCGCAAAGGGAGATCGAGATCACCGGAGAGGAGACTGAGCACGCACCATTGAACGCAGGCAAGATATACGCGTTCGCGAGGCTTTCCATGAGCCGTTAAGGGCTGACCCGACGATAGACCTGCACGCGCCGTGCCCTTGCTTGCGACACCGTCATCCCTATCGGGGTTTGGAGACTTGGACGGGCTAGGACGGGTGCGGAGAGGCTGGGGGCTGCGCAGGGCGTTTGCGAGAGACGAGGTGGACGCCGGGGAGTTGGAGGTGTTGCTGTGGGGAGACGAGAGCGTGTGAGGGGACTGATCTGGGGAAGTGGCGGCGGAAGTGGAGGCGGAGGGAGGATGCGCGGCTGGGTGCGGATGGCTGGACGTCGAGGCAACGGGGCTCGCGCGCTGTGTGTGGGGGTGGAGAGCGGAGGACATGGGAGGTGCTGACGGGCGACTGAGCACGCGCGCAGGCTCTTATTGGGAGTAGCTCAGCACTGGAGCCCCGGTCGCCGACGCGTTCAATGACGCAGACAACGGCGCCAGCTGCGCGCACAGCGTCTGCCCACATAGCCGGCGGCCGCGCTCGTTGGTCTCCGACTGCCATCTGAAAACACCCGCCCGTCCTCTCCTGCACCGCAGCCCGCTGCTCTCCACCAGATGCCCATCCTCGGTATACCTTTCGCCGACATCGCGGTCACGGAGTCTCATCTCCCCGTTCACAGGTCTTGTCGCGTATGACGAGGACCCGCTCAGCGACCACGACGACGATCCTCCTTTGGCCCAGACAACCCCCATGAAAGCTCCCGCTTCCGCCGGTCCTCGTACCGCCAGCTCTCGACCTGATGTGAGAGCCTTCACTGGTCCCCTTTGCCCTACCCGTTTCCCTCTTGCTCGTTCTCTCTCTTCTCTGGCCAGGACTTGCAGCTAAGTCGCCATCCAGCTGCCCCTCCCGAACGTGAGCTGCCCCATCCCCCGCTTCCTCCCTGCCGCATTCCAGTCACTGAGATGGTCCCCAACCTCTCCCAGGCAACCCGTCGTCTAGCAGCTCCAAGGCTGCCGTAATTATCCGCCGCCACGCGCCCGCGAAACCCCACCCGCGCTCCCGTCTGCCGGAGGACGTCCAGGACGAACCGGTCCTTCCCCACCGCCCTCGGCCTCTCAGTCGTTGGCCTCATCTTCGCGGCACTCAAGCTCCCACGATGTCCTCGACGCCGGCGCCCCCGTCGACGACGAGCCGACGCGCATCCGTCAACTCTTGTGTCCTCCGCCAATACCAGGTATGCAGGACTGGGGCATTCCATCGGAGCCAGACGAGCCATGCGACGAAGGGATAAGGGTGCGCTTTCTCATATTTTGCGTGTATGCATGCGTACCCACTCTCCGGCACGCTCAGACGAAAATAGCCACTTTCCTCGCCCTCAAACGCGACCCGGAGAGCCCGCGCCATTTCAACGACTCGCTCATGTCCAACCGGAACTTCCGCAACCCCCATCTGTACGCGAAGCTCGTCGAATTCGTCGACGTCGACGAGCGCACGACCAACTTCCCAACGGACCTATGGGACCCGCTCGACATAAAAGAAGACTGGTTCGCAGATCGCATTGGTCCGTCCTCTCCCCCACTTACGCGCCCCTGCGTCCGCAGCACGCGGCCCAAAGTCCTGACTCCGTTCCGTCCTTTTCGGTACCCCCATTTCCGGCGATATGTCTCGCTCGGACGCCGACCCTTCCTTCCCGACCCAACGCGCTCCACACATACGCGGGTCGTCTACAACGCATCTTCAACACCGATACCCGGCGTTTCGCCAGCCGAAGCGCAGAAGGCGCGCTCTGAGGCGACATCCACCGCCCAACGCTCCGCCAAGCGCACGAAGATCGACTTCACGGGCTCCTCCTCGTCCTCTGGTACGCGCTCCCGCGTGTCCTTCCCGGATGCAAAATCGAGCCGGCACCAGTACGGCTCCCAAGCCGGAACGATGGCAACGGTGGAGGTGGAGGTGGCGGGATTCTAGGTGGAGGATATGGTCGGGGCCGGGGTCGCCCTCGATGGGGATGACTGCCGTGAGTTTCTTGAGGAGGCGCCCTCGCCGAGTTGTATGTGCCCGTTGATCTTGCTTTGCCAATTGATGCTTTGAGCGGTATCGCGATGTTTGCCACTTTCATCGGTTGAACAGCCGGCGAATTTAACTCTGAGATCCAAGCGGAGGGGCCTCTCGCGAGCGGGGCCAGTCTCGGGTTAGGGGTTGGCGTCGAGGATCGGTTCAGTTTGTGCGTTCCCTCCTCTTCCCTCAAATGCTCGACAATCCCATCCATGACGACGCACTTGACGCAAGGAGGTTCCTCGACGTCCTACTGCTTCCTCAACTTGAAGCACAAAACAAACCCCCGTGGGTGGACAGAATCACCAGCCGGCTCTCTTGCGATGTTCACCCGCTCTACACCACCCACTCGATGTTCGTCGCTATGTTCATGACTACGGACCTGCTCGGGCTTGATTGCGGTCGGCGGTACGTGTCCAACGCAATTCGTCGGTGCGCTGCCGAAGCGGCCGGAAAACCTGAACACGAGAGAGAAGAACGTTTTGCGGCGGCCTTAGAGAAGCAAGCGACGACGTGGTTGGCGTACATGGTCTGGCCTTGTGAGTTAACCGTCCTCTAACAGTGCCTCCCTGTACTAACGAACTGTCGGCCCTAGTCGTGGCGGTGGAGTACGTGGACATGGAACGCTCCAGCTATCGATATAACGCCTCGAACCCCGCCGCACGGGAGACTTCAGACGATTCGACGAGTTGTCATGCGGATGGACTGAGGGAATCTGTGAGTACTCACCACATGAACGTGAAGCGTTCTTGTCGAGTATACACCCCACAGGTATTGCTCCGTGACCGTTACAGGTGCTGCTTCTCTGGCGTCGTCTGCGATGTCGCCCCCAGAAACGCATTCAGGGGTGCCACCCAGGCGGGCGATGTGAACGCAGCGCACATATTCAGGCCCATATTAACAACCTCACACGGCGACTCAGCTGATGCTCAGGTTCGTCATGAACCCGATTTCTGAGAGCATACCTCTGATGCGCGGTACCAGAGGTCTCTGGACACCACCCTCCACATCCTGGAGGACTACTGCCAGATAGAACGCGCCCCGAAAACCATACTCAACAACATGGAAAGCCCATACAACGCGTTTGTGCTGGGGCTGTCTCCCCATTCTGACTTTAACAAATTCAAGTGGTGCCTGAAGGGCACAGAGGTACGTCCTGTTCGCAGCTGGACTCGAACGTCTCTCACTACTCGGCAGATCCCCGACCGTTATGATATATGCTACATGCCGGACAACGCACGGTACATGGGTATCCGCACCACGCGCGACCATATCACGTTCGTGGATTACAGCGCGAAGTTCGACAAGTCCCGAGGGCGAGCCTCTTCAGCCTCGTCCGGCGTATCGGGTACTCCTCCGGGGGCGCGGCGGGGCGTCGATCTGCCGAGCCCGGAACTGCTGCGAATGCACTGCGCGATTGCGCATGTACTGCATCTCAGCGGCGCAGCGCAGCTATTTCGAGGGCTGTCCGTCTCTACGGAGACATCGGGATACAAGACTGGGGCAGCGGCCCACGTGGCGCCGACGGGAGCAGCGTTCATAGCGCATATCGTGGACGAGGATCCGTACGCGGTGATGGAGTTGCGAGAGGCACTTGCTGAGACGCTCAGTTGTTCGAGTCCGTAACGGATTTTTGTTTGCTATACCGGTCTCGATAATGACCCAGTACTCAATCCAAGATACTATACACAAACGAATCTCCCGCAGCCAAACCTGTCAGTCCGCCACTATCGTACATACACTCCCCATCCGCCCGCCCGCTCGTCAAACTGGAGACTTTTCCACCTGGTCGGACCCCAAATCGCTCTCAGTCTCGCTCTCGCTCTCGGACGGCATGCGCTCGAGGTCTGCGAGCACTTCGCTCGCCAGGCGTGGCGGCGCGCCGTGGCTCGTCGGGTGCGGGTCGACGGTCGAGTGCAGGGTGTGCGGGAGCACGGCGGAGATGTGCAAGGATATCGAGCGCGTGTTCGCCTGCGACGCGCGCACAACGTTGCTTGCGCGCACGATGAGCACGGTGAAGACGATCGCCTGCGGATAGAAAGAGAGAAGGGCGGGAAACGCGACGTCAACGAGGTGCGCGGAAGTTAAGAGGAAAAGCGCGCTACAGTGATGCCAGGGAGCTGTGTGGCAAACACAGATCAGTGTGTAGGTCAAGCGGCGGCGGCGACGGCAGATGGGGCGCACCATTCCAAGGAATGTGAAGAATATGTTCGATCCAACAGAGTCCGAGATGATGAGGGCCAGCAGGAGAGCGCAGTAGATCGACGCTGTCCGACGCCGCTCAGTTTGGCGAGCGGGAACCGTTCACGATGGATGTACGCACCGGTTTCGACGACTATGGCGAGCACTTTGCTGGGCCGGTTCTTTCCTAGTATCGGCGCCGTCTGCCGTACTACGCACCATACCTTCCAGCATATCAGGGCTGACAGGCGAAGTGAGGAAGTGACGGTTGGGGAAAGGTGCACGGACCCACAGGCACACAAAATGTTGAGAACAAATGTCGTGATGAAGAAGTAGCGCACCCGGACTGAGACCTCCGCGAGCATGATGTCGGTGTGTTGGATTCCCGTTTCAAACTCTGTCCAGAGGGCCCAGACGCCGAGCGCTTGGGGAGGGTAGTCAGCGGGACAGCATTCGCGACGGTGGTATGTAACGGTGCGTACCCCAAGTCGTGACAAGAAGGCCGACTGGGAGAGATATGACCCACAGGTTGTAATCCCAGATAACCCACGCACGGAACACCTGGGGGTCGACGGGAGTGAATACGGAGATTGAAAGCAAAGGACAGGACGACGCACGATGATGAAGTCGGAGACCATGGCAAGCAGCGCGGTGAGCACACCCTTGGTGAGTGACGTCGGCGAAGAGACGTCGGCGAAGAAAGTGGTAGGGTCCGGGCGTGTCTCACCAGGCCTAATCCCAAAAGCTGCGTAACCGATGACCATCTCTGTAAAGAAGTTCTGTGGACGGCGAGGGTCAAGGTGTGCGAACGATATCTAGACGAAGACACGCACTGCGGTGGCCAAAAGGAAGATCACAAATCCGGCGATGGGCAGCCACAGCGGCAGCTCTTGTCTCCTCTTCCTCCTCCAGATCGATACGCATCGCGGCAAATACGCGAAATATATACCTGCCCGCAGATTCGACAGGATCAACGCGTTAGAAGCTGGTGCTCAGACAGATTTCATAACGCACCGGTAGTGAACACTTCGCAGAACACTCCAAGCAGTTGAGCGTTGGCGACATAAATGTCTGGCATAACTGTCCAGGCGCAGGAAGGAGTGATCGTTGTCGTATGTGGCGGCAAGGCCGTGTGTGATAGATACAGAGGAGGGGAGTAGAGGCCGCCGGGATTTTGTGTTATACGAGTCGATGCGAGGCTCGATCACAGGGCCGAGGGGCGAACGCGGGGGAGCGCGCGGGCGCGGGCGGACATGCTCAGCCCAACTGTGCGCGATCGCGGTCGAAAGCGGTATAGTCGAATATCGAGAGGCGTGGCGCCAGCCGTGTTTGTTGCCGCACAAGAGCGTCGTGGCTTAGCTCCAAACAAGTACGCCCCTCTTGCCGGCCGGTCTTCATCCCCGGGCTTGGAAGATAACGCCGGTGGCAGGGTGGTCGATATGGCGCACCGGCTTCTTGCCGCGGCGTGTGCGCCCGCCCGCAATACCACAGGGATAGATGAGGACGACTTTTGGGTCGTAACAAGGGGTGTTTCTGCGAAAGGGCAGGCTTTCTGCAGTGGAGACAGCGGTCGCACGTAGCAGAAGTGACAGAGACTTACCCGCCGGGGATAGAGGCTATGAATCCATGACATGGGAGCGGAGAAAATGCCATGATATGATGAGCTCGAGGTTGAGCACAGGGGAGACAAGCTCGAGACTGACCGTACGGGGTCTGATGGCGATAGGGCTATTGCGCCGTTTGGACGAGTGGGAGGAATAGCGCGATTGCGATTGCGCTTACACAAGACTTGCCCCTGTCGGTGGCGTCACGGGATGTGTGTTGTTCCGCAAACAAGACCTTTGCGTTGACACACAAGTCCATTCCCAGCCCAGCCATGATTCCAGTCCGGGGGTGCTCCCAGGGATAAGGGAGAGGGGGGGAGAAAGGCACGCAGCAGGAAACGCTGGCGGCTGTAATCTTGGCAATCCACTCTCCACCTGTTCCTGCCCCGGTGCTTGAACGCTAGGGAGATCTATGCCCTCGATTTCGAGAATGGACTCGTGCCCAGGCCAAGGAACTTCGTCATTCTCGAGCCCATACACGATAATTACCGGCATGCAGACGGACTTCTCTGTCGAAGCTATCAATAACCAGACGGCGAGAGAACCTCGTTCATGAGTGTCTCCGTTGTGCGCTCGCTTTGAAGGCCCTGGGACCGCACCCGCAAGAAGCCCGGCATCCAAGGTTTTGACGAGAGCATTCGTCGATATAAACAGCCCTTCTCTCCCGGCCCTTCTCCGTCCACAGAAGCCGGACCACACCCGTATAGCAGATGTCAGCAGACGACGCGAGCAGCATCGCTATCGCGCTCCGAGCTATAAAGAGGGCCAAGTCAGATGGTGTCGTCTGAGCTGCAGCACACTCACCTGCTTAACTCCCGGGATGAGGCACGCGTCCACGAATTGCAAGGGCATCGATATCTCGCACTGGCAGGGCACCGTCGACTTTGACGCCCTCAGGGCCAACGGAGTCTCGTTCGTGTACATCAAAGCTACCGAAGGCACTAGTCAGCTTATCGCCCTCATCCGCGTCCCGAGCAGCCAGAACTCACCGCGCATACAGCCTCCATTGACCCAAAGTTCAACTCGCATTACACGGGCGCGACGCGCGCAGGCCTCGTCCGCGGCGCATATCACTTCGCCCGCCCGGACAAGTCGTCGGGCGCGATGCAGGCGAGGCACTTCCTCGCGCATGGTGGAGGTTGGACGAGCGATGGGATGACCTTCCTGGTGCGCTCGACGTCGAATGTACGTGGACCGGTTGCCTTGAAATGATGCGAGAGTCAACGTCCTTGCTCCTGTTGGACATTCGAAGATGCTCCCAAAGGAGACAGGAACTACGGGTTGAATGCGTCGGCGATGGTCTCGTGGATCAAGGACTTTTCAGACACCTACCAGTCTGCCGTGGGCGTGTAAGCATCCCTCCCGTATGACACAGGGCTTGAACCCCAGTTGACGAAGCTTGTCCGCATAGCTATCCAGGTGAACACCGAGAACTCTGCGCTGGAATTGGGCGACTGACCTTCGACCCAGTGATCTACACCACCACCGACTGGTGGAAGACCTGCACCGGAAACAACGCATCCTTCGCGTCTACCAACCCGCTCTGGATCGCTCGCTACTCTTCAAGCATTGGCATGGTTCCTGCGGGCTGGTCGTGAGTATCTGTAGCCTCCTGCATCGGGAAGCGCACATAGATTGATCGGCGAGCATGCGCCTATGGTAGAGATGTGACGATCTGGCAGTACGCAGATTCGGGGGAGAACGTGGGGTGCCAGGACGAATACAACGGGTCTGAGCGGGGGCTGAAGAAGTGCGTACCTCTGTTGACCAGGCGCGGGCTCGGCTGACAGCATGCCCAACATCGTCCAAATAGCCTTGCATTGGGCCGTTATCCGACGTTGTGAGGGAGGGCGACGAAACAGTGGGGTGCTTTCATATTCCGGGGAGGGAGGTCGGAGACGACACAGTCGTTCAGTTGATGGGCTAGTGGCGCTCCAATACATATGTATTGGGTTTAGCATGTAGTGGATCTCGTGGATATGATGAAGTACAAGGAAGACAAGGATTTGCCCGCTCACAGTGCAGGCGCGTTTGAGCCCTGCGATCACGTGACAGAATCGGCTGCCGGACTCGGCGAGTCGAGATCTGGGGAGTCGAGCTGGATGCGCTACGTCGATTGATTCTGACCATGACGGTGCCTGCACGCATGCCAGATGTCGGTGCTTCAGTTTTGCTGGCAACGCTTCCTGTGCTGATGGTATGTAGCTCTGTCCCTGCACAAGCGCGAAAGTCGAAAAATTCCGGATGAAGTCGCCATCAAGTCTTGAACATCTCTCTGGACTCTCGCCGTCATGTACGTGTCTGTCGCACCAGAAATGTTTTGCGTTGTTTCAAGCTCACTCTCTTCCAGGACGAGACGGAGGAGGGCAAGGCGAAGCAAGCGTTTTCCCGCGCACTGACGTACCGCGGCTTCGCTGCCGCAGCACGGATTTTTTGTGCGCCGCCCCCCTCTCAACTTTCCACCCTTCCCCAACTCATCGTGCGTGACGCATCGCACAGAACCTCCCCCGCCCCCCGTAACCGCTATGGCTACGTCCCTTTTCTGGCCGGGGAAATACTACTGCTACCCAATTGGCAACACCTCCGCAGTCGACTTGACAAGAGACATCTCACCCGAGGGCGACGCTTCAATCCTGCTTCTACCGTGTGGCGATCCTCGCAATATCCTGTTCAGCATATGCTCTCAGGACTCAGCCTGTAAGTCTACCCTCTTTCTCTTCCTTGGAACACCAGCCCTTAAACCCCTGCAGTTCCCCGCAAGCTCCATTTCACTTGCGTCGATTACGACGCGTGCATCCTAGGTACGTCTCGATTTTATACACAAATTGAGCACGATTTTTATGTACGTCTTCCAGCGAGGAACGTTCTCCTCTTCGCCATGCTCGTAGACGAAACTCCTCATCATATCGTTTGGAACACGTTCTTTCATGTCTACCTCGACAAGAAATCACACGCCGCGCTGGTTACAACATGCAAAAAGATTCTCGCCCACTCAGGAGGCATGCAAGACTGGGCCACCTCTCCGTATGCTTCCTGCATCCAAATTGCTTCGGAACACACTCTCGCACAACTTCGTCGCCAGTGGTCCTCATTTGCTACACTTCACGACGAGAAAGGGTCGCAAGCGTACCGGACCCTTGAGTTCGCGGTTAGTGACCGTCGCAAAGAAGTTTTAAAGGACTTCGGACAGTCGTTACACTGGTCCTCCACCCGATCTATTGGTGCGCTTCTCATGAAAAACATCCACGCTGTCGAACTCTACAGCAAGGTCTTCAAACTGTACTGGCAGACTGGTACTACGCTCACTAGAACTTCGGATGTCAACGCGGCCACCATTCTCAATCCTACTTTCTGTTTCTCGCGCGCAGGCCGAGGATTCGATCTTCACTACGGCACCAATCCCATTACCCCATTTCATCTCGCCCCTCTCTTTGGCGATGCAAGAAACAACCTCGCCGTGAAGGATCTCATCGACGCCGCGTCCTCCCAGTTCAGCCAGTGGTGCCAAGCGTACAGAGTCGCCGTCAGCGGTCCGTCGAAGGCTCGTCCGGTTGTCCGGATGTGGGTGGGAGATGCGCTCTCGGTTGCGCAGGAGCTGCTCTTTGCTGGCCACCACACGACATCGAGTCAGGCGCCTACCCGATTCGATGTCATCGACACGTCGAATCTTTCCGATCACGTTGGTCTGACGAACATGCTGCTATCCGCCGCCGCCCTCCGTACCCACTCTCCTTCCTGTGTTGTGTACACCGAGAGTCTCCTCACCTATCAACAAGACTCGACGACGGAGTTCAAGGAGCAGATATTCGCGGATCTCACGACAGTCGCTCTGCTGCTCGATATAGCACCTATCGAGGCTATCTCCGGCTTCACCACCAGGAGCAACACCCATGAACTCATGATGCACGCTACCTTCGTCGACTCAGACTCCAAACAGTTCCATCAGAATGTGACCTGGAAGCGTCCCCGGCCGAGAGATATATCCATGGAGCGTATCCTCCCGCCTGCTACCACCACTTTTACGCCCTTCGACCTCGTTTCACTGCTCCTAAACATATACTCTCGATTATATGCTGGCGAAAACCCGTTGCATCTGTTGTCCCAAAACTTGACCAGAGCGAAAGAGCAGATGCGCCGAGACTCGTATATCGTTCCTTCTCGACAGTCCTTCGTGATCCTCCTATGCGCCGTCCAACGCCGACTCCGTCCATCTCAAGAACACTGGGACGAAGTGATGAAGTCGCTCACACAAGGTTTATGGGATCGTGCCACACGATCTCTCCATTGGACTCCTCTTTTCACTGTGAAATACGGACTTTGCTTTACCGGTACCGACTTTTCACCCACCCATTGCTCGAGAAAGCTCCCGTCGCAACGAGAGGGCGTCTGTCACACTGGACGACTCTTCCCCCATCGTCCGCATTTACCTAAAGGTTCCACGTGCGCCCCTCGAGGCTCTCCACGGACCCGGCGTCCCGCTTACCCCCTACCTTCATTGCTCGATCCGCATTGGGATGTACGAGTGCATCTTTCAGGCCGTGGCTGCCGTTTTCGGCGACATGCAGTCTCAAGGAACAACATCTAATCCAGCTTTGAACGTCAACGAGGACTACCACGGGCTGAAGGGCAGCTCGCCCTTCATCGTCTCGTTTACTGCATCAACGCATCTCATCACGACCGCTGCACAACCAGAAGACGTCTTCGTCCGGCTTTCCGTACGCGCCACACCTGTCTCGACGATGGTTTTCGCTAGGCGACTTGGCCTAGAGCTGAAGCTTTTCGAGGCCAGCTTCGAAGATGCTCAGTCAGTCCATGTCGTCCCAGAAGTCTGTTTTCCATCAGTCGATGCTCTTCCCAACGACGACTCGAACGCGACAACTCAGGCTCTTCCATCGGCGAGTATTGGACGGGTCGAAGGTGTTCAAGCTCAGATCGATGCTCAGTCTACCTCAGCCGCAATCTCCACGCTTACAACCAGGATAACCGTCGAAAATCCCCGATCCAAGACGGCCTTCACAGGTGGTGCGGTTCCAGAGGTTGCGCAACACTCTGCCTGCCTGCTGCAGCTGAGCATCGGAAACCAGACCCAAGCCGTTGCATACCCGCTTCCTGTCCTCGGCGCGATGCACAAACTTCGCCTCGCTCGAAAGTCCGGCTACGTTGAGGTAAGGAGTCTACACTGTGTGGTTGCGATAACTGCTAATTGGAATTCATCGCAGATCGTTGTCCCTGTATCTGTGCCGTGCTCGACTCTTGAGGTGATGAGATTCAACCCGTCTCCGATTGTGAAATCAGACACAAACTCTTTCCACCCATGGAACATCCACCGAGTCACCCTTGAAAAGCTTCCTCTCTTAAAACTTCCATCTAAAGGCCCGCCCCTCGACTGGTTCAACAACCATGTATGCAGCGCCTTCTCCCTCCGCGAACGCGCAAACCGAGACGCCAAAAACCACGCCGACGTCCTCATGTGTGTCAAAGACACGATCCACGCCCTCATGGCGCGCTCTGTCGGCCTCTTCGGCGCTCCCTCCCGCGTCTTCTCCCTCCGCGACGAGCCCACGGGCGACTCCGACACCATCCTCTTCATCCACGGCATCCGGTTAGACCTCTCCTCACACACGCTCGTCGCCGACGCCTCCGTCCTTCCACTCACGCCCACCGTCCTCGACAAGCTCGGGCCCGTGTTTCCCAAGCTCATCCAGGGCATCGAGCAAACACGCGTGTACGGCGCCGAGATGCGCGCGTGGAAACAGCTTCTCCCCGCGCTCGCCGAACGCTGCCGCACCTGGACGCACCGCCCCGCCTGCGAATACCGCGCCGCGGGCCGCATCCCGCTCACCGTCGAGCTCAGTGAGGGCGACCCGCTCTGCGCGTGCGGGCGCGGGCACGACGCCGAGCCGATGCGTGCGGTGCCGGCATGGCGGCCGTTCGCGCCGTACGTGACGCGGATCGCGCTCTCGCCGCTCTTCGCGGTCTCGTACTTGGAGCCCGTCATCGACTTGGCGCCCGTGCGCGACCAGATAGCGGCTGCGTCTAAGTCCACCGCCCCGCCTCCCGCTCCCCTCTGGACGGTCCTCCCCGGCCTCAACCACTCAGACTGGAGAACGATGCGGGAACTGCGAGAAACGCGAGACGGGGAGCGCGCCGTTGCGGAAGTGCTCGCGGTGCAAGAACGTGGCGTACTGCTCCGAGACGTGTCAGAAGCAACACTGGAAGACTCACAAATCGTCATGCAAGGCGTCGTCTTGATGGGTTAGTATACAGTCCCTTGGAACGAGTAGCTCTCGCTGACTGTCCCCACAATGCAGGCGTGCGTTGAACGTTAGGACGTCTATCGGATCTAGACGTTACGTCTGATCGGGACCCTCCGCGGACTCGTGTTTCTGATTGTGGCTTGCAACGGTAAACAGTCCCGATACTGCTGGAAGAGTCTGCACTGGCACTCAGCCTGACCTGAGTGACCAACGCCACGAATGAGAACTGCATAGTATTGTTTCCTATCAAGTTCGTGCTCGGAATACATACCTTTTGCGGAAACGCTCGCTTTGTGGCGGTGCGCTTTTTCACGCAACCCTGGCGACCAGTACTGGACCCCAAGGTTCGAACTCGACACACCAGCAAAAGCGATGTCCACGCATGTCACCGGTCTCGGGCGCTTGACGACTTGCAATTGGACGACGACCACTTCGCCATCCTTCAGCATGGCATTCCCGCAGATCTTGGATCTTGTCGGGTGGAAAAGGCCACCATCACGTCTCCTCGGCGAGCCCATCCCTGCATACGCTTCTCGGACCCAACTTGGTCGCTCGATGGCTTGCAGGGACGACGGAGGTCCTTCCCGCAGACTGACGCGCATGCGTCGAACACGGTTTGCTTACCGCAGCACCAACGAGGCCACCACCCCGGTCACTGAAGCCCCCACGCTGGCATTCTCTCCTTCTCCCCCGTCGTCTGCCCTCTGCTCCCACACATGGGGACGTCTCTCTTCTGGCCGGGAGTGTACTATTCCTATCTAATCGGCAACACCTCTGCAGTCGACTTGACAAGAGATATTCCCTCCGAGGGCGACCCTTCTCTCTTGCTCCTTGGGTCCGGAGATGCTCGCAATATTCTCTTCACCCTCTACTCCCAGCAATCGAACTGTGCGTCGCCATCCAATACCTCCTCTTCATGTCCCATCCTGATCAATGCACCGTGCAGTTCCTCGGAGACTCGATTTCACCTGCGTTGACTACGATCCATGCGTTTTAGGTATGTGTCATGACTATGATGGCATATCTCAACACGTCTCTGAGGTCTGAGCAGCGAGAAATGCACTCCTTTTCACCATGGTCGCGGATAACGTCCCTCAGCAAATCGTCTGGAACACCACCTTCCACGTATATCTTGACCGCCGTCGAACACTGCGCTTGTTCAACAATGTCAAAATTCCTCCTCCACGCCGACACCATGCAAGACTGGATAGCCTCCCCATATTCTCGATACCTCCGGATCGCATCCGACCACACTCTGGCTCAACTTCGTCGCCAGTTGACCTTGTTCTCTGCACTCAACAACGAGCAAGGCTCAAGTCACACGAGACCTAGAACCTTTGTCTCAAATCGTCGCGCACAAGTCCTTCGTGAACACGGATCAGCGCTTCACTTTTCCGGTGCGCGATCCACCGGACCCCTTTTCCCAGCATCCGGTGGCATACGAGCGCCTCAGCTCTTCGGGGACGTCTTCAGGCTCTACTGGAAGACCGGCACGACCTTCTCGCAGCCTTCGGATGTCGCCGCAGCTACGATCCTCAACCCCACCTTTTGCTTCTCCCGCGCGGGCCGAGGTTTCGACCTGCACTACGGCACGATTCCCATCATCCCCTTTCATCTCGCTCCCCTCTTTAGCAACACCGAGGGCGACCTCGCTGCCAGGGACCTCGTCGAGCTTCTATATCCGAGTTCAGCGACTGGTGTCGTGCGTACAGATCTGCAGTCAACAGTCCACCAAACGCCCGTCCCGTCGTGCGTATGCTGGTGGGGGACGCCCTCACTGCTGCCCAGGCGTTGCTCACCTTCGGCCAAGATGTCGACCTCACGGACACCGTCGACCAGTGGACGTCACGGTTGTTGCGACTCAGCACGTTGGAGTATCGGACCATCATGCGCCAACAAGATTCGATGTCGTCGACACTTCGAATCTCCCCGATCACGTAGGGATGCTGAATGTGCTCGTGTCCGCCGCTCCTCTCCTATCGCCCCATCCTTCTTGTTCGGTGCTGTACACGGAGAGTCTGCTCAGCTTTGAAGAGGACCCCACGACTGAGTTTCAAAAGCAGCTGTCGCGGATCTATCACTATCGCGCTGTTTCTCGATGTCGCGCCCCTTGAATCGATGTCGGGATTCACCACGAGGAGCAACACCCACGAACTCATCAGCAATTTGGTCGTCGGTGCCATGGGTACCATGTCCAGCAAGAAGAATGTACTGGCGCCCAAACAGTATTTCCAGACTGTCACCTGGAGACGTCCGCGATTCAGGGACAGCACTGCAGAGCCTAAGCAAAGTTCCGCCCAACCCCCCATCACCACGTTCACCTCCTCGACCTCACTTCCATCCTGTTCAAGATATATTCGGGCTATTCGCTGACGAGAACCCGGCTCTCCTGCTACAGGTTCAGGATCAACAGACTCAGCTGTTGGGCTGATCAACAAAAGCTCTCATGTCATTCCTTCTCGTCAATCATTCGTGGCCCTTCTTCGCGCCGTCCACCGTCGACTCAGGCTGTCCGAGGAACAATGGGAGGAAGTGGTGATGTCGTTGATGAACAATCTTCTAAAAGCTGCCAGTGAACACGTGCCGTTTGATAGCCTCAGTCACCGCGAGCTGATAACATTGCTCTACCGGTACCGCCTGTTAAACCACCCGTCGCTGGTTAAAACACTCGCAAACCAACACGAGGACGCCTTTCTCGCTGGTCGACGCTTCCTCCGATTATCCGCGTCTATCTCAAGGTTCCGCGCGCCGTCCTCATGGTCCTTAAACGAGACAACGTGCCCCGGACCCCTCCTTTACACTGCGCGATCTCGGACCCGAAGTACGAGCATCTCTTCCAAACCGTCAACGCCGTCTTCGGAGATATCGACGTTCAAGGGACGGCGTCTCAGCCTGCTGTAACGGTCTACGAGGACTACACCGGCCTCAATGGCACCTCGCCCCTGATCTTATCGTTCGTTGTACCTACCTGGGTCATCACAGACCTCGCAGATCCTACCGTCGCCAAAGTAGGACTCTCTATCCGTTCGACGCCTGCGACCAGAATGGCCTTCGTACCTATCCTGGGCCCGGAGCTCTCTATATTCGAAACCACCTTCGAAGACGAGCAGTCTATCCAAGTTGTGCCGGAGTCGCGTCTCGCCTATGACACCCTCAAGGACTACGCATCCGGTACCGCCGAGATCGCCGCCGAGATCGGGCCTCTTCAAGGAATGCAAGCTCAGGCCAACGATCAGTCTGCGCTTGCGACGATATCAACACTGACTGCAAGGATCGCCGTCGAGCACCCTCGGGCGAAGAAGGCGTTCGCTGCCGGCGCAACTCCGGAGCTTTCGCAGCTTTCTATCAGCATACTCCAGCTGAGCCTCGGGGGTCAATCGCAACGTGTCCCTTGTCCCTTGCCTGTGCTCGGTGCTCAATACAAGCTTCGCTTAGCTCGCAAGTCTGGCTACATTGAGGTGAGCACTTTGCATCGATTTACCTCAACCTTGAGGAATGACTACCACGCCGTAGGTTGTTATTCCAGTCTCCATACCCTACTCGACAAATGAAGCCATGAAGCTCAATCCCTTCGGAATCTGCTACTCGGGTGGACTGTCACCTCACCCCTGGAACATCCATCGCGTGAACCTCGCCAAACTCCCCCTCCTCCAGCTCTCTCCACTCGACCCTGCCCCCAAATGGGTGAACAGCCACGCTGGCAGCTCCTTATCCGTCCGCGAGCACGCGCACCGGAAGAACGACGACCACACCGATGTTCTCGCGTGCGTCAAGGACACCATCCACACCATCTTCGCGCGCACCGCCGGCCGAGCAGGGACCCGCGTTTTCGCGCTCCGAGACGACGACGCCTCCGGGGACGCCGCGGACCCGATTCTATGCTTCTTCGTCCACGGCCTCCGCTTCGACCTCGGCGCGCAACGATCGTCGCCGACGCCTCCGCCCTCGTGCTCTCCCCCGCGCTCTCCCCGCAGCTCGCGGAGGCCCTCTCTGACCTCCGAGGGCGAGTCGACTTCCGCGCGTGCAGCGCAGAGATGCGCGCGTGGAAGCAGCTCCTCCCCGCGCTCGCGGAGCGCTGCCGCGCGGGCTGGACCCACCGTCCCGCGTGCGAGCACCGCCCGCACGAGGGCGCGGCGGCGGAGTGCTGCCGGGCCTCTGCGCGTGCGGGCGCGGGCGCGACGTCGGGGCGATGGAGGCGATGGAGGCGTGGGCGCCGTTCGCGCCGCACGCGACGCGGGTCGCGATCTCGCCGCTTTTTGCGGTGTCTTACCTGGAGCTGGTCGTCACCATGAAGTCCGAGGCCACGCGCGAGCAGTGTGCAAGGTGCAAGAAGGGCGGGGCGGGGGGCGCGGAGCTGCGGCAGTGCTCGCGGTGCAAGGCGGTTGCATACTGTTCTGAGGCGTGCCAGAAGGAGCATTGGAGGACGCACAAGACGTCTTGCAAGGCGCCTTCTTGAGGGTCCGTATGCATTTCCTTTGTGCCGAAACTATCGCTCACAAGTTCGTCTGTGTGTTCATAGTCCAGGAGATGTTGGGGACGCGCATGGTCACCATCGACCAGCACCACGCACTAGAGTCTAGGTTTCCTTTTCCCATGTCACTATTCTTGCCAAGTTTCGAATGAAATTCAATCTTGAGTAAGAATTTGCATCTGGCACACGCTTCGTGTATGGAGAGCGGCAGGTACCGCTGCTCCACCAGGCCCGGAACGGTGCCAGGGTTGCCTCAGCTAGGCACCCATCTCATCCAACTCCGCACCTACCGCCGCGACTCTTTACGCCATGCGCTCTGCTTTTGTCGCAGTGGCAGGTTGACCAGTCACCAGTAGACAGGCGCTCATCGATCCCAACCGTGTGCGGGCGGCAACGGCATTGCGCGCGAGGGCGGTGGAGCCTTAGAGGACTCACAGGTCGGAGGTTGGCCGGTGGCGCGGGATTGGGAACGGATCGTTGCCCGCAGTGCGCCGCGACCACGCTGCGGCACTCGCTTGCGCGCGTGCAGGTTCGTGGCGTTCAAACGCGTCGCGCGTCGTGAGGCAAGGGGAGGGATGAGTTTCGGGACACACGCCCGTCCCGGGGTCGCGGGAAGGCGTCGTCCTTCGAAGCGAGTCGCATGCACACTGATCCGTAGGTATTCCAGAAGCCGCTGGCGAATCGCATCCCTGCCCCTTTCTAATGTACAAGCTTGATGGTCGTCGTACACCTTCGCAGACACACGCCGTGCGGGTCTGCCGCCCGCTGCGTCTCCGTCGAAGCCCTGGGTCTCAGTTCTTCGGTGCCAGGGCATCGAGCTCCGCCTGGAAGAGCTCTTCCGTGACCGCGCGCCTGAACCACGCCGGCAAACGTCAGCGACGGGAGGCAGGGTAAGAGCAGAGAGTCGGAGACAGCCTCGCCCGGAGGACACGCACCGGATGTTGCCCTTCTCCTTCGTGCGGGGCAGCACGCCCTTCTCGACGACGAACACCTGCTTCGGCTCGAGCACGCGCTCGTGCTGGAACAGCGTCTTGTTGAACTCGCTCGTGCGCGCGAGGACCTCCTTCTTCAGCGCGCCCTTCTCCTCCTCCGTCAGCGGCGGCGCCTCGCGCGGGACCTCGACCGCCCAGAACGCGAGCGGGCGCGCGGTGCCGAGGACGACGACGTCGTGGATCACGTCCTTGCACGCCGAGCGCACGAAGTCCTCCACCGACTTCGTGTCGCAGAACCCGCGCTGGAGGCGGATCCAGTCCCCCGCGCGCCCGCGGTACACCCACCCGTCGAACCTGCGCTCGAAGAGGTCCCCGGTGTGGTAGAACCCGTCCGCGCCGCAGAAGTCGCCCGGGGGGCAGTCCTCCGCGTCCGCCGGGATCGCGCACTCGAAGAGCTCGACCCCCTTCGCGTCCACCGAGCTGGCCTCCGCCGTCTGCGGGAGGAACACGGGGCGCGTGCCGCGGATCGGCCGCATCGCGCGGTCCGCGGGCGCGGACCCCAGCCGCGACCACATCAGCGGCCCGGTCTCGGTCGTGCCGTAGGAGGTGTTGATGTTCAGCCCGTGCGCGTACGCCCAGTCCTCGTCGTCCTTGTTCAGCGCGACGCCGGTGTGCGTGATCTGGTGCAGGGTGAGCAGCGCCCCCTCGAGCTCCGGGTCCGCCATCGCGGGCCGGAGCAGCGCGGACAGGAAGGGCGCGTAGAGGACGAGGATGGTGATCTTGCACTCGCGCACGAGCCCGAGCAGCTCCGCGGGCGGGATCAGCATCGACGACGACTGCGCGACGCACCCGCCGAGGTTGATCGCGCCAATGAGACCTGTGCGGGGCACGGGGTGAGCGCGGTGCAAGGCGTGGGGCGGGCGCGCGGACTGACACTGGTAGGAGCCGATGTTCGCGAGGCTGCCGATGGTGTTGTAGCACACCTGGACGCCCGGGCGGGACGGGAGCTGCTCCTTGGAGAACTTGTGCTCGAGCACCGACCGGAGCATCCGGAACGTGTTTGGGATGATCTTGGGCAGCCCGGCGGTCGTGCCGGACGAGTGGAAGAGGATGGCGACGTCGTCGAGGCGCACCGCGCGGTCCGCGCCGAACGCCCACTCGTCCAGCGGGCGCGCGGCGGCGAGCGTGTCGAGCTCCGCGGGCGCGAGCGGAGAGAAGCGCGGGACGGTCGACGGGTGCTCGGCGAAGGGAGCGGCGAGGGAGGGGTCGACAACGAGGGCCTTGCCGCCGCCGCGCTCGAGAAGGAGGAGCACGGAGTCTGCGCTCGGGAAGTACCCACCAAAGAACTGGGGCACGAAGCCGAGCGCGGAGAGCGCGGTGGAGTTCACAAAGTCGGCGAGTCGGCGGCCGGTGAACCTGCGTAAGGTCAGACGGCCACACAGAGGGGGAGACTGGGGCGACGCACCAGCAACCGACGACATCACCGTGCGTGAGGCCGAGCGGGGCGAGGGCGACCTTCCAGTGCTCCTTGGCGGCGGCGAGCTGCGCGTTCAGCTCACGGTAGGTGACGGTGGGCCAGAAGTCGGTGCGATCGACGTAGGGGCGGAAGACGGCCGCGTCGGCGTGCTTGGCAAAAGCGGCGGCGAGGTAGGAAACGTAGTGGTTCGCGAGGGATGCGTCGTCGGAGGCCATGTTGACGATGGGGGCGCAGAGCAAAGGGAGGACGCGGGGCGAGCTGCACTTGAGATCGCGCAGGCTCGTGCATCCTCGAGGAGAGCGTTAACTGGGCGATCATGCACGCGGCGCTCGGCTGCGATGTTCACCCGCACGGGGTGCGCACTGCGCGTACTCCACGCCCTGCTGCCCGCGAGCACGCCCCCGACATCCGGGCAGCGGATTGAACCATCACTGCCCGACTCCGGCCCCAGCTCGTCAGAAAACAATGATAATGAAAACGGCCGTCCCTCGTCAGAACGCATGCATTTCTGGAAGTGATGGCTTCTGCAGATATCTATGTGTGATCTGCCGCCTCCGAGCGCACTCAGCCTATGTACGGGTACATATTCCAAATACCCTCTACGTGCTCGAAGGCGGCGGAGTTACGATAAAGCAAAGAAGTATATTTGATACAGTGCTCCGTGCGGGAGCCGCGGGAGCGGTAATTATACGTACAAAAAGTGTCTAATGAGCGACAGCAAACGACGACGTCTCCGGTGCCGGGGTATCGGGCACTGGCTGAAGCGATACATTCACCAGGCGCGACCGTCTAGACTCGTCCGAGCGAGCGTCGATACTCAGCCCGACTGCGGGCGCGGGCGCAGCCGCGCCGGCCTTCTCCGCGTCGTCGTCTTCGTCGAGCCTGTCCTTCTTCTCCTTCTCCTTGAGGCCCCACCGGTCGTCCATCTTCGAGTGCAGCGCGATCTGCTTCTGCAGCACGACCGAGAGCGTGCCCGCGGCGCAGAACGCGAGGAGCACCCGCCAGACGAGCTGCAGGCTCGACGCGAACGCGGCGCGGACCTCTTCCTGAAGCGGTGAAGGGAGCGAGGGGATGAGCGGGATAGAGCTGTACGTCAAATCGTGTCCGCCTGGGACCATCGCGATGAATTCTGGGGGAAGTTTGTGCGAGAGATCGTTCTGCAAGATTGTGGCCGAGATTGCAATCGCCCAGGACTGCGCGAGCAGGGTCAGTCAGCATGGGACAAGCGCGGGTGAGGAACGAGCTCACTGAAGTGATTGTGCGGACGAAGAGGAGGAAGGAGAGGGCGGAGGCATTCTGGGTGGGTTCCAGCGGCGCGAGGACCGTGAACGTCGTGGCGTACAGCAGCCCGGCACCGACACCCAGGATGAGCTGGAACGGAACTATTTCTCCCTGGGGAGTCTTCTCATTGATCATGGAGATCAACCCGACCGACAGGAACATCAAGCACCATCCGACCAAATTCTGCAGGGGACGAAGTTCAGAAGCTGATGCAAGACGATGAATAGAAGGGGGCGTACAATGAGGCGGTATTTGCCCGTCTTGCTGATGAGCATGCCTTGGGCGATCGCAGCGGGAGAGATCACAAGTCCCGATGGAAGGGAATAGAGACCGGACATAATTGGGGATGCGGCCTTGGCTGCTTGGAAGTAAGTGGGCCTACGAACGGGTTAGTGCAAGGTTCGATGCGTGCGGCGAGGTCCAAGCCTCACAGGTAGACTGGAGGAACAATCAGCAAGAATCCCGGAACGCGAGGTGACGGGAAACATACAGCCAAGAGCGTTGATCACAAGCCCATGGAAAAATGCGCCCAGGTACCCGCCCAAGCTGGTGCGATTGTTCAGAATTGACAGCGGAATCTGTACAAATTATAATGATCGCATGATGAGCGGACGGCATAGATGGCGCAGGACCCACGACCGGATGTTCAGCCACGTAGGCATCGTATGCAATTGCACAGGGGAAGCCGATCACGCCAATAATGAGCGGGAGGAGGACCGGAGCCGACACCCAGGGGAACTGCACCCCTGCCCAAGTCAGCGCGATGATGCACGACGTCGAGCTGGTGATGATGATTGCGTTGCCGCTGGGAAAGCGGTCAGGACGGGGCTCAGGGAAACGGTTCGTGGACGTACATCCAGTCCATCGACATGAACGCGGCACGCATGCTTTCGACCGGGGGCCTGCGCAGCTGCAGGAACACGGCGACCACGCCGAACGAGATCGCGCAGAGCGGCAAGTTGAGGTCTGAAGGGAGTTAAGGGGCATGGCAGGGGGGACATGTGCGCATACAGGCACGTACAGAATAACCTACGCGAAGTGAGTCAGTTTCATTATTATTCCGTGCGAGCAGGGCGTACTGACCATCTCCACGTGGTGCGCTCAGCAATCACGCCTCCAATAAAGGGACCGGAGACCGAGGCAAAGGCATATGTTCTGATGGCACGAGGATGAGTACGTCATAGGCTGGGGAGTAATGAGTGACTGACGCGTTGGTGAATGCTTGGAAGATACCGCGTTCCTTGAGCGGGATAAGGTCGGCGGTGACGATGGACACCAGGACCTGGATTCCCGCGGCGCCGACGCCCTGAATGGCTGATAAAATGGAGAGATGTTGGGATTGGAGGGGCGAGAGGGAGGTGCGGCGCGGACATACCTCGGCCACCGATGAGGACGTTCATGGACGGGGCAGAGCCAGTGATGGCGGAGCCGATGGCGAAGAGGAGGATGGAGACCAAGAGAACGCGCTGCCGTCCGAAGATGTCGGCGAGACGGCCGATGAGGGGGAGGACGGCAGTGGAAGCGAGGGTGTATGCTGAGGAGACCCAGGCGAAGGAGTCTGTTCCGTCGAGATCATGGATGATCGCAGGGAGCGCGGTGGATACCGAGGCCTAAGCGAGAGTCGGTAAATGCGGGGAAAGGGAGAGAGCGGGGCACGTACGAGGTCGAGCGCGGCGAGGAAGGTGGAGGTGCAGAGAGCGAGGAAGATGACCCAGACGCGCCAGCCCCGCTTGGGGGGAGGCGGGGGCGGGGGGTCAGACGGCGAGCGAGCCTGAGGCGGCTTGGAGTCGGCGTCGGACATGGGACGGACCGTCGGGGGGGAGAGGAGGAGGGGGCGGGGGGCGAGGAGCGCATAGTGTGATATGTAAGGCGAGCGGGCACATGCGGGAGAAGGCTTCGCGCGGGTGCGACTGCCGGATGCATGGCTTCAGACTCCGGAGATGGGAGACTGGGAGGTATCAGAGCTTGGTGGGCGTGGACGCTGTGCTCCGGGCGAGCCTCCATGCGGTCGACGACGACGCGCACGCGGCCGCCACAACGGTGCGACTCTGGTCGGCGCCGTCATCGGCAACCTACCGACCACCCGGTCCGCTAGCCAGATCGGGCAGATGTCCTCGCCGTCGCCGCTATCGCCGTCGGCCCCTCACCTCCAATGCCATCCATGGAGACCTCCCCCTTACAAGCTGCTTTCGTCGTCAACACCTGAAACCCTCCCCTTCACCAGTCCCCAGAGCTCAGACGATGTCCGGAAGAGTATGCGCCGAGGTCTCTGCTTTGGATTTCGTTGGTCCAGGTGCGTCGTCCCTCACCTCTTTCCCTCTTCAGACGACCCCAAGTAGTCTTTTTCAAAGCACCTGTTGTATGCGACCCGGTGTGCATCCATAAGAAAAATGCATTATCGTTCAATATCACGACACGAATGTGATGGCAGCCTCCCTGTACCAAGACCCCAAAGTGCACAGAGCACCCCACCCACATCAGTCGATCAGCATTCTCAATGCTCTCATGACCACCAAGCTCGATGCGGGCGTGCATCAATGGTGTTGAAGGCAGATCGAACCTGTTGTGAGTCATTACCAGCCCGGTGGCACGCAAGCCAGAGAACAGCACATGTGCGAGTGTGCTTTTTTCTGTGTTCCAAGGCGGATAGTCATTGACACTTGTTCTCCCAGGACGGCACTCCAGCATTAAGGGACTCGAGCTTGCTGCTGTTAGCCACTTGTCTGCATCTATGCGCCCAAGACGTTGCCCTGCCGGGTCGCTCAACTTGAATCGTACACACACGAGTTGGACGAGGGCGAACTGAAGCCCCTGAGAGGCACTCTGCGGATGACTCGTGGTGCTCCAAGTGAGGAAGTTTACGGGGGCACATGTGCGAGAATATCTAACGTGCGCCAGGGACTGCAACCGTAAACGCCTCCCAGATAATCACCAGACACCGCGGTCCGAGGTGTCCGTATAGCCATTCGGAATGCGACGGTATCTCGTTTGTCGTCGCCACGCGGCATCATCGTGTCCACCACTCACCCCATCTGTTGTGACAGACTCCCTTTGTCATTCTCCTTTCAAGCGGGGCGCAAGAGAACTGCGGGGTGTACGGGGTCCGCGATGCATGCAGCCGGTCTGCATCCTCAAACTCGTCAAGAGATAGATCCCGGCCGGGATCCCCCTCATCTCTGTCACCCAGCCAAGCCTGGCCAGGGAGCGCAGACTCTGAGGCAGTGAGATCCCACATCCACACCTGGGTCTTGGTTCGGTGATCTACCTGTCGGTCTAACCCGAGTGGGCGCGAGATGAGTTGACGCAGTGCTAGATCCTCAAACAAGACAAGCTCAGTGGCTTGTTTGTCTGATTGTGGGCCGTACGATCGAGAGCGCTAGTGAACATTATTAGGAAGGCCTCTACGACACAAGTCCAAACACCGAGCACAACGCACTGGCGGGCCAGGCGCTCGTCGGTGCGGACACCAAGCGGCAGGGCTGTTGTTCACTACGCCGTCGGTCCGAGTCACGACCCCGCGCGGGTGCGGTCCGCGCGTGATCCCGGTCGCAGTGCTTGCCTGAACTGTACGCACTATGAGTCTGTTCTACACACGTCCAGTCCAGACGGCGGTCACGAAAGGCAACCGTATCCCCGTCCCGCCCGCAACCGCGGTCCTCACGCACTTGGCCCGCGGAGGCAGCTTCGTGGCGTCCCCGTCACCGCACCGAAGCGTATCTGACCGCGGTTGCAGCACTGTGCCCGCGTCTCCCCGTCTCCACCAATCTGCGGTCGGCGGTCGCCAAATCGTCAGGGCAGGACACACAGCCATGGCGGGCTCGACCAAAAACCCATTCCGCGAAGCGTACGTACAGCAGACATCGCTTAGAAGGACCTCGTGAACTTGTCGTCCACCGTCACTCCGGTGCACCGCACCGAACCACACCGCACCCGCAACGGCCGATCACAGCACGTACCCGAACCGCGCGTCCTCGTCCCCAAGCACCACGAGGTCCCCCCCGTCCCCGTCCCTGTCCTCGCCCGCCTCGCCGCCTTCTCGCCGCGCTCGGCACGCACGCCCGCGCGCCTGCGGTTCTCGCGCGCGAGCCAGCCGAGGTTGCACGCCGCGCAGAGCGCGGTCGCGAGCTGGAACGCGAGCATCGCCGCCGTCGCGCTCTCGTACCGCGGCGCGGGCGAGAGCGTGCCGAAGAGCCAGACGACGAGCAGCGCGCCGAGGTTCGTCATCGTGACCGTGAACGCGATCGCGGTCGCGCGCCGTGCGAGCGGCGCCGCGTTGTTCGCGACCCACGTCCCGAGCGGCGGGCCGATGCCGAAGCCGCCGGGAACGACGAGGAAGAGGGAGCCGTAGCGGACGGTGTTGTCAAAGGACGCTGGCGGCCGGGGGGCGATCAGCTTCTGGCTGGGCGGGTGACAGGAGCCTGGGACGCACCGAGGAAGACGGCGAATCCGGCGGTGGCCATGAGCGCGAAGAAGATCATGGTCAGCCCGCGCTGTCGGAAGTGGTCGGAGAGGTACGAGGAGAGGACGGATACTGAATTGTGCTGCGTGAGCGAGCCTCGCGTGCATGCGGGCGAGTGTACGTACGCGCGGCCGCTGCAGCGAATGGCGGGACGGACATGAGCTGCGCCTTGGACCCAGACCATCCGAGACCGACGATGATGAGTGGCAAGAAGCTGTTGGATGTCAGCGTTACGATCTCATGTCGGATAATACGTTGAATGTGTGCACTCACTATCCTAGCGCTCCCACCGTGGCCCCTGGGGAACAGAAGGTCGGAAGAACAGAAGCAGCGAGCGTCAGCACGTCGTAAACCCGCGGAGCCCAATTGGGCTTCAAACGCAAACCACACGGACAGAACGCTCACCATTGAAAAACGCCGCGGCGGCGACTAGGAGGACGTGCGGGCGAGTAAACGTCCGTCGGATCTCGGCAAATGTGTACCTTTTGTCCTCTTCGTGCACCAGAATGATTCCGTCCTTGTGGAGGGTACGTACGACGTAGGCCTTCTCCGCCTCCGTCAGCAGCGGAACGCTGATTGGCGAGTTGGGAAGCAGGAAGTAGGACGCCAGCCCGAATAGAACCGTGAAGCAGCCCTCCTGGGAGCCGCTCAGCGCCGCTCGCGGGCCACAATGGGCAACAGGCGGACGCACCAGGATGAATAGCCACGCCCAGCCGGGGCGGCCGCCCACGCCGTCCATCTTGATGATGGCAGCTGCGAGCAGGCCTGAGAACGCGGATGCAAAGGAGGTCGCGGAGAACAGGATGGAAGCCCTATATCACATCGAGCATCAGAATCGAAGCAAGCGCAGCCGCTGCAGCATATTGGCTCACCTGAGCTGCAGCTTGGCCCTAGGGTAGAATGATGCGAGGTACAGACTGATCCCGGGCAGAAGGCCGCCTGAGAAGGGGTGGACGAGATATCTGTCAGGCTGTCCTGCGGGCCATCATGCACAATTTCTGCGCACCTTCAAAAGTGCCGATGAAGAATCTGCATGCGAGAAGACCTCCATATGTGGATACAACGCCTGGAGGGGTCCTAGTCAGAGGGTGCATCGGAAGGAGTTGAGCGGATATAGTGCGTGCCTTGGAGGGCGCACGTGAGTCCCCAGAGTACAGCAAGCGTGGGGAGCAGCCGTCTCGGTCCCGTTATCTACGAAGGTGAGTGTATGGTTCGAACCAGTGATGGCAAATGGAGCTGTGAGAGAAAGTACCTTCATCAAGAGGTTGGTGACGAAGTTGAAGAAGCTATAGGGACTGCCAGCACTCGTTATGGGCACGGATACTCATGGAGAGGGCGCTCGAGGACGGACATGAGGGTGACAGTCAAAGCTATGCTGTACTGGATGGACGATCAGCAATTGATGACGGAGGTGGAATAGCAATTAGAGGGAGTACCTGGGCGGGTGTGATCTTGAGATCGTGGGCGAGGCCAGCGATGTTGGCATTCCCAATATTGCCGCGATCCTGGCAGGGCGGACGGGAAGGGTGAGGGCCAGGAGAGGAGGAGCCGAGGGGCGCTTACAAGGGACGAGAGGAAGAACATTAGGGTGACGACCGGGAGAACAATTACATCGAGTTTGAGCCACACGCCGGTGGGGGGCACCAGATGATCGGGCCGGCCCTGGCTGGGCGAGGGCAGCTTTTCGTCCATTTCGCGGTTCGACGGGTTGTCCGGGACGGTGTCGGCCATGGGGACGGGCGACCTGGGCAGTGTGCGCGCGCGGGAAGGAGCAGGCGACCGCCAGCGGGGCGAGGTCGGATGTGGAGTTATACTTATTATGGGCGGCCGGGGACGCGCGGGAGTGCTTCTTGCGGTGGGGACGCGGTCGCGGACGGGGCGGGTTCGTCGCGCGTGGGCCACCGAGGGCAGGAGGAGAGCGCGCGGGGTCGCTCCGGGCCGGCGCCTGCGCCAATATTCGCACGGGTTCGGGCGGCCGCTCGTCCACGGCCAATCGGGCACATCTCGTCTAGATCTCCTCCTCCCGCCCATCGCACAACCTTGGGTGAATTTTCCAGGCCCCCCAGATCAGACCCGAAGCGAGGGCGTGGTCCCGCCTCCTTCACCCGCATATGTCCCCGCGACCACTCCAGCTCCCGGCCCCGCCATCCAGTGCGCATGCGCGGACAGCCAACCCTGATTGCATGCGGACATGGCACTGAGACTCTGCGGCCGCGCTCTCCGTTTGGCTTTCCCGCCCAGGTCCACGCCTTTCCCCCTTCGGCATATATAGCAATGGCTCTCCCTACGTCACCCCCTCGCCATCCCCTCCGCCTCCTCCCCGACATGGCTTCCACCTCCTCCTCCTCCAAGCAGACCGCCAGTGGCTACTTCCAGCTCACACGCCTCCACAAACCCTTCATGGGCAACACCCTTCTCTTCTGGCCGTGTGGTGATGCTTCTTTGTCCCCCTTCTGTCCCCACCCCCGCTCATTGGATCCGCTCTTTACAGCATGGGGGCTCACGCTCGCTGCACGCGCAACTAACATGCCATTAGACACATACGCGACATACCTCACCGCATTTTTCGTCGGGCTATGCTCGTACATTCCTCGAATTGCGTCCTCAACGACATCTGCGACGTCGAGTACGACAAACTCGTCGGTACGCCCCAACCTGCTTGTCCAGACGCCGTTCTGACCGGCTTTTACTCCAGAGCGCACAAGAACGCGCCCACTGCCGTCCGGGCGCGCATCAATTTCGGGAGCGATCGCACTCTACTTCGCACTACAGCTCCCTGCGGTGCTCATGATCGCGCTCACCAACAAGACAACGTTCGTCTCCTTTCGTCCTTCCTGTTTTAGAGTGTGGTGATGCTAACCAGCCTGTGCGCATCATCATAGAGCTCTTCTTACTTTGATCAGCATGTTCCCAATCCAGGGTCTCTACCCGCTCATGAAGCGCTGGACATACTGGCCGCAAGCCTGGCTTGGTCTGTCCTTCAACTGCGGTGTCCCCGTCGGGTGGGCCTCCGTCACCGGCCAGTACCCGCCCCCATCGGTGTGGCTGCTCGCGCTCGGCGGCACGTGGTGCGTCCGCACCGTTTCCGCGCCTCACTCGCTTGCTAACGTTCTGGGCCACGCCCTCACCAGCTGGACCATCTTTTATGATACCATCTACGCCTGCCAGGACCGCGAAGACGACAAGCGGGTGGGCATCAAGTCCACCGCGGTCCTCTTCGGGGACCGCGTCCGGGCGATCCTGACGCTCTTCGCCGGCGCGTTCGTGCTCTGCCTCGCCGTCGCCGGCGCCGCGCTCGGCCACGGCGCCGCGTACCTGCTGCTCTCGTGCGGCTGCACGCTCGCGCACCTCGGCTGGCAGCTCTGGGTGTGGGACGACAAGGACGTGCGGGACAGCATGCTCAAGTTCGAGGTGAGTCTCCGCGCCGTCTCTGATCACGCCCGCGGCCCTTCCCGGGATCGCTTGGCTGCGAGGCGCAGGCGCGGACGCTGACGGCTTCCCTTCTTTCCGCCCGCAGTCGAACGGCTTCCTCGCGGCGGTGATTTGGCTGGGCATGTTCGGCGACTATCTCTCCGGGGCGGCGCGGTCGTTCGCGCTCTGAGATCTGAGCTCGCGCGTGCGGATAATTATTCAACCCTACTTTACTTCACCCGGCACCGGGACACATACTTAGACTGGGTGTACGCTCTCTGTATGTATATAGCGCCGACCATGTGGACTTTCGCCGGTACAGATCACGAGCACGGGGCACGCCTGAGCCGCGCGCACGTCGATTCCTTATCCCCGAGCGCGTGTGGAAGCCGCGAACGTGCCGCGCCTGGGATGCACGCACAGTGCACACGGTCTGATCCTCAGAAATCATCCTCTCCCGCATCTGCAGGGCGGACGTGAGCATCAATGACGCGCCTCGGGTGTCGCAAAAGGGTGTCGGGCAGCTGCCCATCGGAGACGGCACGCCGTGCGTCGAACAGAGTGCAACCTGCGGGTTCGAGCTTGGAGCTTGAATGAGAGGATCCGCGCACGCGCGAGGTCTCGGACATCAGCACGGGGGCCCGCGCCGGGATCTGTAGAGCTGATTGCTCGCAGAGCTATGCCCGACGGGGGCGGCTCGCAATTAAAGACTTCCGTCGAGGCGCACGCGGGAAGCTTGATAGTCTCCCCTCGGCTGTCCTTCCATCAGAATGCGTCTGGGTGCGCAGTCACGATCATTTTGAATATCATCCTGAACACGCACACTCGGCGAAAACGATGGTGTGAGGTACCCACTGAGCATGCGTGGACTGCCCTGGCCGCGCAGATATTTCGGGCAGCATGCTGATGGTCGCAATTGTGCGGTAAACGTGTTGTATGGGCCGTCGAGGCTGAGTTCCGCATGCTGGACTCGTACAGCGAGCGCAGGCTAGGATAAGTCCACTGCTACCTACTGGTACAGGCGCGCGGGGCCGGGAACACCGGCCGGGAAACGCCGGACTGGGAGAGCTGAGGAGCGCCCATGACCGCGCCTGGCCTCCTCCTCCTCTGGCGTGAAGACCAGGATCCGTGCGCACGACCGCGGACGCTCCCGTCACCCGCACTCACGCTGTTTCAATATATCAGCCATCACTACACGCTCTCCCACCATCGCGCCTCGTCGCGCTCGCCAATCCACGCCAGTGCACCTTGCAACACAGCTCGCTTCCCTCCTTTTGTGCGCAGTGCCCCGTCTTCCCCACCCTGCGGCGCCTCACACGCGTAAAGGGTCGGCCTAGGGGATCTATTCTGGTGTAAACCCGCCTTCCGAGCCATTCGCGGAGCCGCCCCGTGCGTTTGCCCTCAAAGTGCCCGTTCCGCTCCAGTCTTCCTCGCTCCGAGCACCCTTGTGAACCCTCTCGGCCGCTTGGCTCACACCCCGCCATGTCTCCCGTTCTCTATCTGCTCGCGTTATGTCTCTTTCTCCCACTTTATCCCATTGTCAAAAAACTGTACAAGCAGCGATGCCTTGCAGCCCTCCCGGGTCCCAAGTCCACATCTGTGCTCTTTGGTACGTCCATTACGTCCTCTCTTCCCAGTGCACACCCCCCTGCAGCATCGCACCCAGCGCACCACACTCACTCCGTTTCTCGAAGGTGTCGCGCGCGAGATGTACGCGCCCTTCAGCATGCCGTTCCGCATGAGCCTCTACACCGGCTTCGGGCGCGTGGTCAAGATTCCCCTCTTGTTCGGAGTACGTCATCTTATCCCCTCCCTTTAGCTTCATGCACCGACGCTGACCGTTCGTTTGGGGGTGTGGTGCGCGGTGACAGGAGTATGTCCTCGCCGTCTCGGACCCGGTCGCCCTCGCAGCGCTCCTCAAACACGACACCACGTTTGAGCTGCCAGACTTTGTTCGCGAGTAAGCGCTCTAAACCCAATCTTACGGCAACGCACCGCGTGGTCCAAAGCCCACTCCGCTGACCTCTCCATCTTAGGATGACATGGGTTACCTGGGGGCCCAATCTTGTCGCAGTCAGCGGTCAGCAGGCTTCCGTGCCCAACGGCTTCTCCGTGCTCATCGTTGCCACATGCAGGAGATGAGCACCACAAGCAGCGCAAGATGCTCAACCCTGCTTTTTCTGTCGCGCGACTCCGTACTTTCGTCCCTGACATCAACGCAGTCAGTCAACTGGTGGGTTCTCTCTATCTCCTGAGCGCGGAACTCTGCGCTGCTGACCGTAGCACCACAACTAGCTCGTGGATACCCTCAAAACGTACACCACCAGCGGGACCGCAGAGGTCGACGTGTCTCAGCTGTACTCCGGGTTTGCGCTCGAGTGCACCGGACGCACCGGCCTCGGACAATCGTTCGGTCCGCTGACGGAAGATGGCACCCCGCACAGTCGTGCGCTCAAAGAGTTTGGGTTTGTCTGGAACACATCCTCGCGCACATAGACGGAGGGCTCACGATCGCGTCAGACCCACGATATCCAAACTGCGCATGTTCGTCCCCTACATCCCCTGGGCGCGACGAACGTTCCCGAGGTCGTGGCTTGCCTGGGCCGCCAAACACGCTCCGATCCGTGCTGTCCGCGACACGTACCGGATCTCCGAAACGGCGTTTGCATCCGCCGCCGAGATCTATAACGAAAAAGCGGGAGACGTCTCCGATGGGACTGGAAAGGACCTCATGAGCATCGTTGGTATGTATGAACGTCGAGCCTGCCTCGAGCTGTCCTGGATTGATCACTATCACCGAACACACTCACACAGTTCGTCAAAACAAGCTCGCTCCTCCCGCGGATGCCCTCTCCAAGGACTCCCTGATCGGCCAAATATCGTGAGACCTTGCTCTACCCACGCATGATACCACATCGACTTACGCTTCGCGGTTCCGCCCTCAAGCATGTTCTTCTTCGGCGCGACCGACACGACCTCGTCGACGCTCAGCCGCATCACGGAGCTGCTCGCGACGCACCCGGGTGTGCAGGCGCGGCTGCGCGAGGAGATCACGGAGGCAACAGAGGGCGCGGGGAAGGCGCTGGTCGATTTCGACTACGAAGCCTTCGGCTCGCTGCAGTACCTCGACGCCATCATCCGCGAGACGCTGCGCATGTGAGTCCCGTCCCGTGCGGTCTTTCGTGAGCTTTGCGCTCATCGGCCCGCGCGCCGCAGGTACCCGGTCTTGCAGGGGTCGAACCGTATGTGCGTCGCCTTCCGTTTCGCTCTGCTCTCGCCGCCAATACTGACTCTCCTTCCCCCCGCTCAGGTCCGACGTCGACGCCGTCCTCCCGCTCTCAGAGCCCATCGTCGGGACCGACGGCAAGGCGATCACCGAGCTGTTCGTCCCCGCGGGCACGCTCGTCATCGGGAACAACGTCGGGTACAACTACGACACCGCGATCTGGGGCGCGGACGCGCACGAGTGGCGGCCCGAGCGCTGGCTCGCGCCGCTCCCGGAGAGCGTGACGGACAACAAGGCTCACGGAATGTATTCGTACCAGTACGTGCCGTCTCGTGATTGGGGGTGCCGAAGCTGACGTTACGGTCTCGCGCACCAGCATGGGATTTGGGGGCGGCGTTCGAGCGTGCATGTAAGCGGTTTGTCGTCCTTTCCGAAACGTTGCGACTGACGGCTCTCGCCCTAGTGGATACTCGATGGCTCTGATCATGCTCAGTGAGTGGAATCGGTTCCGCGCACTCGCTAGTACCGTGGACTGACTGTGGGTACAGGAATCGCGGTCTCACACTTGATCATGGCCTTCAAGCTCGCTCCGTCCGAGAAGGAGATCGTCTGGCGCATGGCAGGCGTGCTCTCGCCCACCGTGAAGGGCTCGACGCTGAAGCGACCGACGATGCCCGTCCTCCTCACGCACATTCAATAGTTACACGTGAGCGCCTTCAGCCTATCGCTTCTTGTTTGCTTCATATTCTACTTTTCCGTGTATTTGAATACGCTTCGGAACGCTGGAGTGACACACGACAGTGAAGTTCCACCCCATGTCGTCACTGAGATAATTCCGTGACGTGCTTGTGGTCGATGTGCCACTTTACCTGGAGCTGCTGGTACTCCTCACAGGTCTCCGTCAACGATAATGTATCAAGCTGTGCATGAATCCGCACCTATGTGCTTTGCTCTCGTCAATATGCAACCGGACGCACACGAAGACTCCCGGACTGGCGGCAGTGACCGGGCGCGCCGGTCGAAAGACGGGAATGCGGGGTTTCGCGCCCGCTCTCGCCCTGAGCATTTCCAAGGTTCACGGGCTCCCGTAAGGATTGCTGCGATCCCTGCGAGAGTATACGGCACTCCCTGGCATCGCACGACCGCCATCTGCTCATTTGCTTGTATCAGATGAACCCTTTGTGCTCTCGGCGTATGGGGGAACACGTCGCCCTCTCACGAATTCTTCTTCGCGCTGATTCCTGCGCAACAGGACTTTATCCACTTCATCGCATTCTTGTCACAACCTTCCTTCGACGCGCAGACGCGCGCAGCGATGAAACTACTTTGGAGACTGATGCCTACACGTAGCGCGCGGGCCCCGCGCGCTTTTGAATGTCCGCGTACGACTCACTCCTCCCTCGATGGTCGCCCACGGGCCGCGGCGGTGCTCGTCTTCTCACCGCTCGTCTTCCCCATCTTAATGCGGCAGGAAGATGGATACCGGCTTTCCAACGCCTTCTCGCGACGCTGCGCGAGTCGCCGGGATGTCCGCGCGTGCCTCTTCCCGCTGAGTTCAGGAGTGCCAAGAGCTGTGTCCAATACAAAGCTCTGCGGATATAACCGCTTGTGCCGTCCTTATACCATCACCTAAGTATCATTTCCGTCCTGGGGGGCCTTACATAGCGAACGCAACACGGCCATCTGCTTGGGACCTTCTAGTACGGATGCATCGCCACTGAAACCTGTGAGGTGCACCGCCCCTCCTCGGAGGACGTGTTCGCAGCGCTGACCCCGTGCTTCCAGGTGTATGCTTTGTCTACCTCCCGCGCTACGTGCCCATATGACGGGACACTGGCCGCGGGGCCAGCCTGTGGCCTGCCGGTCTGGCTCCCGGCGCTCGCCGGTGCCGTGATCCTCATGCTTGGGCTCGGGATTGCGTTACCTCTAGATCTCTTCTCTGTTCTACGCTTCGTGCGCTCTCTGACCGAATTTCCACGGATACAGGACATAGTTACCAAGACCGTGGCTACCAGTTCGCAGTACCTGAATGACCGCCGGACGCTGTTCTGAGCGAGGCTGTGCCGGGTCATGGGACTTGCGAAGATGGGGATGACGTCATGTCTCATGTCGTTAGCGCGGACCGGGCTCCTCGGGCTGGTCTCCCAAGACTGCTTCCAACACACTCCCCTCGCCTGGTCTGGCGGGCGAGAGACTCGCGGCGAATCCTCCGTGCCAGTGGAGCACGAAATGATATCTAAGGCGGCCGCTGCTTCGCGTGAAGCTCGACATCGAATGCTGCGACAGCGGCGAACAACATCCTGTCAAACGGAGCGCACAGTTCAGACAAACCCGGCCACTCACAAATAGCACTTCTTCTCACTACAACCGCTTTCAAATTGGACATCGTCGGCACGGCGCGGGCGATCTGGGCCTCGGTCTCGCACTGGGCCTGTGCAGGAACCCACATCATTTCACGCTGCAGTCGCCGTGCGCGTAGCTTTCTCCAGATGCGAATTTTCTCGACCACATTCTGTTTTCCCTTCCGTAGTCCAGGGGGGAGGGGGGGCTCCATAGCACTCGAAACCACAAAGGCACGTATTCCCCTGAACGAAAAAAAATTAACAAGACGGCAAACGCGTGCGCCCCCTGGGCCCTGACGGTCTTCTTCACCATCACAAGAGCACATTACGCGGTTTTGTCGGAGGCTCAGGACAGGGTCGCAATGGCTGATCTCCTCTCGCCATGGGAAGCGCGATCGCACGGCGCGGCGCGGAACTGCCCGACGCCTGGCGAGCCGCGACGTCCGCACAGTCCCGACGGCTGACGACTGACGACGGACGTGACCGCGTGCGGGCGATCTGGAGCCCGACTCCATGCATGCGTGTAAGCACCCGTGTGGCATGGCACCGCGCATCGGCGGGGCCGGACGGTGCCGTCGGCAATGCCCCGCACTCGACGGACGGACTGACAGGCGGGCGGGGGCGTCGCGGGAGACGCGGAGATAGTGAAGGGGCCCGTATACACCATTGAACCACTGGAGAGACTGGGAAGAACGAGGCACTATTAGGCTACAAGTTTTGTTCTGCGCCCTCGGGCCCGGTCTACGCACGCGGGCGGGGTGTTGGGGGCCACGAGGGCGGACGGACGGGGACTACAATAGCGAAGGAGAGAGCCCTGGACGGGCAGGAGCGCACAGGGCACAGGATGTACAGACAGACAGCGAGAGGGAGGGAGAGAACGAACGAGATCCAGGCTGGGAAGTGTGTCCGTGTACTAGAGAGCGACGAGGGTGGAGTGTCTACCAGTCCGCGCGGGGCGAGCAGAGTGAGGGAAGGGGGAGGGGGAGCCTAGACGGCGTAGTTCGAGTCCTCCTTGAGAGGCGAGCGCGGGATGTCGTCCGTCATCGCGTACGGGTGCTGGACGCGGTCGATGTGCGTCGTCCGCTGGAGATCGATGCCGACCTCGATCGGGGCGCCGCCGCCGCGGGAGGTGAGGCCGTCCGGGCGCCCGGCGGTGCTGCGGAAGCGGATCGAGGCGAGGTTCGAGCCGAGTCCGTGCTGCGGTCGCTCGGCTTCGAGCGGAGGACGAGCATCGTGAAGATTAGCGCGGTCAGAGGGGGGAGCTGGTGGGGGCGCGTGCCGAGTCAGCGCCTGGGCGGGAAGGTAGGGGAGGAGAGAGGGAAGACGCACAGCCTCGAGGAAGATGAAGAAGATGTTGCTTCCCACAGAGGTGCAGACGATACAAACGAAGACGAAGGCACAGTAGATGACGGCTGGGAACACAGATGGTTAAGCCACAACTTCCTGTACTGGGCGAAGCACGCGCGACGTACCAGACTCGCTGATGATGAAGATGACCCGGCGGGTGGGGCTCTCGCGGAAGTTGTGGGAGTGGGTGCGCTTAGAGATACTCCAGATCCTGTAGCAAATAAGAACTGCCGATGCACGGGTTAGTGCCACGCAGGTAGAAAGGCGGCTAGGGGGACTCACGAGCGCAGAGCGCGTTCAGAACGAAGGTGAGGATGAAGAAGTAGCGCACGCGCTCGGATACCGCCGCGAAGATGAGCACGCCCGAGTTCGGGGAGTTGGTCTGCGACTGGGTCCAGATCGACCAGCTTCCAACAGCTGGGAGGGAGGCATGAGCTTCGGCCCTGATGTGTGTAGTGCTGGAGAAGACGCACCGGTAGCGGCAAGACACAATCCCGCGGGGACGAGAATGATGGGAATGTTGCCGTTCCAAATCACCCAAGTGCGGTAGACCTGCGAGCGGGACGGACGTGAGGGATAGAAGAGCGCGTGGACGAAAGATCGCACGGACCATGATTGTGTCTGAAATGAACTGAAGGACACCGGTGAGTGCCCCCTTGGTCACAGCGAGCGGGGTACCGGCATGACGATAGAATGCTGCGGGGTCGACGACCTTGCCGGGAGCGATGCTGTACGCCTGGTAAGCACGGGTCATTTCGACGACGACGTCCTGAGGGGCATAATGCGCGGGTGAGTACGCGAGACGGGAACGGAGAAGCAGACCGAAGCACTGACTGCGGTGGTGATGAGGAAGATGGCGATGCAGGCGACGGGGAGGAAGAGCGAAAGCCCGTCCTGGCGGTGCTTGTCGCGGAGGATCTGGTAGCATTTGGGGAGGTAGGCGAAGTACGCGCCTGGACGGAGAAACAAGGCGGGTAAGCGCGGGGGGCACGTGAGCGGACGCGCGAGCACGCACCGGTCCCAAACATCTGCAACCACACGCCGATGAGCAGGGCATTGGGCTGGAGGAGAGCCATTGCTGCAATGGGCGGCGCGCGGGGTGGTTGAGATTGGTGTCGCTGCGAGGGGTGGCGGCGAGCAACCCGGGCAGGGTCCGTGTGCGGCCAGTCTTATAGTGCCTTGCGATGTCGCGCAGAGGCCCGCGCGGTGGACCAGGTGCGGGGGCATGGGCGCCTGGCGGATGATCAGGCGTGATGGTCGACGCCCTCGCCCGGCGTGGGCCGGCGTGGGACTCGGGAGAGATCAGAAGAAAGGCCCGCGCAAAGGGCGAGATTGATCGAACGCGGCTGCATGGATACGTCCAGGGCCGAGGGGGGATGCCGTACGGCGAGGTACGATCCACCGCGCGTCGAAGCGCAAAGGTCCCAGTTCATTCATCGACTCGGACGGCGCGGTCGAGCTCAGTCGAGACGCGGGGAGGGATATTGCGCGCTCGCAGCACCCCGCGACCCGCGCGCGATGATTGGCTGAACAGTCAAGTTCTGGACATCGGGTAAGTACGCGCACTTGCCCCCGTCCGGTGTCCACTTCTCACAATGATAGCCACAAGCGAGAACAGCAATGGCCGCCCGCCCAGTCGCCCTTGCCCAGCTTCTCATCCTTCCCCGTCGTGCGCGATGGTGTTTGAGCCGAGGAAAAGCCACTGCGGGATGGCGGCGCGCTTTCCCTGCGCGCGATCCTCGCCACGGACGACGTCCATCAAGACGCCTTGACTCTTGGTTCGGAACGGCCTCAGCCCATTCGATCAACCGACGGAGGAGCGCCCGCGCATTGTCGTCGGGCTGCCGATGATAGGATGCTCGAGACCGGCGTCGAAAGTTCCCGGGCCACGATCCGCACTCAGATGCTGAACAGCTGGAGCGCGCGCACGAGCTGAAGGTCGTCGGAACGGAGAGCTTAGCGTGAATTGCAGCTTGCGGGATAATTAATTGAGCTTCTCTTGGAACATACCCGGTCCCTGAGTCAGGTCTAGTGTTTGCAGGCCCGCGAATTAAACGTCTCATGTGGAAAGGGCATTGGCGGTAAGTCGTCGGTGTTCATGAATCCGAGTTCAGGGGTGGGTTCAAGGTGAGGAAGGGAAGCTCGGAGCTGATGCTGATCCCGTTGGCCGCCAAGCCGCGCCGTCCCGGTGCGGACGATGCCCAAAACAAGCGCGCCGCGCCAACGGCATTGTGGCGTTGCACGGCTGGCCACGTAGCTCACCTTAGCTCACCCACCACCACTGCCCAGTGCCGGACGCTGTCGACGCGCTTCTGGATCATCTCCATCGCCCTCTGCTCCGCTTCGCTACACCTACTCCAGGCATCTCACGGTTCACCCACCCACAGTCCTCGGTCTCCACCGCACTGCCGTCCATCATCCATCATCTCAACGGCTTCGACTCTTTCGCTTCGATTTCTCCCCCGCCATCCCCGCCGTCGCCATGTCCTTCTTGTCGCCATCGTCGTCCTTGCCGCCGGCTCCGCTATCTCCACTCCCATGGTGATAGCAGGACCAAGTATGCATTCTCCCATCTCCCAGATCTCTCTACACCTAAACGCAGCTTGCAAATGTCCAGGGACTTGGCAGCGGATCCATGCAGGTCCTGGTTCCCATAGGAATTGCAGATTTGGTTCCGCTTGGAACCGGAGGCGTCTTCCAGTCTTTCACAAATTGAGTTGGTAGACGCTGGCAGGGGCCACCGGGCCGTTCGTCGGAGAAGCAATAGTCCAACGTCGCCTCAGGAATTCTGCGAGGTATCATCATCGGCAGGACTGGAAATTATTGTCATGTGTGGCGACTGCCACTCTGACCCTCCGGTACGATGCCATCGCTCACATAGTGTGCGTAGAACTGTGCCGGTTGGTGTTTGCTGCTCATCCGCTTCTCAGTCATAGTCATCGGGCATCTCTATGTCAGCCGCGATACTCCAGGACGAGCCCGCAGCGCGGCTCCCGATCCCGAGCATTCTGCGCCACCGGGAGCGTCAGCGTCGCGCTGCAGAAGCATATCGCCCTGCACTCGAAGATGGACCACCGATGGGGGCTCGAGAAGAGCAAGGACCAGAGTGCGAGCGCCGACACCGACGACGCGATGGACCCCGAGAAGGTGCGGGCACCGTCGAGGGTAGTGGGGTTAACCCCGCCCTCACCCTCGCTCTCAGCACTCGCACGGATGGGTTGTAGCATACCTCCTAGGAACTGTATCATCGCACCGACTGAACTATAGTCTGTAGACTTCGCGACGGGTCAACGCCCCAGATCCCCTCTGCCAGTACCACAAGCGTGCACGAGCGAGCTGTCCCTGGCCTCGGTCCATGAGACCAGGTACTCCCGTCGCGCCGTAGTGATGCGCTCTTCGGAGTCGCAGTGCATGGGCTCCCGATTCGCCAACTTCACGACCTACACGCATGCGCGCTCGTCGGTCCTCATGGAGCATGAGGCCTTGAGGCTTGAAACTTGGCCCGCCGTCCATTTTGGGTTCAGTCCGCGATGTGATCCCCGCATGCGTTGCCCACGTGACGTGCACGGCCTCCATGATCTCACACCTCTCACATATACGACAACAGGCGTGCGGGATGTCGCTGGTACGCCCATGCAGGAAACCTTTCAGCCGCCCGCTCGACGAGGACAGACGAATGGCGGCGTGGGTAGCAGTAGCAGTCGGCGTTGTGTTTGCATTGCCACCGCCTCGAGTCTCCGTCCTCACTTCGTTGTCTGGAGACTGTTGTCGCGGGCATGTCTTGCATGCTACCCGCGGGGTTAGCATCCGCGCCGCGCGCTTTCTCGACGCGGCGCAGACGCGATGCGTTGTGGAGTGCGGCGACTACCCGAGCGCGGGTGCCGCTTCCCCCGCCTCCCCGTACCGACGGCTCTGCCACGAGCGCCGCCGGAGACGGTGGGCGTCTCTCCGATGGAGCGGTGCCTGGACGCGCGCGCGCGAGCCGCCGTCTCGCAAACGTTCGCCACTGGGTAGGTTCGCTCGTGGCTAAACCTAGAAGGTCTGACTGCTGAGAATCTGTGCCGTTCAGTGGCTCGCTGTGTGCAATCTTTGCGGGTAACTGCTCCTTGCGACAGGCACTCCGAAACGCTCGCACTTGCACTGAGTCGCCCTGGACAGCGGCTATCTACAGGTCCTCAGCCTCTAGAGCATTGACGACCTGCCCAGCCCGGGCCCTCCTCGGCCATGTACGTGTCGAGGTTTCATGTCTAACGCCGATCCCAGAGGGCTTACAGAGGCATCGTGTACGCGTCTCGCTCGCGTACCTACAGCCTGTCGTTTGATGGTATCCAGTAGCCTGAGTCCGTCCTGAATATATCAGCACGCGAGGCCCTTCACCGTGAAGAATGTTGACAAAAACACACTCTAGCGGTCGGTGAGTCCCGTCGACGGGCATAGCGGCTTACAACGCAGACAAGAATATCACGGAAGGGGCTCAGAGGCGATTGGGTATCTTGTGCTCTTTCAATCACAAACACAGAACCGGCTCGTTGTGCAGCGCGGGAAGATCAAGAGCATTTTTCCTCCCGACGCTGCCGCCAAGGTCGCTCGATATCATAACTTCAAATTCATAAGTACTAGCAGCACGACTCCCAGACTCAAGGCACACCCTAAAAAAGCAGCGTGAGCGCGTAGCGCCGCCGGGCCAAGCTTCCGTCCGCTCTCACCCCGAGCCTGCCAAAACTGAACCACCCATCAGAGCGAACAGAAGCGCTTCTGTCGCGCCCACAAGTCGACGACCACCGTGGGGCGTCGATCGAGCACGCTGGGCTCGATAGGCTCCATTTAGCCGATTCGAACTCCGCAGCCGTTTGTCCAGCCACCGAGTCCGCCTTCAACGTTCGCCCGGCCGATGAACACGCTACCCATCCACTCGATCCACGCGGTCCGCCCCGGGTCTGCATAAACCCCCGCGGCCGTCACATGTTGCACCATGGCCGCCGGCGCGGGCCCGGTCAGTGTCGCTCTTTCGGCGCTACCATGTGTGGCACGAGGGCCGGCGGCATCCCAGTCCCGACTCAACGCGGCCACGGTCGACGTTCAGACATCGCGCTCGCGGCTCGAGCCGTCCGGGTCCGGTCGCATGTGCTGGAGATCTCTGCACGGCGCCGCCGCCGGGAGTCGGGACCTCGATCGATGATGCGAATCGCGCGGCCCGCTCTTCGCCGGGGTCTCACTCGCACTGCTGGTGGGCGCGCGCGCGAGACACGCACCCGATCGTCCGCTGCAGCCTGAGGACTGCGATGAGCGGTCCCCAGCGGGGCTCGGAGCAGTCAGGTCTCGGTGCCCTGGCACAGATACCTGAACTCGAGGACGTCGCCAAAACTACACTGGAGGCGACGAGCGAGACGGCCCGTGGGGCCCGTTTACGCGGATCCCGAAGGGCGGGGGTGCGAGCAGCGGATCCGGCTCTCTCTGTCGCTCAACGGGCTCGGCTCTGCGATAGGTGCGAGGCTGCGCGCCGCGGAGCCTGGAGGGGGTCCGGACCGGAGCCTGGTTACAAAGTTAAGCTCAAGCTCTAACAGCGAGCATGCCGATCGGGCTTCACGCCCGAGCTCGCCGAGTCGCCGAGCCGACTTGGTGCTCGATGTTGCCACTCTGTTGACTCGGTGTCCATGTACCTGATAACAACGCCTGATTCCGAGCAATACAGTCGGAGTCCGAGCGTTCCCAATGCTCGTCAAATTCAGGGGCATGTCGAAGTCCCGTTCGCGTTCGCGTCTCAGGTGGAGGGAGGTCAAAACGTCTAGCGACGTATCAATTAGACCGGGGGGTACATTATTTACATGGAAGCTAAGGAGAGGACCGGGAACTAGCTAACGGGCGGGAGACTACGTACATGCATCATGGATTCGTGGGGGTCGATCGTGCACCGGAAGACAACAACAGCCTCTCTAAACCACACACACAAAGTCGCAGAGCGTAACGAAAACGGGAGACGAGAGCGGACGGGGCGCGTTACATCACGAACTTGTACCAGATGGAGTCGTCGCCGGCCTCCATGACGGAGCCCTCGCCCTTGTACGGCTCCGAGCCGCCGTGCTCCTGCTGCAGGCGCTCGTTGCGCTTGTTCTGCGCGCTCAGGTAGAAGATGTTCGCGACCGCGGCGAGCACGGTCCCGATCTGGAACACGAGCAGCGTCACCTTCGCGGTGTGGTACGTCGGCGAGGGCGAGATCGTGCCGAAGAGCCAGGTCGAGAAGATCGCGCCGAAGTTCGTCGCGATGGTGCCGATCGAGACCGCGGTCGCGCGGCGGGCGAGCGGCGCGGAGTTGTTGGCGAGCCACGTCCCGAGCGAGGGCGCGATGCCGAAGACGCCGGGCGTGAGGAGGAAGAGGGAGCCGTAGAGGGTGTGCGCGGGGAGCTTGGCGGTGAAGATGCCAAAGCCGATCGTGGCGAGGGTGCCGAAGCCGATCATCGTCAACCCGCGACGGGCGAACTTGTCGGACAGGATGGAGGCGGTGATGGCCACTGTGCGGGACGTCAGTCGCAGACCAACGAGAATAGCGAGGGAGGGTACGCACGGAAGGCGGCGACGGCGAAGGGCGGGACGGTCATGAGTTGAGCCTTTGAGCCAGTCCAGCCAAGGCCGACGATGATTTGGGGCAGGAAGCTGCAACGGAATCAGTCAGGGTGCGACAAGGGCAAGAAGTCGTACTCACTATCCGAGCGCACCGACGGACGAGCCGTTGAAGAAGCCGGCGAGGGTGACGATCCAGACGTGCGGGCGCATGAAGGTACGGAAGACCTCAGCCTTGGTGTACTTGAGGTCGCGCTCCTCGGCGAGAATGATGCCGTCCTTGTGGAGCTCCTGCGCAATGTACTTCTTGTCCTGCTCGGTGAGGAGGAAGATGTCCGTAGGACTTGAAGGGAGCAGGAAGTACGAGAGCAGACCGAAACCTATGGAGATCACGCCCTCAATGATGAAGAGCCACGCCCAGCCTGGACGGCCACCCATGCCGTGAAGCTTGATGAGTGCGGCAGCGAGCAGGCCAGAGAACGCGGACGCCAACGTAACCGAGGAAAGTACGACCGAGGCGCGGGCCTGGAGGCGGCGCCGGGGGTAGAAAGAGGAGAGGTAGAGGGTGATGCCGGGGAGGAGACCTCCCTCGAACAGGCCGAGGAAGAAGCGGCACGCGAGGAGACCACTGTATGACGTGACCACGCCTGTGTTCTGCGATGAGCGATTGCACGCGCGTCCGTGAGAGATGGACGACGTACCCTGGAGAGTAGCAACGAGACCCCAGAGGATGCAGAGCGTCGGTAGCATAACGCGAGGGCCGATGATCTTCATCAAGAGGTTGGTCCCGAAGTTAACCAGAGCGTAGGGACTGTAGAGAGAAATGGTCGTGAGCGCTCATTAGTATTGACATCGACTTGGGGGTAAGTTCAACACTTACACGAGCGTAGTTGTCAGAGCAATGCTGTACTGTCTCGGGGTCATTTTCAAGGCCGTGAGAAGACCAGCGATAGACGCATTGCCGATGTTGGATCGGTCCTGGGAGTTGCGCAAGGATTAGCACAGGAGCAGGCGGAGAGGGACGGAGAATAGGAGAACTCACGAGGTTGGAGAGGAAGAACATGATGGTCACCACCGGCAGCACGACAAGATCGAGCTTGTACCAGACATTGTCATCACCGTCAACATGATCTTCGACGAAGGACTTCTCCTGGTCGGGCACGAACGACGGCGCGTCGTCGTGGCCCTGGGAGGAGGTCTTGCGGGGGCTCTCAGAGGAGGCGGACATGGCGGGACAGGAACCGGTGGTGGACCGCAAGAAGGATCGACGGCAGAAAGGAAGACGGAGAAGGTGCTTTTGAGGCTGGCCGGGCAGCGCCGTTTAAAGGGCGCGAAGATGGCGGACCTGGCGGGTTTTGAGCAAGGCACGGATGGCGGCGGAGGACTTGTCAATGTGGGCTAGAACCAAGACCTGGGAGAGAGACGAACTGAGTTCGGTGGACGAGGGTACCGACCCTCCCAGGCACCGTTGCGGCAACGGGCACGCGATGGTCGCATCTGTTGGTGTGGGTAACGTAAAGAGAGGAGGAGAGCGCAAGGGCTGGGAATCCGCGTGGGGGCGCACATGCCGGGGCCATCAGCCCATCGTCTGGATCGGGTGTCCACGGCTGTCCCATCATCTCCCGCGCTTGCTCCGGGTCTATGCCGTTTCGCGTCTAGCAGTCGTCCATGATAGCCGGCCAGCGGTCGAGGTACCGCGGAGAGACAGCGTGTTGGAAAAGGAGAGCGCAATTCACTGACATATCAATCGCCGCGCAGACATCTCCTTCGTCCGCCGAGCGTTTGATCATCTGCCTTTCATCCAAGGGGCGAGAAGTGGAAGCAACGCTCGACAGCCCCCGTCAGATGCCGCAGACCTGTCGACCTCGTGGATATGAAGGTTCTGCGAGCAGATAGCCGCACGGAATCACTGACGACGCGGTCCGAAGGGCAATGCCCATCGGGCGCCCATCTTTGCGCGGTGTCAACGGGCCACGTGCGGCGTGGACATGCCTCAAGAACAGACTGTCAGAGAAAGCGGGCACGCGGGGAGATCACAGGTTCCCCTCCCTCACTTGGGACTCGCCCGCGATGGTGATCATTGATGGATTTAACATTTGCCTTTGCAGTGCAACAGCGCGTGTCGACACGATGAAAGGACTGCACGGTTCTCCTGCTGCAAACAGCCGGAAGAGGGGTGAGCTCTGGTGAGCTACGAGCTCAGAACGGCCGTCTCCGGAGGCGATAAGGGGACACGGGGGTGGCCATCATTCGGGGGCTGATGCGGTCGCGCAACCTTCTGACATTCCATTCGTTCGTCGCGTTCTCGCGGTTCTGCGGATGGGTCTTAGAGAGGTCCGAATCTGGCTCAAGTGTACGTGCACGCAGGATGAGCGCGAAAACACGACGGCGGGTGGGTGTCGAGGACGAGGAGGTGGATGGGCCGCATGGACGCCACATATGAACGTTTCTTCGGCGGGGGCGCAGGTGGAGCGGGCATATGGCGACCGGCGACCGGCAAACGCCACGACGGCCTCGGCAATGATCCAAATCTAGCAATGTTCCGGACCGGCCGGCCGATGAACACTGCGGCCAAAAGTCCCGTCGACTTTGTGTCGGACGACCCGCGTCATGTAGGCTTTAAAACAGTACGTGAGAGGACCAGGGAGTATCGCCTTCAGAATAGCCTTCGCCTTGGTCCTCTGTATATCATACCACAATCGCAGCCAGATGCTACCCACGTCCCCATGTCGTCTGCTGCCCCTGCCCTCCTCGCCCTTTTCATTACGCCCATCCTATTCTCCATTATTCGCTCCCATTTGAAGCACAGATGCCTGAGCAATCTCCCCGGCCCAGAGCCGCAGTCATGGCTGTTTGGTGAGCCTCCCTCGCGTGTTTGGCGCTTTGCACTCCCTCACTTCGTCCGCCCAGGTGTTGCCAAAAAGATGTTTGCCCCGGATGGAATGACATACAGGCTTCATCTCCTCACAGAGTCCGGTCCTGTGGTCAAAATCCCATTCCTGCTCGGTGTGCGCATTCTGAACTCCGTCCATGTCAGTTGATCTGGACTAGTACCAACACCGCTTTCTGTTGCAGAGATCGTCGATCGCCATCTCCGACCCCCTGGGCCTGTGTACTTTGCTTGGAAAGGATAGCACGCCCTTCGATTTCCCTCACTCCTTTGTGGCGTACGTAGTTGTTCTTTCTTGTCCCGGTTAGCTATTAACCCGTTCAACTTCAGAATGAGCCACGCCGTATGGGGTCCCAGTTTAATAGGCGTACGGGGTATGTGTTCTTCATTCTGTGCCTGTCGTCCCTTGCGAGCATACAGTAGGCGACGAACACCGCAAACAACGCAAGATACTCAATCCCGTCTTCTCTGTCCCGCACCTTCGCGGACTTGTGCCCGTCTTCAGTGACGTCGCATCTGAAGTGAGTCGTCTGTTTTGCGCAAACACCCAGCGTCTGCTCAACTTTTCGTCCAGGTCGTTTCGACTATCAACTCCTACCTCACAGGCGCTCCCACCGAGGTCGACGTTTCACAGATTATCACCGGCTACTCCCTCGAATGTATTGGCCGCACCGGCCTTGGCCGCTCTTTCGGGTCTCTCAAGGAGCATGGCACGCCGTACAGTCGTGCGCTCAAGGAGTTCGGGTTTGCCTTCCGCCCACCTGCTCCTGCTCTTGCATATCGTCTAACAGTACTCTAGGCCAACTCTAGGGAAGCTGCATGTCTTCATGGCGTACCTGCCAGGGCTCCGCAAGTGCCTGCCTCTGTCTTGGCTGAGGTTTGGTGCAAAGCACTTTCCAATGAAGGCTATGCGAGACATGCTCGAGATATCGGACACGGTTTACGCCGAGTCTAAGAGGATTCTCACTGAGAAGGAGGGACTCTTAAAAGACGAAGGCGGAAGGGATCTCATGAGCATTATCTGTACGTACTCATATGCATACGTCTGCGTTGTGCTCAGCCCATTGCGTCAGTGCGTCACAACGCGAAGGTGGCACTAGACGAAGTTTTGTCCGAGGAGGCTCTTATCGGGCAGATGTCGTGCGTACTTGCGCTGGTTCAGGCGTCAACAGTCGTAGACTCATAGGCGTATCCGACAGGATGTTCCTTCTCGCGGCCACAGACACCACATCGTCTACTATTACTCGTGTGATAGAGCTTCTCGCAATAAACCAAGACGTTCAAGGTGGGCTCCGAGAAGAGCTCACCCGCGCCACGGAGTCTCGAAGTCTCTCTGAATTCGACTTCGACGCGTTTGCCTCGCTGCAATACCTCGACGCCGTCCTCCGCGAGACGCTCCGCATGTGCGTATATTCACCTTGTCTCCCCACCCTGTCTAGCTAACACTCAGCCAAGGTACCCGGTGTTCCCAACAGGAAACAGGACGTAAGTTCCCCGATCCGCTCTCTACTTGCTCTGTTCCCACCCGAACCCCAGCGCCGACGTCGACACCGTCATCCCCCTTTCCGCCCCGTGGTCGGCAAAGATGGCGAGCTCATCCATGAAGTCCACATCCCCGCGGGCACGACCATCCTCGTCAACAACGTCGGCTACAACCGCAGCCCGCTCGTCTGGGGGCCCTCCGCGGCCGAGTGGCGCCCCGGGCGCTGGCTCGCGCCCCTCCCCGACTCGGCGACGACACAGCGCGTGCCGACGCTGTTCTCGAACATGTACGTGCCTCCGTCGTCTCGCGCGCTGCGTGCCCTCATCCACTCGGACGCGCGGTTTCAGGCTGAGCTTCGGGGGCGGGCCGCGGGCGTGCATGTGCGTAACGTGTCCATTGTTAAACCGGAACGATCTGAACCACCGACCGTTTGCAGTGGATACAACATGGCGCTCATCGAGCTCCGTGAGTGATTTGCGTCTTCCGCCAACACCACATTACTCACCTGGACTCCAGGCGTGATTATTTCGCACCTCATCCTCGCGTTCAGATTCACACCCTCGGACAAGAAGATCGTGTGGCGCATGGCCGGGCTCGTCAGCCCCTCGGTGCGCGGCTCGAAGCTCACCCGCCCAGAGCTGCCGGTCATGATAGAGCGTCTGGCGGTGGACGAAGCGGCGTGACGGATGGATCGCTCCTGCGTGGATTGCGTCAGTACTTCAGCTGACTCTAGATGAGGGGATGACAGCTATGCACCTTTTTAGGGTCGGTCGGGCGGTCGATGTTCTTACATGTCATGGTAGTTCTACTAGAGGCCTAGCTATATTATGTCGACGATTTCTTCCTTTGGCGACGGCGTCCTGGAAATGGCCTCTCGAACCGATGTCTTGAACTTGAGCGCACGGAGCGCACCCGAAGAGCGTCCCCCGTGCAGGTCCACGCCAAGCGCGGTGCCAATGGCGCGCGGCGAGCATGCCGACGCACCACTCTAGTCCGCGCGTGGCCGACTCAGGGAAGACGAAAGCAACGCACGACCAGGTGCGGCTGTCGTGCTCGCCGCCGACCGACTCGCGCGTCGCGGTCGTCGCGCGTCGAGGCGCCGACGAGACGTCCGAGTCGTTCGTGGACATTCCCTACACATCTGCGCCCCCAGCCTGCGTCTACTAGAGCCTCGCGAGGTGGCCAGCTCCGCACTCGAGATCTGTACAGCGCCTAGAATGTCATCCCTTGGTGCGTTTCAGCGCAGCTGACTTCCCTGCCGAAGCTATACGAGGGCCACAAAGAGGCGTGCGGAGCCAGGATCGAGTCGTCTTTCGTACCCGCATGTGAGTGTTCAAACGTCCACGACTTCTCTGGCAGCTACGTGACGGCAGAGAACCAAGTGTAAATGCATAGCCGCGGGCTTAACTCGGCCTGGATGTGATATCTGGAAAGGGATTTGCTGTGGTGATTCGGGGAGCCGATTAACACCTCTGTGATCAATGTGAGCCACTATCAACAGAGCATTGGGACAACTCACAGTATATCATAAGGCACGCGCCGAGGATTCTTTGCGGAGAAGACCTGCTTTTCTATCTTCGTTTCCTCTCGGGATCGCACTGGTGGGCGAAGAGGTGGCGAGTCGCGTGCAGAGGGGAACCGTCCCGAGGGGGTGGGGAGCTGCTCTGAGGGCCGAGACACCGGCGAGGGAAATGGAGGCGAGGGCGAAGGAGAGCTCTATCCTCTCGGTGATGAGGTCGAGTGGGCGAGAAATTGTTTCGAGTATAGCGGCTGGTTATGACATTTTTTGTTTTGAAGCGACGTTCATGCTGGGTTCTGATCGCTGCTGGAGCGGCTTAGCAGCCTCTCGACTTCTCCTTTCTTGTAGATGTTCAGCAATCTCTTTGAGGAAGAAGGGATGGATTAGCTGGCAGAGCATGCAAGTACTACGTATATATCTGTAAACATCTCAATCAGAACGCGGAGGAAGCTACCTTCGGCATTCGCAAGGAGGTGAATGTAGCAGCCGCCATCGTGAGCTTATGTCTATCGGGCTCGCTTCGTAGGGCGGCGGCTCGTACTCGAATCAATAGAGGGTACCGAGCCGGGAGGGGGACGAGGGGACCCAGCACTTCCTTCGCGAAGCCTGCGGGCACACTGTATGCCACAGGGTTTCTGACAATTCAACGTTTCAACGATCGTATACCAGTTGATACATACATAGTTGAATCAGTATCGCTCAAAGAGAGTGGACGCGCGCACAGAAGATACACCTACCTCAATGCCCTCGAAGTTCTGAACGCCACCACTATGGGCATGCTTCTGTGCGTTCGCCATACTCCTGCGTGGCTGAAGGCGGTCTAGGTGACAGCATACCGCGAGCAACGACGGCGTGTGTGATGAGCAGAGCAAGAGCAGAGGCCAGAGGGTGGGAGTCGACCGCAGCGAGCCGTGCGCCCATGACGACATCGACACGGTTGCTCGCTTGCTCTCTCCCACCTCAGCCTTCTCCGCCCATCTCTATCTACACCGTCTCTCTCGCCTCTTTATCCCCACCATCGGTTTTGCGACTCCCCCCGTCAACACCGCCAGCCTTCGCCTCATCTCCCGGCACATCCGCACCCATGTCGATGGACGAGATCGTCCCCAATCTCTGGGTTGGGGATCTTCCGAGCGCGCTCGACGCAGAGAACCTCCGCGCGCACAATATCCGCAGCGTGCTCACTGCCATGCGTGGACGCGTCTCTATTCACGAGGTACGCCCTACTTGTACCTTCCCCCGCCCGAAGCCGGGTCCAACACGATGCAGTACAGACGTTCATACGCCACCAAATCAACATCGACGACACCGAGACGTCCGACATCCTCCAGTACTTCGTACCCGCTATCACGTTCATCCAAGCAGAGCTTGACAAGGGCTATGGAGTCCTCGTACACTGTCAAGCCGGCATGAGTGCGTCTGTTCAGCTCCTCGCACCCCACACAGCCGCTGATTTTTTGCCGCTCTGTGCAGGTCGCAGTGTTTCAATTGCTGCCGCATACATCATGGTTACGCAAGGCTTGGATTGTGAGAGCGCGTTAGAGCTGATCAGGAAAGCACGACCGGACGTACAGTGAGTCAACCTCCCGACCCTGGCAGTCAGTGTGCGGTACCGTCCGTACACGAGTCAGTGCGGCTGCGAGATCAAGGCTTATCATGCGTTTTATCCGTTATATAGGCCGAACGAGGGCTTCATGCGACAGCTGGAAATCTTTCATCAAGCGTCTTTCAAAGTCTCCAAGCACGACAAGGAGACGCGTCTCTTCTACCTGGAACGAGTTGTGAACGAGGTCATGAGTACGTTTACCGCCTTCCACGACCGCTGAGGGTCTCATTCCTCATGCCACGCGCAGACGGCGACGGAGACATTGAAACAGACATGTTCCCCAAGTTCCCTCAGAGCCCAACTGATTCCCCACACCCACAACCAAAGCGTAGGATACGATGCAAGATGTGCAGGTGAGTTGCTCTTCTCGAGACATCAATGAAGAAGTCCCCATTCCCTCCCAGACAAGAACTTGCTGCGCGAGAGCACATGCTCGACCACGGTCAAGTGGGCCCCCCTACCCCCGCCGTCCTCTCCGCTGCTCCTTCGCGCCGACCATCGATGAATGAACCCAAACCCTTGAGCCCATTGGCTTCTGGTGCCCCCGGACCACGCCGTGCTTCTCTCGGCGCGGGAATCAAGCCCAGCATGCATCATCCCATGGCACCATCCGGTTCCGGCATTTCTCGGAGACCCTCCCAGCACGAGCCACTCCCCCGCTCTCGCCTTGGCTCCATTACCGAGGGTCGCCCTGTAGTTTCGGCGTTGCTTGCCCTGGATAGCAGCTCTGCCCAGATAGGACAAGATGCCTCGGACGCCCTCTCTGAATCCGCTATTGACGAAGACTCGGACGACGATGAAGCTCTCAAGACGGACGAAATTGCAAACAGCCCCCAGAGCGCCACCCTCGTCGCTAGCCCCGCACCACTCACACCCGTGGCCGACCCTGAGACTATAGTGAAACCCCTTCCCCGCCGGTCTTCCGAGACTGCGACCAAGCCCCCACTGCGCACATCGCTCTCAGTCTCGAGCACATCCGTGCATCCGACGGACCTCGCCGCGCAACTCGCCGCACACCCCAAGCTCGCGGTACTCCGCCCAACGGGTCTATCCATGACTCCGATGAGCCCCAATATACCTACAGGAAGTCCATCTCCACCAAGGTCCGCCCAGCAGTGTCCAGACGCCATCACTGCTCTGAAGAACTCGAGTTACTTCACGCCCGTGAGCCCGCCTATCCTCGCGAACCCGAAATGTTCTGGATACTTTGTCGAGCCGGTGAGTTATCCGTCTCTTCTTCATCCCGTCCCCGATGCTTGCACGAGCCTCTCATAGAGGCAGGGGTGATGCGCCGAGTGAGGGCATTCGCTGACACCGTTACTCCGTGCAGATGAAGTGGATGGAGCCGTTCTTGGAACAGGGCAACATGGCGGGCAAGATCATGTGCCCCAACAAAAAGTGCGGTGTAAAGCTGGGAAACTACGATTGGGCCGGTGTGTGCTGCAGTTGCAAGGAATGGGTTGTTCCGGTAAGTTTTGTTCTGGTCTTGCTCTCGGCTGTCGCGAATTGAAGGGTATCGTCCCAGGGGTTTTGCATCCATCGCTCCAAGGTTGACGAGGTTGTATGACTGGCTGGGTATGAATTCACCCCCCTGGTTTTTTAATGTGATGGACGATTGTCCCACACTCGCCGCGCATATTCCAAATGGTCTGTATTGATACCTTATACCACTATATACGAACAAGTCCATGTAGCTTTATATCCTCCCTCAGTGGGTATACGCGGTGCTCACTTCTTTACTGATAAAGCAAACACCTGCTAGACGCCACTCTCTCCCATCTGTATGCAAGTTTACAAGTATCAGAGGAACTCCTCGTTCCAGGCGCATACTTTTCTCGTGTGGGCAGACTTACATAAGGAAGCGCCGCTCGTGACATGCGCGTGACCGCGTCGCGACGCGCATCGGAGATCCGGAAATGGGGCGCTCCGCCTCGGCGCTTGACGACAAGCTCTTTTCTCGACGACGACGATGCCCATAGCCAACCGACTTGCGATCGCTGACGCCGGAAACCGCTGGGAGGCGACACCCAGGGCTGGCTTCATCACCATCCAAACGCAGGCGTTCCTCCTCGTGCCGGAGCTGGAGAACGTCCGCTTCAATGCAGAGATGCGTCAGTCGCTTATGGCTGGCTGGCATACAGTTCGCTGACGCCTCATGTATGCCCAGTTCTCGACGTCAAAGATCTGTCGGACGAGGAGATGGCGGAGCGGAACGTCGTCTACATGGATTCTGCGGCAAACGGAACGATCAAGGGCGACGAGATGCCCGTCGCGCTCAAATACAACACAATGCTCCCTTCGCTCTTCAAGTTCAGCTACTTCGTCATGCCCGGGGACGGTACGTTTCGCCCTTCCGCTGCCCGTTGTGACGGGCACTGACTGCGTCGTGTAGTGCCCGAAGACCTCATCGAGCCTGTCATTTTTGCGCTGAAGATGTTCCTGCGCGTCATAGCGGAGACCCCGCAGCACCTCTTGGCCACTGTGGGTCACATCTCGCATGGACTGAGCCCGAAGGCATTCATTGAGAAGAAGAACGTCTACGTACGTTCTCAACGCGTCGCTCTGCGAGCCCCAAGCTTACCACATGCGTCATTGCAGTATCACGAACTGCGAAGCAAGCTCGTTGAGCATCTTATGTGGGTGATCCTCCGCATATAAGACCAGTGTAGCTGACGATTTGCATGAATAAGGAACCCCTTGATCGATCGCCCTGAGGAGGCGCTGCCACACATTAAGGAAGTCGTCGCGCGCGAGACGCAGCTCCATACGAAGCACAGAATCAAAGGGAAATCGTGGGAGATCAACCCGTGCGTCCGTTGGGAGTGTACTCTCTCAATTTCTTGTACGCTGATCGCTCGCTGCAGGCCTCCCTGGGTGTCGTACGGACGCATTCTCGTGCGCGCGGGCGAGTACGCCGAAGCGAAGCCCATCTGGGAGAATGTCCTCGCGGCCGTCGAACAGTCGGGGCACCCGAGCAGTACCGCCTTCCTCATCTCCGCGCATTTGAACTTGTCTTTCCTCCTGAAGAAGCTCGATATAGAGCAAGAGGAGCAAGCGAAGTCCGTCCAGCGCATGCATTGGTCCCCGGGAGATAGTCTGACGGTGCCGTGCAGCCACACCAAATGGGCGATCCAGTACCTCAAAAAGAACCCCATGACCTGAAGCGGTTCCATCTCGAGAGCTGCATCCTCCCTAAGGATGGCAGTCTCCACCCGGTGCTCGAAGGTCTAGGGGGTGTGTCATGGCTCCACGGAGTCGAGACGAAGCCAGAGTTCTCTTTCAAAGAGGATCATCGCGCGACCAAGGTGTGCCGGAAGTGCGGTATCCGTGATCATCAAAAAAAGCTCTCTCGCTGCGGTGGATGCCAGTACATCTACTATTGGTGGGTGTATGCGTCTTCTTGAGCGTCGACGTGGTTGCTGACGACTCTCAGCTCGACTGAGTGCCAAGCTGCGGACCGTGCCGAGCACAAGTGAGTATCCATCCAGCCTGTCCCTCGATCGTCCACTAACGTCCTCCTAGGATAATGTGCAGGTTCGTCTCGCCCTCCTCTCGCGACAGCCGTAGAAGATTCACTTCCGCGTTCACCCCCTAGGGAGTACGCACAAGAGCTCCAAACCCTCGAGCGCCTGCGCGCGCGCGACCCCGCCAAAGCGCTCCTACTCGAGCACTGGGTCGCCTGGAAGAACGCGGCCTGGTCCGAGGCGCGGGTCGCGAAGGGCCACGCCCTCGGCCTCCACCGCGACCTCTCCCGCGCGCGCACGCACATGATCGTGCAGCGGCTCGCGCACGCCCCCGCGGCGACCGACCCGCGGTACCGGTTCCGGACGACCGACGTCGGCGTGTTCCGGATCGCGGACCTCGCGCCCGCGCTCGAGCGCATCATGGACGTGCCCCCGGGCCAGAGCGGGGTGGAGTGGGTGCACGAGCAGATGGCGCAGATCGACGAGCAGGTGAGGGGGGTGCCGGACACGTATTCCATCGCGTGCATCTCGTTCTACGAGGGCGGGCAGGAGTGGTTCCTCGTCGGTGCGTCGCGGTGGTGTTTCTCGTGGTTTGCAGGCGGAGTGCTGACGTGAGGGGGTGGTGCAGAGACGGTCACGAAGAAGGAGGTGATGGTCGACAACCCTCAGCGCTGGCGCAAGATCATCGGGCGCAAGAAGCCGGTCAACAGGATATTGTCTTGGGAGGGAGTCAGGCACGCGGATGACGACCCCGACGCAACGGCGTAAATGGCCACTGGGGCGATGAGAGTTGCTTCATCAGTATGCTGCGTTAAGGCTAAATAGCTCTATAATCCGAGTGCGAGAACAGTGGTGTAGTATCTCATTGGTCATTCCACGCGCGCACCTCGACGCCGCACACGGGTGTCCGCTCGATGCCATGAACGAAGCCGAGGAACACGGGCCTGAGGTCGTCGACGACGGTACGCGTGAGCGGAAGAACGGAGGCGTCGGCAACGAGCGTGTGCGAGGAGAAGTCGAAGCGGATGCCGAGGACGGTGTCGAGATCGCCGCGGAGGGAGAAGACGCGGGAGGGAGCGCGGAGGAGGCCGACGAGGGCGTGGGTTTTGGCGTATCGGTTTGCGCGTCCGTGGATGGAGAAGGTGCTGCGGACATGGTTGTAGATTGAGCCAGTCGAGGGGAGGATTGCCGCCCACGCGCGCTTCTCCACTGCTGGCGGCTATCACGGATGGCGGAGATTGTGGCCCCACGTCCCCTCTGCCTTCTCTCTCATCTGTACATCTCGGTGCGTTCGCGAACTTGGGCTCAGAAGACTCCGTGTATGCGCGAAGGTGCGAGAAAACACGTGTGCTCCTGACGCGAAAGCTTCAGTCTAGTCACCATTTCGAGAAGCTCACCAAACCGGTACTGGCCACAAGACGATCCACAAGACGCGCCTCGGGGTGGTGCACATTCCTGGAAGGTGTCCCGGCGACAATCTCGACCACGAACCCGATGGGACTGTATGACAGTGGCGGATGCAATCTTCCTCAAGCCAAGTTGAAACGGGCAAGGTGATCCGTTCATGGCCGCTTTCTTATCCAAAGTCGCTCAACTATGTCTTCCATACTGGTTTAGTAGCGCTTCAGCTGTCCCGCATGTGGTCTCGGCCAAGTCTGTGCCGCTCTGCCAGCCGCACTGACTCCTCACGGCCTCAGCCACGCCCGGTGCCACTCAGACGCGTGCAGGGACCTCCGGTTCTTCTTGTCGCGCCACACGTCTCTGCCTCCCCCGTTCAAAAAGCGACCGCTCGCGCACGCTCCCTTCACACGATTGTCGGCGCGGGAGCAGAGCATGTCGCTCGCTATATACACATGCGCTTCTCCTGGTCTCGTGCGCGCCGCCCCGTCGCTCGCTGAAACCCCGTCCCGCCTTCCGGTTAACCTCGGGCTTCCCCCTCTCCCCCGTACGGTGTGCACCATGAACTCTTCCGCGAACGCCACCACTCCAACAAACGGCACAAGCGACGGCGTCGATCCCATGCTCGCGCTCCTTGCCTCACTCACTCCTGCAGACATCATCGGAGGACTTTTTGTCGAGATATTCGTCGCATGCATGTAAGCTCATCAGTGCCCTCATGAAACATGGCTCACGCGCCGCTCAAGACTGTACGGTCTCACTACCCTGCAGACCTTCATTTACTTCCAAACTTACCCGAATGATAAGAAGATGCTCAAATGGATGGTGGGTACCTCCACTGCGTTCTTCTTGCGTGTGCACTTCGCACTCGGATGCTGAAGCGCCATTGGCTACAGGTGGGCTTGGTCTGGCTCCTCGAGTCTGTGCACACCGTGTTCTGCATTCAGTTCATGTATTCGTACCTCATCGACGGCTTCGCGAACCCCCTTGTTTTTCTCGTGATAGAAAAGTGAGTACCCACAAGCACCGTCGATCCCCTTGCCTGAGGACCCTCTCTTTCTCCCCGTTCTAGAGGTGTCGGGGTCACCATTGCAATGAGCGTACGTGTACATTTCTATCGTGTTTTCTGCCCAGTTTGATTTACCCCAACAAGTCTTCCGTCGCTCTTATTGTACAAGGGTACGTCGTTGCGGCTTGATCATGGTAGCGGTGCTCATAGTGTCTCTAGATACTACACATGGAGGGTGTATATTAGTAAGTCGCTCATCCCGACACAAGTCTTACATTGACAGTGACAGTGACATGACGTTTCGTTTCAGTGAGTGGCAGGAAATTCATCTGGGCAATCATCATCGTAAGTATTCTGGGACAGAGCAGAGTGCTCTCAATCACCGACTCAGCTTTTAGGGCTTCTTCGTCTTGACAAGAATTGGTGTGTACAAATACGCGTTGGGTTTACAACAGAGAGCTGATATACTCCCTCCTGTGCTAGGTTTTGGTACTGGTGAGCCGCCATTTGAGACTAGCCCAAGGTCGCTGTGCCGAGTGCGCTGACCCCTATTTTCTACAGCGTGTACCATTCTGATATACAAATACCCTAACTGGTTTGTCATCCGTAGCCTGAATGTCGTACTTGTGCGTCTTTTGAAGAAACGCTGGAGTCGCGTAAATATGCACTGACAACTCTAACTCAGGCATGTGTGAGCGGCGCGCTCGGATCGGCGGCTCTGGTAGATCTGCTGGTCGCACTGAGCTTGACCTACTTCCTCAAGCGGCGCACTGACAAACACTACAAGTAAGCCCATTTCTGCAGCATCTAAGCGCGCACGAGGCTCATACCGGGCCCAGAGCATCGCAGAGCATAGTGAACAAGATTCTCATGTTCACCCTCAATACCGGCGCCATTACTGGGTTAGTGTTCTGTCACTCCAACAATAGACCGGAGCTTCATTAAGACCTTCTTCTAGCACGGCGTCGCTCATCTGCGTGATCCTCGTAAGCCCGCCCTTCTTCCCCGAGCCTCCCTAAAGCCTCACGTTTCACTCATGGCAGTTTAGCACGAACAAGACGAGCCTTGTCTTCCTCGGGCTCGTCGAGATCGAGACCAAGCGTGCGTCTCCTTCTCCTGTTCTTCCGCTTTCCCGCCACACACTTCCCTTCGATATCCGGTCTTCCCGTCATACCACTCGCGCTAATCTTTTCCGGTGCGGACGCAGTGTACGCGAACTCCCTCCTGGGGTCGCTCAACGCCCGCCTCCACATCCGCGAGCGCTCGCGGTCCCATCCGCTGTACTCGAGTTCGACAGGCTCAACGAGCGCGAACCCCAAGAGCCCTGTGGTCCGTCTCTCACCCGTTCGTCTCTCCGTCTGTTCTGTACTGATCCAGTCCTCTTTTTCTCGTCTGCGAAGGTCGAAATCCTGCGCACGACCGCGACGGAGGTGGAGCACGACTTCGCGCTCCACATGCCGAAGCACGAGGTCCGTCTCCGACGCTCGCCATCTCCGTCTCGTTCTCGCTGACCGCGCCTCCGTCCAGAACTCGTACGAACTCGAAAGCATGAAGACGAAGCCGGGAGAGCTCGCCTGACCTTGTGTCACGCACCGCCGTTCTACATTCGCGCCCGTCGGTGTTCTGTACTAGATCGCGCGCAGATACGCGGTTTTGGGGGTCGACCTTCGTCCCGCGGGGTCCGTGGTCACACCGCGAAAGCCGCGGTCGCCCGCGCCTGCTTCCGACCGCTCTCCGAAGAACACACGGAACCGCCCTGCACCAAAAGCGCTCGCGCGGCTGCCCCATTCCCCGCCCTCCCCATCGCGTATCGCGTATCGCTCGCGCGGGGGTCACGGCGCGCCGCCAAAAATGCACGTGCGTCACCTGGGACACCTGAGACACCCTGACACGCTGCGCGATGAGCCCCGGGGTCTGCGCAACAATGTGGGATGAGAGCTGCAAGTTCCGCGCGCGCGCGTTTCGTCCACCGTACGCGCGGACGCTTTGGAGGCAGGATAGCACGGGCGAGGTGCGGCCAGAAGCTGTGCGCGCCTAGAGGCATCGAAGCGGAGGCGGTGGATAAAGACGCATCTGGCGTCCACGTCCCGGGTGGCGTCGGCGGCGCGGAGGTCGAAAGCGCGAGATGGTGAGCTGGCGAGAATCTTCAATTATGTGGGGGTCGGTGGGCGCTCGCGGAGGGAAGGGGGGCGGACATGGGCAGGCGAGAGGGAACGGGCAGGTGTGCGCCCCGCCCCCCCGCCCGGCCCCCCCCCCGCCCGGCCGCCGCGCGCGCCGGCCGTCCGGCCGTCCGCAGGGAAGGGGGCGGGCAGCAGGCAGAAACGGAGTTGACGTCGAGACAAAACGGACCGGACCCATGTTGAGCTGAAGTGAGAGTTGAGACTCCGTGCGATGGGAGCACGACAACATGGACGAAGAAAGTAATGTCAAGGACCCAGTCGCTCTACAAAGAAGAGCTGAGACGGTGGTGATACGGGTTGCGCCGGCGACCCATGGGAGGGCGAGTGCCGCCTTGAGCCAGCGACTCGTGCACGGGCTCAGGCCCCCCACAACGCCCGGCGCGGGGAGGACAGGCCCTACCCTATGACACACGAAATCACCGCACCTGCGAACCAACACCTCAGCGTGACGGTCCCAAAGCTCCAGAAACATCACAAGCGCTCACCGTACGGAACGAACACGCTCTCCACCTCCCTCCTCGCGCCCGACGGGAGCACGGCCGTCCCGCACGCCTTGTGTCGCCGCGTGCACGCCGCGTAGTCCCCACCTTTCTCCGCTCCTTCGACAAGGGCGAACAGCGCCCTTCTCGACAGCGCCGCGAGCTCCTCTTCCGACACCGCGTCCGCTCCCACCGGACGAGCGCCCCGCGGCCAGCTCAGCCCAGCGCCCTCTCCGGGAGTTCTCCACGATCTGCAGCACGCGCGTCGCGCCGTCGGGATCCGGCCCTGCCCGCTCGGCTTCCAACGCGAGGGGGGACTGCAGGTCCAACTTCACTGCCGCACCGAACGCCGAGGTCCCGCAGCGATCGCCGCCGCGCGTCCAGAGGTCCTCGACGGTGTGCACGAAGCACAGCAGGACGCCCTCGGCCGCGCAGTTGACGACGAGGTCGACCACCGCGTAGCGCTCACCCGGGGTGGTTGGGCTCGTGTCCTCCGGTCCGCCGATCTCGACGCCAGCTAGCCGCGCGAAGTCGCGACAGCGCATCCTGAGCACCTTCAGTCGACACTCTAGAAAGAACGAAGGGGGGACACTCACCGGATCACGGTTCCGTACAAGGTCTCCTTCCGCACCGCGGTGGCAAGCTCGGAATGGGCGAAGGGGCGATCCTGGGGGTGCACGTAGTCGAGGAGGGACGTGCTCACGAGCCCACCGGCGTGCCCCCCAACGCGCGCGAAGTACTCAGGATCGACGTGCAGGAAAGTGAAGTCAGTGGAGAGGAGAGACCAAACTGCGGGACGAAGGTAGTGGTCAGGTCGTAATTGAACATATCAAGACGTGCAAAGACGTCAACGTACAGCAGGGCACAAGCTTGCGCGCACACGACGTCGCCGCAGCCGCCGCGTCTCCGTCTGTGCAAGGTCTCGCCATGGCCACGAAACCGTGCAAAGGTAGGGGCAGGCAGAGACAGAGACAAGTGGTTCATATACCCTCCGAACCGCGCGCGCCTCAACTTGGCCGTGACGTGTAGTCTTTGTGAAGCTTCCAAGCTAGGACTCGCCTCGAGGACCTGGACGCGGCGCCCGCTTCCCAGGCACCCACATATCCTCGCCCCGCCCGCATACCTTCTCAACCACGCAGCCAACACGCGCACCCCGCAGAGCAGGGAGAAGCGGGCAGGCGGGGGCCACGAGGCAGAGGCGTCCCCTGAGGCTGCAGACGAGAAGACGTCATCTCGATGAGGCCCAGGCTCTGGGAAGCTAGAAGAGATCGCACATCCAAGGAGACTACATAGCAGGATATGTCTGGGCGCCAGTGGCGGCGGTCTTGTTATGTACCTATCAAGACAGGAGTCGAGCGGGCGAGGCGACATGGCAGAGGACCTTTTGCACGTACGGACTGTATATACAAAAAAGCGGAACGACAAGAGCGACATGGAGGGTGACAGACACGGGAAACAAGCTACTGCGAGTGCTACTGCTACAGGCGTGAACGGGCGATGACGTGGGGTATCGCTACGGCGAATGGTAAAGCGAGAACGTACGATCACTGTGTGAGGGGTGAGGAATAGATTAGTATCGGGGCAAGGGAAAGTGCGAGTGGGGGGAGGAGGTGATGGATGGGGTGGGGTAGCGCGGGACGGGGTCGATCCGGGGAAAGGCCTGGAGACAAAAGACACGCGAACAAGCCCTACCGTGCGAATGCCGAAGGTGGAGAAAAAACCATGAGAAGAAAGCGATGCAGTGGAGATATATATATATATGCGCAACCAGGGGTGTGCAAGGGCGAAGACCGGCGACAGCAGAGGGGTAGAGGGACAACACGACGACAAAGTCCGGATACATACACGGCTTGCACATGATATAGAGGAGCGTCACGCCCCAAGGCCCCATCCGCGCTCGCGACGAATCGCGACGGACGCGGTAACATGGTGTTAAGACGACGCGGAGACTAGCGCAGCCTTGAGGAGCATCGGGCGGGCCGCACTAGAGCCAACGGGTGCGCTCGATTCCGCGGGCGTGAGGGGGCTGGGAGCCACCGAGCTGGGGGTCATCGAGCCTGTGCTCGGGGATCCTGGGCCGGTGCCGCCAGGGCTGGTGGGGCTCCCGCTGGAATCGCTCTTCGCGTCTGCCCCTTTGTCGGGGAACATGGACCCAGTCGGCGAGGGAGTCGTGCCGTTGCTGCTAGCTGTGAGGGCGATGCGCAGTGAGGAAGGGACCGGGGGCGTGCTCGACATCGACGTCGGTGGCGGATTCCACGAGGTGCGATGGAAGGACTTCTTCTTGCGCACGCCGGCCTTGTAAGCGGCACGTATGGACGCGGTCGCGTCGCTCGACAACGAGGAGCTGGCACTTTCGGACATGGACGCGACCATGGACAGCACGCTGGGCGCGCGAGATTGTGTGGGGGGAGGGGAAGGCGACACGAGTTCGAGATGAGGTGGGTGGGAACCAAGCGCTGGGGATTCGGGGTTGAGAACGGGGGAGAAGGTCGGTGAGGGCAGGCTAGACTCGCAGCTCTCATAATTACTGTGCTCAGAAGACGAAGGTGACGTGTTGGGACGTAGGCTGGGGTCACGGAAGGAGTGGTGGTCGAAGGGAGTGCAGGGCTCTTCCATGCGGAAGGACTCCGGCAAAGCAGGTTGGAAGACGGTGCGGAAGTCGTCGGGTGTTTGGGAAGGCCATGCCATGGGTGTGTCGGGAGACTTGGGGGAGACCTCGGCGGCCGACTCGAATTCATCTATAACCTGTTGCCATAGAACCAAGTTATCTCGCGTGAGGCCGGCAAACTGCTCCATCGCTAAGCAGAAGGCAGTGAGAAGCGTTTCTCAGACAAATATGAGAACACACTCACAAGGGAGATGTCGGCCAACGAGGTCAAATAAAGGGCGCACGAAGGTTGTGCTGAACCAAATCTGCCCCTTGGCTTCGCCTTGAGGAGTCTCCGACGGCTTCACAGATTGCGGAAGGTGCAGATGCTTCTCGAAGACGCGCTGGGTGCACCATTCGGACTCTAACGCTGCTGCCCAAGCTTTTGAAACGGCGTAAGGCCGACACTATGGTCCTCGTGAGCATATCTTCATTCCCACAAGCTCCGTGCCCACTCACCGGGTTGCTGATATCCGCACACTTGATGAGGGCCTGGCAAAGTAGGAGGCGCTTCTCGAGATCAGGGATGTGGTCACCGGATTCAATGAGCTGCTCAAACTTCTTCATAAAGTCCAGATGAACGCCCATGTCCGTCACGAGAACGGTCCCTAGAAGGAGCTGCCGGAAGGAGTGCCCTGCGTCCTGACGATCCAGGAGAATGCCAAGGTTATGCCATCGCAAGCTCTTTGTGATGATGTTGTAATGCATCCACTCGAGGACCGACTTGTCATCGTATACGAATGATAGTGGTGTCTTGGCGTTTCGCTGGGAAAGGGTGCGAGTGCGCTGTTAGCGGGGTCGAATGGGAAGAGAAATGAACGTACCATGAAGTCATTATTGAGACCCGGGTGCCCTACGTCGTGACCCACGGCAACGATGTAGAGGGTGAATATGTCAGAGTCCGTGAGACATGCTGCATGGGGGTCGCAGCGCGAAAGATCTCGTGTCCAGGTTCGATTGTGTTCACGAAGGATCGTGACCGGAGGTACGAGGCCTGCTGAACATAGGAAGAAATAGATCGCTTGCAGAACGTCGAGAGCGTGGTCGTAATTATGATACGAGTTTCTCGGACGATATAGTTGACGGAGGTGTTGGAGGAAGGTCGCCAATTGACCTGTGCGGTCAAGATTAGCATTCGAGCTTCTCACAAGGGCCATGTGACTGGAGTGCGAGTGCATGAAGTATATGCGCATGGAATCAAAGGGGCGACATTGTCTCAGAACATTGCCCATGCTCACCCTCGCCGCGTGGCCGAGCGTGGACGGATACGAAACGGGGAATGATAAGACAAGAACTCACTGAGTGGGGCGCCGGCAGTATCCTCCATGTTTTCTATGCAATAGAGCGCTTCAAACAAGATATATGAACAGGTCACCATCTCCTCAGGTGGGAGTTTTCGAGGTTCAAAATGCCAGGAGCTGAGAGACTCTATGAGACGCTCGCGCACTTCAGGTCGCATGTCCATGAGCGGTGGTCTGCCAATCGCGAGGGCGAGGGCGCGTAGGCGGTTAGAGCGTTGCCTTGCAGGCGAAAAGGTGCAAGCCACGTACTCGGGCTCGAAGTCTTGGCTCATGATAACCTCGGTGTGCATGCGGACGTCGGTCAGATGTTCTGCGTATCTGTGGGGGCAGACGCAGGCGCGTGGCGTGCGCGGAAACGGGCGCGAACGGGTGGTCAGCGTCGGGACCAGTCACGTAACACGAGACGCGGGATTAGGGAAGGGGTGGGGAGGATGGGGGAGGGAACGAACCTGGGCTCGCCGCAGTCTTCCTCCTCAAAACCGACCCAGCCTTGGCCGCACCCCTCTTCTGTTAGTGCGCGCGCGAGACCGCCGACGTCAACACTCCTCCTGCGCCCCATGTTGTCCTGCATTGGAGAGTATTGGTGCTGATCGGGGACGTCGAATTGGAGAGGTGAGAGACTGTCTGGCCTGTCGCTGTCGCGGCAGACGTGTGGGAGGCGAAGAGGGGGGAATGGGAATGAGAGTGGGGAAATCGGACAAGATGAAGCGTAAAAGGCGGCTGGTATAGTGGGGTGGAAAGAGGAGGGGCTTGAGGAGAGGACGAGCTGGGGGCCGTTGGAGGGCGAGGAGAGCGTGCGAGTTTGACAGACGGTGCGATCCGCCCCACGTGGACCGGCGCTCCGCCCTATGCCCAATCAGGCCGTCCTCCGCCTTCGCGTGCCGCCCACACGAGCCTCCCCGTCCTCAGATCTTCCCTTCTCAGTCAATCGCTCGCGCCCATTTCGCTCACCCACTCTGCACGTTCAGCTAAAAGCACCGGCTGCTCCCTCTGCCATTAACTCATCCGTCTTACCCGGCCGGAGACCTGTCCGCTGTCCGCGATCGTGCTCGATGATCGTGAACGTTGTGCAATGCTCTGCCGCCGGTCCGAATCCCCCTAAGGCGCCCGCCCCTCGATGGCTGGGCCCATGGCCCGATCCGGCTACCGTCTAGATAGCCTAGTCTCCACGCACCACTCACTCTCGCAACACATTCAACTCTGACCGCTGCTAGCCCCACCCTCGTCATCCACGCGTACATCCTCCACTTGCCATGCCTCATCAGCTACGTCGCCTGACAGCAGTGATTCATGCCGAGGACCGGAGACCATTAATCGACCCCAAGTCGTCTCTCCTATCCAGCCTGGCGAGAAACATGACAGGAGGCCGGATCCTCTCAAGCGCGACGGTCAGTCAACAGTCCCAGCACGTGGCAGCATCCGTTATCTGGTATTCACGTGAATTCCGTCCAATACAAGCCCCGGCTTCCCCACAGATACTGTGTTTCGGCAGGCCAGATCAGCAGCCGTCAAACCCAAGCCAATCTACACAGTAAAGGCAATCGGGCCATGTCATTTCATCATAGTCAGCTCTTAGAGATCGAGGTTTCCACCGCTGACACTTTAGATTTGTCGAATACGATCAAACAAGCTTGTAACCAGGGGCTCTCAGGTGCCTCAACACAGCAATCGGCGCTAACCAACAGTGAATCACTTTTCCGTCTGCTTTTTTAATTATACGCGTCGGGTCGCTCATATGAGCCGGGCTCAGGATCACCACACGAGCGTCGCCGAATTGCGCAAGGATCCTAACTGTCTCCCTGGGTCCTATCCGCGGCTCCGTGAGGCCCGCCGGGCCCCGGCCCCGACATAGTCTCCCCTAGAGAGAGTCCAGACCAGACCTCAGGCATAGGACCGAAAGCACGAATGAGCCAATAGCATTCTGTGCCTTCTTTTCGCTCTCTATTGCCGCTCCGTGCCGTACCCGCGCACCCCTGTAGGCGGTAGCGGGGTGCGGTACAGAGCGGCTGGGGACGAGACCATCGCTCTCGCGCACGCGCGGTCAAACAGGAGGGTCTAGATCAATCAAAAACGGATCAGTACTCAGCAAAATGGTTCTCGTCCTCGTACGTGGAAGGTCGGCCTAGGGGAGACTTGTCGCGATCTGAGCAGCGCAGTAGCGCGTAAGCCTCAGTCGGTTCGCAGAGAAGACAACTGAGGGAACAGGGAGAACGTCGCGCCAGCTCATGCGCCGCGCGACTTGTCACGTGATGAATCTCACGCCGTAAGGACGGAGACGAGGCTCGTACTATCTACAGTCTACTCGTGACAAGACTGAGTTCCCATTAGGCCGCCAGTTGAGTGAGTCGGCACTCGCCGCCCGCCCGCCCGCCCCCACGCCGCGGCCGCGCAAGTTCCCGTCCTCAATTGTGTAAAATCCGTACATTTCTGTTGCATTTCTGTGCATAATACATCACTGGCATAAAATAACGAGTGTCCCCAAGTTATTACTCGGTCTTTTAGTAGGGCTGGCACATGCGGACGAGCAGCACTGTCGTATCGGCCGTCAGTTGGGTCGATCGCGGGTAAGTTGTCTGTTCCACAGTCTTCTCTCCGTTTACCACAGCGACGTATTGTCTCCGCCAGGCTGCCGGTTCACGGTGTCAGCTTCATCACGTCAGCAGTCGGGCGTTGGAATTGGGATTCCGCCCCCGGCAACAGCCGAGACCCCTTTGGCGCTGAGCCTGCACTCCGCAGATTTTGTCTCTCTGCCCGATACATCACCAGCTGAAGATGACGGTTTTGCTGTTATAACACAACGAAGGTGTTTGTCCCATGCTAGAAATTGCAATCCATGCAGGCCGGCTCTTGCAAACGCGCAGTATCATACCCATCGATGACAGTGACAGTCGAGTCACAAGTGAACAGTGGGAGTCCGTTCGTCTCCTGGCAATAACTTCATCTCACTTCGCTAGTTTCTTCTCCCCAGACGTCTTAGACACGCCCAGTCGACTACTGGCTCCGCGTCCACCCATACGACATGCCACTGGCGACTGAGTACTGACGCTTTGTTCACGTGCGGTGCGGTGCTCTTTTCTCGCTCGATCTCCAGAAAATCGGGGCCTCACGCTTGCGATGTTCTACTCGACTAATAGAACCCCCGCTCCTGCGCAGACCCGACGGGCTGCGTGCCTTAGCTTGAGGTCAAGCAGGGGGACGAAACCCGGCCGCCTCGGACCGTCCAGAATAAAAGCGCCTTTATCCCGGGCCAGACAGAGGACCATCCGCCTGGAGGTAAAGTCACCGTCGAAGGCGATCGACAGTAGACGTCGGCTGATCGGCCGAGCGGGCCCCCACAGACCGTGGGGATAGAGCCGTTCGGTAAGATTATCGACGTTATCCTGGCCCCGCGGCTCTAGGGCCACCGACGTCCTCGGTTGGCGCAAGCTCGTCAGGATGTTGGCGACGATGATCATCTAACGGACGACGGTGAGCTACTCGTCGGCGACTCACGGGTGCGATTTTGTTCGCACCCCGGGGGGTTGGTCCGGAGACGCGTGCTTTTGAAAAGTTGGTGCTCGTTAGTACAGGGGAGCGTTGGGAGTCAAGCGTTGATGGCACTGCTGGGGAGCCTGTACAACACGCGCGCCGAAACGGTTTGTAGCACCGACGTTTGGGAATTCCTGGCCTTTCAGTTCAAGTTCCTCGGCCGGCCATACCATCAAAACAAATGATAATGACCCTCGAGCAATCTCATCGTGTGGTTGACTTCTCACCTGGCGAGTTCCGTGTTCGTCTAGCCCGTCGACGAGAGCGGGTGCCATCCGCAGGCACTCAGAATACGGGACACGCGGCGAGAGATTCAGACAGAACGTATGATATACAGCGATACAGTAAGAGCACCCAGGGAAAGCTAACGGTGACGAGACGAGCATAAGTACTACGCGCCGTGCGCGCGCGGGCCCGAGGAAAGCGAGACCAAGAACGAGGTACAGGAATGCGACTAGTGGTTAAATCAGACGAGTACGGGGGTGCAAAATAGTGCGGGGTGAGGGGTGCGGGTGCAGGGGAGAGCGACGGAGACAGCGGTGGCAAAGGTCTAGCTGGGCGGGTAGTGATACAGGGTGCGTGGTGGTGGTATCAAGAAGATGGTATGCAAGATGACTGTCCGGGAAGCGGGAACGTCGCGCAGCGACGTCATGGCGGAGGGTCCGAAACGGAGGGTGCGTGCACGACAAAGTCTTCTAGCCGCGCCGACCCTGGGTTGAACCACGAGGCGGTGGCAGCGATATTATCGAGCCGGGACGGCCACAGACCGTCCCCCACAGCCTCGAAGCACCGCGACCGTAGCTTTGAGACGAGTGCAAAGTTGTTCAAGAACCTGTGGCGACGGCGCAAGTCAGAAAACGAGCAACCCGAGAAAGCACAGAGTGGAGACTCACGGTACCACGTCGATTGAGAGTCAGACGCGTACAAATCGCCGTACCGTCCGCTTGTTGTCGTCCGGGAGTACCCCGACGACTCGAACGCATACGACGCGGCCGCGGCCTGGTACGGCGCCCGCGAGCCGCCACCGAGCATGTACTGGCCTGGCGCGTGGGACACACGCGACACTATCAACCGCGGCATCTCAGCGCATACACTCAGCTTCGAAGCGGAACGCACTCACGCGAAGTCTGCACCGAGGGCTGCGTCGCCTGCCTCCGGTAGTGCCCGGCCGTGTCCACATCGACCTCGCCCGTGTACCCCGTCCGCATCACCCAGCTCAGCGATTGCGCTGGCGTAACGGCTGCGGCGAACGTGGGGCTGGCGCCGCTGGGGATGGACGCCGAAGAAGAGGTGGTGGTGTCGGCCACGGAGCCGTACGCGGATGACCCGTCCCACGAGTCGTCAACCGAAGGCTGATACTGGAGGTCGACGAGCGGCGACGAGCGCTCGCTCGTGTGCGAGGACACCGCTGGGGACGGCGCGCGGTAGAATGCCGGGCGCGACGACGCAGCCTCAAAACCCGTGGTGTGGTGAGCGGACTTGTGGCGCTTTGAGCTGTGGTGCCTGTGGCCGTACTCGTGCGCCGGTGGCAGGGGCTGGTGCGGGACGGGTTCTGGGACGGGTGGGGGCGGGACGTATGCCGGGGTGGGGTCGAGCTCATACGCCTGCCAGGGGTCGAGCTCGACGGGCTCCTCCGTGAGCGGGCCGACCTCGATGCCGCCGCTGCCGGGCTGGGTCGCGGCGGAGCAGATGCCGTCGTGCATGGCGAAGTTCTCGAGGCGGAAGGAGGACATCATCTTGCGCATCATCGGGGGCGCGTGCGTCGCGCGGAGCGGTACCTCGGCCATCGGGGACCCGTACGGCTGCTCGGTGGGGGTGAAGACCTCGACGATGAAGCCGCCGTCGGCTGTGTCCTCCTCCTTGATCGGCGGGGGTGTGAGCGGCGGGGAGAGCGGGGACGAGGCGGTCGTGGAGCCGGAGGTGGAGACGGGAGAGGAAACGGGGTCGATGGGGTCCATTGTGTAGAGGGAGGACGCGTCCCAGTGAGTGTGGGGGATGGCGCGGGACGAGGAGTGGGCGGAGGAGACATTGGCGGGGGCGAGGTTGGTGGGGGGAGCAAGGGACGAGTAGGTGCGATGAGCTGGAGTGTACGCAGACCGGGCGGCAGCGGGTGCAGATGACGCAGCGGGATACGGGAAAGACGATGATCGGGAGGAGACTAGAGGGCGGGAGGAGTGATAGTCGGCCGGGTAGGTGGAGAGAGAGGATGTCGGGCCGGAGTGAGCCGGATGAGGGGATGTCGAGTAGGAATGGGAGTGGGGAGAGTAGGGTGCGGAGGGATGGGTGTCCCAGTCGAAGGAGGGGGCGGGGGCGTAGGAGTCAGCGGGGGTGGTGCCGGTGACGGCGTTGAGGGAGGGCTGGGAGTAGGAGAAGAAGGCGGCATCGGAGGGGTAGGGGCGGGCGGGTCGGGGTAGCGGCGGGCGTACATGGGGATGATGGGAGGCGGTGACCGGGGAATTACACAGGCGGGGGCCTATATGTCGCCGAGGGGAGTGGGAGAGGATGCGCGCGGCGGCGGAGGGCGAGATCTGTCGCCCACCCCCGCTTCGTTCTTCGTTCGCCTGCCCTCGCCCACTCCCCCACCGTCGCTGGTGCGCCGAACTGCCTTATCGAGCGAGCTTCTCGTTGCGATTCGCATGTTTGACGGACCAAACACAAGATTGCGATCGGACGGCAGCCCCCAGCGAGATCTGCCCGGCCAGGAACCTGTCTAGGCCCCATTTGCGTAAATGCCCCGACCGGGCCTGTCGGCGAGCTCCCCGAGTGCGCGAGCATGGCCAACGGGCACGTTCCCTTTGCGTTCAGCGCCGCTCAGCGGTGGATCGATTCGAGCGGGCGGCCATTCCAAGCTTGCTTTCGCTGGGTGGCCTCATCGACGACCACGAGCACGAGAAGGAAAGGCAGACCCACCTGTCGCGCGTGCCGGTCGGCCGGTCGTTCTGTGGCCGTTCCGTGGACGGAGGGTCGCCGGGTGCGCTGGCGCTGGAAGTGCTCCTTACATAAGCACGATCCCGCCCCCAGCGGCTGATTGTAGCGGCGGCGGCGCGGGATCGGTTTCGTGGTCCTCTCCCGGCCGTCGGCATCCTCTCGCTCTCATCTCATCTTCTCCTCGACCTCCACACAACACTCCGACCATCGTCAGTGGTCCACCCGTCGAGCTCTGCCGCGTGTACTCGCGTCCCGCTCGCGCGCCCCCCGCCACACGGTTCGCCGAACAGCGACGCGCCGCCACACGACGCGGTCTGCTCCCGCGCCAGCAAAGCCTACCGGCCGCCCTCCGGAGCCAGGCCAGGTCGAATCGAATCGAACGCTTACACCTCCGAACCCGCTCTCCCGGTGCCCGGTCCGCCCGCCCTCGCCCGCCGAGCCTTGCGTCCGCGCGATCCGGGGGCGAACCTAGACCGACACGCACCCCCCGACGCCCGCCGCGGCCCTCATTCGCATCCGCCCGCATGCCGCCGGGAAGCCCTTCTTACCCCCGCAACGAATCCTCGAGTCCGTCCGCCCACGCTCGCCGTCGTGTGCGTTCAGGTTCAGTCGGTTCCAGGACTCTTGCCTGACGGCGCACGACGGTGATGCATTAGCTTCCGGATGGCTTCTGACGGCTGCGCACCGAACCCGCCCGCCCACGCAGCCGCCCGGTCGCAGCTATGACCAATTCGGCTTAATGTGCTGGTTTTGCATAAGACGAGTATGACTGGGCGCCTCCCTCGCTTGTCCCTCCCAATGACGTCACTGTGTTCAGGGGTGCAAGAGGCGCCGGTGTGCGGGATCTGTGGCCGGACTGCCCGCGGGCACTGCGAGCGGACATGTGCGCGCGGCGAGGGCCAGGGCTTATCAGACAAACGACGCCTTCTGGCTTCATCGCGATGCTCAATGTTCACGGCGCAGTGCGCGCACCCTTAAGTGAGCCCGGGAATGACGAGCCGAGGCCAATGCCGCTGGGGCACATCAAGTTTGGTGCAGATCGTGCCGTCACCTACGCCCTCGTAATGCGTGCCGATTCGAGGGGGCCGCGCGGCCGCGAGTGCATCCGGCGACGCGCACAGAGGGCCGTGGACGGGCTGCCAGCGAGTGGCGAGTTCGAACTCTCTATGCCCACACATGCCTGATCCGAGCCTCGATATGGGGCGGGTGGCCGCATGTCGTTTGTCTGATTTCATAGTTCGTTCTCGAAGCCCTTCTTTTATTGCGCCGTGTCTCTTGGCGAATGTGTCGGCTATCGCATGAGGGAGCGGGCCGTCGTCCATAGCTCTGCATGTCCATGACAAGCTAGCCGACATGGTCAGCTTCCACGAATGCTGCACGGCACATATCGAGTGAGCATCCGTGGCCACTGAGTCAGCCGTCGCACCGGCTGCTTTAGCCAGCCCGGGTCCACTCCAGCCCGTGCACGTTCAGAAGGCGGCTCGTACAGAACCGCGGTGGGGCGAAGCTAGCGACCACCGACGTCGCGAACCCCGCACGCACGCGCGCCGTGCTCCGTACGCTTAGTCCACGCGGGGCTCTGTGGCTCTGTGCTGTACCAGACGGTTCTCCCGCGGCGATTTCCCCGAGAGCGCGGTGCGAGAGAACGCAGTCTGTCGGACAGATGCGTGGAGATGGACGAGTCTGCACGACCACGGACGTCTTCCCCTTGGTCTTCGCCGTCGCCCACCCGCACGGCGCGGAGCGTTACTCGCCGAACGAGCCACACCCAATCGACGCGACCCCGCGGCTGAAGCCTAACGCCGCACTGTCTACGCGCAGCAATGAGTATATTGTGTGCATTCAGCCCTGTGCCCGACAGTACCCGCGTGCGACCCACAGTGCTGTGCCAGGGCACCTCAATCCACCGCGCTCGATCGCCAGCCCTAGTGCCAGGCGGCCCGTCAACTTTCGAGCCCAGCGGCGGCCCCGTCGCCTTATCGGGACGGCAAACACGGGTCCGCGATCGTCCGCCGACACAGTTCAGCTGATACTTATTGACTCCGCGGCAGGGCAAGCGGGGCGCGATCGCGGAGGGCGCATTCGACGCCTGCCGGACAACGTTGGAGGTCGACAATCAATGTAATCTCTTCCGTCACGCGTCCGCCGCCCTCCTCGCGCCCGGTTCCCCGCCGCGCCTCGTACGTACTCGCGCTGCCACCAGCCGTGCGCGTGCGCCCCCTCCGCCACGCGTCCTTGCGCTGCAAATCCGATCGCGAAGGCCCTCCTCCCCCACGCCCGGCCAGCGCCGCAGCGCACGCGGGGGTGGCGATAAGCTGCAAGCGCAAGCGTGGGTGGGGCCCAGCCTAGCCCGGGGAGAGGGGATAGCTGCACCTGCGGTAATATTGGCCACGGGGACGAGTGCGCTGCTCATCCTATGCCGGAACACCGTGGGCGTGGTGTCCGCCCGGTCGCTCTGGTCACCAGACCGGGCTGGCACCGCGGACGTGCGCAGTTCGGAGGTCGCGACTGTCCGGAGCGCAAACCCCGGGGCAGCGGGGACTGGGACGAGGGCGTGGACGCGCCGCAGTGATCTGCAGGCTCAAGCTTCTCCGGGGCCCGCGGCTCCTTCTCTTCGACTTCCTCGACGAGCTCGGGAACGCTTCATGATCCTGTCCGAATCGTCTTCAGGAGCGGGTCCAGAGAGTGCGTGCAGCGACTCACCCTGGTTGCAGCACTGGACATAGCCAGGTCGATCGTCGTCCGTCGTGGGTTTGGGCAGAGGAGCGGGCCGCGCGTCCCGGCGGGGCTCCCGAGTCGCGTTCGGTGCAGCGCTCCCGCGCTTCTTGCTCCCACCCGTGAACGTCCTCCACCCCGGGCGGGGCTTTTTGAGCTGCCTTCAACCAACCTTCCAATCAATGCCGTCATTCTGCCGGCGGGCTCTCTCCTTCTCCCTTACGGCCCGTGGTGATCACAAACACAGGCAGATACAAGCCTTCATTGTCTAAAAAAACAAGGCCACAAACCGCCAGCCCCACGCGAGCCTTCCGTCCGCCCGCTCACACGCCTCCAAGTGGGTAGGTTCGAGGGTCCGGACCCGCGCCGTCATGACGTGCGCGCGCGTCGTCGGCGACGTCGGTCCTTGGAACCACCCTCGCGCGCGCGGGGACGCCTCTCCCGTCGTCGCCGCCACCGCCGTCCGGCACGCCCGCACGACGCGGCGGCCTGCAGCGGACACCGATGATCAGCCCCGCGCCCCGCCAGGCTGCAATGCAATCTTCACCGTACGTACGCACGCCCGCACGCCCGCACGCGCGTCCGCCCCGGGACGAGTACGTACGCCCCGAGGTGGGGGCGAAATGAACCCATAGACGGGCCCGTGCGAGTCCGCGCGCCGTCGACGTCGAAGCCGCGAAACCGCTCCCGGCGCGCGCAGGAATCACCAGCGCGGCCAGGCGTCGACATCAACCCCCCCCTCCCCCCTCCCCTCTCTGCGCGCGCCGGCCGGCCGGTTCAGTTCAGTTCGGCGAGCGCGGGAGCGCCGCGCTGTCCCCGCTCAAGACCCCGTCGACGAAATCGACCATCGTCGCAGCTCGAGCGCACGCGCCGCGCCGCGGTTCCTTCCTGCGCGGCGCGTGTCGCCCCCGAACGCGCGCGCAGGCACGCGTCGGTGCGTCGGTGTCCAGCCGTCCCCGCAGTGCCGCCGTCCGCGCTGCACAATCCGCCCACCGACCAGCCGCCGCCGAGGTCGTCGCGCGTCGCTCTTCCCCGCAGCCCCGACGAACGTCGTGCAGAGTGAGATGCCGTCGAGGGTGGCCCACGGTACGATGTCGGCGCTGACGGGCCTTCGCTCGCGCACTCGCCAGATGGCACCTGTCCGGGCGGGCGGGGGCGGGCACGCAGTCGGCGCCGGGCGAGCGGAGACTTCTCGCGCTGCGCGGCCGCGGGTGCCATGGTGGTGCACACGAAGCGAGGCGTCGTTCGTACGACAATCTCGCCGCTTTGAGCGAAAGACACAAGGCGTGCCCGGCGACACAACACCACACACGGTGCCTCCCAGCTGGAGGCGTCGAACGGGCGGATGCACGGCGGCGATGTGGTTAGGTCATGGTCGCGCGCAGCGGTGGTCAGTGGTTCGATCGACGTCATCGACGGCTCATCGACATCGCTTTCTCCCATACCTCTTCGCTGCGCGTGGACGGCGGGTTCGCACAGGAACGGACGGGGGGGACAGCGTGGCCCGGGCGCACACCAGCTTTCGTCCATCCATCTTACTCATTTGGAGGCCGGCGCCCCGAACGGGCGCACCGACTGCCGCATCCAGCCGGATCTGATCGACCCGCGGACAGGGTCCAGCTGGTCGCCGCGACTGCCAGATGCGCCCCCGAACTGAGCAGGACTCTCCGTCCACGCAGGGGCACGCTCCCCCGCGCCTGCGCGCGTCCCGTACGTGCGCGCGCGTTCTAACGCCTTCTCGCCGCGGTCGCCCACCAGCACTCCCGCTCGCCCCGCTGCGTGCGCAGGTCAAGGGAGGCAGACACCCCTGTCTGCGAGCGCATTCAGCGGCGGACCAGGGCCCTTCGCGTTCCCCGCTCCCGTCCTCGCGCGCGTCGCGTCGCCGACAGACAGGACCCGAGTAATTGCCATGCATCTGCACCGCGCATCTCGCCTCTCGCCACGCTCGCCTGCCCGCGACCGCGACCGCGACCTCGCGCGCGGGAAGGCACGGGGACACGGCTAGTCAACTGGCCAGCCCCCGGCCGCTCCTGGGACACCGACCGCGAACTCTAGATAACTCTAGATGTCAAGGCGCTGGCAGATCACGACCCACATATCTGCACATCTGGGACCTGTGGCCACACGCTACCTACCGCGCGCCCGGACCGAGCGAGATCTCAGGCGAGATGCCTCACCATCGCGCGAGCTCGAGGCCGGACCCACCACGGTGGGCTCGGGCGGCACGGACCACCACGCGGGCCGCGCCGCCTCCTGTATGCACGCTCGTGCGCCCCAGGACCACGCTCGAGTCCTCGGGCGCACGGGCGCCCCCCGCGCAGTCGCACGCACGCTCTAGCAGATGGGGGGCGAGCCCGCGCACCAAAAAACGAACGGAGGTCCGCGCGGGTGGTCCTGGTCCGCGGACGTGCGCGCGCGCGCGCCGGCTACTCAACCCTTTGATCGCAGGAGGAGGCGGCGGCGACGGTCGGGAGGGCAGCGCGGCGGTGACGGTGGCTATCTCGCACGCGTGGGTATGTGCGCGGTCGATCGCCTCCGGGAACGCTGGACCCGACGGGTGGTCTGGTAGGCGGCCTGCCCGGTGCGGACGGCCTGTGTGGTCCCCCCTTGATCGCGGTCTAACCAAGCTCCGCATTTGTTCTCGCTACCTCGCTTGAATCTTCGTGTCCCGTGAGCGTTGGACCAGGGGCGCGAGGCCACAGCGAGGGCCGCGGTCCACCTGGCACGCCTGCGGTAGCACATCGCCCACGGCGTGGCCGCGCCCACCGACGGCGGCTACCCGCTTCCCAAACGCAGGCGGCGGGACGGCGGGGCGGCCGTCCACGCACCGCACGCGCGTTGCCTCCTGGTCGCGGACGGCTGGGCCTCACGTACAAATGCACGCCGTGGATCTTCGCCACCCCCAGCCGATCGTGCGTCCGAGGTCCGAGGCGGGCGCACCCCGAGCGTCCGTGCAGGTCGGGCTCGCCTGGGGGTGCGATCGGGGAGTCTTCGCGCGACGTAGCACATACTCCATACGCAGGGTCGCGTCGAGGTGGTTGCGTCCTATGAAGGGGGTCACGACGCTCGACACCAGCTGCAGGGTGGACGCGCCGGACCAGATCTCAGGTCCGTCGCCAGTGCCACGCCTGTGGCCAATCATGCCACGGTCGGTCCAAATGGCCTGCAGCGGGATTGCCGTTCTGCGCGCCGTACGTGTACACAGCCCCACCGCGCTCCCGGAGCAGCCACAGGCCTGGCCGCGAGCAAGGGATGAGAGCTGAGCCAGCGCGACCCGCCCACGAGCGAGAGCTGATCCCAGCGTGGCCCGCCCATGTAGCCAATTCGGGCCGCGAAGGGCTCCCTTCCTCCTCGTCCTCTTCTCCCGCCGCGTCCGACGGCGAGGAACCGCTCGCGTGTCCGCAGACGATCCGCGCGGGTGTGGGCGGAGCGAGGCCGCGCGACCGGGGCGTTCGGGCGAGGCGATCAAGTGGGGGAGGAACGTGGTCCGTCGCCCGGCGGTGCTCGCACCTGCCGCGTTTGCTCTTCCGACCCTGGACGCGTCCGGGCGCGGGGGCGTGCTTCGGAGGGTGACGAGCGCACCGCAGCACGAGGGACGGGCGGGCGGTTCGCCTCCGCTGCGTGTCGGAGGACGGGAGGCACGGAAGACGGTGGCTTTGTTGTCGGTTCGTCGTCCTCTGCTCACAAGAGCGAAAGGCCAGCACGGGCGCGGCTGTAGTCTCGGTGTAAGCCCGTTGCAGACTCGAGGATCGTCAGCACAGTGGGGCCGTCGTCCGCCACGGTCTGGACAGAGACACCCAGAACACACGCACCACCACGTCGCCCGTGGGCACCACAGACACAGTCCCCGCTCGCCCGGGCGCGTTTGTCCCCGCCTGCAGAGAACCCGCCCGGACGGGAAGCGCACCTGCCCCCGCCCGGCGCACGAATGGCGCAGATCGCCTCCCGTGCGGGTGGGCTCGCCTCGGGTCTTGGGGCGCGGACATCCCGCGTGCCACCGGCATTCAAACCGGCCAGCGGCACGGGCGTGCTCGGACCGCGGTCGCGACGGTCGAGCGTTCAAGCTCGAGAGTCGAGGCCCGTGTGTCCGTCCCGAACGACGGCTGCGGCCGCCATGGTATCCACGGCTCATCACCGGCGTGCGTGTGCTCCTCTCCCGCGGCCGCGGCTCTGAAGGGGGCGAGAGATGGCGGAGCGTGGCGGTTTGCGTCAAACGAGGAGAGCAAGCGGAGGCTAGGCGGTGGGGTGCGTGGTACTGTGAGCGAGGGACTCTGGATACCAGTCGGGTGAGCAGGTTGTAGTCGAATTCAGGCGCTCGATCGGAGCTTGCGGCAAGCTCCAGCAGGGAGAATGCTCACGGTCACGTGTGGTTGCTGGTCGATCAAAACGACCCGGTGAGTCAGAGGCTGGCCACTCAGTATCTCTCTTCTGTCAGTGACTATGTGCCCTACTTATGTCACGAATTCGCCTCAGGATCAGGCACTCCTCTCCCACCCGGCGATGGATCGTCGCCGGCTTCTGAGATGCGATCGTCGTCAGGGCCGTTCCCGAGATGACCGACGAACACAAAGGAGACGTGAATAATGAGGGATCCCTTCTCCATCCTCCCTTTGTATGCCCACCCGGACAGGTAGGCCGCTCACAGCCTCTCCGTCGAGTCTGGTCGTTGCTGACCGAGACCACCGAAGCGGTCGGGACACTGTCAAGAGTCTCCGCGTCAAACGCGTGCGATTTGCTCGCAGACGTAAACCTGCGCCAGCGGAACGCCAGGTACGGACCATCGTCGCCTTCTGCGAAGATTTCATGTCGCTCAAAAATTTTCCGCCAAGCGGCATACGCGCACCCAGGGGTGGATCAGTGGGTACCTGTTGGGACATCGTTATCGTCAGTCATCTTGCCGCGAGATACGCTTCCAAGTTGCCGCAGCGTCCCCTTGACAAGGATGGCATCGTTTGGAGAAGACCTCTATGAATAGAAGGTTGAAATGGAGGCGCCTGAGCATATCGTGCGCCCAGCGTCCTATTTGCTCATCAACTATCAGCCGCACTAGAAGGATTCGAGGATCTCGCGCCTCTCTTGTGCTCGGGCGGATTCTGGCGGAGTCCTCTTCCTCCGAGTCGCGACACCAAGAAAGCATCGATATGGACGCGGCTCCATTCCGTTTCAACTTAACACCCCAGTCACTCCCAAGACCCGCTCGCTATGGCGTCGCGCCGTTGTCTGCTCTCACAGCCAACCTTGTTCATTCGGTCTACTATCAACCCGATGCCAGATCTCCAACGGCAGATGCGGTTGCATGAAAAGTCATATCTAAGATGCCGAACTCACGGGGTGTTGGTAATGTGACTGTTTACTTCTCTCCAGCGACCGAATCGATCTTCTGACGGGCTCATGGGCCGTCACCTGGTATCTTCCATGTCTTCCGACCGCATTGTGTGTGGTTCTAATATAACCTTGTTTGCCATCTTCTTACACTTGGTCGACCACATCGCTGCCTCAAGGCAATGATCCCTAAGAACATCCGACGGTAAGACTGATAGAACGCGACGGGAGAACATTCGCTGATTACAATTCTAGCCCTGATCATGGAAGTCGCGCCACATTAATGTCCCTCGCGCGAATTCGAGTCGCTCCGAGAGCGCTTCGAAATCCGAGTACAGCTTGACACTCGGAGTCTCGGACACCGCCTTGTGAAACGTGACACACTCTCGCAACGTCGGCGCTACCATCCTCTTAAATGCGACCTGTGCAGCGCAATAGGGGCTTCTTTCCGTTCTCATCGCCTCATCCGCCATGTGCTCGTTCGCCACTCTCCCTGCCGAAGTACTCGACATGGTCCTCCGATCCGTCGACGACGACACGCTCTGCAGCTGTTCGCTGGCGAACCGCGCGCTCACGGCCCCACCCGCCGCTTCCTCTTTCGCGGCGGTGGAAGCGTCAAATCGCATCGCAAGTTCGACGAGTTACGAATCAGTGGAGACACCTCCATGGTCGCCCCCTTCCTCTGCACGCTTCGCCTGCTAGAGCGCAAGGAGGACGTCCACCCGTGGATCCACGTCTTTCCGTTCATATTCCCCAAACACCTCTCCGCCACCCGCCACCTCACCCTGTCCGGTATCAAGTTCGACTGCAGGCCCCTGCATCCTTGGAGCTTCCAAATTTTCGGCCTTTATCTCGCCTCTCTTACCGACCTCACGATAGACCACGGGAGCTTCTATGACTTCGGGGAGTTCCAGAGGTTGATCGGTGCGTTCGGCAAGCTCGAGGCCCTCAGGATTGAAAACGTCGGCTTCCTCGTGGCTCCGCAGCGCTCGACCTCTGCACATGTTCCTGACTTTCCGCCAGTCACCTTGTTCTGGTTCGATTCGAAGGCGATCTCGAGCAGTCAGCCGCAAGAGAACTCTAGCGCAGTAGCCGCAGTCCTGGACTGGATCCTGCACCCCTCGGCAACGGCGACCTGCGGCACTGCGCCGCGCGCTCCGCCCGGAGAACAGCCTGGCGATACACAGCCTGCTTCCCGGAGCATCCGAGACCTGATGCTCTGGCCGCAGAAAGCTGACACGATTTCTGCTCTGCAGTCTCTCATGCACTCTCTGGGGCCGAGTCTGGTGAGCTGCAGCTCTCCATGCGCGAGTGGACTGGAGGTCTGATCGCCCGGGATCCGATGCCGATCGATCGACGCTGACGCCCTTCTCTCCAGGTCTCTGCATCGATCTGTCTCGCCAGCTCGAGCTGAGGGGGCTGCACCTCCGCGACGTCCACGCTGGGAACTACGCGCACCTGGACCGCGTGCTCCGCAGCCTCCCGCGGCCCGCGCTGCTCAACACGCTCGTCGTCGATCTGCACCTGTGCTCGTCTGGGGAGCTGCCCGTGCCGCGGGCGTACTGGGAGGAGCGGCTGAACTTGCTCTTCGAGAACGTCTTCGCCGGCCTCGCGCTGCTCAGGATCTCGCTCGACGCCCCCCTCGACCGCCCCTCGGATCACTGCCACGCCGATTTCCCGCAGCTGCTCGACACCCTCCGGAGCTGGATGCCTGCCTCCCTTCTCAACAGGCCTGGACTCTGGCTCTCCGGGCCTCTTCGCTTCGTCCTCCCCTCCCCCCTCCCCAGCACACTCCAGGCGCCGGACGGCGTCTCCAATGACGATGAACTCCCCCATGACTTCCCCAGTGACGACTCCTCCGGGAATTCCCACGACAGCAACATGCTTGAGGTTGTTGGTCCCAGTGTACTCCACTCGACGCATGGAGACACCACCCCAGGAGGCCATTGCCATGGAGATAGCCCATCCAGGGAGTGGACGGCCTCGCATCTGTCAAGAAGCTCGAGCTCGACCACATTCACGTGAGCCTAGCCGCTTGAAACATATCTCGTGTGAGGCGCCGCTCTGCACTAGTCTCCTTGTCATCAGATCACTGACAAGTTGGGATCTGCAGATTTATACGCCTCCGTTCCCGAGAAAGACAAACGACATACCCTCCCATCCTGCCCTTTTCACCCCCATCACCCTACCCAGGGAAGGGGAACGTCGCAGGGCTCTTGAACCCATTCTTCCCCACCGCCCGCACCCCAAACACCGCGTTGTCCTTCGACACCAACACCGTCGCGCGGTCCACCAAGCCCACTGGGATCACCGTCGTCCAAAACGGCGCGTCCGTCGGGCGCCACAGCACCTCGTACCCCGCCACGTCCCCCGCCGCGTCCCCCGCCCACGCGAGCGTGCTGTTGTTCGTCAGCACGCTCGTGTCGATCGTCACGTTCTTCGGCGTGCCCGGCGCGTGCGCGAGCGCCCAGACCGCGGCGGCGTTCACGCGCGCGACGCGCGCGTTGAACGCCGCGTCGCAGAACTCCTGCAGGTCCCCGAACTGCTCGCCCGTCGCCGCGTCGACGCGCACGTCCTGGTGCTGGTGCGCGAAGTTCTCGTGCGGCTCCGTGAAGCGCGCGGCGGGGAAGCCGCGCTCGAGGAACGGCTCGTGGTCGCCCCCGCGGAGGTACCGGTCCAGGCGGTAGATCACGCGCACTGCACGGGCGCGGGCGCGGGAGCCGGGGACCGCGAGCGAAGGCGACGGCGCAGAAGCGGGTCAGCGCGCACACGGGACGGACGGACGGACGGCGCACGCACCGGTCATGTTCGTCGCGGCGTTCGTCGCGACCTCGTGCACGAAGCGCGCGAGCTCGCGCGCGGGGCTGTCGTTCTCGCCCCCGATCGACTCGCGCCTCGCGGTCGTCGCCGCGGACTCCGTCGTCGGCATGCCCTGCGCGAAGAGCCGGATCGAGAACGGGTCCGCCGCGCCCGCGTCGCCCTTGCTCGCGCCGACGATGTCGTTCGTGAACATCCCCTGCACGTCCGCGCCCGCGTCCTTCAGGAGCCCCGCGAGGTGGTCCGACCCGAACAGGCCCTGCTCCTCGCCCGCGACGGCGGCGAGGACGATCGTCGCCGGCGGGGCGCGCGCGCGGCGAACACGCGGAGGAGCTCGAGGACGACCGCGACCCCGGAGCCGTCGTCGTCCGCGCCCGGCGCGTCGTCGACGAAGTTCGCGATGTCCGTGTTCCGCGAGTCGTAGTGGCCGGAGACGACGTACACGCGCCCGGCTCCGCCGCGCCGCGGATCGTCGCGACGACGTCCGTGATGTTCACCGCGAACAGGATCTCGCCCGTCGGCGGCTGGACGTAGCTCGGGGCGGTGACCGCGACGTGCGGCGCGCCGCGCGCGAGCGCGCGCATCTCCTGCACGAGCCAGTCGCGCGCCGCGCCGATCCCGCGCGCGGGGTCCGTCTGCGACGAGAGCGTGTGGCGGGTGCCGAAGGAGACGAGCTTGGCGATCGTCGCGTTTATCCGCGCGGGGTCGATCTCGGCCAGCATCTGCTTGAGCTCCGCGGTCGGGGCTTGCGGGACGAGCGCGCTGCCGGGGCCGGGCGGCCAGATCGCTTCGGTGTCGCACTGGCGGGCGAAGAGATGGCGGGGCGCGTTCAGCGGGGAGCCGTCCCTGGGGAGTGGGGAGCTGCTCTGGGGGGTCGAGGCATTGGCGAGGGAAAGGGAGGCGAAGGCGAAGGCGAGAAGCCCACTGGCGAGGTGGAGTGGGCGAGAGAACATGTTGCACGTTCGCGTTCTTGGGTCTGGGATGGAGAACCTGTTCTTATACTCATCCTCTGCGCCGTTGAGGTGGATCAGAAGCCGCATCTCTTGTCATTTTCATCCTTCTAGTACATCCTCCGAGGTGTCTGAGCAGGAAAGACCATATGGTCGAACGAAGATAGCAGCGCCGCGGGGGAGCGAGTACCTAGAAATACCACGCTTTTTCTGGTGCTCCTGTGTGAAGGTTCGGTGTGTGAGGTCACGCGCTGGACTAGACGGAAGGGCGTGGGTGCCATTGACATCTAAGTCCGAAATTTACGTTACCTCGTGAGAAGCAGGGCAAGACTTCACGCGTGGTCTGCACCCGTGCAGGTAGATATGTTTGCTTTGAAGTTCGCATGGTGTGAGACATCTGTCGTCATGCGATGAGATCTATGACTTATGTTAAAAGGTTGTCGGTGATTCATCATGCTATTGTGTCACTTACTTCTGAAGGCGCCAGAGCCGCGTTGCCGGGGGATAATGCTTCAGAGTGAACGCGGAGGGGGAGAGAGCGATGGAGAAGGGACGCTCTCTGTCGAAACCACGGGTTGTCATATGGTCGACGACGACCTATGCGTCGCACGACACATCGATCAGCCAGCACTCGTCTGGCACACAGGCAGGCACAAACGCAAACAACCCGTGAGCTTTCATCGCCTGTGCGCGCGATGCAGGAGGAGCTAGAGGTGAAATAGAGCGGGCGTAAGGAGAAGAGGCGGTGCAGAAGGGATGACGTACCACTAGAAGACCCATCGGCGTTCATCGCAGTAGCAGAGCAAGAAAAGGGGCGGGAGAAGGTGCATGCATCTCGTCTTTAACGTCTTTGAATCTGGGTGAGATATCGAGACACGAACATTGAGCTGAACGTCTACACGGTGAGCGGGAGACGCTGGTAGATGGGGCAGAAAGATATGGATGGAGACAAGAAATAGCAGTGGCGGGTGTCAACCGGGAGAGAAAACGTGGGTGAGTACGAACAGAATGGAAAGTCTCGAGGAGCATCATGGAGGCTTATAACACGCTTCTTCGATTGAATATTGACCAGTGAAGGAACCGAATAAGGACCTGCGAAGAAACCGCGTTTTATTTGACCTGTGCAAGTACTTACTCTGTTCTCCTCCCCGCGCACGCGCCATGTACGAGACACCCAGTGTCCCACTCAACGACACCAGCGTCATCTTCCTCCATCAAGACGACCTTGGATCCTCGTCCTCGTATGTCGTGCAAATTACCCTCAAGTCCGCGGAGTGCGCACACAGGTCCATACGAACAGATGATGCATTAACAATATGAAGACAGACCTGAAAGCCCCGAGTTCCTCCACACATACGCCGCAGTGCAACATGAGTTGAATGTACGCGCTTTCCTTTCGAGCCCAACCCGCATATAACCAGGCTAAGAGCCGTGCGCTGCTCAAGCAATTCATCTTGCAATACGTCAGCGCGCACCTGAAGCACCCGATGCCGGAGTACGCCTGCTTCGAAGGGGCGAACTATGCTTTGGAAGCGCGTGAGTACGAATGACCACTCAACGACTCTGATGTGCAGACCTATTCTGACGGTGTCCTAACTTCGGCTCACTTCTACGCGCTGCACAGGTCGAGCGCCGTGGATCTTCGGACAAAGTGTGGAGTTTGTGTGGGGTAAGGAGAAGCTGAAAGCATGCGAAGACAAGTGGGTATTCGTGTTCGAGGCTGGTGGTAGCTCGGGGGCGGACACGGATTGAGGTTGGAGCTTGAAGGGTGACTATTGTTTCAGACCTCTACTCACCGGGTCGTGCAGCGGCGCTGAGCCTATTTCTGGCTCTTCACGGGCTCTCAACCAAGTTCACGCTCCCGTATCCAGGAAATCTTCACAATCTGGCTGATGTTTGACCCTGTCAAATGAGGCAGGAACGAGGTCTGCTGAGTGCTCGCAAGAAGTTGATTCCGAGAGGTGGAAATTGGCTTAAGATTGTTGGCTATTCGCCGAAGTTGAGACGTAAGTGTGTTGCGAGCATGACAACAGGAGAATGGTCGGCGAGAGGAAGCTGGGACAAAAGAGGCGAATGGATCCAGTTGTCGGCTACAGGCGACCTGGCCTAGACCGTCCTGGACGCGAACCATCGTCCGGATGGTGAGCGGCCCGGGCGGGCCGACAAAAAGATGTGGCATCCGGGCCGGGGCAGCGGCGGGCCGGATGGACGCGATGACCAGGAGACGGTCACTGGGCTCGACCTGTTAAAAGCCTACCACCACTGTCATGCGCCCCTACTCCTCCTCCTCCTCGCCTTGCTGCCTCGCAGGAAAACGGGAAAACCGCTCAAAATGTCTCCCAAAATCGTAGGATACAAGACACATGGTACCTACACATTCGCCCGATGATACATCCAATACCAACTTTCGCCCACAGACATCCGCTTCCCGACGTCGCTCAGCGGAGATGGCACGGATGCCATGAACACGGATTGCGACTACTCGTCGGCATACGTGAAGCTCTACACCGACTCTGAACTCACCGGCTTCGGTATGACATTCACCATCGGGCGCGGTAACGACATTGTGTGCATGGCAATCGAGGAGCTGTCCAAGCGCCTCATTGGGAAGGACACTGAGGAGATCTTCGGCAACATGGGAAAGACATGGGACCATCTCTCTGCAGATTCTCAGCTTCGTTGGTACGTATCATGCGCATATACCCAGGTCCATCATCTCATGCCCCCCAAAGGATCGGGCCCGAAAAGGGTGTGATCCATATCGCCCTTGGTGCTGTGAACAACGCGCTCTGGGACATGTTTGCTCGCGCGCGCGGAAAGCCTCTGTGGAAGCTAGTGGTTGATATGACCCCGGTAAGTGCGCTACGTTCGTGTCTTCTTCCGCACCCCTCACCTTCTCCACCTACCCCCCTTCCTTCTACAGCAAGAGATCGTGGACGCGACCGCATTCCGTTACATCACGGATGCGCTCACGCGCGAAGAGGCGCTTGCGATGCTCACGGAGAAGGCTTCAACACGTGCGGAGCGCGAAGCTAAAGTGCGCGAGCTCGGCTACCCCGCATACGTCACTTCCGCCGGCTGGCTTGGCTACAGCGACGAGAAGGTCGCGCGCCTCACGCGCGAAGCGGTCGAGGCCGGCTTTAACCACTTCAAGATGAAGGTCGGCGCCGACCGGGACCACGACCTGCGCCGAGGCAAGATCATCCGGTCAATCATTGACGACCCGCAGTACCTCCCCGCGGGGACGGAGCCCCGCGACCCGAACGGTCCCGGCCTCGTTGGCAAGAATGCGGGCCCCACCGGCAGCGTCCTCATGATTGACGCGAACCAGGTGTGGGACGTCCCTCAGGCGATCGAGTACGTGAAGAGCTGGAGGAGATTAAGCCTTGGTGAGAATCTGCAACATGATCGCTGATTTCATTAGTTGTTATGCTCGCCGTTCTGACATTACCTTCATCCAGGTTCATTGAGGAGCCCACTGCGCCGGATGATGTCCTCGGCCATGCTGCTGTCCGGAAGGCTCTCAAGCCGTACGGCATCGGCGTCGCAACTGGCGAGCATGCCCACAACCGCATGATCTTCAAGCAGTTGCTTCAGGCGGAAGCCATCGATGTCTGCCAGATCGACTCGTGCCGTCTGGCCGGTGTTAGCGAAGTGCTGAGTGTTCTTCTCATGGCGGCCAAGTAAGCGTCCACCCATTCTGTTTCAGGTTCGTCAATGCTTACACTCAATCCCGCAGGTTCGGAGTTACCGTCTGCCCCCACGCCGGTGGAGTGGGTCTCTGCGAGTATGTCATCCATCTCAGGTACGTCAGCGATACCCCCTTGTGAGACCGCGATCCAAATGCTGATGGAGCTGTGCACTCACTCCCGGTCCATACCTACTTGTGATCGTCCCTTCGCGTATCTTCTACTCGCGTTCCCGATCCCAATGGTTGACACGGAAACACCGCACCGCACGGTCACTTCGACTGTCACAGTCTGATCGACTACATCGCCGTCTCAGGATCGATGGAGCGAAATGTCCTGGAGTTCGTCGACCATCTGCACGAGCACTTCCTGTACCCGTGTTCGATCAACAAGAATGGGAGGTACAACGTGCCCAGCAACGACAAGGAGGGTTACAGGTACGCCACTGGCATATCCCTGTGGTCGATCTCCATTAACGTGCGATATCTGCCCCCTCAGCATCGAGATGCACGAGACGAGCATCGACGAGTACGAGTGGCCCAACGGCTCGTACTGGAAGGGCCGCGCTGCGCAAGGCGCGTAATGTCCCGACGAGCCTATGGCCGACTCCGGGTGGGAAGTAGTGTTAAATCATTTTTTACCAGTGTACTATATGTCGAAGCTTATGATAGATTTTCGGGCATGCTACCTCAGCGCTGCACCCGCGATTCGCCGCAACACGCGCGCGTACACGAGGGGTATGCCTGTCTTGCTGCCTGCGGGCTCACCCTGCCTACTGCGCTGGACAGGTTCGGCCGGGGTCTAGCAATGGAAGGTTAATCGGTGCAAGTCTTGACTTTGAGTTCCCGATCTGCCGAGAGACATCCTTTCGAATGTCTCATTCGAACTTAGACGTGACGGCATCGTCGTGCGCAGCACTCGAATCCGTCTCGCAGGTCACCAGGTTCTCCTCGAGCAGCTGGCAGCCATGCGCCCCGGCGTCGACGACTCGGGCAATATACGGGAACACCCGGGACCGGATCGCGGCGCAGGTCCGAAAGACGATACCTGTGCGCGATCGTCATCGAACGGGTACGTAAGGCACAACAACTGAGTACTGATGAGTAACGCAGGGACCAGCGCGCCCAGGGTCGGCATCGCTCGTAACGCTTGGTAAGTAACGGCACACCGCATGTTCCCGACCTCGTTCCAAATCCATCCCTGGACGCGACTGCACAGCCTTTGTAAGTGCGTGAGTATTACTCGTGAGGTTCATGGGTGTGGCCTCGCCCGGCAGGACGGGCCACGCCCACCTGCCACCTGCATACGCAAGCCCACCCATGCACGGCGCGAGCCAGGGCGAAAGATGGAACCGTTTCAGCCAAGGGATCCCATATGCGCACGTCACAAACACAATTCGTATATAGTGCCGGCGACTTCGAAGCACTGGGGACCGATTTCGAGATCCCGCAGGTGCGGGCACTGTGTGTTTGAGAGGCACCAGGAAAAAAATGCGCGCGTAAGCCCCTCCCGACGCGGTCGACGTCACGGCGTGTGGTCATGTCCGCACGCGGTTCGACGGGAGCCGGAGGGGCGTGCGGCGTGGCGGGAGAGGTGTGCACGCCGCGCTCGTCCACGGGAGCAATCGCGCATGAAACAGCGCCTTCCAGACTCCGGAGCATGCACAGGCTCTTGCAGCAGCAGCACGCCATCGAAAGTCCCGGCGGCCCGCGCGCTGCGAGTGCGGATGACACTAGTCGTAGCGCCATGGCCCGGCGAAAGTGACTCGGGCTCGCGCGTGTGATGCCCGGAAGCCGTCGCGGCGTCCGTGCAGCGCGAATGTGATATACCGTGTTTGCACAGATGTGTCAGAGGCCAGAGCGACCAGCCGCGTGCGCACGTCCCCAGGATCTGCCAGACTTGGGCGGCCGGCGCGAGGAGCAGATGGCTTGTGTCCGAGTGCGCATGCGTAGCGAGGCCGCCGTGGGTTCCCCCACGCGTTCTTCGACGCGGACGTTCTCAGAACCGTTTTGGCCACACAGTGACGACAGTGACACAGGACGTGAAACCATCAGGCGCGTACCAGTGGAATGCCGAGTCGACGCGCGTCATTGTGGACGGGGTGGTGAGGAGCGTTGATGCGGATGAGTGATGTGCAAAGTGTGGCCACGCGTCGACGGATGACAGATTCCGAAGGTCTGCGCAACATTAGAACAATCTATAGTCTACAACACAGTCCGGTGGCTGCTCTATTGTACAGAAGGGGGTGAGTATGCGTTGGGCGCAGGCAGAGCACAGGCGCAAACAGAGCGGAGAGCGGCGAAATCGAGTGCCCCGCGTGTGGCGGGTGCGCGGGAGGACAGTGGACACAGGACAGAGACTGAGTGGGGAATGCGAGAGGCTCAGTGCATGAGCTTCATCACCTACAATTAGTACTGCGTCAGCGTACACCCTTGCAGTCGCGATCGCCTAAGCGCAGCGCACGGCACAAAAACGGCGATGGGAATGGAGGAGGAAGCAGCGACGCACCGCAAGCCTGCCGACAAACACGAGCAGCAGCCGGACGAACTCGTCCCGACGGTCGACGAACAGCGCGTGGCCGGCCTCCGCGAGCACGTGCGCCTCCGTGTTGCGAAAGTGCCCGCTGAGCCCGCGCACGACCGCCGCCCCGTCGACGACCGCGTCCGCCGCGCCGACGAGGAGCAGCATCGGGAGCCCCCGCCGGCCCGCGTCGAGCAGGCGCGCGACCGAGCACGGGCGCGATAACAGCGCGGCGGTCTCCTCCGCGTCCTGCGCGACGCTGCGGCCGAGCCACGCCGCGCGCATGGCGACCGCGTCTGCGGTGCGCTCCCCGGGAGAGAGGATGGCGTCGACAAAGTCGGTCTTTGTGCGCCCGCACGCCGCGGCGTCGCGGGTCGTCCTGAGCGCGTCGATGAGCGCGCGGCCGCGCGCGGTAAACGTGTGGCCGAGCCCATGCCCGAGGTCGAGCGAGGGTGCGATGGCGACGAGGCCAGTGAAGGAGGGTGGCTGGAGATGAGCGCAGAGGTCGGCGACGACGGACGCTGTGCACCGGGTGCGAACACGCAGTCAGCCCGTGATCGTGTGTGGTAGCGGTGAAACGTACAACCGAAGCCCCTGCGAAAGGAGAGTTGGTTGGCGTGGATAGAAGCACTCGTTAGTGGACAAGACGCGCACCATGCGACCACGATGGGTTTGTGGAGTCCGAACGCGTCCGCGACGGCGGCGAAGTCCGCGGCGTAGAGGCTGGGTAGCTGGTCGCCTTGGCTTCTCACGCATCCGCTTCGTCCGTGACATCGCAGGTCGTACCGTACCTGGGCGATCGCAAAAAGCGTTAGTGAGCGATGGATAGAAAGAAAAGTGGAACCCGCAATGAAGAGGTAGTCGGTCAATCGTGGGTCGTCAAAAAGCCCGTCGAAGACCTGGGCGGACAGCGTCGCCTCGTGAATGAACACGACATGCGGGTTTCGTGGGTCTCCCACAGCCTCCGCGTGGATGTGAGTGCCATCGGTGGAGCGCGGAGTTCTGACCTGGGGCCGCATGAGGAGGGCCCAGCCGCGGAGAGAGAGGAGGGGGAGGATGGGGGGGACCCGCCTGTCCGACGGTGCTTATATACGGCCCCGCACTGATCACTCAAATTGCCCGCATCCGAGGAGACTCTAAATGAAAGGGGCGAAGGCCGACTGCACCGACACCGCCACGGGTGCTGGCCCCGACGGACTCGCAACGCGGCAAATGACACATACGCGATCTGAGCGGGTGAGCGCGGGGAGAGGGGGGAGGACCTGAACGACCGGGGCAGGGCATGGCGCGAGGGTCCATCGGGAGATTCAGATTGGGTGTGTCGATCAGATTTAGATCGCACCCGGCGGCGGGCTGCGCGGTGCGGATGAGATGCGCGGGACCCGTCCACTGCCGGTCGGCGGATGGGCGTGGCTTGGGGGCGCGCGCCCAAGCGCGGGCCACAGGATGGATGGGGGACAGTGAAGCGCGCGTTGAAGCCTGCGGTTTAGCGTCCTGTTTGCATCCGATCGCGTCAACACACCCAGTAAGCTGCCTTCTCGTCGACCCGACTGGGACCCGCGCGTACACCGTCTCCGTCTCTCACCGCATGGGATGACGTCGGGCCGAGTTTGTACCTCAGTGGGGAAGCAGTTTTCTGTTTAGGGCAGGCCGAGTGTGCGAGGAAGGAGGGTGGCGTGTACGACGGTCATCGACCCAGCTCTCCTGCGCGAGTGCGCGGTCACCGTCGTCCAGGTCAATGGATAGTTCAATGTCCTGGATGCAAGTCGGTCGGTAAGCGTCAATAATATCGCGGAGTGGAACAAAAAAGCACACCAAGCAGCGCTCATCCCGGGGAGAACGCTCGCCGAGCGCGATCCGTGGTTCATTGCAGCATGTCATCAACGCGGCATGTCCGCGGGCGAGGTAGAAGGGAGCGAGCAGTCCTCCCGAGCAAAGGCGCGCAGAAGACGATGCACATGGTGAAAGCAAGCAAGGAAGAGAGCGGCTAGCGTGTGAGTCTCTGACGTGGTTTGCCATTAGCTCCGAAGGCGGCCCTGTGTCCACCCGTGCTTAGCTCCTGCCATCAGTCAGCGGCGCCCATAGCACGGATGAGAGCTGCTCAGTAAACGTACCTCTGCCTGCGGATGCATTCTTCTTGACGCTTGTGAGTCAGGCTTGGCCGCCCAGGCGTCATCGTGGACGGGCCGGCGTACGCAAGGATCACCGCATATACTTGATCGGAGGGATGTTCAGCTGACTTGGCTCCAGCATCGTACGCAATTCATGAGAATCAGAACGACGGCGATAGCAGCTTCGCATGCCGAGGACGATGCAAAGGTATTCGTTCCTGTGAACCAGGACGTCAAAGATCGTTATTTGAGGCTATGCTTGGGTAGAGGGCATCAAGCAAACCTCGGGCCTCGGCCGATTCTCGTGGAGTGACGGGCTACTCGGAAATCGACGATGAAATAGAGCGCTGTGTTCCGTCTTCTGTCCCGGTGTTTGATTCTAGTGAATTATCGATGAAGTTGTGACGCGAACTTACGAGGTTGAAGATTCAAGTAGGGTATCCTGGGCGGACGGCTCAACGACGGGTGCACGGGCCGGACCAGTCGATGGTGCCTGGAATGAACGATCAGGGTGCGGGACAGTCAGAGAATGCCCAAGCACGGATCCTACAGGTGCATGAACCCCTCGAAGAGACCACGGTCGGAGAGTGTCGGGGGTCCTAGTTCGTGACGGCGGCCATTTGTCGCGCGGAATTTGGCCTTCAATGCGGACGTCTATGTCGTCAACGTAGCAAATAGCTGGCGAGGCCACGCGTCCTTTGGCCACAGGGCCGGGAAGCCGCGACAATTGCAACGCGTTTCGCGGGCGTGCAGGTCGCCGGCCGGAGAGGAGGTGGTAACAGTCGTACTGCGCACAGGCGCGCACCCTGTCCGAAGCCCGATGCAAGGGGTGGGCCTATGCTGCGGGAACGCGTGAATATACGCAATTCCTGTCTTCACTGGCGCCGCGGTACTCACTCGCTTCGCGGAGAACAACATCCCAGCGTACGTGTTCCGAGATCTCGTCGACCTTGGCCTTCCGGTGGCGATCTAGCCGGTGGATGCGTGCGGGGAAGTGGAATCCACCAGCACGCTGCTCGTACGGGTGTGGTAGCCGACATCGCTCGGGCTCCGCGCATGAGTCCAGGGTCGTGCCGAACTTCTGGGGCTCCTGGGCACGCTTTGCAGCCCATCCAGTGTTTCGGCTTTGTTGAGTAAGTCTCAGTGCTCCACAAAAACACAAATAGGAAACTCACCGCGGCCTCAGACACATGATACCGGTCATATTGTGACGATAGTCGGGGGAACATTGCAGTCTGCTGGCAGTGGCCGAGGCCACCGTTCGCCCGACAAAGCCGAAACCGGCGCTACGTAAGAGCGCCCCCGAGAAATTTTCGCGCCCACTAGTACAGCTGTAACAAATCGATAGAGACCTCGGCTTCGCGCACATACGCGGTCCGCTGCGGCGGGCCTCGAAAAAGAGCGACCGCGCACGCACACAGGAGCAGCGGAACAGAGCGGAGCGGGAGCGACCCTGGCTGCCTCGCGCAAGCGTCGCTTTTTCGAGCTCCACCGTGTATGTGCTGTATGTGCGCATAAGCTCATATATGATAACACAATTGGTGATTGCACTGTGTCGCCGCGCAACTCTCCATCCACCGACAAGTTCGAACACACAAAGCCTTCTTTGACACTGGCCGCAGCCATCCACTCAATTCAAGCTCTCACACCAAGCCAGAGATAGAAACAGAAAATGCATTGCAACTAATCTACATGTACAAAGCTGGCGACAAAAAACATCCATCAGACAAACGCCCAACTCGCTGGTTCGCGCCCCACTCCACCCCGAAGGGAGAGCGGAGGCGCGATCCAAACGTCCTCGCGACCGCACAAGGCGGCCATGTGCTCGGTTATACGAGTGGGCGCGGGTTCATCGACTGGATGAGAAGGATGTGGCATGTGTAAACATGCGAGACTCGAGTTAGTACCTATAAAATAGATCCTAGCTGAGTATGTTCTGAGGAAACAGCGAAGCAGGCGGCCAACCTATATAGGCGTTGAATTTAGGGCCGGTCGCCAGGGAGCAGGCAGGTGCCCGGGCCGGCGCTCCTGCGCATCGCGGTGGCTCACAGTCACCACGCTCAGCATGCACATCACTTGTCCAACCCTCTCGCCACCGTCTCTCCCTTCTCCATCTCTGAAACCGAAATCTCTCCTACACTACACTCCACAGATACAAGCACCCATTTCGTCATGTCGATGAAGGCCTACCTCGCAGAAAAGTACATGTCCGGACCCAAGGCGGACGCCATCCTCTCCAAAGTGAACCCGCCGAAGAAGAAGAAGCGCAAGGCCGCGTCCGCGGCCACCCCGGCGCGGGCTCCTCGTCCATCAAAGACGACGACCTGACCGGCTGGGGCGACGTCCCGCGCGACGGCGAGGACGAGGACGACGCGGCGGACGCGGTTGTCGCGGCGGACCGCCGGTTCAAGAAGCGGCAGCGCACCGACGCGGACTCGGGTTGGCAGACCGTGCGCGGCGGGGAGGACGGGGAGGACCCCGCGAAGACGCCGCCGCCCGCGGAGGACGAGCAGCCGCAGGTGGTGGAGGCCGAGCAGCCGTTCAAGGGCGGGCTCCTGACGTCCGCGCAGCTCAAGAAGCGGCTGCCGAAGGCGAAGCGGGATGAGAAGAGCAGGGAGGAGGAGGAGGCGGAGCGCGCAGCAGCTCAGGAGACGGTCTACCGTGACTCGTCGGGGCGGAAGGTGGACATGGCGGCGGCGAAGGCGGAGGCGGCACGGCTGAAGCGGGAGAGGGAGGAGAAGGAGGCGGCGAAGATGGAGTGGGGGAAGGGTCTCGTGCAGCGGGGTGACGAGGAAAAACGACGACAGGAGGAGCAGAGGATGCGGGGGACGGCGTTCGCGAGAACAGTCGATGACCGGGAACTCAACGAGCAGCAGCGGGCAGAAGAGAGGTGGAATGATCCCGCCGCGGCTTTCTTGATGGTCCGTCTGCTCTCCGGGGTTGGTCGGGTAGAATGAGCTGATCCATTTGCCTCTGTTCACAGAAGAAGAAGTCGAAAGGTCCTCGGAAACCAGAATACACTGGTCCACCACCTCCGCCAAACCGGTTTGGCATAAAGCCGGGATACCGCTGGGATGGCGTCGGTATGTCACACTGCTCAGTACGTATGGTCTCACACGGCGCTGACCAGTACTATCTACGGCAGATCGCAGTAATGGGTTCGAAAAGCGATACTACCAAAAGCAGAACGAGCGACGGCGGAGGGGGGCCGAGAGCTACGAATGGAGTGTGGACGACATGTAGTCGGCCGCGTTCTTGCTCCGCCCCGCTCGCGTTCCGACGCCGCTTCCGACGGGAGATCGTCAACTCCATAGTCCAAGGTCCCAAGGAATTTGCTAGCCGTTCCTTGGAGGTGTCCAGGACAGTCGGACAGCCGCGGCATGCCATCACACTGGCCGTCCCATCCCGTGGCCGTACTCTCGTGCAGATTGACTGTCCCGATCCATGGATGAGTCGATGGCCGTGCCAAGGTACTGGTTTCGGACACCGTTGTTGTAATTTGTGCTTACAGTGCTACGCAATCCGTGCTTTCATTGGTTCCCAGAATCTTCCTCCTCTCAACTCTCTCCCGCGAGTGTAGGTTTTCCGTTACCCGCTTTCTCCGCTCCGCATCTCTCGCTTCCGTCAACTGTATGATAAATGCAATTCATCTACACGGTTCACTACACGCCGTTCTCTTCTCGGATCCCCGCGGTTCACATGTTCCAACGACCAGTCCACCATCGACACATGTGCTTCCTGACTCCGAGCTGCTCCCTGTCCAGGCCCCCACCGGAGACCTCGAGCAGCCCCGACCACGGCCCCGCCACCTCTCCATCCTCCAACACAAACCCCGCCTGTTCCGCTTCCTGTACGAAGTGGTCGCACACGTGTGCCTGGGTGTACTTGCCCGCCGCGATATAGGCGCGCGCGTCCGGGGCCCTCCGGAGGAGTGCGGCGAGCGAGCCCACGAGCACGTCGTGCGCCCGGTCGAAATGCAGCAGGTCGGACATGATCACGACGTCGAAGCCCGCGGCGCCGGCGCTGCCCCCTTCATGCTTTCCTTCCGTTTTTCCGTGTTCCTCTAGATGTGGAGCGAGCAAGCGGCTACCGGTAATGCCGTGGTTGGCGCTTCGTGTGAACGCAGACGGGGGCGCACGGACTCACAGCAGGGGGCGGGCGTCGGTGCCCCACTCGTAACCGACGGCGTGCACCTTGCAGCTCGGAGCGAAGCGTGGCGCGTTGCGCGCGACATTGGCGTGGAGGTTCCGCAGGATGGTGTCGTCCGGGTAGTCGGTGACCACGGCCAGGGCCGGGGCCGCCGGGGCAAGCGTCGCGGCGAGTAGGGACGGGAGGGCGCAGCCGGCGCCGAGCTCGATGACTGTAAGATTGATGGGCGTATGGTCAGCGCTGACTCTGAGCGAGAAGGTCGGGTCGGACGAGAAAATCGTCGCGGGTTATCAAGAGCCCGTTCTGTGCCGGGATGTGCGTCGGCTTTGCGCTCGAAATTTGACTCTGCAGGTGCCAGTAGGGCTATTGCTGGCCCGAATGTATGATCCCAAGTTTGATCATGGCGGTGGGCAGCCTCCACCGGCTTTGCGAGTCTGCGACGGCATCCCGCGAATTCGGAGTAAGAATATATCGTTCAACGGCTCAATTTCCGTGCACATCCGAATCGGAGGTCGTGTGCAGCATAACGCGCTAGGACATGCGATGGTAAGTAAACTCTCATCCAGTTTTACTATTTCCAATAGAACGGAAGCGCAGGAGCGAATAAACAGGAGATCACGATTGATGAATCACTATCGTACCGCGCCTTCTTCACGAAACAGCTCGGATACGCCAATTTAAGTGGACATGTAAGCGGAAGCAAGGACTGAACCATTTCCACTACACTCACGGCGAGGACTTCAAATGAATCCAGAAAACACAGAAGGAGGAAGGATGTGATGCCAATACGAGTCTGGCTACGCGAAGCGTCGATTCCACTTTGCGTTGTCAGGCTGAACTTCGGAGCGGAGAAGAACTGCTTAATAATGGAAGAAAAAATTGTTTCAACGTATACATTCTGCCTTGGTAATGGATGAACACATTCGCCGAAAAATCGGCCTTCGGACTCCGGAGCAGTGATATTTGAATGACCAGGCGAGCAGACAAAACATTGAAAAGCGTCTAACATGTAGACAAAAGACGCACCTGACTTGTCTTTCAGCGAGATGACGCCTGTCTCGAGGAGTTCCGCTAACAGCAGGGAGGGAGAGAAAAGGTGGTCTGCCAAAAGAGTATTCGCCTGCAGTCAAACTCAGTGGACATTTGTCGGGCTTAGCAGAGATGCAGGTTCACCTTTCCCTCCTGATTGATACCTTCAGTCACAATTTCTCTTGATGCGTATTAGTCGCTCACCTTTTGAGCGACGGTGAGCACGAGAGGTCCGTAGTTGATCGTGCCATCATCAGCGGGTGCTTCCCCAAAAAGAGCAGCAGAGTCGCTCAAAAAGTCGTCCATATCGTCCATGACGGTGGATGAGAGTGCGATGGGTTAGTAAGGGAAAAGCTGACGACGTGCGGGGAGTCGGGAATTCCTTTTCGGACGAAGAGCGTAGGACGAGTTTGGTCCAGAGGCTGTAGCCAAACAAACAATTGGGATGGCGCTTGACGCCGACTGTCGCGCTCGTCGTCAGCCACAGCGAGCTCTCTGAGTCTCTCCCCATCCGCAGCGCGCCCCTGCCCCCTCTAGCCGCCTCACCGCCCCTGCGACCTCTTGGATACCTCGTCTCGGTCTATGCTTCATGTATGCGCATGGCACTAGCTCCCACATCCCGCAACCGCCGCACAGCGCCGGCACACCCTACAAGGGTCTCCGCGCGGCCATCGACCCGAACCAAATCCCGTCGCCCATCGAGACGATAGAAATGGACAGAGAGCGATGGGAGAACCAGCAATACCCGACGCTTCCCGGGAAGCATCCCCCACTCTCGACCACGGACTTTGTGGCAATTGACCAAGGTGAGTTCCCTGCATGCGTGCACAGACCTTTGCTGAGGAGTCTTCGGGGTGCGGCTAGGAAACTCGTCTCCGCGCTTCATACGCATGTCGACGTGGAACATCCCCAGCTCCTCGCGCCTTGCATCCGAGTGCGAAGTCCCCATCGCGGCCATTATCCAGCCCTTCGCAGAGCAAGACCCGCGAGAAGAACCGATCCCGGTCGTGCACACTGGAGACATCGGCCCGGCGCGCTGCGAGCGCTGCAGAGCGTACATCAACCCCTGGTGCACATGGGTCGCGGGCGGCGCGCGGTGGAGGTGCAATCTCTGCCACCACGAATCTGAAGGTACGCGTCTGCTTCCTCGCGCTCCCGGCTCAGCTTCTCATTGCGTCACGCGTCATGCTCCTTTGGCTTCCACCTCGTCCCATAGTCGTGTCGGAGTACTTCTGCAACCTTGACGCGAGCCTCCTTCGCCTGGACCACCTCCAGCGCCCCGAGCTGAACAAGGGTACCGTCGACTTCGTCGTCCCCGAGCCGTACTGGGCACCTCATCCTCCCCCCAGCATTCGCCCACTCTACACCTCCCTCATACCTACGTCGCGCGAAGGGAAACGCAAGCCCACACCCCTCGACTATGTGTTCGTGCTCGACGCCTCACAAGATGCCGTTCGCTCTGGATTCTTCCAAGCCGCATGCAATGTACTGTTAGAAGCACTCCATGACCGCGAAGATACCGCTGTTCCGCCATACTTCCCATCGTCAAGTCGCGTTGCTATTTTGGTTTATGACCAGACAATACACTATTATAACTTATCCGTACGTCTTTCTCTCCACGAATCTACCTCCTAAACAAGCAACTGATATCTGCTCTTCCTTGCAGTCGCCTGTAGATGGACAACCGCCATTGCTGGTTGTTCCTGATGTCGATGATGTATTTCTGCCGCTGTCTGATGGGCTTTTCGTGAACCCTGTGGATTCAAGGTGCGTCCTTTCTAAACTGCTCGCTTGTCTTGTCTCTCATCCAGCCGTTCTAGAGACGCGATCGTCAACCTGCTATCTGCGCTCCCCGCGCGACATGAGCAAACTCTGGAGAGGGAAGCTGCCTTGGGATCGGCTTTGACTGCTAGCTTAGCTGCTTTGGTGAGTCACGTTATGTGCCTGGTGTCGTGCATATTTGACGTGGTGAAAGGCAGGACGTGGCGGTCAAGTAGTAGCTTTCGCTGCCACCCTGCCTACTATAGGCGTTGGCGCACTGCCGCCATACTTTGACGAGTCATCCATCCTTGGTACGGACAAAGAGCGGATATTATTTGAACCTCGAGAGGAGACGTGGAAGGACCTCGGGGAGCAGTGCGCGTCAGAGGGGATCGGGGTCAGCATGTTCCTGGGAATGAGTCGTCCTATCGACATTGCATCAATAGGTCAGTGCACCTGTTCCGCCGAGTTGGCGTTCATTCACGAGTTACAGGACTGGTTGCATCGCTCAGTGGAGGCGAGATCTTCTTCCATCCCAAGTTCGAGCCCTCGAGAGACGCACGGTACTGGCTTCGCAGTTCAGGAGACTGCTCACCCGAACGACTGTACATTCGTGCACAATGCGCGTTCGCTGTTCCATTGGTCGGTGCATCTGCCTTTTCAGCCTTCTTTCGCGTTCGCTTAACATCTTACCAGGTCTGAGGGTTTCCGCACAACATGGCAATTTCTACGAGAATCCAGCAGGCGACATGGACTTCGGCACGATGGACGCGGACAAAACCGTCTCTTTCACCCTTGAGCACGCGCGCACTCTCGACGACCGACTATATGCGTTCATTCAATCCGCCATTCTGTATACCACGACAGACGGGGAGCGCCGCGTGCGCGTGCAAAACATGGCTCTTCGGGTGGTGACACTCGCGGGGAATGTCTTCCAATACGCGGACATGGACGCAACAGTGTCGCACATGCTGCGTGAAGGTGCGCACGTTCTTCTTGTGGAAGTGTAATCATTTTCGGCTGACGCTGTGGCTAGCTATATCGCAAATGACGTCCCAACGGATTGTCCAGATCCAAGAGTCACTCACCGAAAGATGCGCTCTTATTCTATATGCGTACAGGAAGTTCTGTGCGGCTTCCGCTGCTCCTACCCAAGTGCGTTGTTTCTCATTGATCGACGCCTACCGTTGACACGTTCTTATAGCTCATCCTCCCTGAAGCTTTCCGTGCTTTGCCGTTATTTGTTTTGGCGATGAAGAAGACAAAACCCCTTAAAGGTGAGGAATCCTCAATTATCGATACTCCATGAAAGTTAACATCGATGTAGACCGCAATGTTACCGCCGATGTTCGCAACTTCTATGCACACAGGCTATCTTCCATGAGCTGTCGAGGCACCATGCATCATCTATATCCCCAATTGCTCGCTCTGCACGACTTGAACGACGAGATTGCCCTTCCGGATGCGAACGGTCGAGTGGATCTGCCGTCCCTCATGCGAGACAGTCATCTATTCATGGAGTCCCATGGCGTCTACCTCATCGGTGCGTACTCCCCTCAGACGTGACATAACCATACTAACCTACTCGCTGCAGATAACGACGACGCGATGATCTTATGGATCGGGGCCAGCGTCTCCCCGCAACTCCTGAAGGATCTCCTGGACGTTGACGACATCAATCAAGTTAACCCACGCATAGTACGCCCATCCCGGTCGCCTCGCATACCCGCCGCCCCTGACCTCCATCTCAGCTTTACCTCCCGTCTCTTCAAACACGGCTTGCGACGCAAGTCGGCAACATACTGGCGAACCGCTTCGCTCAGCGTGGGTACACCCCCAAGTTCACCGTCGCCAGGCAGAACATGGACGGTTCCGAAATCGAGTTCAGCGATATGCTCGTCGAGGACCAGAACAACGCGGCGATGTCTTATCTCGACTGTACGTCTCTCCCTCTGTGCCTTCTAGCGATGGGCTCAGCTTCGGTTTCTTGTAGATCTATGCCTGGTGCACAAGCAAATTCACACAGCGGTAAGCCCCCCTTAACGGCACCACCACCGTTCGCCACTGACATCGCTCTGATAGCTTACTACAGGCGCTTCACTTTCGAGTGGGGGTGGCTTCCGATCTATGCCGTGGTAAGGAGAGGCGTATGCGTTTGCGTGATTTATTGCTGTATAACTGGTATCTACGGAAGCACCACCACAAATTCGCCATGCTAAGATCTGCGAAACATCGCATGTGTGAAAACCCTCGATGCCCACCGAAGGTGGAAACCTCACGAACATCGACAAGGGGTACCCTAGTGAACAGGCTATCAACCACTACGCTGGTTCCGTGGTGCACGTGCTTTAAACCCAACTGACTAGCGACGTCTGCGATCACCAAGCACGTTCGACGGGGTACTCGATGACCTAGCCATACATTCTCGTAGGCTGCCTTCCATCATATGATTTATTTGACAGGCGGTGACACCCCGTATTCGGCGACGAAGGATGATGCAGATTCTATCTCCACCCGCATGTCTATCTGTCAAAGCCATCTACTTTACGCGCGACCACCGTGTGCAACCGTGAATTCACGACGAGCCTGAGCGAGCCCTCCTTGACAGCTCTTCTGGGGCTTGACGTCGTCCACATGCTGCTTCAGCCATAGGTGTCCTTCTCTCACGACCTATCGCGGTTCCGGTCCTTTTCATTCGTCATTCACTGTCTACAGCCGCTCCGCACCCATGTGCATAGGTGGTCAGATGACGCATGAAGTTGGGGATCCAGAGTGAGGGTGAGGCGGTGGCCCAAGTGAACGATATAAGCCGAACCTGCGATCGCGGGGAGGACAGCGTAGTGAGCTCGCCACCCCAGTCCCCCAGTCGCAGAACACGCACCTTCTCGGCACACAGCATGAAGCCCACGCCTGTCTTCCTCGCTTTCGCCGCCGTTCTCTCCAGCACGCTCGCGGCCCCCGCCCCGGCGTCTCCGCCCGAGAAACGGGCGAACCCGCAAGGCGTCGACATCTCGCACTACCAGGGCACCGTCAACTTCAACACCCTCAAATCGAACGGCCTCTCCTTCGTGTACATCAAAGCTACCGAGGGCACTAGTCAGCACTCCCTCCCTCGTCTAGTCTCTGCGGCATAAGGCGTGCTCACCGGAGGTCGTCCGTCCTGGTCCCACAGCGTACACGGACCCGATGTTCAGCACGAACTACGACGGCGCGACGAGCGCGGGCCTCATCCGCGGCGCGTACCACTTCGCGCACCCGGACACATCTTCGGGCGCGGTGCAGGCAAGTACTTCCTCGCGCACGGCGGCGGCTGGACGGGCGACGGGATCACCCTGCCTGGGGCCCTCGATATCGAGTGTGCGTCGTCGGCTTGAGATTCGAGTCGTTCGTTTTGGATCGGAACCTGACGCGAGCGTTGGCAGATGCCCCGAGCGGGAACGAGTGCTACGGGCTGAGCGCGTCAGCGATGGTGTCGTGGATCAAGGACTTCTCGAACACCTACCACTCTTCCGTGGGCGTGTAAGTCTTCAGGTTCCCTGCTCGCACAGGGAACCGACCGAGGCTGACGCGATATGTCCGCGCGCGCAGCTACCCAGGTTTGCTTTGGAAGTTCTGCCGCGCACCAGATTGAAGTCCTCACCTGAGACCCAGTGATCTACACCACCACCGACTGGTGGACGTCGTGCACCGGTAACAGCGCGTCCTTCGCGTCCACGAACCCACTCTGGATCGCCCGCTACTCGTCGAGCATCGGCACGCTTCCTGCAGGATGGTCGTGAGTATAGGTTTCTTCCGAGCGCACTTGCCAGCCGACGCGCAACAACTAACGCTTGCGCTAGGTACACAACGTTTTGGCAGTACGCTGACTCGGGAGCGAACCCCGGGGACCAGGACGAGTTCAACGGGTCCGCGCAGGGGTTGAAGAAGTGCGTACCTCGTTCGATGCCTAGGAATGAGTGGCGGTTGCTGACTTCGTGGTGGTAGTCTTGCCTTGGGCTAGTGTACAGATCGTGGGGGAGAGTATATTGCTGTATAGTAACGGTATGCTTCGCTTGTACAGGGGAGGGCCGTGAGCCGGTGTTGATAGTAGAGAGTATCACGACGGCGACCCCCGAGAGAGAGAGCGCGTAGTGAGTGAAAACCTCGCTGTTGCGTCCAAGGGATCTTAGGGCAAGCGATGAGGTACAATATTGCAGTGGGGGTACTCACGAAGTCACAGCCAACCCAGCAACCCTCTCCTTCCTTGATGCCCCGCGCTTCGCCCCGGTTGTACGCGTCGACACGATTGCATGTATATCAGCCACCAATGAGTATAGTCTGAGTGACTAGAAATGAGCAGAGTCAAGCTGTGAGTAGACAGCACCCCCAAGGCACAAGATCACCACAACGATCACGTGGGCGCCGAACGTCGTTCTAAGCCTCCAACAGATTCAAGCAGCTAGCAATCGCATCTATGTCCAAGTCGTGTAGAAATACACTCCAACAGGCTCCATTAGAAAATTTCCAGCTGATCAGGCCGTACGGAAAACTATCAAATCATTATGGGAGGTGTGCTAGTAGTACTATACGGAATATTACTTCGGATACGCCGGCCTTTCTACTTGAGTGGACACCCTTCAAGTTTCAAGGTCCCTCGTCTCCTTGTATCCACGTGCCGTCATGGAAGCAACGCAGGGCTATCCCGCGCGTGGCCTTTCCTGCGCCCAGTTTCCCCTGCCGCAACTTCACCACCGCTTTACGCTCCGACTCCACACGTACCCACAGCCGCAAAAGCACGTCCTTCACCCGCAAGCGATCGGAGTGTGCGCCGCGACGGCCATCAGCTGTGTGGACGAACAGGGCGGACTCGGCGTCAGAACCCGCGGCGTTGGCAGTCACGGGCTGTTCGTATGTATAACTAGTGGCACGCACCGATGCTGCCATGCAGAGCGTGCAGTCGCGCCGTGATCTCCCTGAGCGGGCCCGTCGAGGCGTCGCCCTTGCGGCGCTCCTGGAGAGCGTAGTCGTGTATGTCCGGAATTAGCGCGCGACTGAGCAGGGCGACGCGACACGACAGGTCGTCGAAGAAGCCGGGCGTGTTGGCGTGGCCTGCCACGTCGAAAGGTCCTTTGGAACCGGCCGAGGCTGAGAGAAGTTCGATCAAAGGCTTGAGAGGTGGCAGCCGCTCGAGGTCTTCGGCGTTGATATCCGTAATACCCAGCAGCAGTGCCCGTGCCACTACACGGCCAATGCGGAACGCCGGGTCCGAGGCGGTTGGGATGGAAGAGAGGAGCAATGCCTGGTTTTCAGGAGAGAGGGTGTGACCGAAGAGAACCAACTTCTGGCATATGGTAAGTTCCTCCGAGGTCGCGGACATCGCTTTGGCCAAGCTTTGACCTGCTTTGCGGATTTCGACTAGTGTTTCATTGGACGTCGTTGGGTCCATGGCGAGGAGTATAACGGTGAGTAAAATGTCGCTACGTTCGGCAGGGTCGCATGTGCTGAAGGAGCCGAGTCAACAGAGATCAGAATGACGGCGAGACCGAGGCTCACGGAGCATACAGGGCCAATGAGCAACACAGTCGTTGTACCCGCCCTTCTCGCCATGCGTGATCTGATGCGTGAGGATCGATCATAGTGGATACGGTGTTGAGCGGTAAACCATGCGTGGAGAGAGCGGCGGGGGACGCTCCGAGACGGAGAAGGGCATTTGTGATCGATGCGTTGCGCAGGACGGGGATACCGTCGGTCGAAGCCAGCTTGGCTAACTGGGAGAGAGCGAGGTCGGGAAGTGAAAATGGAGCATTGGATAACGCTGCAATGCGAGACGTTGAGCGGAAGCTATGCGCATTCAAGCACCATCACTGACAGACTTCGAATAGCCACGGTATCACGGAGGCGAGATGGCACGGCTTGAGGGAAGATAAGTGGCTGGAAGACAGGATGGCTCCCATTTTAGTGTGATCTGTGTGCGAGTCATGAGTTAACTCGAACATGCAAGAACGGGTGGAGGCAAATACCCTGTCTTGTAGCCACATCCTGGAGGTATCGGAGCACAGGGTGATCGTTTGCGGTGGTGAATGTGTGTATGTTGAAGCCACTGGGATCCAGGTCCATCGCGTCTTCAACGGCTGCGTCTTGGCTCCAGAATGGTACTCCGGTAGAGTCGCGATTCTTCGCTGCCTTCCTGGCCCTCCTGGCCTTGGAGTCATCTGCTAAAAGCGCGTTGACGGCCTTTGCACCTGATCCTAGCCACTGACTGGCAGTGGCGATTGCATAATCGGGGTCGTCCGTGTCGGAGCCGTCGCTGTCGTCTCCAACGGCGTCGTCGTTCTCCCTCAACAAACCTGCCTTGTGCTCGAGAACGATCCTCTCCGCTTCGCGGATAACGGCATCTGCGCCGGTTCCCGCTTGCTCATCGCGTCTCTTCTCTCGTAGAAGGGACGCAAAGGGGACGGTCTTCTTTGGGGTCCGACTGGTCTGGCGCAAGGAGGCGCAGGCACTGGCACCAACGCGGAGCTCTGGTCGTAGCCGAAGGGCTACAGCGGCCCGGAGACTAAAGTGAGCGACATAATGTACATCGGAGGGAACAAAGGGTACTGACCATGCGCTTTCTGTGTCGGTTTCCTAACGCTCTCGATCAATGCAGCCGCATCCGTCTCGAATTCAGAGTCGCTGTCGTCGGAGTCCAAGTAAAGGTGGTCGAGATCTACGAGTTCCTCTGCAGCGCCGGCTGAGAACATCGCGGCGGCCTCAGCCTCGGCCCGGGCCTTGATATCAGCAACGAGTAGCAGCGTCTTCGTGTCGGAGTCCAGAAGCCGCCTGTGGGTACGTCTTCCACCTCCATGGCCACGTCTACGCCACTCGACAGAGAAGAATAATCGTGACTCTCAGGGGCATCGGTGGCTGGGAGGTGCCGACGTGGTGTGGGCACGAAGGAGTCGGGCGTGGGCGTGAGCGAGGGCGAACCGCAGGAGTTGTTGAGTGAGAGAGACGGGTCGAGTCCAGTAGAACGACTGCAAGGTGCACGGATCTCGAGGAGGGAAGAAACGAGCCACTCCCCATCAGGCGCCCACTCGCGCAAGAGCTGTAGCCGCTGCCTATATGCGACCCCTTCGACACAGCGAGCCAACGTTAACGCAGGGCAGAGCGAACACGCCGCGCCGAGCTTGGGTTAAGGAACGTTTCATTTATGCTGCGTAATCGCACAGAATAACTGGGTACAAGTAGTCAAGCTGAGTGAAGGGAAGTGTGGTCAAAACGAACGGGAATGCGCGGGGAGAGGGAGAGGAGGACAGGCATAGGCACGACCGGGGAAGACGGAATTACGGGAAAAGGAGCGTTATGGGGATCGAGGGGCTGCCGCGACTGCTGGGAAAGCAGGTCAGCAGCCGCGGCGGGTGTATATGGCAAAAGGGGAATCCTAGGAGGGCGATGCGCGGGCTCCAATGCACAAAGGTGAATTACGACGACATGTATATGGGCAAGGTGACGACGATGAGAGAAAGCGGCGACCATGGACACAGAGTTGCTATGAACCGTTCCCATTGAGCGAGTCCGTTACGGTTCTTGTTGACCGACGCGTCCCGAATCTAGAGAAGAATCCAGCGCCGTCGTGCGATGTCGAGCTGCCGGCTCGGGAGCGGAACGACCATGCGGGTGAGACTGGCCGTTGTAGTTCCATCGGGCTCGGATCGAGGTGTTCGCCGCGGGCACGCGACGGCTCGCGCTTTTGGTGCTGCGACTGCTGTGACTGCTGCGAGGGTGGGTGGGTGTGATGGTGATGATGATGGTCGTGAATGCGCCCAGATCGACCGACGGTGTGGCGACCGTCACAACATGCGCGGACGTTTTCGAGACCCTCGAAGCCCTCATCGAGGGTGTCGTCGTGGAGCTCGAAGTCGGCATCGTCGTCGTCTGGGCCGCCAGGGACGTGCTCGTACTCCTTCGACGGACTACTTGGCGCCTCGGCCCATCGAAGGTACTCCGCCGCCGGAGTTCCAGAACGCTTGCCCATCGAGCCACCAAGGGAGATCTGCGAGCGACTGCGCTGCCCTCGGGGAGTTGTGTTCCACGTGTCGCCGTTCAGGCCTGGGCGGCTGTTTCGATTGGTGCGTGTGCTGCGCTGGCTTTCGGGGCTTGACATTAAGTTGGCGTTGTACTCTTCGGGCAGATCACCGTTCGCGGACATGGGGCTCATGGGGGCACTGTTAGCCGGGGCATTGCCAGCCGCCAAGTGAGCTTGACCTGGTCGCGAAAGGAGGTACTTGAGCGCCTGTGAAGTACTCGTCAGTAAAGGTGAAACGTGGTATAGCTCGACACAAGACATACATTGAACCAGATGTCATGGCGCTCCTTGGTTGGCGCAGTGAACTTCATCTCCCTCTGGGGCGTGGACACAATCACGCTGTACTGGTAGATACCAGGCGGCATCGGGTTAGGGTCCATGACAGCGCGGACCGACTCGATATATGCTACGAAAACATTCAGTAAACAATACCCCGAGCTAGAATCAGACAACATACCGCTCTTGGCACTGGACTCGGTGACGTTCGACGACCCGGGGTCGGCCGAACTCCAGTATAGCGTTCGCGTGTACGGATGCACCCAGAAGAATCGCTTGTGTCTCCGCTCGCCATGCCCCTTCCCAATCGCGCGGCGGGTGTACTTGTACAGGAACTCGCCGATCATCGTCTGTGTGATCGCGTGGATGACCATCGGGTCCGTCGAGCCCGGAGCTTCCGCTCCGCTGGCCTCACCCGCACGATTCGCGACAGTGAGCCCGTCAGCGGCGCTACGTCGTCGCATGTGCGTCTCGTAGGCGTGGTTCTCCGACGATATTGATGAGCGCTGCGAGCCGATGCTGTGGCCGCCCGAGTTGAGCGACGTATTCGAAAGCTCGCGGCGTTCGCGACCTTGCAGACCGAAGGAGATCGCGGAGGGGCTCGAGAGCTGGCCCGCGCGAGCCGCGGCGTTGGCTGCGGAGCGGAAACTGCTTGTCGATGGGAGCTGGCGAAGGCCCTGTTGCGACGGTGGCATTGACGAGCCATGTGCGCGACCAATGGTACCCCTGCCGGGGATGCCCAAACTTGGGGTAGTCGCTCGGTGGATGAGTTCTGGGGGAGGGGGTGAGGAGGGGCGAGGAGGGGGCATATCGTGTGACATCCGCTTGTCGGGGATGAAGGCCGGAGGGAGCATGCTGTTTGGCGGGGGTGGTGCGCGAGGGGGAGGCGGGAGCACCATCATCGGTGGACGAGACTTGTCCACGAGGTTGGGGAGCATCGACGGCGTGCGGGAGCGCGTCGCGACATCGTCCAGGACCGACGAAAGTGTTGACTCGATGGATTGCCGCCTATCGGAGTGGGAAGTGCGCGGACGAGCAATGAAGGTCGCGTTGGCATCGCGGATAGTGGTGTTGGGAGACGGAGCGACAGCTTTCTCTTTGTCAGCGGCCACTGGTGTGGCAGGAGCGGGAGGAGCAATGAACTGGAACTGTTGAGAGCTGGGGCCGACGCGGAAGACGGAGGGCACAGCGGCAGCGATGGCACTGGCACCGGCGGCAGTGGCAGCGACGGCGGCAGCGGTGGTGGTCGCAGCAGCTGCAGGGAGTGCGGACGCGACAGAAACAGCGGCGGTGGGGAGAGACGAAGGGATGGGGACTGGGAAGATAGCTGAGGCTGGAGGAGCTGGAGGCACCCACTCGTCCGTTTGAATCGACATCTCCTTCATCTCCGGCTTGGGCTCGGGTTCTGGCTCAGGTACGAGGACCGGCGTCGGTGCTGGCTCTGGTACTGTCTCCACAAGAGGCTCCGGCACCACGAAGGGTTCTGGCTCGGGCTCGGGCTCGGGCTCGGGCTCGGGCTCGCACTGGATACCCTCGTCCACCAGCTCGATCTTGGGCGGCTCCGGTACAGGCTCCGGCTCCGGTATAGGCTCTGGAAGCGGTGCAGGCTCGGGGTCGACCTGAATGCCTTGTTCTTCTGTCTCGACCTTGGGTGGCTCCGGGATCGGATCTGTCTCAATCTCCTTCGACTCGTACACCACTTCCGGCTTAGCTGGTACCTCGGGGACGGCCTCGATGGGGGATGGGAACGACGCCTGGGAAGACATCGCCGATGCGCTACCAAGAATCTGCGACGCCCTGATGCTCTCGTCGTCGCTGATGGAGCCGTCCGAGAATTCCGCGTCGGACACGGTCATAATGGAGTGGTAGTCGCTGGCCGTGTCTGGCGTGACTGGGGTCATGGGCACGCTGTAGGCGTCGGTGAAGTCGGTGGTCTCGCCCATGATAGAGCCCGTCTCTGTCATGTCGTCTTCGTCCTCGAGATGGTCCAGGTCGCTGAACGTAAGGGAGGGGGGACGGCGGAGCTGCATGGTTGTCTCTTCCGATTCGTGACTTGAAGAGCGAGACATCGCGGCGGCGTGGATACCCATATCGGCGACAATGGGAGCCACCCGCGAGAGCTTGGGCGAGGTCTGCATCTCCATGTGGGCGACGGAGGGAGCGGCAGTTTGAACTTCGGCGACAGAGCTTGATGGCTCGGCCTGGACCTCCATCTCCATGCGAGTGGGAACAACCTCCGCATCGGTTTGCGCGGACATCTCCGACGTAGGCGTGACGGGGAGAGGCTCGGGGTCAGCCTGGATGGCAATGTCAGACATCGAGGGCGCGGTGACCTGGATGACTGGTGGCGGCACCGGCTCCTCGAAGTCGGTCTGAACACCGAAGTCGACGGTTTCAACGGCAGCGAGCTCTTCCTGAAGATCGTCGGCAATAGTCGAAGGCTCGGGTTCCATCGGACCGAACCCAAGCTCGGCGGCGAGTGCTTCTGGTTGACCGACGAGCGAGGGTGGACGCGCTTCCTGATATGCCGCGCCTCCACGAGAGCGACGTGGCAACGTTCCTCCGCGTTGTGTACGGGCAAGCACGCTCTGGCGCAGCGGGCTACCGTTCGCGACCGAGCTGGCTGATGCGGAGCGACGGAGGACGTTCGCAAAAGCAGGGTCCATGCCGTCGACACTCGTCCTGTTCGATGGGGCTACGGGGGAAGGAGATGCGGGGGGCTCCGGTTCATCGTCTTCCTCATCTTGGCGGAACTCGGCAGGAATTGGAGGGACAGACGGTACCGGTGAGTCCTCGAAGTCCATATCGTCATTGTAGTCGGATGACGGACTGTGCGCAGCCATACCAAGACGCTGGATGAGAGTGAGGCCTCCCCGTCCCCTGCCACGACCGCGGCCGCGACTGGAGCGGTAGGGGGTGAGGCGTGCTTTGGGCTTCGCGTCGGTCTCTTCTTCGACCTCGTCGTCTTCTTCCTCTTCGATCGAGAATCCGGGAGAGGCATCCAGTTTGCGCCGATAGTCCATACGAAGCTCCTTCTCACGCTGCAGCGTGCTCTTGAGAGTGCTGATCTGACGTTGAGCGTGCGCAAGCCGTTGTTGCAGGGCCTCGATCTCGTTGGTCGGATGGTTGGGGGCCAGGAAGGGCTTGGACGGGGAGGGGTCGGGAGACTCGTCCGCGAAGTCGTCAGGAGGGAAGAGACCGGAGTTGTCGAGCTTCTTGCGGGTGTGGGTGGACGCGCCGGCTGTGCTAAACACGTCGTCGTCGTCGCGGTCAGCTGGAGTGGCCATTTCGGATACAGTGACGCCGTTGGGAGTGAGAGGGGAGCCGAAGCGGGGGAGACGACGGCTGGCCTTCTGCATTTCGACCTTCAGATTGTCGATGGTCTGCTGAAGATCGGACTTGTCGCGCTGGAGGCTTGCTGCATGCTTGCGAGCTTGAGCGACATCGGTCTCGTGCTTGGCCTTGAGCTCGACGAACGCCGTCTGCTGCTTCTCCGCCTCGGTCTTGTGTTGGTCCGCAGTCTCTCGCGTTGTGGCGAGCATCCTCGTTAATCGCTTGTTCTCGCCTTCTAGTCGCAGCGCGTTGGCTTGAGACTCGCCGACTTGTGATCGAAGCTCTTGTAGTGTGACTTCCAAGTTCCAGTTCTCCTCCTTGAATTTGTCGGCGGACTGCTCCTGTTCCCGAAGCGCTTGACGGAGGCTCTCTAGACTCTTCTCCAGGTCGTCCTTCTCCTCCTTCATGTCCTGAATAGCCTTATCCCTTTCGGCGAGCAGACTTTGCAACCGTCGAACCTCAGTGAGCAATCCACTTCCGATCTCGAATGCAAATTCTGTGAAACCGTGATAGTCAGCATCCTGGGACTGTACGCTGGTTCGTCTCATGATGTATGTGTAGACCCCTCTAGGACGCGCAACAGCGTCCCCGTAGACCCCCCGGTCAGGTAGATGGGTGGAATCCCCGTCTTCCCCCGTAAATCCGTACTGTCAATTTTGACAAGCTCGATAAGGCTGCTTGGATGGAAAACGTGCACGGGACAAATGCGTGATACGCGTCCAGCACGGCAGATTCATTTCGGCAACGGCTCACATGGGCGTCCCCTGATGCACGCTGGCAAAAGCGTGTGTATAGGTACGAGACTGGACCCAGTTGTTACGGGGACAGCATCTTTAACGGATTCTCGCCGTTCTTGGGCACGGGCATCGGGGGCAAGAGCGCGAGAAGAGTGTGTACTCACCGACATCGTCCGCGCGATGAGCCGCATTCTTGGCGCGACGAGAGGACTGTGCGGCAGCCTGGCCCGCGGCAGCTCCCTTTGAGCGTTCATCTGTTCTCGAGGGCTCCGTATGACGTGAAGGAGGAGCATGGATGCCATTCGTAGGCTGCATATTCGCGGTCAGAGACAGCGGGGCGCAAGGACGCAATACGCCACTCACCTTGGACCCAAACACGCTGGTCAAGTGCTCGTTCTCCATATCCCAGGCCTTGATAGCGTCCGCCAACTCGCGATAGCGGTCTCTAACGCTGGCATCCAAGCCGTCGTCGCTGCCGGAGCTGTCGAGCTCGAGCTCTTGCATTTGCTTGATACGCTCCTCGAGTTCCATGCGCTGAGCCAGCAGCTGGTGACCGAGGGTAGCCGCCGACTGGAGTTGCTTTTCCTTGTCATCGAGGAGGGCCTGAAGTTGGAGACGCATGTTGCCCTGAGAGTCGTAGTCGGCCATGGCCGCCACGTCGCCGCCGTCGGAGAAGGTGGTCATCGTCGCCGCCGACGACGATGGGGGAGGGTGAATGTGTTCGAGAGACGCGTCCGCTGTTTGCCCGCGTGGAAACGTGACAACCGTCACGCGCTCCTTCAACATGCTGCATCCGTGACGAACGTTCCGTAAGAGTTTGCCTTCGGTCGTTACCCGTCACGCCGCCCGCGAGCGCTCCGACTCCGGAGTCCGAGTCCAATATTAAGTAATGAGGATCCTCCGCCTCACCGTCTCTCAGCCCATGCAACTTTCAGGATGTATCTCTCTGGCTTCATCCGTCATCCTTCTCTCTTCGATCCGCCTTGAAATCCAGAACCGGCGTCACAGGGATCCTGAGCAGTAACCCTTTAGGCGCGTCGTTGGTTGCTATGTGGACCAGTGTTCTGGCACTGCGGCATTGCTGCGAGAGGGAAGCGCGTGAGATGTTGCGTTGTAGGGGGGCTGGTGGTTTTATGTAGTACACAGTCATGCTCCCTTTTATGTGCGTTGTTCCCAAGTAAAGATAGATGTCGTTCCTCTCGACCAACTGAAGCTGGCCCTGCAACTGGACAACAACTTCAAGTGGGCATGTCCTGCATACCCAACCTCCGGTCTATCGCCGAACGTCGACGCAAGCTTTCGATGACCGGTTTTGCATGGCCCCATACTCCAACTCGACTGCCATCGTGGGTGCTCTTCGGTGCGACAGCGACGGACCCGTTCGACCTTCAACGCGGGATTCCTCGGTGGACATTCCCATCCAGGCCGGCCGCGGGTGCTTTGCGACTCCGGTTCTCCGAGCATGAGGGCGACCAACTTGTATATATGGGCCGTAAGTTCATGCCAGCCGTTCAACCTCCAGAACCACGCTCACAGTCATCCTCAGACACAAGCTACCAGCGTCGCCACCTGCAATGCGTACCACTCTCGTCTTGTTCTGTCTCATCGCAGTCGTGGTCGCGCGTCCCCCCGCTCAAGCTCATATCGACCACGACCGTAGCACATCGGTTAGTACGGCTCCCCCGGTCAGACCACTCACCAAGGTGTGAACTGTGCTGAAAATCCTTATTCAGACTACCTTCAATTCGAGCGGTGCTGCGTCCTCCAGTAACGATCCACCCACGAAGACTCTACACCTGCGCAACGAAGGAGGGTCGTTCCCCTCGGACTTCTCCATCCCCTCGATTCCATCGGATTGGTCGTCCACCAGCCGACCGTCGGGCTTCTCCATCCCTGCCATCCCTTCCGGGTATTCCACTGGCCTGCCGTCAGGATTCTCTCTCCCGGCAATCCCTTCCGGCTGGGAATCCGGCGTTCCTTCGGGTTTCTCCTTGCCATCGGGCTGGACGTATCCCACTCAATGGGGACAGGCGACTGCATCCGTGACTTTCAACACCGAAGCCTTAGCAACCCACAACAAGAACCCTCAGCTCAACGCGGCGACCAGTTGGACATTCCCTTCCGACTCCTATCCCTTCAAACTGGGCGACGGGCATCCCGTCTGGATTCTCCATCCCTCCCATCCCCTCCGACTGGGCGTCCCTTCTACCCTCCGACTTCTCGGTCCCCGCCGATGGGGCCGTCAATCCCACAACGCACGGTGTCACCGGAGGCTCCGGGACCGCGAGTCGAACACCCAGCAACGACCCACCTCCGACAAACGCTCCCGCCGGCAAACTCACCGTGGATGCAGTCGGGGCCGCAGACGCCCAGGCCACGGCCGTCGGACAAAGTCCTTCGCCGGATCTGTCAACGCTCACCCCCAACAGTTACATTGCCATCGGCCTCCTTGGCGGCGTTCTTACTCTGCTTGGAGTAGGCGTATTATTGACGATTCATGGCCAACATAGGACTAAGGAATATGCGCCCATCTGGAGGGCTGAACGGATGATGGAACGGGATGTGCCGTACGAAAACGGCTTCCGTGGCACCAAGGACTGAGCGGACGAATTCTATTCCAATGTGAGTGTTCCTGTGTCAGTTTGTGAAGATGGTCTCTGAATGATCTCGTACAGCCGTAGTATATACTTCTAAAGCGATTGACCGTTATCCTCGCTAAGCTCCGAGTACGGTTAACGACATAATAAGCTATTGACTCTAGAACGTGATCTTTCGTCGAACGAAATCGCGCGGCGCGCTTTTGAGAAGCATCCGTCTGATCGTTGAAAGCACCCGTAGCGCCGTTCACACAGCTCCGCGGTGCTCGGAGTGGCAGCAAAGTGCTTCACGGGTGCGGTCGTCCCATGAATTTGCATTGGCCCGTATGAGCGCAACATGGAGTCGCCTCAGCATTCGTACCCTGAACCCAGGGTCTGACAAGCACAGACATCCACAATTCGGCGAGTATAAAAGCAAGAGGCGAAGGTGCGTCGCTCGATACCTCCACGCTCACCCTCGCCGCTTACCCATGCTCTCAGGGCACTTCACCATCTGTCTACTCTTTCTTTTTTTATTTTGCATAGGACGTGCTCAAGCCTTGGATCCTTACTATGCCCCCACACCGGTAATCTGCCCTTCAGATGACAGTCTAATCCGAGATACCGGTACACCTCGAGATCGGAATCAAACGCTCCACAAGGTTAGCTCACACGATAATTACGATGCCCACGCTGAGTAGTACCCAGGACGAAATTGCTTATGTGGAAGCTAGGAAGAGACCAGTACTTGAAGGTCTTCAAGACTGGCTTAGCAACCTTCCCGAGCAAGTATACCTTGGGGTCGTCGCGGAGGACATACCCTCGATTGCCCTTTCCCTGTCTGGAGGAAACTTCCGCGCCGCGCTCTTCAGCGCTGCCGCTCTAGAGGCCTTCGACTCCCGCGACAACAGTAGTGTCAAGAATGGTCTCGGGGGGCTTCTTCAGTCGTCGACGTACATGTCGTCGCTTTCAGGGTGCGAAAATGATCACCATTATGTCTATAATGCGCGTTCTAATCGTATACTCACTATCAGAGGATCGTATGTGGCTACCAGCTTGGTATTCAACGACTTCGCACCTGGCCGCGATCTCGTTTTTGGCGACAATGCTACGTCCAATCCTGGTTGGCAGCTCGATCAGGCTCTGCTTACACCAGGAAGCCAGGGCCAAGATACAACTGCCTTCATCGGGGACCTGATGAACGACCTCGGGGCGAAGAGGCTAGGCGCGAACTTCACGGTAACATTCTGCGACATGTGGGGTAGAGCAGTATGTGCAATCTCGAAGCGTCGGAGAATCTGTTCTAATCATGCCCGCACCAGCTTGCGTACCACTTTCTACCAGGAACACCGCCAGGCTCGTTCGCTTCCAATGCTACCTCCGGAAACCACGCCGCGTCTGTGACGTTCTCATCGATGACAAATCTGTACGTCCCTTGACTTCATATCTGCGCAAGTGACCCCGACACTGAGTTGAACTTGATAGGACGGTTTGGAAGAACCACAGAGTGCCGTTTCCCCTTGTCGTCATCAATGTCAACTCTCCTAATGCACACGGTACCGTCTTCGGTGGAAACGGGACTCTTCCCTTGCAAAGCGTCAACTACGAGCTTAACCCTTTTGAGTACGTCTTCATGGATATCCCGTTGGCACGCCTACTGAGCAATGGATGCATTCAGGTTCGGATCGTATGAGCCCCAGCTCGCATCCTTTGTTTCCCTTCCGTACCTCGGCTCCACGTTCTCCAACGGCACTCCGATCCATTGCGTCAACGACTTTGACAACACCGGTTTGATGATAGGCACCTCGTCCTGCGACTTCAACCCGCTCAATGTAACGAACTCCTCGGAGTGGACAAGCCCCGATGGGCTCGGTGGCCTCGTCGGCTTGATCAACGAGACTTTCGGGACGCTGCAGCCAGGAGCAGAATACGACGCCACTCTCGTTCCGAACCCGTTCGTTGGCATGCACCATGTAGACTATCAAGACACAGCAGAGGCCAACCTTGCGCTCATGGATGGTTCCCTTGATGACCAGAACGATCCGTTGTTCCCTCTTCTCGTCAAGGCTCGGAAGGTCGACATGATAGTGGTGCTCGACTCGGTGAGTGTATGCCCGTGGATAGACTCGTGGAAGCGCCTGACGAGGTTGTTCCAGTCGGGCGAGACTAGCGATTTCAAGCCGACAGGCCAATCTCTTCTCGCAACGCGGGAGAAGGTCTCCGTACTCCCTCAAGGTTTCATGAACTTCCCGACCCCTTTCCCACAAACGCAGCGGGAGTTCCTGGACCTCAAACTGAACATGCGCCCAGTCTTCTTCGGCTGCGACGGGCCGAACAGCACGGATGCCACCTTCCCGTGCGTCTCTCCACCCAGTCCCTTTGCCCCGAACCACGCGCTGACCTGAACGCCCCAGTCTTCTCGTCTTCATCCCAAACGCCGATCCCGGCAACGTCACAAACTTCGCGACCTCCACCCTCCAGATATCCCGCGCGAATCAGACGACCGTCTTCGACCGTTCATATCGACTTGCCTCGCGCGGCTACGTCCCTGGGTCCTCCGACACGGCCCTCGAGCAGCGCGACGCGCAGTGGGGCACATGCGTCGCCTGCGCCGCGGTCGAGCGCGCCCGCACGTGCCAGGGACACGCGCGAACGAGCGCATGCAACTCCTGCTTCGCGCGGTACTGCTTCACGGGCGGCAGCATGCCCACCAACGACACGAACGGAACATCCGAGTCGCGCGCCGCGATCGCGCAGGACGACGCCGCGGCGGATACGGATACTGCCCAGAGTCTGGCCGCGGCTGACCTCGGGACGCTGGAACGCAACAGTTACATCGCCATCGGGCTTCTGGGCGGAGTGGTTCTCCTTCTCCTTCTGCTAGGTGTCCTGTTGCTGCGCGGGCAGGGGCGGAAGGGGTACATCAAAGTCACTGATCGCGTCATCGATTCGTTCTAGATACCAACACATATGACGGGTTCACGACGGTCGCGGATCCCTCCCTTCTCTCTCCCCTTCCTGGCCGGCGTATCGCATTCATATGGACAGAGATTCCTTGTTCGTTTTTGTCACACTCGCTCGGTTCACGCACCGTTACCTACGACCGACGCTGGCACTTGCATAGGTTGCAGAATTTAAGTCCCATTGTGACATCTCGGTAGCGGCGTCGACGTCCGAGGAAGCGCAGCGTCCTCTTCCGGCAGTCATTACCGCGCGTAAAAGACGAGGAGGAGCCGGGGGTGTGCCGGAGACGGAGCGTGATTGACGTACACTGATGAGTAAGTACAGTCCGCTCAACGTTGCCCGAGAGTCCGTTGATCTACTGAGGACACATACATACGAACACTCAAGAGAACAAGATCTCTAGCATCTCGTTGTCACACTCGATCTTCATCGGTGCCCCAGGTACCATCCCAGCCGCCCAAGCCACCCCGGGATTCATCCTAGGCGGGTACTCCGTCACACCTGCTTCGCCCGCCCAATCAAAGTCGATGAGCCACGTCCTGGCGGGATCGCCGTTGTCCGTCGCGGGGATATGCAGCACGTTCTGCTCCCGGAGGTCTCCAAACACAATGCCAGCGTCGTGGAGGATGCCGAGCGCCCTCGCTACCTCCTCCCTCGTACCGTTGGGCTTCCCGTCGTTGAGATCGTGGCCCAGCTCTGGGGGGACGTATTCCATGACGATCACGTAGCCGCCCACAATACGGGCGAAGTGGTGCACAGGCGGCGCTAGGCCGGGGTCGATGAGCATCTCGTGCGCTTTGATGTTGTACCGCTCCGTGAACTTGACGAGCACCACCTTCCCGTGTAACTTGGCGAGGTAGATAGGGTTGCACCTACGAGTACTCGGTTTCAGCTTTAATCCGCGGACAGGTGCGCCAAGATGGTCCAGTCGACAGATAAACTCCAGTCCCTCTGGCAGGGCGCGAGGCTTGGCTTTGGAATCCTCGGTATCGACTAGGGCGGTGGGTTGAGGGAAGAAGTGGTTCAAAGAGGGGACGGGGGGACGGTCCGCAAGAACATTTCTGTACCCGGCCCGGAGGCTATTCAAGCATCGCCGCACGGCAGCCATCACATCCACCACATGGTAACTGAACTCAACGGCCTCGAACGGGAGGGATAGGTTGAGCACCGAGAGGAATTCGCAGTAGATGGTATCGGTGAAGAGTGCGGCCTCAATGAATAAGACGTTCGCGGTGAGCGTGAGAATGAGGGCCGGGAAATTCGTATGTTTGTGGTATTCGTGATCTGCAGCCTGAGCATTAGGTTCAGCGGTGCTCGCAGAAACGCAAGGACGTAGTAGACATACCTTGAGTGATGTTCTGTAGTAGTTGAGAGCTTGGAACCGAGCATCGCCTCTCCCCCCGCGCTCGTTCTTCAACTCGAGCACAGCGTAGGGTAACAACGGACCGTCGATAGATGGGAAATACCACCGGATGTTCGCATGATATTTTTCTGCTTTGGTAGGCGGTTCCAGGGTGACGACATGACCAGGGAATAGCGTCTCGATCCAGGGTACCACAGCAGATAGGCGTTCGGCTTCGCTGGGGTAGAACTCGGAAGCGACTTTTACGAAACCGTCACAGATGGGGAACAGTTCGATCCGCTCCTCTCGCGTGGTAGTGGGGGTATGGATATCTTGTTTTAGGCGGGCAATGGATGGGTCGAAAAACGCGATCGAGGGGCCATACGTCTCATGCGGGCGGCCATACACGAGATCGACTTCCTCCGTCACCCTCTCGACGACAAAATCTTTTTGTGAAGATGCGGAGGGGGGTTTGCTTTTTGAAAGCCGTCGGTGGATACCGTCAAGGTCTGTGCACCAGTGAACAAAATGCAGCCCTGTTGACAAAGCGAGATCGTACCCTTCTTGACCATCGCAGGGAGCGGAGCGAGCACGTCTTGCTGCGGTATCTCTGCACAGCTCCGCAGGATGCTCGAGTGAAAAGACGTACCGGGTGCGAATCGTAAGATGATGTCTACACTCCCATCCCTGTGCGGAATACCCAGAGGAGGAAGATAGTTGGTGTATGAAAGCTCCTCGCAGCCTTGCCCGACTTCGATATAGCTGATGACACGGTCACGCAGACTCTCTAAAGGCATTGCTTCTATACCTTGCGGCTCGTATGCGCATCAATGCTGGCTGGACCTAACTCGACGTCGCAAGACTCGCAACGATAAATTTGGCCTCCGTTGGATCGATGTTCCAGTCCTTATTTTTTTTGTTCAGCGCCTCCACAATTGCCTCCAAGGTATCGTCTGCGACAACCAAGACGGTTTGGAAGTCGTCAGCGTCAAGATAGTAGACGAAGAAGCGGGTTTTGGACATGGTGGTTGGTTGTTCGGATATGAGCTGCGCGGCATTATGTAGTCAGTGGCCTTTGTGCGTAGACAGCTCATACATCTCTCCCACTTGGCACGTAAATGGGCGCTTGTCGGTTGGCAAGACACATGGCTTGCGGTATCTACGAGATCGCTCAAGATACACGTACATACAAACAAGTGCCCTCACCTATTCCTTCACAGCACGTACTCGAACCAAATGCTCTCACTCGACATCTCCTTCAACTCGCCCTCGTCCGCCCTCGCGTCCATCCCCACCCGCGCCCGCGCGGCTGCCTTGCGCTTGTTCTGTCGCGCGAGCCACGCGCGCGTCCCCGCGCCTGCCAGGATCGTCGACGCTTGGAGCGCGAGCATCGTGCCCGTCGCCGCGGTGTACCGCGGCGCGGGCGAGAGGGAGCCGTAGAGCCAGGTGGAGAGGATGCCCGCGCTGTTGGCGCACATGACATAGAAGGCGAGCGCGGTCGCGCGGCGCTCGAGCGGCGCGGTGTTGTTCGCGACCCAGGTGCCGAGGGGTGCAAGCAGGGAGTAGATGCCGGCGACCGTAAGGAAGAGGGAGGCGTAGCGGACGTGGTGCGCGTCCGAGGCTGCCGCGATCGGGTATAATGGTCAGCGTCGAAAGGCTTGGAGGCGGCAATGTGGTCATACCGAGGAAGAGAGCGTAACCTGTGGTCGAGATCATGGAGAACAGGATTACCGTGAGTCCGCGGTGAGAGTATCGGTCTGCGAAGATTGCGCAGGTGACGGACACTACGACAACGATTGAGTATAGGTCATGGAGAAAGATGACAAAGACGTACTGAATGCGCTAACGGCGAAGGGGGGACAGTCAAGAGTTGCGCATGGATCCCTTCGAAGCCGAGGTCGGCGACGACAGTCGGGAGATAGCTGGATGATCTCATGGTCAGTGAGTCTCAAAAGAGATTGCTGGACTACGTACAACTGCAAGGAAACGAGCCCTATCCCTAAGACACAGTTCGATGTTAGCCTTACGAGTTGGCCAGGTTGGCCAGCGACAGAGCGTGTGACACACCACTAGTGGCGCCCATGAAATACAACATCAGCATGTGTGGCTGCTTGAGCGTATGCCATAATTCTCCCAACGGATGGCGCGCAACATGGTGTTTCAACTCTAGGATGCCATCATCCGCGAGCGCCTTCGAGATGAACATCTTCTCGTCTTCGTTCAGGGCGAACGCCATTTTTGGGCTATCTGGAAGCAGGAAGAAACACGCTAGTCCGAAAACAACAGTGAGGCATCCCTCCTATGGAGGAGTCAATGAAAACGCGCAAACTTCGGCGAAAAGCCACTCGCCAAGATAAAGATCCACTCATATCCAGGCCTCCCACCAACTCCGTCCATGTTCAGAATGGCGGCCGCGAGAAGGCCAGAGAACGCCCCAGCAAACGCCGAGGAAGAGAAAACGATAGAAACTCTGTAGCTCCAGATCAGCATTCAACGACTCAGTGGTTGTGGTGTGTTCGTACCGGAACTGGAGCATTCGACGGGGATAGAACGAAGCGAGATACACATAGATTCCGCACGGAAGGCCACCTGGATCGTCCTCAAGTTCGCAACTACGCATTCCCAAACATATCGCCCACCTTCGAATAAGCCGATGAAGAATCGGCAGGCGAGAAGTCCGGACTCATTGTGGACCACACCTGCAAACTTTGAGCTTCTTTTCTGGGAGAACAACATGAAGAGAATCACCTTGGCATGCCGTGGAAACACCCCACAGACACACAAGCGTGGGCAAAAGCAGCCGTGGGCCAACGCGCTGGGTGAGAGTATGAGACCTCGGCGTACTGGGTGGCGCCAAGACAGGCGCTCACAATCATGAGCATGTTGGCTGGGATTTCAACCAAAACAAAAGGGCTGCGTGGCATCCATCAGAGGTCTGAGCGCTGAACCGCCCTGTCACGTACACGAGGGCCACCGTAAGAGCCAGACTGTACTAAGGGCCAACGAATCGTTCAGCACGTGAACGCTGGCCCGTAAATCACAGCATCCATACCTGGAAGTTCGACATATTCAGCTCCTTCTGCAACCCCGCAATCCGAGCGTTCCCGATGTTTGAGCGATCCTGCGATAGAAAGATCGGCTATACTTCCAACGGCCACCCGATACGAGAGACACACACCAGGGAGGAGAAGAAGTACATCAGGGTCACGACTGGCAGCACTGTGAGGTCCATCTTCGCCCACGCTGCACTCCTTCTAGCCGACATGGCAGCGGCCTCAGACCCTTCGGGACTGTTCTGCTCGACGAACGAGTCCGTCTTCTCGAACGACATCCCGCGCTTATTGTCCTGCGTTGCGACGGCAGAGGGCCTGGACATGGCGCTTCCGAGAAGAGGTGGGAGGGGAGAAGAGTGGGCACCGTGACCCAGCCTCTTGCAGCGAAGCTGTATATGATGCCTCAGCTCTTCGAACACGCTGCCTATCGTCTGTCGCAGCATAACTTACCTAATGAATCGCGTCGACAGATCATCAGAATCGAAGCCCAAGGGGGAGCCAAGAGGGGTTGTGAGAAGCTTGGAGACTGACAGAGAACTCGGAAGACGCTATCAGAAAGCCGTGGGCATGCGGTGGGAGCGGAACGCTGGGGAGGCGAGGGATACTTACCTCGGGAACAGAAGGCCATTGTTGGTGGCGCCGTGGGTGGAGTTCTGACATCTGTCTTCATGTGATCCGACGTTCCAGCTCCGCCTTTGTATCGATTTACGTATAAGGTGCGGGCCGCGTTGGACGTGTTGAACTCAGTACACGTACTTTGAGTTCGACTAGGTTTGATCTGTCACCTATCGCTCATGCTGATCCACTGGAGCACTAAACACCTCTCGGAACGTCGGTCCATGCGCGAAGGCGGCTGCCCGGTGTCGATACTTCACAGTGTGCAGATCATTGACTAGCGCAAGCGCCGGGATAATGTCGGCTGCCGGAGAAGCCCGAAATAAGTAATTATCCATAACACACGGCGAATGCACCGGTCAGGTCAGGCAATAGGGCCGTCTTCGACGGCACGAAGCTCGGCGTACTCGCCTCGTTCCATACTACGAGGGCTGTGTTGGGAGTAGAGTTGCAATTTGACATCTGCGAAGCCCAGATCCATGACAGAGGCAACAGCTACACTGCGCAAGTACATAACCGTCCGTGTCTCAACCACGCACAGCAATTCACAACGCTGCAGGTAAAGTAGGGTCAGCAACGGAAGGACGCACAACCTAACTAGCACGTACCGGTGGTGTTCCACTCTTTGACCTAGACATCAAACAGCTCCGGCAACGAACACTATAGAGCCCGCTGCACGCCCTCAATCCCGAGGGCGTCCACGTATCGCTTCAGGTGCACGTCTTTGCACGATTCGCAACAGCGTGACGACGTGACCCTGTGCCGGAGGGCGTATCCCGTGAGAGGCTCGAAGTTACCGTCACCCAACGTGTTGAGGTCGTAGTGCAAGCCCTTCAGCTCCCGCATGCACAGGTCGACGTTTCGCAGGTTACGCAATCTGGCAGCGCCTTCTGAGCGTTGGTCATCGCCTTCTCCCAGAGCCGCGCGATCCGTTGGCGGAGCGGCGCGAGGCCGTTGATGAGCCGTTTCAGGTCGGGTCCGCTGAGGTGGACGATGGACCCGTCTTCACGCGTCCAGCCGTCTGCGATGTCGCCCGCGACCCAAGAGCATGTGTAGAAGGCGACCGGGAGCATCGAAGGCGTATTGGTGAGCCGGGCGAGGTGGATGGCTTCAATGCCGCAAGTCTTGCTCCTCACCGAGAAGTGTTGAATGATCGGATGGGTGAAGCTACACTGATTCGCCGTAAAATAGGTCTTGAGCGCCGCAAGGGCGTGCACCTGAACGTGCTCCATCTGGTACTTGTTACCGAGGCGGACGAGGGCGGACAACTGATGTATCGAGTAGTGTCCGGGAGGGTCGGGCAATAAATGCTGGGGGATGCATGGGAAAGGGGATCTACCAGAATCCCGCGAAAAAGACGCACCGAACAATTGTCGTGGACATCACAGCGCGTAGTAGATGCCGCAACGTCGCAGGCGCGTCACTGAGCACGACGGTAGGTGATCCGTCGTAGATGGAGCTTGCCTGGATGGTGCCTGTCGTGAACATGTCTCGAAAGACCTCCGAATGGGTCGACAACAGTCCGCGATAGACTTTGAAGGCAACATGGTGAGGATGACATTGCCGTCTTCGAGCCAGAACTCGTCGTCGTGAATGGGGCCGTCATATTGAGTCGCGTTGTGGCTTTCACCCCCTTCGCCGTCCACCCGCAACCGTCGAGAGGACTTGGTGGTATTGGAGAGTGTGCAAAGAGTAGACATGGGGATCAGGGAGGTCAAATAGACAAAACGAAAGGAGTAGGGATCGACTACATACCCTGTTGTTACTTACAAAACTTATTATGTACGTTACTTACACTGTAAGTAACGCGTTAGTTACATGGGGCTCGAAGGGGTGGTGTAACATATGTAACAAGTGGATAAGCGCCTGTTCTTGAAAGGGCTGTCGGGACGCGGATATCATGTGAGACTTCCGAGTCAACACGAGGCTTCCCACTGCCCAGGGCTTCCGGTCACCAGAACATCATGTCGATGACCCAGATTGACCCTCCGGTGGCGTGCCACGGGTAACATCCACCTCATCCTCTTGCAGTCTCAATGATCTTCATATACGCGGTTACTGGTGCCTCTCGCGGCATCGGCCTCAAATTTGTTGTGCAACTTGTACGTTGATAGTCCTGTCGTATATAAATTCCCTAGCATTAACATATCGTGTCTCCAGGCATCCATACCCGCAAACTCCGTGTTCGCCGTCCGCAACCTCGGTGCACCTCCAGGACACGATGAAGCAGCACGGCTTCAGTAACGTCCACATTTTTGAAGGCAATATTGGCGACTTCGCTGACACGTCCTTGTCCAGCGTGCCAGGAAAGAAGTCGCCGAGAAGACCGGCGGAGGCCTTGACTGCCTCATCCACAACGCCATGCGCCGCTCTCCTCCTGTCATCTTCACCGACTTCCTCAACATCCCCGACATGGCCGAGTTCGATGCCAGCCTCGCCCACGCCGTACGCCTCCGTGCCCCTCCCCTCCAGTCTCGCACTGACCGCCCCCCATGGCAGTTCCAAATCATGGCCTCGGCACGATCCACTCCATCCACGCCTTCCTCCCCCTCCTACGCGCGTCCCCCACTGGCGCGAGGAAGATCATGGTGATCAACACCGAGGGTGGCAAGTACAACTCGATCCACGACATGCAGATCGCCGCCATGCCGTCCTACCACCTCTCCGAGTGCGTGCAGGCAGCAGGTCATTGCCGCCATCAAGTTCTCCGTCCTCCTCGCGCCCGAGGCCTTCACCGTCGCTGTGCTCACCACGGGGCTCGTCGACACCCCCGGCACCAAAGACGGGCTCGATGCGAAGGGCGCAGCGCTCGCGAGGGCTCGCCACGCGCGCGTCGAGGCGGCTGTCGCGGGGTTCGAAGCCCAGGGGCTCACGATGACGCTGCGGACGCCGACACGCACACGCTATCGCCGTACGGTGAAGACGTACGAGCACAACACCTTCGACCGCGCTCGGCCCTTGTCCTCGCGCACTTCGCCCATTCCGTCTCTCGAACCTCTCGCGGTCAGTCCGCAAGCACTCCAAGATCACGATTGCACCCCGGAGCCGTCCTCATATGCCGGTCAACTGAACAAGTTGGTTCACAGCCTGATTTGCATGGAAAACGAGGCGAAACGGGATCGGGTAGTTGTCCATAGCTGATGGATGCTCATACCCACTCGTTGGGAACTACCTTATGTTTCCGCGCTTGTCCACCTGTCGCCGCTTTGCCCTTTCACACCCCGAGTTGTACGTGAATGCTGGCGGACTCCGGAGCGTCTGGGGCACGATCCTTATCCTTGGCGAGTCAGCTGCAGGTAAGCTCTGTACGTGGTGATACGCACGTGCCACCGCTGTACGGTGCACCGCGACTACGCTAGCGCCTGCGCGCCGCCGCCCACCTTGTCCTCGCTCGTCCTCACACATCTCGACCATTCCGCTGCGCACACCCGTCGCGATCCGCGAGGACCCCATGATTAACGCCCCAGCACCACAGTCCCGACGCGACACTCGCGGACGCACCGCGGCGCGGCCCACGCCCGCTCGTAGTCATCACCTGCCCGCACTCGATCCCCATCCTCCATAGCCTGACGACACGTTCTTGTCTCGTGATGGTAACCCACTCCTCATATCGTATGTTTCTTCTTCTCTCCTGCTTTATTTTTGCTCTATTTCGTATCCTCGTATCCACTTCGCGAGCCCCCCATTTCGGCTCATGCTGCCTCGGTCTATCTGCGCTCACATCCCCACTCCATCTACGCGTGCAGTGTGCTCATCTAGTCTCGCCTTCGACTTCGACTTCGCGCACGCGCACGTTCACGTCCACGCTTTCGCCCACGCCCCCGTATTCCCCCTCGCCTTCGCCAGCGCCCGTATGCGTGACCTCGTCCATCTCCCGCGTCTATCCCCGCGGTGTCCTCCTTGCGCTCGCGCGATCCTCCAATCCATCCTCCCTTCGCGCTCGCTCTCCCCGCGGCGCGTCGTATCTGCTTCTATACGACTTCCCGCGACTCACGCTTACGCTCACTCGCTCACTCGCCCTCATCCTTGTTGATTCCTGAGCCCGGAGTTGACTGCACATCAGTGGCTCAGATATTTGTGCTTTCACTGAAAATCACACGTTTCTTCAAAGGGCCCTGTGCAAGCTCCCGCTATCCTGAAGAGTGTTTGTCGCAATTGTGGTCTCCCCATCTCCTTGGAATACCCTCAGAGGGGTCGCCTGGTGTCGTCTGCGTGCTATGATGCGTCTCTACTGTGGGTGCTGCACGAATCTGGCTGTCTACGTCCGATGATGAGGATTCCGACAGCGATTTGACTAAGGATGGGGACTGGTAGGGCTATTCTCCGCAGCACTAGACCTTCATTACATTTCGAATTAGTTACATGTTACTTACACGTGTTACAAATGGCGTCTGAGGGTCGGTTTGTTAGTAACATATGTTACAGACGGCCTGGAATATGTAGTCGAACCCTAGAAAGGAGAGTAAACGCCTAGTCCGGCATTCGTGTCGTCTTCGAAAAAGCCGTAAATGATCCCGTAATGGTGGAGTGCAAGATTGCTTACCCGAGCCCTGGTATGTAACCACACGTCGATCCCACTAACGGGATGAGGAAGGTGCTGAATGGACCAAATACTGTGATGCGTCTCGGTAGCCATACGAAGGGGTTGGATATTGCACTCACCGAGTTCTACTATGTAAGACCGCCGTCGAAACGCCGTTCCACAAACCGCGCCATGATCCATCTTGATGCTCTGCACCAATGAGCCGAATTTGCCCCGGAGATGTCCCTGTTCTCCTGGCATTTGCAGCAGGTTTGACGAGGCAGTGGTAGTCTGGGAAACTCTCCGAGGAGCTGTGGCTACACGATCCGAGCATTCCTCTTCGTCGGCCGTCCGCCACGCGATTCAGAATGCAACACATCCATCTCTCCCCGCAGCACCAACAGCCGCCGGCCTTCTTGAGGTGATTGTGGGGTAATGACAGAACCGTACCGTCTTCGGGCGTCCAGCCACATAGCTCTCCGTTTCCTGCTCCCGAGCGTATCCATAGCGTCAACGGAAGGGCGGATGGGGCAATCCAGAGAGCCTTGGTAGTCGTCCGGGGGAGCTAACAATTTGTAGCCGCTGGTTGTACTTGTGCGCGAAGGGCTATGACGGGATCAACAGTGTAGAAGGAGTTGCATAAAGTCCGAGTGCAGTGGTGCACGAGCGCACTACGAGCCACAGAGCCATTTGAACCGAGTCGAACCCGATCGCGCGAAGGGCGAGCCGAACCGGTCATCTACATTCATCACGTGACTGGGTCGATGACTCCAGGCAACAAGCTCATTAAGTTGATTTCGCGGACCCCACATCCACAACTATGCTACAGAAGCACCTCACATGACATACTGGAACCAAATGCTCTCGTCCGACATCTCCTGTGCGGACGGCATCGTGCCCAGCTCGTCCACACGCACCTCTGCCCGTCGCCTTGCCTTTACCCGGTTCCGCCACGCCAGGTATGCCCACGCTGTCGCCGCACAAATAAGGATTCCCACCTGCAGCACCAGCAGCGTGATGGTGGCTGCGGTGTACGCTGGGGCCGGGGAGAGCGTGCCGTACAGCCACGTCGAGAGGATTGCGCCCGCGTTCCCGCATGCCGTGAGTAGAGCGACGGATGTCGCGCGGCGGACAAGTGGAGCTGTGTTGTTCGCCATCCATGTCCCGAGGGGCGCCACGATGCTGTAGGTGCCTGGTACAGCCAGGAAGAGAGAGCCATAGCGGGCATGATTTCCCAAAGCCCTGTGAACGAAGTCGGGGTTCGCAACTAGTGCCAAAATGCGTGTTAGTATCGAAGCTCACCTAGAAAAATGGCGAACCCTGCAGTAGACAGCAGGGAGAAAAAGATGACCGTTGCCCCCCGCGACGCGAACCGATCCGCCCAGATTGCCGTGGATATCGACACTGAAAACGACCCAAGCCAACTGTTAAGTCGTTTTTCGCGAGACCATACAATGCCACGCACAAATTGCACCAACCGCAAACGGAGGGACGCTCATGAGTTGAGCACGAGTGCCCTCATATCCGACTGCGGCAACGATACTCGGCAAGTAACTGCAAAATAAAATGAGCATTCTACTATGAGAAGAACCACAAGCGCGACCAACTCACTAAGACAGCGAAGACAAGGTAATCCCTGTAAACTCTCAGCACCCGCACGAGCATGCAACACTATGACCACCACTCACCGCTGAACAGCGCTGCACTACACAACAGCAGGACTTGCGGCTGAACGGCGGATCTACCCAGCTCACGCCAGGACCTTCGGCCCCTGTTCGTCTGCTCGTTCATGTCCAGGATTCCGTCGCCGAACAGAGCCAACGTGACGATATCTCGCTCCTCCCGGTTGAGAGTGTAGACTGAGCTGGGGCTGTTTGGGAGTAGGATAAACACGATGGCTCCGAAAAGAACGGAAAACAGGCCCTCCTAACAGAACCGAGTTCAGACTAACGTGAATCGATCACGACGATAGCACTCACTAGGATGAAGACCCACGCCCATCCGGGTCTTCCCCCGACACCATCCATCTTCAGGATCCCCGCAGCGAGCAGACCGGAAAATGCGGATGCGAAAGCCGAAGCTGAGAACATTATTGACATCCTAGACGGCACCCTGATCCATCGAAGATTCACTGCCATTGAGTGCGAGAGAGTCACATACCGGAACTGTAGCATACGTCGAGGATAGAACGAAGCGAGATAGAAAAATACACCGGGAGGTAGCCCTCCTGTTTCCATGTCTCAGTGATCGGCCTGATATGAAACACACGTTACGTACCTTCGAAGAAACCTAGGAAAAACCTACAAGCCAACAGGTCAGGGTAATCGCGAACGACCCCTGCAAATACGCTTTCCATGAGCTACAAAACTACGGAACGCCGTCTGTAAACAAACCTTGTAGTGTACATGCCACACCCCACAGTGTGACGAGCGTCGAAAGGAATACGCGAGGACCGATCCGCTAAAGGGATAGGTTCAGACCCACGAGTCAGAAGAACAGAGTTAGGTTGCGCTCACCAACATGACAATATTAGCCGGGACTTCTACAAGCACGTAAGGTCTGCGTCCTGATGTCATCCCATCTGCACTGAGTGCATGTAACATACGTGCGACTCACATGAGCGCAATCGTGAGGGCCAGGCTATACTGCAATCCCGTGATGTCAGGCACTGAGCGACGACTTAAATTGGAAGACAAGTCGTACCTGGTTGGTCGTAATACCGATATCATGCTGCAAACCTGCAATCTTTGCATTTCCGATGTTCGAGCGATCCTGCATGGGGTTCGCTCGGAATTATTTAAAAAGACCAAAGGGAACGACATACCAGCGACGACAAGAAATACATCATGGTGATCAATGGCAGCACTGTCATGTCCATCTTCCTCCACGCTCTCTGCTCAGATGCTAGCCCCAAGGATGGTGCGCACTCGGCAGCGTTGACGTGAGACCACTCCGTCAGCTTCTCCTCCGACCTCGTCTTCATGTTACCCAGGGAGACTGGGATGGGTGATGACATTGCGTCCGCAGAGGCGAAGGCGAGAGACGAGAAGTCAGGAGGGAGTGGGGTCGGTGCGCCTCTGAGCCCGCGTCAGCCCCTCCACCTTCAAATACGCATCGGAGGCCGTATTTTTGCTTCAGCCGGCTGCTCGGCGATTGGCACATAGAAGGATTCCGAGGAGCGCGGGAAGGGTGGTGCGGACGAGACCCGCGGCGCGGGCTAGAAGGTGGGCGAATGAGGACATACCCAGCTTCTTCCAGGCATCTTCTGGGCGGCCTGCGCCCCTGACGTGCAGCATCGGTGTATCGGCACAAGTGCGGGCTCTGCGCGCGCAGCCCGTGCCAGCGGTAGTCCTCGAGGAAGGCCAGATTGCGCTTCCGAGACTGGAACCCTGCTAAAAAGTGGTCAGATGCGCGCATCGTGGAATTGTCTGGCCTTGCCGGTGCCGCTCACAGGTATATGCGTATCGCCGGATAGTACAGATGCGCGTTCGACGATCTCCTGTTTCGTGTTTGGGGAAGGCGCATCATACTCGTAGGTGTTGTCATGGGATACCCGCAGCACTCTATGTCCGTCCTCCACTATACACGTGTTCGAAGACGCCCTCTTCGGGAAGTGTAAGTATACCGCACTCCGCAAAAAAGGAAAGTAGGGTAGAACGGTTTGTAAGAGTCAGCGCTGCGCTGCGACGTATTGAAATTGTCATCTTCGGAATCGCGATGCGTGTTTCATGCTATGTATGTGTCAGATGTGGCTTCCATCATGCGGTCGAAGTGAGGTGCTCACCTATAGGTATAAACAAGTGTCGAATGTTGTAGGCCGCGACAAACCATGTACTAGTATCTCAGCCGCAGGCGGTGAGCCTGGGAGTGGTAAACAACTATCGCAGGCCAAGATCTGCCAGAGAAAAAACTGCAGAGAATTATGGTACGTTGAAGTCCAGGATGATTGACGAGCGGGACGATCGGAGGTGCAGCGATTGGTGGACCAGCGGATTCTGGCGGCAACTGGTAAGCATCTGCAGAAGGGTATGTATGTCCGATACACTATGAGAGTGACCATAACCGATGGACTAGCTGGAGTGTTTGGATTGGCATGGGTGTCTGACTGAGGGCCGGGAACGTCAGACAACGTTACGCAGAGGAGTGTGCAATTGCCGAGGGACGAACCGATGCACTACATAACGCCGAACGACCAAGGATAGACTGATCCTAGGCTGAGATGGCATGAGGCTAAGCAACCACGACCGGTCACTTTGCGCAGTGCGAGAGTGATCATCGGCGTATGTTTCCTTACTCGCTCGACGTCCCGGAATACCCCGACGTTACTCCGACAACTAGAAAACGCACTATGTCGAGGAAGGAATTGAGCGCGTATACTCACCTCCGAGAGGAAACGTACTCACGAGAGCACAAACAGGGACGCGCTGTGACGTAAACCGTTCCCATGAAGAAGAACGTGGCAGAGTGAAAACAATAAAGATACAACAAAATGGCGCAACTATACAAGGGGTGATATGTGCTCGTACCGTCTACCGAATCCTAGCACCGGACGAGCCTTCAACTCTTTTCATCCCAGTGCTCATACTTGTCATTCCGCAGGCTCTTGTGATACGCCTCGTCGACTGCGACACAAAGGCCGTCGAGATCTTCCAGGGCTTTGAGCAAAGCGTCGAGGGCAGAGAGTTTATCTACGCATTTCCGACGCATAAAATGAACAAGGGGTCGAGGAGGGTGACAAGACGAGGGCGAGGACTCACCGTACATCTGAATGCGCACGTTGATATGATTCTCAGACGGATGGGGCACGCTGCGGACGAGAAAAGTGGGAGTCAGCAGGAGCCCGTGACGCGCGAGAGATGGAGAGCGCAGGAGAATAGGCGGGCTTGGGCTCGTCGTGGGGATATGGAGAACGGGCAGGGTGGACGTAATGACCTATGAGCGCCTCGGGGAGACAATTGAGCTCGCGTGGAGAGCACAAAAGACGGACGACGTCTGGATCGCGGGAGGACGAGCGAAACGGCAAAACAAAAGAGGCGCAAGGCTCAGATCTCGGATGAAAGAAGTGACGAGGGCGCGCGGGAGAGCAGGTGGAGGACAGGAAAGGGAGGAAAACGCCAGGGACGAGAAGGGAGACAAGATGCACCTGTAGCCGCAGAACTCCACCTTCGGGCTGCATACAATTGGGGATGCCGTCAGTGACAATGTCGTCGGGACCTGTTGCAGCAAACAATGCGGAAAGGCTTCGACATACTTCTTCATGAGCATCCAGCGGAGGGCATTTCCGATTGTGTGCGACTCGTCGTGGATCTGGAAGGTGGCTGCCGTCAAGTCAACGAGACCATTCGGGCCCTTGAGCTGTAGCACAGGCAGATAGGGATGAGTTCATTGTCTGCCTGCTTCGTCCGGGCACACATACAATCTGGATTTTGGGCGTGGCCTCGGACATAGATGCGAGACTTGGGAGTAGGCGAGGGACAAAGACTCGAGACTTGAGAACAGAGCAGCGCCAGAAATTCTGTGGCCGTCACGTGCTCGCTTGGTGCAAGGCTCAGGCTCCCAGGATGGGCGCCCGCATTGTTCCTCCTCTGCCAACGATGGCCTGCCTTGCACCCTGGCTCATTGGAAGACGACTACATTCGCGACAACCCGGCTGTAACCATCGGACACGACGCAGACAATGCATACGCTCCCATCTAGCCTTCTTTTGTGAAGACGCACGCCTGGAGTCATGGAGGACTTTAGCGAGCCGCAAACAGGGGTAAACAACGTGTGAGTCCGCCCAATTGTCCCCTCCTCGGGCACGCCGACTGCCCTCCTGCACTCGCTACGCACACAAAGGACGAGCGCGTACCTCTGCAGTGGCATTGAGTACTCTCTCGCCTCGCTCGCACAATGTGCAGAGACAACGGTCTGCAGGCGCGCCTTTCTATAAAGGATAGCCTGCCTGCGGGGCCAAGACCTCGTTCCCTCGCCTTCCTTTCTCGCTCGTCCCGGCCCCGTCTCCCGTTATACCCACCGTTTCCTAGATAATAAAGGCAGCGCCTTCCGATCGGTACCCAGGTGGTCACTCCGGCGTCTTGTTTCCATCACCATCTCAGTCACGCAATCTACCCCACTCCCCTCCCCCGGACAATATAAGATGCCCGCTTCAAGGACCCCCTCGCCCAAGTCCTCCGCCCACACTGCCCGCCCAAGTCTCCCGCCCCTCAGCTCTCTTGGTCTCCTCAACATCCGTCGCCGCCCCAATAGCAACATCATGCCCAACACTACCTCCAACGCTAATCTTAATCCCCTCGGGCTTTCGGTGCGTCATTGTACTCATGCATTGCTCCGAGCTCCCTGCTCACTCCGCCCCCCGTGCAGATCCCGGCGCCCTTCGAGACGAACATGAACGAAAGCACTCAGCGCATGCGCCAGTGCTCTATCACCTCCACGACCTCCTCATGCACGACCACCTCTCGCTCCTCTTCGCCCACCGATCCCTCCGCATCCGCATCCACCTCCCTCTCCGCGGCCCGCCGCGGCTCCATTCAGGGCCGCACCGACCGTCGGCACCACCCCTACCTGCCCACAGACAAGTACCGATGCATCCTCTCCGACCGCTTCGAGGACGCAGATGCCATGCTCGTCCTCCCTCTTCCCCCTGACATGGTCGACGAGAACAACCAGCCGATCAAGGAGAAGCTCGTCAACTTCCGCTCCGACCGCGCATACCTCGCCACGGCGAGCTTGCTATCAGCCTTCGCGATACGGAGACTCGCCGCCGCCTGCGTGCGATCATCCATCCCTACCGCCTCATTCCCCGCGACCCCAACGCCCCGCCGCCGAAGGACGTCCACCGGCTCCCGTGCCAACCCGTCTACACCCGTCGCTACTCCATCCCCGCCGCTCCTCGCGCACAGCCGACGGCGCAATGAGTGCGTCTCCATGTCCTCCGTCCTGTCGTCTCGGACCGCGCTTCGCACCCCGTGCCCATCCCCATCCATCCGACATTGCGCTCCCCCTTCCTCCGCCCCTTTCTCGGATCGCGCTTACGGTCATGACCATAACGCTCACGATGCCGGACGCTCTGCGTCGACGATCTGCCGGACGGTCGCTCGCCGCATACCCACGACTGTCTCCTCCTCACCCCCTGTATCGATTTCACGAATGTCCTCTCTCACACCCTCTGCTCCTCTTCTCACCGTCGTCGCGCCCCGCGTCGACGCCATTTGGTGCCTGAAGTTTGTACTCACTTATTGCCTTCTTTGTTCATACAACCGCCTCCTTTTTGGGCCCCAGGATGTATTCCTTAAGAAGTCATGTAACAGTACGAACCCTCTGTATCGTTGTCGTCTCTGCGAAGTGTGTAGCTTACCGCCGTCGAGAGATTTATAAGTACCTAGAATGCATCTCCGTTAACTCTCCCCTGCCTTCTGGTGCCGGTCATTGTCCGCCTGCGTACAGGGTCGCCCGCCGTGGTTAAGCCGGGGTGCTTCATCTCGCCCTCGTGCCTGTTCGTAACCGCGACGTCGACAATGCATTGCTCAAATCTGAGAGCCGTCTGCTCTTGTGCGCGTGTGGACCCAGAACCGACGTCGAGTGCTTGTGTCGCTACCTGTCCCTGCCCCGCGCATCGATTCGAACGAGATCCGATGCCGGTGCGCGTAATGACCGACGCTCAGCTTCAGCCCCGGCACTGCCAAAGCCCACGCCCAGAAACGTACTAGCCGACTGCGTCCAGCAGGCCTGCGCAAGATCATCGCCCACCGCGATCACGTCCCGCGCGGCGGAAGCGTTCCACGGAGCGCGCGCGGGAGCCGGAGGGGCTCTTTGTTCGCTCGTTCGGGGACCCTGGGCGGACCCTCTGCGTGTGTGCGGGATCGAGATCCCCGCGCTGCAGCGTGCCTACGAGTCGCCCCCGGCCCTGCGCGTCGCGAATTCGATGGCTGCGGCCCGGGGTCTGCGAGGCCTTGCGTCGTGCACGGTGACACGCGTCGAGGTCGTGGCCCGCGCTCGGCTGGAGCGTGGACGACGAGCGAAAATCGATTGTCCACCGGGCGCACCGCTCCCGCTGCGTGGTTCGAGCCGACGAGGGCGTGGCCACTGCGTGGCGGCCTGGGGCCTGGTGGCACGACGATAACATAGCGCAGACGCGCGGGGGTACTTTGAAGGCACGGACCCCGGTGTCCTCCATTGTTCGACGTTCCTGGCCTCCTGCGGTAACTCCCCAGTCGCGCGCGCCATGGATCTTGTGAGCGACTGTCACGCCATGATGTCAGTCGCGAGGCTAGGCACCGGGGTGATGGAGGCTTGACTATGTAGGGCTGTTTGAAAACGTCGAGCGTCGGATTAGGTAGGCTGTGGGCGCGCCTGCCAGAAGAATGGAGAAGGAGCTCGGAGGAACCTTGCGAGCGGCGGCGGAATCAGGTGCGCGCGGCGTGCGATGGGATCTGCTGCGACAATCCGCTTCGCGACAAGATTGGGATCCCACTGTGCTTCGCAGGTTCCAGCTGGGTGCTTCCCTGCGCGCTCTTGGGGTCACTTGTAGGCGCGCGATGCCACGAAAGGCACTGTGCACAACGGAGGCAATGGTCAACAGTCACGGTGTGATTGATCCCGTCGGGTATCGGCCCCTTGCGTGCCTCTATACGCCGCTCATACAGATCCAAACCAAGCTACTCCGCTCCTGCGCCGGTACCGCGTTCCTCCGATGTCCAATGTCCGAGCTCCCAGCTCCGACGTCCGACGCCGTGGCTTGAGACTTAGAGCTTCGCCTTCGGAGCCCGGAGAGCCACCATTTGTTCGATAGCGGCCTCGGCGTCCCGCTCGATGCGTTGAAGGAGCTCCGCGCACGGCGGGCAGTCCTTGATGAGCCCGACGACGACGCCCGCGCTCCAGATGCCGGCGTCGGCGTCGCCGGTGTCGTACACCCGGCGGCCCCGTTGGCCAGAACGAGGTCGCGGATGTCCTCGAACTTGGCACCGCCGGGGCGGCGCTCGATCGCACGACCTCGGTCGAAACCGCATTCTTGAAGACGCGTGCGGTGTTGCGGAGCGTGCGGAAGATGTGTACCGTGTCCTGTCGGAGGAGGCCACAATCTTGTCCTTGATGTTCTGGTGAATTGGACTACGTAAGAGGAGGGGAAGCGGTCAGCGGGCGACATTGATTGGTAGCTGAGGGAACGGCGCACCTCTCGACCGTGCACATGAAGCGCGTTCCTAGAACGAGTGATCATCAGCGTCAGGATGCACAGACCGGTCCAAATGACAAGCCCGGACGGACCCATGTTCACACCCTGCAAGAGAGGTTCAATTGTCAGCTCGAATAGGCAAGTGGGACAGTTAGCCACACGACGCACACATGCTCCAAGCGCCAGAGCCGCAGCCAGTCCCCGGCCGTCCGCGACACCGCCCGAGGCAATGTAGGGTATCTTCAGCTCCTGTGCCGCGCGCGCGAGCTGGGGACGTATATCATTGTGGTCAGCAACGCGGGCGTGACGAGGTGCAAGATGTGACCATACAAGCACGAGGCCGCCGATGTCGTCTTCACCCGGATGTCCAGCACCTGAACACGACATAATTGGTCAGATGGACTGCTGGCGGGCGTGTGGGACGTACATTCAAAGCCATCGATGCTGAGGCAGTCCACGCCCATACGTTCTGCTGACTATCAAAATGTCCTCGTGGTCAGATTAAACTCTGCCCAGTGCGCATGTTCGTCCACACCTTCGCATGCCTGATTGTTGTACATTTGTGGATCACAATACATCCCTGAGATTTGAAGAACTTGATAAGAGGACCCGCTGGTCGTGGCGATGTTAGCGAGAGCATGGAGGGCACACAGGCCGGCAACGTACGGTTGTTTCCCGCGGTCTCGAATATCCGGACACCCTCCTCGACAGCAACGCGAGCATAGCCCTCATAGTCGGGTGGGTTGATGCTGGGAAGAAGGGTGATGTTCACACCGAAGGGCTTGCTTGTCATTTTGCGCGTATCCCGGATGGCATCTCGGAGCGCAGCGGGGATGGCTGAGTAAGAGCAGTAAGGATGCCTGCAGAATATTGTGAGTTCCACCAACGTATGATTGTAAGATATGGAGGTGATTCAAATATGTCCGGAAGTTGATACGCCGATAGCCCATCCGTACCCAAACGAAAGCGTTCAAAAATCATCGCTCCATATCCTACTCCGCTCCCACTAGCAGCTCCCACTATAGGGAATGCGAGAAGTCTCGGGTATCATACAGACTCTCGAACTGGTAGCATACAGACAAAATGTCCATGGTGATACATGCCAATAATGTATGGCCCGGGCCATCCAAAAACCATGATGCTCCACCCGACAACCATCTCATAGCGCATAGGCTGGCAAACCCATATGGTTCCGTTCCTGCACCTACGAGCCGGACAGTCGTATCCCATCGACCGTACGCCACATCCACATGCGCAGAGACAAAACACCTATGATAGTACTCACCCAGTCCTCCGCATTCGAAACTGCTGCTGCCAGTTGAGGTAGGCCAACCCTTCAGAGACGCGAGCTTAGACTTTATGAAGTTCATATTTGCGCGAGCGGGTCTTACCATTGCATACCGCCCTGTACCACGGACTTCGGTGCTATGATCAGCGGGTGCAGAGTGTGCAAGTTCAACAGACTCACACGCGATCCCAGCAACTGCGTGAGCTTGGTATGAAGAGGCATAGTGGGTGGAAGTGGAAGCGGAGGAGCGCAGGCGGAAGCAGCAGGGAGACTGCGGGGGAGAGTGCGGGGTGCGGCGAGCTAAGAAGCCCGGGACGCGCCTGCACGTCGCCGACGAGGGCGTCCGGAGCAAGACATGTGTTAACTCTAGATCCGGGGGGATGCCGCCATCAGGGCGGGAGGCGGAACATGCCGTCTATGGCAAGTTGAAGTGAGCGACGCGTGCGCTCACGCTCGCGTCGCGTCACGTCTCGCCCAAGTCACACCCTCCCACCTCTTTCACTCGGACCGTCACCACAGCGGCAGCGACGACCGCCATGCTATATGCGCGTCGCTCATGCACTTCGTGGCGCTGGTTGAGTCATGCTCGCGCCCGCGCGTATTCCACGGCCACGTCAGAGCCGTTCAAAGTCCTTTTCTTTGGACGTGACGAATTCTCGTGTGTTGTTATGCAGCAATTGCTTCAAGCCAAGGTGAGTTCAACCTTCGGGGGACACACGTGTTGCTGACGTATGGGGGTTCACGCAGATGTATGGCAGGACATTCAGGTTGTCACGCAGCCTGACATGAAGATCGGCCGTCGAGGTCCGTCTTGTCAATATGTTCGTGAGGAGTTGTGACTTCTCGTCCATCCGCTAATAGTTCATTGCTTAGCACCTCTCAAACTACTCGCGCAAGAAGCGGGGCTACAGGTCCACACGATCCCTCAAGAACGAAAGGCGTTCAGATCGTGGGAGGTGAATCTCACATCTACTCGGCCACCCAAATGTCGCTGACTCAGCGCAGGCTCCTTCGCCGTTCGTTGACTACGTCTACTCGGACCCGGGAAGACCGCCACCATCAAACCACCTCTTTGTGACGGCGTCGTTCGGACGCATTCTCTCTCGGTCGTTGCTCGGACGCGTACAACCGTCGCGAAGATTGAATGTACACCCGTCGCTACTGCCCGAATATCGCGGCCCGTCGCCACTGCAATACACCCTCATTGACCAAGTGAAAGAAACCGGAGTGTGTGTCATTGAGATGCTTGAGAAGAACAAGCGGAACGACATCGACTCCGGTTCGATTTTCGCTTCTGAGAAGATGGTTTGTCCATGGCCGATTGCGGGTCCAGGCCATGTACTGATTTACCTGACAGAGAGTACCAGAAGATGCGAACTTTGCTTCCCTTCGAGACGCGTTGGCTCTGAGAGGAGGGAACCTTCTCGTGTCTGTTATGCGAGCTATGATGGTCAACAAAGTAGGTGTTCGACACAAGCTTCGGATCGGCACGACGCTTACCTGTCATCTGATTCTAGGACATTCGCCGGCCGCAGGCTGGTCACGCTCAGCGCCGTGCTCCTCTAATCACCATTGAACAGTCCAAGTTGACTTTAGGAAACAGACAGCAGCTGAGATTGCGGCATTGCATCGTGGCATTGCGCACCAAGTGAGTTATGATAGTAGCAAGCGCGGACCACCTTCTGACAAGCGTGTCACCAGCAACCCCTCATCGCCCGTCTCGCACGAACCAGTCGCTACAGATTCACGAAGTGACCGAAGTGCCCGCTCCTCTGGTTGGAGGACCAGATGCCTCATGCTGGAGTGGCGTTCTACACAAACCCATGAAAACGTTCTTCGTTCGCTGCGCAGACGACAGCTTCATCGCCGTACAGAAGGTGTGCTTGAATGTTTACCTTGTAGTCGAGCCACACCCTGACGAGTTCGCACCAGGTGAAACAACAAGACAGGTCGTTAATGTCTGCGAAAGACTGGTGGAGCGGGCTTCCCGCCCAGTTGAGGCCTCTCGAGTTCCTACCTTGGAATGCTTCTGGATAGAGACGCCATCATGCTAGGATATACATGCTCCACATATATCCAGGATGTATGGTCGCTCATAGCAACGAATTCGATGTGTAGATGGTCACCGTGTACACAAACGCCACGCTTGTAGTAAGAGATGCGCTTCTGCTCTCACGCCCGACTGTGATACTGATTTTTGACCAGGAATCGGACGCTCCTGTAATCTTCACTCTCACGCCCGACTCCACTGCACCACCCTTAGCATGCTTTGCCTCGCGAACATAGACCAAGTTTCGGGGCAATCGTTCGACTATGTCGTCATCGGGGGAGGTACAGCGGGCCTAGTCGTCGCTACTCGGCTCTCAGAAGACACAGACAGACCGTGCTCGTCCTTGAAGCAGGAGGAAGCCCTGATAACGATCCTATACTCTGTAAACTTGCCATCGCGACGTAGACGATGAGCTTGGCGTTGAACAGTGACGATACAGATCTCCCAGCGCAACAGCGCAAGTTCTTTGGCCATAAAGAGCATGACTGGGGCTTCGAGACAGTGCGTCTCACACGGCCTGCGCTTCCAACTGATAGGAGCTGATATGTCCGCGTAGATCCCGCAGGCACATGCTCACGGCGTGATAATGCAGTGGCCACGGTGAGGAGAACATATCTGGCTCTCAGACGCCAGATTTTGACGCGCTCGGATACAACAGACCCCGAGTGCTTGGAGGAGGATCTGCGGGGAATTTCTGTATGTGGAATCGCCCGACGAAAGAGGATATTGACGGTGAGAAACGTTCTAGGTGATGCTGAATAGATGTTCATCTCGTCTCTTCAGCTTGGGAGCGACTTGGTAACCAGGATGGAACTGGGAGACCCATCAGCGATACTCCATCAAAGTGGAAAGGTGCGTTTGGTCGCACCCGCGCATGGTGGTGCTCATCGCTACGCAGGTTGATTCCACCACTTCAAGACATGTCCATACCACGCGAGCTATTGGTTCCTCAAGCGATGTACGGTTCGCAAGGTCAGTCATTAGGCATCCATTTCTGCGGAACGTCAAATGACAGTGGTTAGGCCCAATCGCCCTGTCGTACGGAAAGATACAGCCGGGTGGAATACCATCTTCGCCGAGGCGATGGCGAGCAATGGCATGCACAACGTGGAGATTGATCCCATGTCTGTCGATCCGCACACAATGAGGCGATCTTCGGCAGCAGTAAGCATCCATTGTGTTCCACCCTTTGGGCGTACTTCGGCACTCAGCGCGAACTGCAGGACTACCTGCGTACTGCGGGCTCACGTCCAAATCTGAAAGTCGTTTTGAATGCGCGCGTCTCACGTATGAAGCTCGTAGATGGCCCCGATGGTGCCGTCGCGGAGGCTGTGGAATTTTGCATCGATGGAGTACGGCATGAAGTCCGGGTGAAAGGCGAGGTTGTCCTATCCGCAGGGTCAGTAGGCTTCAGCTGTCTGCCTATCATGCGTCACAGCGCTTACTTGTTGCGGTTTGCATAGGACTATTCAATCTCCTCAAATTCTGGAGCTGTCGGGCATCGGCGATACCAGCGTCCTGAAAAAGTGCGGTATCAAAACGAAGGTGGATCTACCCGCCGTAGGCACGAACCTGCAGGAACATTTGATGGCGAGTGTGGTCCATGGTGCGTTGCGTTATCTGTCCGTGCTGAAGTCGCTCGGCTCATCGCAGAGGCGACAGAAACGAGAGACCCGGAGAAGTGGGTTACCCACGATCCGCTCCGCGACCCCCTTGTGGATGCGGAACAAGTTAAGCTACTGTACGTCTTGTTTGGTCTATGTTTTTTGTGATGGGCAGCTGACGGTATCTACAGCGAGGAGGGGAAAGGGCTGTATACTCTCTGCACGACTTGTTTGTCGATGAATAGCCTGTCGGCTGTGGACCCCGAGTGTGCCAAGGCGATCGTCGAGAAGATTCCCTCCGGAGAAGGCGTCCCGGGACTGCCAGAACAGTATGCGGAGCAATTAAAGCACTACAAGAACGACGTTCCGTCCTTCGAGTTGCTGCCGGCCCCGTCATTTCGTGGTAGAACGAGTAAGCATTCCGCAAGATTGTACGGGAGCCGCGAATTAACGAAGAACCAGGCGTGCCACGCCCGGGCGGGAAGTACATGTCGTTGAACGTGTTTGTGCACAGACCTTTCTCTAGGGGCACTGTGGTGAGCCGCGAGCGTCATAGCTGAGGTTGAAGGGGATCACCAACACCGGTCGTTTTCAGCACATTGCTTCCAGCGACCCACTCAGCGTCCCAGAGATCGATCCTCATTGCTTCGAAGAAGACGTCGGTGAGCACACACGAGTGCATATTTCTTAGTGCTCCACTCAGCTCCGACCACAAGATGCACTCGCTTTTCTCGCGGAATTCAAGATCGCTCGCAAGGTGCTGCGCACTGAACCCCTCGCCTCTATTCTCAGTATGCACACACACCCTTGGTCTTCTGTGCACGCATCTCACTCGGGCGTCATCAGAGCCCGAAACCAGTCCTGGCCTAACGTGCAGACCGACGAAGAGCTCGTGGAGTGGCTCAAGAAGCATTCGGGAACGAGCTGGCACGCTACCGGGACGTGCTCGATGTTGCCCCGCGACAAGGGCGGAGTCGTGGACCCGCAGCTCAGGGTGTATGGGACGAAGAACGTGCGGGTCGCGGACCTCAGCATCATCCCGCTCACTCCATGTTGTCATACCCAGTGTGTTGCTTATACCATTGGGGAGATTGGTGAGTACTTCCATGGCAAGGACGCCTCCGAATCCGAACTCATTCGAATGATGACAGCTGCGGATTTGCTCAAGGGGGTTATGCTGGGCCCAGAAGCTCGGGGGCCTGCTGGGAGTCAATGACTGTCGCAATATACTGAATCGCACCAGAGGGTGGCTAATACAACGTGTTCTACATGCTGCTAATACCCGAGCTCGAGTCTAGAGAGTTGATGACGTCATCAAAAGTCTCCATTCAGGCAGATATAAGAAAATCCACAAACACGACACCTAGATGTATCATTGTCCCTTTCCTGGAACCCACTCGTACATCGGCAAGTCCAGGAACACAGTCTGCTTCAACCAGCGCGGGAGCACGCGATACAAAGCTGGAGGCATCGGAACGAGAATCGACGTCTGTGCACGATACGTCTGGTAATTTGCCCACGCCGCGTTCTGGGGCTGGCGTTCGTGGAAGTCGTTGTCTGTGCCAGAGTCATCGTCGGGGTACGACATCTTGTAATACTTCTGCGCCGCGGGTTTCTCGGCGGTGGGTACCCCAGAGCCAAACAGGAGCAGACTGGGTAATACCTGGTGAGTGATGATGGACGGACATACGCAGGAGCTGTTTACGTACACCATAGTGAACAGAGGCGACACAAGCGCGGCCAGTTGCGCAGCCCGCGCTCCGGGGCTGACTGTTCCACTGACGCTTGGAGCAACGGCGAGGGTCCAGATGCCCCACCAACACAGGATCCTGCGCATGCAGATCGTGAGCCGGGTAGAGATCCTATGACGAGATCTCGGCTACTTACTCGCCAAAATACGGAGGATGACGCGACCACGCCCAGAGACCATACTGTTAGCAAAGTGAGCCACCGTACGACGTGCATCGACTGGGAGCTAACAGTGACGCACGTCGATGAGTTTCTCTTTCGGGGGTCCAGACGCTTTGTAGCGGTACTTTTGCAAGTCGGCGACGGACTCTATAAGCCAGCCAACGGACCAGATGAGGATTCCGAGTATGTCGCTGGCGGTTCCAAAGGCGGGAGCTACACCGCTCGATACCTTGGGCGAGTTGAGGACGATAACCGGTAGAGACACCACCCAGACCCAAATGATCTGGCCTGGTGACGTGTGAATCAGTCCATCCATGTGCGCCAATGGCCCATTTTGATGCATCACTCACCCACCCAGAAGCCTGTCAATGTTGAACCCGTCAACGACCTGTGTCCGTGTCATCATGGATCAAGCGAGGCTGGACACACCGAAGAATTTGAAGAAATGAGACCGGATGTCATCGAACCGAGTGTCGCTGCCTGTCTTCAAGACGCGGAAAAGGAGGAAACCTGAGCGAGTCGTAGGCATTTCAGCGACCCATATGGCGACCGGTCGGATCTAGCCCCACCTGCCAAACGAGCGGCCCAGATCATGACGAAAACACTAGTGACGATGTTCCTGGCCGCGAAGTGTTGTCCAAGGAGCAGCGTTAGGAGGGCTGAAATCCGTGTTTTTAACATACACATCATGGGTCTACGGCGACAGTCGCAGACGTACAAAGGATGAAGAAGTTTGATCCTACGCGCGCACGAATGTCAGCCTGATGCCCCGTGAGTATGGAACTGTCGGGCTTACCTCCAGTGAAGTCGGTGATTTTGTCGAACTGGAGAAGATGAGCATAGTACGACGAAAAGGCAAAGAAGTATCGAGACCTGGAACGTCCACGCAATCGCAAAGCCGAGCATTGGTAGGCGACGGTGACGAGAAGAGAGATGGCGAGGTAGTCATTATCGAGGACGTGCACCGGGCCGGCCATCGTGGGTGTATAGTGGGGGAGAGCGGGAGACGGGGCGGAGAGAGGACGAGCCGTGTACTTATCCGCCCACGGCGTCCATCGCAACTTCGCAAGATCGCAGGCGACGGAAGTGACGACAGCGCCTCGCTCGATCGGCGATCGCGGCCTCCGCGCTTTCTGGGGGCGTTGTGTGTACTTGTTGTGGAAGTGGCGCAGTCGCGTATGTTCTCCGGTATGACGTCAGAGCGAGGATATTACCCCCACTGCCCCCACACAAGCGTCCGCCATGCTCGCTCTCTCCTTCCCTAATCCCTCCCCACCTTCCTCCCTACTCCAATACACGACTGCCTCATACACGATCCCTCACGACCCTCACGACGCGGCCTCTACACGCCATGGCCCCTCCCAAGCAGGCATACCAAGATGACATGCCCTACGCTCGCGAGCCTCTCAAGTCGCTCTACGTCGCGCAGAGGCTCTTCACCACCCTCATCCTCGGAATTTGGTGGGCCGCCTACTACGGTGTCATGCCCCGCAGCCGTCGTCCCCGCCCTTCTTGGTCCATCAAGTGTTGCATCTCCGTCAACTTCACTCGCCGCGTCTACCGGGTCACCGAGCTCGCCGGCGTCACCTGGGGGGTCCGCGACCCAGACGCTCCATGCAGCAATCGCTCCCTCAAGCACACGCGTTTCGAATGGGTCGACCCTCTCCCAGAGCGGCTACGTAGTGGCGTCATCGTGGATTCCCAGGTGCCGTTCAAGCGCGTGGGATGCTTCGTGTGGCCCAAGGAGCGACCTAAAAGTAAGCGTTCTCACTATGAGCGTCGTCGTCTTGCATGTGCGAAGTGCATTGATCCCCGTCCCCAGTTATTCCGAGCTGTCCCGACGATGAACCGTGTTCACCGGCTGCTGAGACGAGCTCAGACGATACCCTCAATGTAGATATCGAGAGTGCGGCAGAAGAGCCAGTCATTGGTATATTTATGCACGGTGGAGGATATTGTCATATGTCTGCACACGAGAATTCAAGCACATCCAAGATACCTGCCCGGCTAATGAAGGTGCGTCCCAATCTTTCGAGACCACAGCGAGTCCTTACCGGCTTGATAGGACAAGGCGTTCACGGAGATACACGCCGTCGAGTACCGACTCCTACAACACGCACCGTTCCCTGCTGCAGTACAAGACGCCGCAGCGGTGTATGCACACATAGTTCAGCGCCATCAGAGACACGCCACGAAGGTGACTGTTACCCACGACAAGGCGAAACCGGCAGAGGAGGATGAGTCAGGAAAAGCCATCAAGGTTCTCAGCGATTACTTGACAGTCAATGCCACAGACTACCAGGAGCGTAGTAAGAACAAACGAGAGAACGACGAAATCCACGCTCGCGTCGCGGTGGAGACTGCCAACCTAGGCTGCAAGATCGTTCTCATTGGCGACAGTGCAGGTGGAAACCTCGTCCTTGCACTCGCACGATGGATTCGCGACGAGGGCTTGCTCCCTCCTCCGCACGCTCTACTACTTCTCTCGCCTTCTTGCGACCCTTGTAAGCAAGACCTAATTCTTACTCCCTCGTGTCCTAACTCCCGCCCCCAGCGCACGCTTTCCCCGAAACTCCATCTTCGTACCTGCCGCGCCCGCACGCCAACACCGACTACCTCGTCGATACCCCCGAGCCCCGCGCTCTCCTCCAGCGCACCTTCCTCGGCCACAACCCACTCGAGACGATGCACTCCCCCTATGTCTCCCCCGCGTCGATGCGCGTTCTCACCGCCTTCTACGGCGACGCCTTCGCCGCCTCCGTCGCCGACCTCACCATCGCCCAGATGGACACCCACACGCGCCGCTTCCTGCGCACGATGGACTCCGCGCCCGCGACGCCCGTGCCCGCGACGCCCGTCCTCGGCTTCTCCGTCCCCGCCGGGCTCGTCACCGGCCCGCCCACGTTCGCGTCGTCTGCGGCGAGCACCAGCGACGGGCGCTCGCCCACGAGCCTGCAGCGCCCGGTGATCGCGAGCCCGCGCGGGCTCAGCCTGTTCTCCGAGTTCCCGCGCGCGTGCGTCGTGCTCGGGGACGCGGAGCGGCTCGAGCGCGAGGTGACGAAGCTCGTGGGCGCGATGGAGCGCGACGGCGTCGGGGTGCACACGGTCTGGGTGCCCGACGCGCCGCACGACGTCCTCATGATGGGCTGGTGGGATGAGCGCGTGCGGGACACGGTGTGGGGCGAGATCGAGGACTGGGTCTTGAAGCTCTAGGAGTGTTCTCGCCCCCGTAGATTGAGTAAATATTTCCTTAATCACTTTACCGCAATCTGTGCAGAACGCGCAGATTGGATAGAGTGGACAGTCTGACCATACACATACATGTCGTCTTCTTGTTGTACTTTGCTTCGTCCGATATACGCTGTATAATTTGCTTTGCTCACCCCTTTGCACGACTGGGCTATGAAGAGAGGGCTGCGTCTTGGTTTCAGCACTTGGGGAGAGCACTCGAGTGAAGTGGAGAAGCAGCAGCACAACACAAGCCAGGAGTGCCATTATACAAAGCGTACACGCCACAGGAAATGTCCAGATCAGCCGAGCCATTACAACGCGAGCCAGTACACTACTATAGCCTGCGTACAAAGCGAAGAGCGCAGGACCGAGACACGAGACACGAAACCCGAGAAACGAAAGGAGGAACACAGGAGAGGCACAATCCAAACAAAGAAACAACGAAGGCGAAGGCGAGATCCGGAGCAAGGCACGAGAGCTCTGGTTGAAGGAGAAGAAGGTATAGGAGAGAGGCTACTGAGCGAGGGCTAAGGCGATGGTGATGGCGAGGGCGAGGGCGATGGCGAGGGTGATGGCGAGGGTGAGGGTGAGGGCGAGAGAAACAAGATGGGGAGAACAATGTGACGAGAGGAGGAGAGGTCGACGGCCTGAGGCCTGAGGTGCGGACGACGACGACGACGGAAGAGTTCAGAAGGGGGTATTGTGTCGGGGTGGTCTGTAGGACGGGTATACGGCGCGGGGGTTGAGCGCGCCAGGCGGCTGGCTAGGATGTAGAAGAATCAGGCGAGGGCTAGTGGCGACATCGCGAGGGCGTGGAGTGACGGTGCAAGAACCCGCTCAGTTTAGCGCGCGCGCCTTCCCCTTGTCGACCTTCTTGCCCTTGCGGCGTCCGCCACCGCGACGGCCCTTGGGAGGCGACTTCTTCTCCGCGTCGTCGTCGTCGTCGTCGTCGTCGGCTTCGTCGTTGCCGTCGTCCCGCGCCTTGCCCTTGCCTTTGTCGTCCTTCTTCGCGACCCTCCTCCGCTTGCGGGGCGGCTCGTAGTCGTCCTCGTCGTCCTCCATCGTTTCGCTCTCGTCCTCCTTCTCGTCCTCCTCCTGCGCCCGAGCGCGCTTGCGTGACCGCAGCACCATCGACGGCCCCGCCTCTACCTCCATCTCTGCCTCCGCCTCTATAGGAGCAGGCCTGGGGGTAGAAGGCCCGGCGCAGACCTCCGCCTCGACCTCCCTCTCCTCCTGCTCCTCCGTCGCCCCGCGCGCAGGCAACGACGCAGTCCTCAGCCGCTCCTGCCGCGCACGCACCGCCCACGGCGGGCGCGATCCCATCGAGTGGCCGGGAGACATCGACGACGACGACGCGCGGAGGTGCGCCGGCCCGTCGATCGCCAAGCGCGGGCGCGCGGGCGCAGTCGAAGTCGACGCCGGCTGCGGTGCGTGCGTTGCGGCCGTTCCGGACCTGCGCGCGATGCGTTGCGAACGGCGGGGCCCGCGCGCGGCGGTGAACGAGGCGCCGGTGCCCGCGGTGCGCCGACGGAGGTTGTGCGCGCGGGCGTCGCCGGGGCTGCGCTCGGTGTCGGCGAGCCTGCCGTCGTCGCCTTCGTCAGATGGGTCGCGCGCGCGCTTGCGCGAGGTTGACGGGGAGGGGTTGGTGGCGAGGGTGGGAGTGGAGTGGGCGGAGAGGCCTGCGGCGAGTGTGGGAGTGACTTCGCGCGACGGGGCAGGGGTGATGAGAGCGGCGGGAAGGGGAGCAGCAGGGACAGGGCCCGGGGCGACGGAAGGGGCGGGAGAGGACGCGGGAGAGACACGGGAAGAAGGGGACCCGGCGTACGTCCGTCCATCGTCGTCCTGCTCGCGGCGCTCGAAGGTCGCATGTACGAGGTTACCGATCCGCGGCGAAATTACAGCGGCAGGGACTACGTGGCTGATCTGCGGCGAGGGTGCAACGGCAGGCTCGTACAGGTCCTCATCGTCCTGGGCTTCGGGGTAGTCGAAGTCTTCCGGCTGAGGAGCGCCATCGTGGTCGGCCGCATCGTCCGCGCGTGGAGGTGAAGGGAATCGAGTCGGGCCTTCCAGCGCCTTCAAGTACATTCCCCATCGGCGCTGGGCCCAACTGCGAACAATCTCATGATCGGTGAGTTTGTTCAGCTCGTTCTCGCAAAAGTTTCTCTGTTTCTTGTGCCGAAGAAGAAGTTGAATGATTCCTTCTTTGACAGCATTGGACACCACTGGTCCTACACTCTCTGCGAAGTCTGCCAACAGGATGCAATGATGAGCACGCGGATGCACGAGATCAGGTGAATTATGCTTACCCTCTTCTAGTTCCAGCCATTCACGGCTGCGTTCAGTCACATGTGTTTCCGGAATGCCGCTACCTGATTCCCAAAGAGGGGGATAGTCTGCATGGAAGGCACCCTGTCGACGAGGAGGCTGGCGGGACGAAGAGGCAACAGGCGGGGGGGATACAGGCTGCCGAGTCGGCGTAGGGCGGCTGGAGCGGGCAGCCCCGTACGATCGGTCAACATCATACCAGGCTCTCTCCCAAGGGAGTGGCAGGCGGGATGAACCAACGGGCGGGGGAGATGGAGATGGAGAGTGTTGGTCACAGGGAGGAAGGCGAGATTGTCGTGCGGGGAGAACCTCTTGACGTTCTTGAGACACGGAAAGATGGGAAGGAGTCCGAGGGTAGGGGGTAGCCCGACGTTCATGAACCCGACGGTAACCTCCGTAGTGGCGATTTGGTCTATGGTAAGGCGTGTGCGGCGGAGGCGGTGGTGCTACGACTGAAAAAGGTCGGTCAGTCATTGCAGAATCGACGCACGGATTAGAGCGGCGTACGAGCACGTGGTGCAGACGGTGCTAGGTCTCCACACGAAGGAATAGTACGCGGCGCGGCGTCAAACAGAGACCATCTGAACAAATTCAAAGATAGATTCAGAATGCTCCCGCTACAAATTTTCCATTGTCAGCGCACTAGGACGTATGCAAGGAGCACAATATCGCACAAGAAGCTCGGGGACAAGGCTGGTCACGTCATCAGCTTATTGTCTCAACGGTGTGGCGAGCGTTGCCACGTACCAGTGAGTGGAGGTATGGTGGGACCAGGCGTTGCTGATGACCGCAGTGAGCTCTTATTGTTATCAGGACTTCTATAACAATCAACGACGCACCAGTCGCTTCGTCTTCGGAGGAGAAGCCCTCCAGGTCAGGGTTCGGGCGAGTGGGAGTGCCGGGCATTTCGTATGGAGTGGCGGGACGGTGGTGGTAAGTAGTTGAAAAGGCGGGAGGACTTTCAGTGGCGGACAGCGATGCGGAATTTATGGACGAGCGGGATGTCTACGCCACACCAGGTCGTGTCTGCCTTGTGGCCTGGCTTTGAGGTCCGCACCATCAAGTGAGTCAAGAGGAGGCGGTGGCCACCCCGGCAACACGTGGGGCGTTCCTAGGGCTTCTCGAACTACCGCTGCTTGGTTCGAGTCCCACAAAAAAGCTGCAATAAAGGAGAGAATTGTGGGTATATGCTTCCACTGGTCGTCGGGGGCCGCCTTGTACTTCGGGCGCTTTGCAGACGCAGGCCTTTATTGTCAGAGAAGATAGTCGTTACCGCTACAATAGCAGGGGGTGAGCGGCGTTAACAAAAATACGAGAGCACACGCACGACCCCATTCCTTTCTTCAAGCAGAAAATGGCCAGCTTGTTTCCGGGGGTCCGTGGACACGGCTGGGCAAAACGTCTGTGGCATTCAGCCAACAGCCAAATAATGCTGAGAAACAACACACGATGACGTGCTTCTCGGCCAGCGCCGCGCGGTCTATGACTCGCCCGACGGGCAGCCAAAGCGTTCGTACCCACCACATAGCTCTCAAGGCGCGCCCACAAAAGTATGCGGGCGCAGACCTGGCTGCCACTTCGAGCAGCCGTAGCACGAATATTGGCACTCCGACATCGGCCAGAAGCTTCAGGTCGCCGCTCAGGGCTGTGAGAGACGTTCTTGCTCCATTCTCATCGAGTCAACGCAGCGCATGGGGCGGGCGAGTCGAACGCGAAAGCGGGGCCAGTGGAAGCCCGGTCTACTGTTCAAGGCCTGTAAGGGGAAACGTGAGTTGAGGAGGACTCGCAAAACGTGCTGCGGACCTGTGTATTCCGCCGACGGGTTGCCTCAAGGCTAGGAGACCGTTGCGCGGACGCATGCTCGCGCCGGTGCTGAGGCCAGGACGAAGACAAGAATGGCAGCTGCATTCGGTGGATTGCAGGGTCTTGGCAAGCTGTTTCCTCTCTGGTGTTAATAAAGCCGAGAGGCGTGCGAACGAGCTCGGTCTGAGGAGCGGCAACAGTGGGAGGAGGGGGAGCCGGGAGGGCCGGAAGGAGCGCGAGAAAGCGCCCACGCAGCGCGAGTGGCTCAGGCGCGGCTCTCCTCCCGACGCCCATGTTCTCCTTAGCCGTCCAGCCCGCTCTCGTCTCCCTGTTCTCCTCGACGGGCAGCGACCCACTCAGCCTCTTCGCCTCGCGCGCAGACAAGGCATTACCATCCGATTCCTTCATCTGCCTCCTCAACGATGCAACCTCCGCGCCGGCGCCCGCTCTGCCTCGAGCGCTGATCGTTGCAAGTGAGCCAGAAAAGAACGCAGAGCAATCCTCACCGGACTACACCCTCGACCAAACCGTCCTTCACATCCAGTCGCCAACACTGCGCACGACATTCATCAGATGCCCCCCAGATCGCGTCTCATCCGGCTCGAGCGGCAGGGCGCATACAAGCAGCCATCTCGGGTTGAAGCATCCCTGGATCCACCTACAAGTGCGCAACATGGGCAGGGAGTGGGCATTCGAGGTCGGACTTGTCGACCAGCTTGGCAGGGAAGGCATCGTCAGATGCGCCACGTTCCAGGTGCGCCTCGTCTCTTGTCATATTCCCGCGTTCCAACGTACATGGACGCCGTGCTACGTTCGGGTACACTGTGACAGTCAACTTATCCAACGGAGAGGGGGACGGGACGGTGTGGGTGGTTAGAGAACCAGAACCGGGGAAACAGAATCCTGCTGATATTTAGATATACTTGCTATGTACCTCGGCGGTGCGCCTTGGAAGTGTGTGCACGATCATGCCGCGTGCCCTTGCACGAGGCGCGAGAACTCTGCATGTCGGTCTCTTTTCTCCCGTTCGGTGCGCGCGCAGTTGCTGATAACCGTGCACAGAAGCAGCCGAGGCTCAAATTAGCGAGCCCTCCGCTGCTACTTCTGCCGCTCGAGTTCCCGCCACCTTCCAGCCGCCCTTTGACTTCGTGGACGACGATTTCCCTCAACCTTGCGGCCCGTCTCTCATCTTTCTCCTCCGCCACTCTCGCCCAAGCAGACGACGACGACGACGACGACGACGACGACGACGAAGGATCGACGGCGAACGCCCACCAATACCGCTCCCAAGTCCCCAGTGGTACTTACTCCCACGTCTCGTATGTCAAAATCTACGCCACATGCAGATTGCGCCGCGTTTGGTTCGGCGAAAGCGGGGGCCAGCAACGACTGCCATGGGAATTCCAGCTGTATGCGGCTGATGCCCATTGACAACCCATGCGAGCAAGGAGGTTTGCAAGGGTGACTTGTACGAGCCGGATTCGAAAATAGTTTTATGTACAGAGTTCGAAATATCACTGCCTTTGAATACATCTGCGTCACCGTTTTATTTCTTGCGGCACCCGCCTCCCTCGAGACGTCCCATGAGAGGGAGTGATGAGAGATGACTGCTCATTTTCCGTGACAAACAAGCTGGCCTCGGTTTGCCGTACTCTGGAATCCACTGAAAGTTGCTTCGTGGCACATCGCAGTAGATGCAGAGAGCGAGGACGAGAAGGAAGAGCGATCGGGGGAACCCTTTCAACGCAGTCAAGGTCTCCGAAGCACCAAGCCTTGAACTTGAAGGTACGAGCCGCCGCGCTGATCCATGATTGAGCGGGGAAACAAGTCTATAGCTGTGATGGACATGCTACAGAAAAGCGACATGCGGTATTATTTAAAGAAGCTGCTGGTGGTCAGAGGTTGGACGCAACTCAGTACTACATGACTCAAGACTCAAGAGACAGATCTTATCTAATCCAATATGAGCCTGCGAGATCGTCGACCTACCTCCCTTGACCACCCCTTGACCATCCCCATCAAGTGCGATAGCTACAGATCGCTACATTCACCCGTGATTGCATCAAAACGTAGGTATCATACACATCCAGCAACACAAAAACCATCATGCAAGTACCCCACGTACTTAATCATTCGACTCCCGTGAGCTCATTCACCCACTGCAAGTCGTGTGCCTTTTCGATCAGACCACCGCAGTGCACTCCACTGGGCCAGTCGTGGCCCATGTATAGATCTGGCGGGTACCGCGCCTCCCCGACCTTGCCGCACCAGTCGAAGTCGATGAGCCGAATGTCGTCATCCCCGACCGTGAGCACGTTCACATTGCGCAAGTCCCCAAATACCAGGTCCGCAGCATGCAGCCGCCCCACCGCGTCCCTCAGCTTCTCGCCCTGCGTCGGAGTGAGAATCTCGTGCTCTGCGAGCGGCGAGCCCCGCACGTGGTCCATGACGATGACCCACATCCCGACGCTCTCCTCCCATGCGCAGTGCCACAAGCGCGGCGAAAAGTCGGGCGCGAGGAGCGCGTGACCCTCGACGCCGTACTGGAACGCGAACTTGACCACGACCTCGGTCGGCTCCATGTCGATCGCCACGACGCGCGCGGTGAACACGGCTCGGCTGGGGTACGCGTCCGCGTCGATGCGGCCGGTATACTCCAGGAAGACCGGACCGTGCTCGGGATGGACGAACTGGGTCCAGAAGGGAGCGATCAGGCTTGGGTTCGGGTGCGTGGTGGCGAGGGACGAGACGATGTCGGCGTAGTAGGTGTCGAGCTCCGCGCGAGCGGCGCGCAGTGCGCGGAAGAGGAGAGCGACACGCGACAACACTGCGTGGCCCATAGGTTCCCCTCGTCGGATCCCGGGGTGCGGAAGGAGCGAGATGTAGCCGGTGAGTGGTTGGATGATGATGTGATCCGCGAAGGCAGCGCCGAGCACCTGGATGTACGTGCCGGTGCATGCGACGAGCAGCGTAGGACAACAACATGCTTGACGTATCCCCGACGCCTGGCGTGTAGATGGTGAGCAGGGCCAGACATTGAAGCCGGCTCTTGGACTCACCTCTTTTGAGGTGTACGCATCGACATACATGCGCTCCACATAGGTGGCAGGGTCCGTCTCTTCATCCGCCGATTTCACTTTGATAAGCAAGGGTGACGGCTGAAATTCGCTTGAATCTTCGATCGAAGTGGTACAGTTCGAGAGGAGTTCCTCATACAGAATATCTTGGAGTTGAAGTGACTCGATTGAGCCATACATACGCGCTCGACCAACGAAGTCCGCCGCGTTCTTGAATTCTTGGGGCTCGAGCGGAGGGTGCGTAAGATCATCGCTGATTCCAGCCAACAGCTTCCCATAGATCGGGTGATAAATGAAGATTGGAGGTGGATTCAGTGTCCGATAGTCGAGAATGATATCCTGGTTTTCACGGCTGATGAGCTCGCTGAGGTGGACAGCAATCGGTCGGCTGCGCTCAGCGAGGGTTTCACGTACTAATTGATACTTCAGTCATAGTGTAGCACTACGAGAAGAAAAGAGACTAACTGGTTCTTGGAGGCAACGAGCCCATGATAGTGGACTTTTGGTGTACCTTGGCTAACAAGGCCAGTTAGGCATGAATGAATGGAAGGAGAAGGGTACGTACTCATTATAGCAATGACCAAACGGTGCTCACCAAAGCCAATCTCGGAGCACCGTTGCATTGGGTTAACTGGACATGTTGCGGCGTATAGGTCGATCATGGTGAGAGATCGGCAGCATCTCTGCCACGTCGAGAGATCTAAAACGTTTGTTGAATCGACCAGAGTGAATTCTTGCCCAAAATTAGGCTGTATGACGTATGAGAAAGAGCGCAAAGTGAGTCGAACGACAACAACTCACCGTATATATGACAGGATCAGAGAAATTCTCTTCCAGTCTCTCAGCGGCAGTCATACAGATCTTCTGAACGAGGGCTTCTACACGCTGTTCAAAAGGGGCCTGGTGGTAGAGGTGCCATCCCAAGGAGAATGTCGTTATACCATGTGAAATGCGACGACATAAGACGATGGCAGAGAGGCGGACCTCAAGTTGAGGAGTGAGAGCGGGGGACATGAAGGTGGAGATGGTGGTGTGGACGTGACGCCACCCTCCTGGGAGGCTGGTTGCACGCACGCGTTCACATCACGTGATGTTCGGGTCAAGCGGTAACCAGCGCCTGAAAGGAATCAGGGGTTTGAGACCGGTACCACGCACACAGTCATTAGCGAAGGTCACACAGATCAACATATCATGTCTGGAGCATCGCACGAAGCAAGTGCATAAGAAAAAACATTATTTATTCCGAGTACATTCGTCCTGAGTATCGTCAGACATCACAACGTCTTCAGCTTCGACGTGTCCGTCATCGTTAGTTTCCCATACATATGTATATCATGCTCCTTTTTGATGAGACCCCCACGAATCGCGTCTCGGTGGTATCCCATAGTGCGAATGGGGAGGTTTGGTGGATAATGCGCTTTGTTGACCTTGTCACACCAGTCGAAATCGACCAGCCTGATGGTATGACCGACGGTGATAATGTTGGCGGCACAAACGTCGCCGAAGACCAGATCCACTTCGTGCAAACGCGATAGGGCCTTCCTGAGATCTTTGCCTTGCACTCTGGTGAGACTGCGGTCCTCGTTGACATCCTTGCCTTGGATGAAGTCCATGACAACGATCCACATACTGGTGTCGTTCGCCCTTGCACAATACCACAACTTCGGCGCATGCTCAGGCTCTAACAATTTGTGTCCCTCCTCGCCGTATTGGAATGTGAACTTGACAACCACGGTGAACGATTTCGAGAATGTAGATGACTGGTCGGTGGAGCCCGCCGGCGCTACGGTCGCCTGCGCAAGGAAGAGCGCCTTGTCTCGATATTCGTCTGCGCGTAGGCGGCCCGTATACGTGAGAGTGACTTGGCGGCCTTCGACATCGGTGAAGCATTCAAAGTAAGGGCCAACAAACTTGCTTGGGGACACCCGAGCTTTGCCCAATTTCCCTTTGGCCTTCGGCGGCCCGCGCGGTGCCGACTGTAACTCCGTACGCAACGCCTCGGGCATCTTGTTGAACACATCCTGGTAGTACGTCTCCAGATATGAGCGGACGAAGAGAAGGCCGCGTAGAAGTCGAGCAATGCGATAGTAACTCGCATGTTCGGATAGAGCGGTGGACGCGTGATGCGAACCTGCCGGCATGGCACCACGCGGAATGACCGAGATATAGTCGGTGAGAGGGTAGATGATGATATTATCGGCGAAGACAGCCCCAAGGACCTGAATGTTTGGGCCTCCATAGGCGATAAGTATTGTGGGGCAGCAGCAGACTTCTCGGAAAGGCGCGGCCTGTTTCAAAACACCGACGCAGGTTAGAAAGGCTGACTCTGATCATCGACACCAGTCACCGGAGACGTACCTCGTCAGACGTGTAGATAGCGATGTACACGCATTCAGCTTGGGCTGCTGGGTCGCTACTGGATTTGCCGAACTCCCATTTCGTTTCGGTGACCATAGAGACCGGATGGAATCCCGGCGTGGGCGTCGCGTCAGCTTGCTTTGTTTGTGCCATAACAACCCCGTCAGGTTTGAAACTGACGAGGCCCTTAGGGCCGGTTGTAAGGAAAAGCTCCATGGATGTCAGAATGGTGCTCAGTTGACGTGTGCCCGTGATTCTGTGCGCTTCGGATGGGTACAGAGCGCGCGCTTCATCGATGAACATATCAGCTCGCTCCAGCTCGCGATCGGTGAATGGGTCGATGTTCGGGGAGTGCATGATGTAAAGGAACTTCTCAAAGACAGGATTATAAGGGTAAATCGGAGGAGGTCGATGAGGTCGAAAATTTTGGATCTGTTCCGCCTCTTTTCGGCTCAATAACGATTCTGCTACAGCGGCAGCGGATGGGCGTTGGTGCAGTTTCTGTCGTGACATCGCAAGTTCCGCTCGTGCTGCATGACAATCATATTTGAAAAGGGTTGTCTCAGCATGAAAAGCAACGGGATACACTGACTGATCGTAAACTCGTCTTCTGGGACCGGGGGGAGAGAATGAGGCTGCTCGGCTCCTGGCAGCTTCTGAGCCCCATATTTGCCAGCTGGCAGTCAAACCATAAAAGTGCCACGTCAGGAGACATCGGAGGAGTAAGGAAAGGAGGACGAATACGCACTACTGAGCACAACAACAAGGTGCGCATACGGACCAAATGCAATATCGCACCATCGATGGATGCTAGGGTGAAGTACTGTCGCTGCGGTGTTTAATTGATCCATCGTGAGGGACTTGCTCCGCCGCTGCCACGATGCGGGGCTGATTGCGTCCTCATGGTGTTCAAAGAGGTCGAACCGGTCAGGCAAAGGCTGCGTAATGAACTTGCTTAGCGAACCTGAGAGTGGATTGAGCTGCAACTCGAGCGTACCACATGTATCGTCACCTGGGCTTGAATAGGATCCGCAACCGTCCGTAGAATGCTGTCAAAAAAAACCTCCACAAGATCTTCTCCGACGATTTGATGATATAGCACTTCCAGAACGGAGAACGTCGCAGTCGAACGATCGTAGTTGAGCAATACGACAAAGGCATAGTTACCCTTGGGGATGGGGGTGTGGGACATAACGAGCAGATGATGAGAGCAGGTGAAGAGTCAAACCAAGCGTTATCCATGCTCACCCCATGGCCCGGAACGGCACATCGGAATCGGAAATATTTCGGAGTACCAGTGCCCGCTCCCAGCCTCTTCCAGCTCGTCCATCCGAGGCTTACTAAGCTAGTCAACCAGAATTCGTCTACGTTCCTCCGTGGAAAGGCAAGAAGTGATTAGAGCACTTTCATGCTTTCTCCGCCACTTGGAGAACATGTAGCATTGTAAATAGACGACAGCGTTAGCAGAGCAATATCAGAAAACATGTCCGAGATCCATAAACGCATGTGTATGCATGTCCACAACGCAACAAGACTGGCGTCCAATCCCCTCGCATCCGGACCTCAAATAGCAACGGCCGCCGTCTCCTTCAATGCACCTCTCACCACTCCTTTGAGCACACGGAGGACCTTGCGCTGGCGCACCTTATCCTCCGGCAACACCAACGCGCCCGTCGCGAGCTTGAACAGGTACGCAAAATCGGCCTGGACGTCGAGCGGGAGGCGACCCGCGGCTGACATGCGCTTCTTGCCCTCAAGGCGCGCCTTGAAGTGCGCCGCGAAGTCGGTAGAGACCGCATCGGCACGCTCGACGATGGGGAGCGGGACGCCGGCAAGGTTCGCGACGTGGGTACCAAAAGACGAGGATGCAACACCGTCGACAAGCTTGTAGAGGAAGACCAGCTGTAGTATGGAGTGAGCGACTTGAGGTGGCCTGCGACACCAGCAAGGCGACGTACCTCCCGCTTCTCGTCGTCGACGAGGGTATCCATGTGCATGTTCCGGATGTTGGGGTGGTACGCGTAGTCGTCCGTGAGCGAACCATAGTGGGTGGCAAAGAACGAAAGCGACAAGGTATGGGTCGCCAGTTGGTGGAGGACCGCTCCTGCAATCGCCATCCCATCCTGCGAAAGACGGGGATGAGTCCTGCAGCAAGTTTAAGAGACACTAAAAGAGGCTTACGTAGGTGGATGTACCTCGTCCCAGTTCTGTGATACTGTTAGTACGAGTGACAGGAGACGAGAGCAGCAGGATTCTCACCATCAAGAATGACGAAGGATTTGGGGTGGCGTCGCGCAGAATCTTACAGCTGTAGAGGGTTTTAACATCTTTCCAAGTCGCACGACAGAATAGACATACCATTCGTCCAACTCCACCTTGAAGGTACTCGCATTGGAGAACATGTTATCGTATGCGCCCATACGGGTCAGGATAGAATCCACTGGGCAGAGTCTGTCGCCACATGGTTAGCGCATGCAAGCCGTTGGCCCCGCGAAGGGTACTCACTTGGCCGACTTGGCTGGCACAAGCATACCAAGCTGCGCCATGATGATACCAGTCGCGGTCATACGCATAGCCTGTGCAGTCGTTAGACAATTGCTCATGCTGCCGTGCGGAATGGAACCATACCGTGGACTTCCCACCCATATTGGGTCCAGTCAACAACGCTATCCTTCCCACACCACCGCCCAACTTGACATCGTTCGGGATGAAGTCGCCCTTCAGCGACGAGCTCGCACATAGAGCCGGGTGCCTCAACTCTTCGAACTCCACGAACGCCTCTTCACCCTCGACCAGCTCCGGCCGGCACACTGGCTCCCCGAGCGCGCTGGACGCCTTCGCCAAGCTGAAAAGGCAGTCGAGCTCGGCAAGGACACGCACCGCGCGCAGCCACACGCTACGGTCGGCGTCGAACTCGGCGTAGAGTCGGTTCTTAAACCCCTTGATCGCGGTGTTGCGGTTCTCGCGCGCCTCCTTCAGCTTGCGGATCGTGCCCTGGAGTGCCGGACGAGGTAGCGTTTCGCCTTAGCTGTCGATCCGCTGAGGGTCCACTCCTTCGGACCCTTGTCCTTGTCCTTGCCTTGAAGCTGAACTAGGTAGATCTCCTGTGGTGAGTCCATGAGTACGGATCAGGGAAGGTCGGAACGTGCGGCGGACCTTGTTCCTTGAGCACTGTGCCAGTATGTCGCATCAGTCTGGACAAGCAAGGTAAGCATTACACCGGGTCCCGATACGAGAACAAAATATACCCGGTCTTCTTCTTGATCTTTTCAGTTCGTCCTTGAGCTCTGTTTCCAAGGCATCGATCTCTTGCTGGATCTCGTCATAGACCTCATCCTTGCCGTCCTCAGGAATGAGCTCGTCGGTCTCTAAGCAACGGATACATTAGCCAGGGAGGATATCGCAGCTGATGTACTCACTTTCTTCTGGTGTCTGGAACATGGCTTTAATGTGCTTCAGGTTCGGCGACAAATCGGGTGCGGACCGGAGAAGGCCTGTAATAGTCTTCGACTTAAACTCGTCGGCAGTCTCTGCGAGCTGCGCGAGACCCTTGCTAAGCGATTTGAAAGACTGTGATCATGATCAGCAAGTATAAGGCAATGATGCCCATTTTGGACCTACCGAGAGGACCTTGAGGAAGTCCTTAACTTTGCAGTTCTTCGCATGAATGCGGGACACTATGCGCTCGAGATCCGGAAGACCTTTGGCGATGTCCGTGAACTCCGCCTCAAAGGTAGGGTGATCCAAGAGATCTTGAACGCGTCAAGCCGTGCGTTGATGTCGGAGACCTCACGGAGGGGCATGCAGAGCCAGATGCGGAAGAGCCGCTTGCCAGCCGGGGTGATGCACCGACCGAGCAGTTTGAAAAGAGTGCCCTCCTCGGTACATTCGCTGTTCTGCAGGACTTCGATGTGCGCAAGAGTTTGTCCATCCAGAACAAGACCTTGGCCGCGTTTCATTGGGTCATAGATGTTGAAGTTCTTCATGCTAAGAATATCTTTGTCGATGTTGAGGGTATGGAGGTACCTTACACAGTGCGCTCAGGTGAGTCTCAAAAGCTCATTGAGGATACTCAGGGGACATACCAGATCATTGCGCCAAGCGCCTCAATCGCGACTTCGTGGGGAAGCAATCTCCGAATGGCTTCTGGGACAGCGGTGCTCAACCCATGTGGATTGTCGGCGAGTTCGTCGTCTTCCTCATCTTTCGGGTAAAGCTTCTTCAACTCCTTGATCGTCTCCTGATACTTGAGACCTTCGCTATCGCGGAGACTTGTCCAGAGACAGTTGCCGGGGAGTATTGACTTGAGGAGTCGGGCGGTCGCGACGGACAAGTTGCCCTGGAAGAGTTCCCATGGTTAGAGACGGGCATCGGTTGCGCTTGCCAAAGGCGTACCTTCGTAAAACGATCTCTTTCGGACGCAACTGCGAATCATCGTCTCAAGCTTCGTGCGACATACGTCGTCCTCAACCAGCTCAGATTAAACTCGCTCGTGGCGCTATCCAGCACACATATCCCAAACGACTGCTTGATGTCCTTACCTTCGGTACTTTCCTCTTCACGGAGAGATACACAATGGCCGGCTTGCTCGTCGTTAAGAAGTTCCGCGTCGACGAGAGTGCCATTGGTGAAGACTTTGTTGAGCTCGCGGCGAACGATCTTCTCCTTCCCTTTATCAGCGGCAGCAGTCTTCTTCTTGCCCTTGTCCGCAGCTAGGCGCATCTCCGCGCCGAGGCGGTCTCGGCTTGGTCAACACGCCCGACTTTGTAACCTAATAGCGCGACATTGGCACATTCACAAGAGCAGAAAGCGTAACCACATACCTTTGCAAGGAACTTCGCAGCCCAGAAATTGAACGACATCTCGGGGACACCAACCATGCTCATCTTCACCCGTTGCGTCAACTTGAGGTCGAACTCTTGATGCCCAATCGCGCGTCCTCCTCATACAGCTCCAGGAACTTGCCCTTCTGGAAAAACAGGATCGTGTCGAAATGGCTCTGCTTGATCTCCCAGAACTGCTTCTCAAATGGTGTGAATTCTTTCCAAGCCTTGGGTGGGATGAAGAGAGTACGAGGGTCGTAGCCTGGCTCTCCGGGACGAACACCGTCCTTGTCTTTCGGATCTTGGAGGAAGACGTACGGGCTCTCCGTGGACTTCTTCTCCTCTTTCTGGGCGCGTGCGCGCTGCTCGGCGGCTGTGAGGAACGACGTAGACCCTTTCGAAGTGGCGTCCTTCTTCAGAGCGGGGCGCGACGGCGCGGCCTTCTTGCCCTTGCCCTTCTTCGGCTTTTCGTCCTCCTCGTCCTCGTCCTCGTCGAAGTCAGAGCGAGCACTCGAGCGAGACGAAAGACGTGAGGTGGCTCGTGACGAAGGGCGAGACGATGAAGGACAGAGGTCTTCGTCTTCGTCTTCGTCTATGTCGTCTGGGACAAGGAAGTCGTCGTCGTCAGCCTTTTTGCGCCCTGCATATAGTCGGTCAACAATGCGACACGGAATCCGGTACCCCGACGTACCTCGAGATTTGGCCTTCGAAGGGGACTTTTGGAACTTGGTGAGGCGTTTCGCGAAGGTATTCCGTGGCTCCGCTCCATCTTCTTCCTCATCCTCCGCGTCAGAGAAGATGGCGGACATACGGAGCTTCTTAGACCTCTCGGGCGCTTTTCTGTAAGGAATCGGTTCGTTCATACGAATATCGTCATCCGAGTCTTCTACAGCAATCTTTCGCTTCTTGCGCGTGGACGTCTATGTTGCTTAAGTGTTATGAAGCATGCGCTGAAACGACCACGTACCGACTTCACCACACTACCCTGAGCCGTCTCCGACGCGTCCATATCCGAAATCATGTCCACGTCGATGAGGTCGCTGGTGGGCGGAGTCTCCTGCCAGCTCTGTCCACCGTCGGAGCCGTGCGTGTACTTCGCGCTCATGACGCCTGACGATTGGGAGCTTGCCTTAAGGAGAGGCGTATGGAACTCTTTCGTCGAGACGGGGGATGACGGGGGGTTCTCCCTGTCTTGCGGCTTCGTCTTTGAAATCTTCGGCGTCGATGCGGGAGTCGCGAGCTTGGGTTTCAAGGCTGAGGGTGCCTTCGCGTCGTCCTTCTTGCCAAAGAAGGACGTGAGGCTTTTCTGCTTCATGCTGTCTCCCCCCTTTCCTTGAGGAGGCATAGTTAAGAATTATGACGCGTGTTTCGAGTTTGAAGGGTGGGACGCGTCGGAAGGGTGAGTGAGAGTGACAAGAGCCACGCGAGGCGTAATGAGACGCGACGGCGCGTCTGGGAGTTAGACGCGCTCCAGACGCGTTATTTGTGCATGTTGCCTGGATGTCTACTTTTGGAAACTTGCTTCTTCCCGTGCAAGGCATTCAACCACGCGACTGGCGGTGCTGGGCGACAGAACCGCAATCTCTACATGTCCAAAAGCGATCATCCTTTCCTGTAGTCTAAAACGACCAATCTATACGCTCCGAGGTTACTCCTGGTCACATCCATCCTGATACCAGTCCTTTAAATACTAGTAGAAGCCATGAAACCGAAGGCGCCCCGGATCGATTCAAAGAATCAAGCGAATGCCAGCGTCGCGACCAAAACGCTTGTTCATGTGGCGAAGCGAAGGCGCGTCCGGTACTTGTTGTTCATGCAGCATCCGCGCTCGCCTGTCCAATAAATTTCGGTCAACTCCGCATTAAACCCCCCAAAGTAGAGCTACTCACGGCAGTAGTCTTCCCGCTCTCGCATCACGACGCGGCATACTGTCGTGCGTGCGAGTTCCATAACATCGTCTTCCATCACGAAACAGCAGTTGACGACCGTAACCTCCTGGATCGGATCGGAGCCTTGGATGGCGAGGTCGTCGACTGTGCAGCGGCTACGCACGAGGTCCACGAGGGCGTGGCCATGGAGCATACTGCACCACCGGAAGTCGATGCGCACGAGACGGGGACACAGCCCGCGAGGCCCGCGAAGACGCGCGACGGTGGTGTCCGAAATGGAAGACTCGTGTAGGCGCAGCTCACGCAGGGTGGGGAGCGCAGCAAATGTAGTGGCGAATGCTTCTGGCGAGAGATCGAGGTCGTGCAGCTCGAGGAGCTCGAGAGGCGGGGTAGAGAGCTCCAGGAAGCGGGTGAGTGTCGGGCCGATAGGCTGCTGGCGGTACCCGAGGTCTTCGAGGGAGCGAAGGTGGAGGTCGCGCAAGCGCGGGGTGTAAAAGTGGGGGAGCATCTCGTTGAGGTCCGTGGGACCGTACATGGTGAAGGTGGTGAGGTCCGGAAGAAACACGGTTGCCTCCGGGTCTTGAGCGCGAACGAACGGGTGCTCATAAATGAGTGGCATGGAAAGGGTGAGATGTTGCAAATGGGGTAGACGGCCGAGCATGGATATTATGGTCGAGGCGGAGAGTGGCTGCACTTCAATGCTCGTCCTGACCTGAAGGGTGAGCGCGGTAATTTGGGAGGGGAGATGGGGAATCTCGGGGATCGTTCCACAGATGTATTGGACGGCATTGAGTTGCGGAGCCTTGTCCGCGCTGAAGATTTCGCCGAGAGGCCGACTTTCGATGGCATCGACACCGTCCGGGGGAGCTACCACAGACCCCACAGTCCGTGACGAGATCCTTCGAAGCTCGGGCATGAAGAAGGTGCATTGTCCGAATACGACGTCGGCCTGAGAGTCGAGGTCCGTCTCGACGCTGAGAGACCGCCACTGTTTCGAATGTTCGACGAGTACATTCATGACCTCAACGATCTTGCGGGCAGGCACTCTCCACGAGACAGCAACTATGATATGCAGATACGCATGCCCCGCCATCTTGAGCCAGTGTCGAGTACGGTTGCTAACGTGGACGTCGTCGCACCGGACATAAACATGAGACCAAACCTTGGGTGCGAGCGCGGCTCTCCGCCAGTTGGAGCAGACGTGCGAGACCACAACCGGGGCCCTGGTCCATCCATCATCGACGCAGTGACCGAATATCTTGATGAGGATGTCTTCCGGGAGGCGGCGAGCGAGAGTGACGATGCCCCAGGAGTGTTCGATGGCAGTTTTGTGCTTCGCCTGCTCGTGACGGAGGGTAGATATTTGAGTGAGAAGGGAGCGGATTTTATCCTCGAGAGACTCGATGTCTGCGCTGCGGGCACGGATGGACTCGTGTGCGACGCGGATGACCTCCGCGGTGGGCTCTGCACGGAACAGCAGGCGCTCAGCCTCCGGGAGAAGCATCTGGAAGTTCGCGATCAGCCAGCGTTTACACAACGAGTCTACTATTCAAACCAAATAACCTTCTACTAGCGTGAGTTCTTGAGGACTTGGCCTTTGGTCGTCGAGTGGAAGGTGGTGGAATGAGAAAGAGGTGTGTCATAGCATGATAAGAGCACGCGTCTGGCTGACTCAGCGAATCAACATGCTTACTCTTTATGGTACCAGCCGCCTCGCCTCTAGAGTCTAGATGAGTGAGAAGAGTGGTACTTATGGATGCTCCTCAGAGCCAGGGAAAGGCAAAAGATAAGACGCGGATTATAGCATGACATTAATCTAAATACGTGAAGTTACTTCATTTTGTCTTGGAAGATCTCATCCCCAGGCCACTCAAACCCTTTATGATCTCGATGCCAGGCGACACGTATCCTCCTATCGGGGATATGATCTCCACAGAGCCCAAGCACGAGCACGCGAATGCTCGGGAAGAACCTGAGGAAGTCATTGCGTCACCCGAACATCAAGGGTACTCCGCTGGTGAGAGGTCTTCTCGACGTGCACAGGCGACCTCGTTGCCGTCGTGTGCATGAAGGGTTTTGAAGATTCCGAGGCAGTCGATCTCAATTGTAACCTTCAGCCGTTCGGGTCGTGTGCGATATGGACCTTCGCTACTGTGGTCCCAGTCGACAGCGCCTATGATCCCGACCTGTGAGAAGAAATTCGTCGAAAGATGTCGTTTTACAGGTGCCAAACGCATACACACCATTGCTTTCCTGACATCTTCGTCAACTGGTTGCTCGCATGACGTGGGTTGATATTTGTACGTGCGTATCTGAGAGCTACCGTCACCAGATACTTTGCAAGCTGTTTGTCCATGTCAAGTGCCATGAGCGACTTCAACAGCACGAGTAAGATGGGTGATAGAACATACTCTGAAGCCGGCGACATATCAAGTCGTCGTCCGTTATAGGCATGACGGTCACGATTACAGAGGGCTGCGAACGGAACTGACGTCTGAGCGGTGTCGCAGGAAGCAGGAGAGAGGAGCACGATGTGGCGAGGCGCAAATCTTCAGCGGTACCGTACTCTTATGGCTGTCGGCATTTGACCACAAGCGCGGATTCTTTGGCAATGGCAACAACCTCTGAACAATGGTCGAAGACAATCGGGTGGCTCATTGTGCTTAGCCGGTGCGCTAAGGACCAAAGTCTGGATCAAACGAGCGTCAGCTTCAATGCCTACTAACAAAGACAGGCGATCGACACTCACCTGCGAGTAGTATTCATCTGGAGCACAACATCGAGCGCACATCAGTCTAGCCACTACAACAAATTAGGGATAATCTCAGAAGCATACATTTACAGGCACGGAACGGGGACGAGGAACGGAAGCGAGAGACAGGATAGCGAAGTACTGAGAGAGAGGACGTAAGGAAACATATCGTATCGTATCGTACGCACATCGAGTCCATGCCTAGCTGAGCGCAGCAAGGGACGCATCCGCTACTTGACCCATCTCTCCCTCCATTAACGCTCCATTCTGTACCTCGCTCACCCTTGTTCCCTGACCGCTCGCCACAAGTCCCGCCTGCGCCTGCGTGACCGCGGCAGTGAGCCCCGGACCAGGGGCACCGCCGTGCTTCGCGAGCTCGCTCTTGACGTGCTCGAGCATGCGCCTGAGGTTAACGCGTTCGTTGACCAGGGTCATGCGCGCGCTCTCCAGGCTCTTCCGCTCCTCCTCGAGCAGCTCCTCGAGTTCCTCAAATTGCGCCGTCTTGAGCTCGAGCTTGGTCAGCGTGAGCTTTATCAGACTCGCGAGCGTCGTCCGAATCTGGGTCTCCTCCGCATTCGCGAGCGTACTGGCAGCCTTGGCGGCGGATTTCAGCGCGAGGTCCGCAGCGCGCACGACGCGCGAGTGTGGAAGGCCTTTGATTGCCTTCTGCACGGCCGCGTCGCCGCTCGCGCCGTCAACCTGCATTTCGTCTGTCTGCCCCTCCGCCGGTGGCTTCTCCCTGGGCTCGTCCTCGTCCATATTTTCATCCTTCTTCTCCGCCGTGTCAGCGACAGCCTCGCCTTCTGGCTTTTCGTCCGCGACCTTCTTGTCACCGTCTGTAAGTTCGTGGAGGGCAGTCTTCGCGGCCTCCGCCGCGACTCCAGGAGAGACGACGCCCGCGAGGAATGCGACGACGCTCATCACCGGATTGTCTGCCTGCTCGAACGGAACGCGCGCAAAGCGGAGAGCACCCATGTCCCCCTCGGCTTCGATGTAGGGGTCTTCGATGGGCAACTGGAGGAACTTGCGGATGCACTGTTGGGCGGAACGCGTACCGACGTGATCTTCAATCGCTGACCATTCGTCATCGAACAGCTCCACGCCCTCCAAAAGCAAGAGGATCTCCTGGTCCGTCCAGTCGTCGTCCGCGCCCGTGCCGACTGCCTGGTGGACACCATTAGCGCCGGTCGCGCTGGTGAGCTTGACGAAGTCGCCGCTGAACATGTGGGAAGGGAAGCGACCATCGAGGTAGCAAGGGGGACAAAGCTCGAAGTTCTTCGTCTTGAGGGAGTGATACCGCACAGGTGTGCAGTCGACGCCACAGGTGTCGCACTGGTACTTGATGGTGGCCGGATGATCCCCTCCGACACCATTGGGCGCTGACGCACCGTTCGCGAGCGCCGCGGCCTCACTTTCTGATACTGGACGTGAAGACTTGGCGGATGTTTGGTATATTGATGACCGAAGCTCTAGTGAAGCAGGGGCAGGGGTAGAGCCGGGCTTTACTGAGCCGTTGATGGCAGGTTTGGCACGGGGGGCGTTGGGGTCTTTGGGACGAGTCCCGGATGAAGAGCTTGCAGACCGCGAGGGGTGTCGAGGATGACGCGGAAGTGGCCTGTGAAAGGCGGGGCGAGTGCGGCGGGCCTCTGGTCGGGGTCGATCTATACATATATGAGCAACTGAATCTATGCAACACGCCATCGGCGCGACGCGTAGTGCGTGCTGAATATTTCGACACGCACCTGATAGTTGATGAGCCCCCATTGCTCCAAGAACGCATGGACGCGCATGATGGCGCAAACGTCGCCGGCCAGATTCCGCCTACAGGCCGTCACGGTGAGGTATTCCACGGGCCGGAGGCGATACGCGTTGACCATGAAGTCGCGATAGTCCTTGTAGATGGCGGGGGTCTTCGAACGGTGCCGCGAGTTGAAGAACTCGGGTAACGCCCTGCGCTCAACAGGATGGACTTTGGACATGTCGAACCATGCCGCGTACGAGGGGATGATGACTTCGTGTGTTTGCGCAGCCAGGTATTTGCTAGCCTGCTCCTCGAGTCGAAGACGCGTAGCCTCGAGCTGGGCGGGGTCTTCGTCGTCGTTGTCGTCGCCTGATTCTGCCTCCTCGTCCGCGGCATCCACACCTTCCGCCATCGACACGTCGCCACTGTCATCCACTCCTTCACCATCGCCATCGGCTTTGAGGAGTCGAGTCGGAACTGCGCTGGCGGTGTCCGAGGATAAAGTGCCTGCATGTGTAGGGGGAAGGTTGCCAATGTCGCCACCTTGGATGGGTTCAAGTTCGCTACGCTTGCCAGTCGCGTTGTCCGGGTCCACGAGAGTGACACCTTCGTTCACAGTGAGCCGTATCCGCTTCGCCTCTGAGGTGGAATTGGGCTGAGTAGGGGAGGCAGTTCGTTTTGGGGAGGACATGATGATGGTCAGAGCCAAAGACTGAACTGGTCAATTCGCAGTAAATCGTTTAGGCGCTTGAATTTCATGTAAGCTCAAAACTAATGACACTAGTTAATATCCTTCTAATCCTACTTATACCCATTAGATTGGGGAATAGTGCGTGCAATAAGGGAGGTGGCACGTCTATTCCTTCTCCTCTTCCCCCTCCTCCCCTCACCCCCTACCGTGCCCTTCATTCGCCCTGTTCGCTCTTTAATTGCAGGTCTACTTCTTGCATCCAGAGAGGAAGGGTATCTTGTTGGCTAGCAGGCTGTCTGTGCTGTCAAGGTGCGCCTTTTCGCCCTCTGCGCACACTTCGTTCCAGGATCTCAAAGCTATTTCTCCAGCTCATGGCACCATGCACACTCTATCATCCACTATGGCATACTCTCTCCGAACCCCTACTCGATGGGAGGCCTTTGTACGAGCCGGTAGATTGATGGGCAGACAGTTTCTCAGCACCCCGGCCTCGTTGCTGGAAACCGAGTCCCCAGCCCAAAGGGATATCAAAGCGTACCCATATCCAACCGCCGTACCCGATTCCTCACTGTTCGAAGACTTCGCAGACGACTATACGGCAGTTTCCACCATGGCCAGTCGTCATTTCTCGCAGGCCGGCGCGCTTCCAACCCATCCCAGCTGTTACGAGAACTCGCCCACTCTGGTCAGCACGAGAATGCACTCAAGGTTCTTGAAGAGCTCTTGAGAACGGCGTTCACATCGACCCAAGTCGGGCATATATTCACGCTGCTGAGTCAGCTCTCGCGAATACAAGTCTCTCCCCCCAAGTGCGCGTGGAGGTGTTCTTCAAATGGTGGTCTCTCGTACCTGAAAAGCACACCGCCGAATGTACGTCCTCCGTGAAGCGCATCCAGCATAAACTCGTCCACCGTAGTCACCACCCCGACTTCCCCCTTCTCGTACGATTTGCTCTTGGGATGGCCTCCAAAGGTTATGGGACGACGATTACCAACGACACTCTCCGCCTCGTCGCGCGCTATGCCCCTCCGCGATTCACTCGCAACTTCCTGCTGCAACTGAAAAAGACCGTTGATGACCACCAGCATGGTCCTCACACAGCAGTTCGAAAAATTCGAGACTGGTACGGCTGTAGCATCAAGGAGCTGCTCTATAACGACTTTTCCGACGTCGCACTGGAGGTCGTCCAAGACGCCATAGAGCACGCCGTTTACCCACGCCGCGAGGTCTGGCGCTTCTTGCTCAACGATTTCAGAAGTGGTGGAGATGTCGCAGCCGCTTCGATGGTGCAGAAATTGCGAAATCAAGCGCGTTCCAGAGTGGTTGCTCGTGTAAGTCTTCGCTGTCACGTCTAACCAATCGTGCTGACGTTGCATCTACAGACAGGGGTCCCGCCATCCCCAAGGGAGTTCACAGAGGTTGCCTCCGAGGACATATCGGATGCGCGGTCTTTACGGATCAATGTCACCGAGGACGACGACCTGGACGCCTGGAGAGCTACTATCAGCAAGTTGAAGTCCGCCTTCCGCTCAGGCACTCCGGTACACGCTGGATGTCTCGCCTATCTGATCCAACTGCTCCTGTTCCACGGCCGCGCTTCACTTGTATGTCGCCTTCGTGCGCTTGCATTCTCCTCCGGCGGTCCCAGCACCGTCAATTGGGCTACCGCCGAGATGATCTACAGATCTCAAGAACAGAACGACTACATATCTTCGCTGGCTCTCTTCAAACATCATTTCTACATGGTCGGCACCCCTCCAGAAATGTACACTCCTGCGACAGATACAACAAATGCGACACAGATGCTACCTTCGCTCTCCCAAGAGCGCGGTGTTTCCTCACTGCCTCTTCCCTCTCCCCTCCGCCACAGGTACTCAGCGCCCCGGCATGTACTATATCTTCTCTGGTATACCGCTGTTCAAAACGCGCAACAATCCTCTCTCGGGCCCTTGTACCGCTCGTTCATCGAATCATTCGCTGCCTCTCGTGGGATCCCTACGTCTATCTACCCCCAGCTCCATTTTTCCAGCCCACATTCGAGTACCGCGAGCCCTAGTTACGCACAACCCATCCCTGCGGCATCTTCATTCGACCACCGGTTCTTCGGCCTTTTTATGAAGGCCTTCGCTGGATTCGGAGAGCATCACTCTTCCAGGGGCGTTTTCCTCGACATGTTGCGCTCAGGACTCTCGCCCACCGCTGAGATAGAGCATGTCTTCGCGATCAGGATGGCACTAGCTCCCGGCAACGGATTTGAGCCCGCCATGGACTACCTCAAGCTCACCCGCGATCTCGTGGACAAATTCCTCACGATGTTGGACGAGCGTTCGCCGGCGCACGGAAATGCCGACAATCTCCGCGATGTCGCCAACGGCTTCTTCCTCGGTGTCTTGATCAGGCGTCTTTTGACAGACAAACGCACCGGCGACGCTTGGCACGTTCTTGTTCGCTATGGGGACGTGAACCAACATTTTGGACGGAGGATCGCGCAGCAAATCGCGCAACAGGCTCAGCACATGGCCGCTTGGGTGGGCGCTCATAAAGGGAGCCGCGACACAGTTTCTTCGGGGGATTGAGGTGGACTTGTCTACTCGCCTTCCATTGACTCAGGTCGTTGAGTACGTCACGCTTCTCTGATGTATACGAGATTTTGTGCTCATGTCTAGTGGGATTCATCGGCGGCCTGCTCAACTGAATCATCAGCGGTGTCTATTCAGGTGCTTCCTAGTTGAGCGCAGAACAGCGATCGAACCTTGGCTTCTCCCCACATTATGCCTTAGGCCCCACTCTGACCAACACCTCGCTCGTTGCTTCGTCAATTTGGTATGTACATCTGGCTAGTGCGCCCCATATCCATTCTCTGACGACGCTTGTATTAAGATAGGCTAGTTTCGATGTTCATGTATTAGAGCATAGACATTAATTGTAATTAACCTCACTGTGGGCAGCAGGTGAGCGTGCCTTCCATTGTTTGCAGTCCCGATAAACGACGACATCTGATGAGACTTCGGATGCGGCAAGCGATTCGGCTTACACCTCCGGGCCTCTCCGCCCGGCAGCAAGTTTTCAATCGTTCCCTCTAAACATGTACTCGCCTCGTGTCAATCAGACCAAAGACCACCAGAAACGACTCCAGCTGATGCGACTTGCCCCATTCGGCGACTGCTTTGTTACGTGAGCGGGGCTGGTCCCTCCCGTTCCGAATAGGCGTCAACCAATGCTCCGCTGACTTCCGTCGATATATTCGCAGCGCAGTTACACAAAGGAAGCGCATACGCCCCCGGCTCCGCATGCAGAAGCCGGCGATGGTCAGGCTTCTAGCATCTCCTTAACGCCAGTATGTAGGCTCGCTCATGTGGTCCAGTGTGGTCCGTATCACTCACTTTTCTCAGGTTGCATCCACAATGCCGCATGTTCCTGTTCCAATATTACTCCATTCCGCTGTCAGTGGGTCGGGGCGGCGAGCTAAACGCCATCAAATCCTTCCGCCGAGTTCCGACCGGCAACTCACGTCGAACGACCCGCTCCGGAGTCCGCTCCGTGACCTCCATGGTTCTAGCGCAGTGTTCAAACCATCCAATCGAATGCTACGCATGCCTGACTTAGATGCACCGGTGCTGCCGATGCCGATGCACGGATGTACCAGCGCTCAAACCAAGGACTGGCGGGTCGGAGATGCAGCACCTAACTACGCTGGCATTCATCGGAAATCGGTCTTGACGTGCTCTGGCTTCTTCGCGTCCTCCTGCCCGGGCAAGTTCGGTTCAGGCCCTGAGCAAATCCAATCATGGCCGGGGGCCCGATAAGCCGGGTAAGCTAGAGGATACTTAAATACTAGTGCTCGCCTGCAATTTCCGCCCTCATCTCCTTCCTTCTTCCATGGCGCTGCCTCCTATGCTCCCCTACGCGGTCGCCGCCGCGGGCGTCGTGTGGGTGTTGTACAAGGTATTGCGCCTATTTGTGGTGAAGTCTCCACTCGACATCGTGCTCGGCCCACCACGCAAGTCCCTCTTGGCAGGTGAGTATCGTGAACTGATTCACCTGCCCCTTAACACTCTAATGGATCTGACAGGAAACCTGGAACAACTCTTCGATCGGGATGCATGGGGTTTCCATGATGAGGTGGCACTGCAATACGGTGACGTGGTGAAGATCAATGCCGTCTTCGGGGTGAGTTGTCTCTGCAGCTCTGCAGTGCGCGCTCTTCGACTCACCGTCACACCCTCGCGCAGGACAAATGGCTTTACGTCTTTGACCCCACTGCTCTGCGCCAAATCGTGTTCAAGGATTCGACATTCGACCAGATCCCATGGCTCATCGAGTGCGTCCATGTTCCAGTCCCCAGTCCCATCTGATCAACCTCCCGATCTCTTCTCGTTCCTGACCCCAGGAGCACCCGCATGCTGCTCGGGGCCGGCGTTCTGGGTGTCCTCGGTACGCACCCTCCCGATCGATAGGCGACGTTTCGACCGGCTGATGAGCGCACCACGATCACTCGCATTGCTTCCCACAGGCGAAGCACACAAGCGGCAGCGCAAGATGCTCACCCCCGCTTTCGCGGAAAACAACCTCCGCGAGCTGACGCCGGTCGTCTACGAGGTCGCGCGCAGGGTGAGCTCTCCGATGTCCGCCGCGCGCGTTTGCGATTCGGGCTTACGTTTGCTTCCTTGCCTGCGCGCGCAGCTCGGCGATGCGGTCGCCGGTACCGTTGCGGGCGCCCAACGAGACGTAGACATGCTCGACTGGATGGGCCGCGGGGCCTTGGAAATCATCGGTCAGGCCGGGTTGGGACACTCCTTTGACCCGCTGACGTCCGACACCAAGTCGGATGCCTACACACAAGCCGCGAAGCAGTACCTGTACGTATACCCTCTTCCCCCCGTCTCCTTCCTTTCCACAACTCCGTTGCTGTCGGCACATCGAATCCGGCACCGATACGGCGGTCCCTTCTTTTCTCGCTATACTGCGCAGTCTTCTTCTTGATCGCAGCAGCTGACGTACATGCTTCTCTCCCCACCACACATGACCTCGGCCACGATGACACGCCAGACCGCTCTCGTTCACGCCGATCATGGTCGCCGTCCGACAGCTGAGCCCCATCTTGACGAGGCTCGGTCCAGCGTGGTTCCGCCGGCTGCTCGTGAAGTGCGTGCCCGTTGCACAGGTGCAACAGCTCAGGAACGTCGTTGATACCCTCTACCAAACATCGGTCGACATCATCGCGCAGAAGAGGGCGCTGCTCGAGAGTGGGAAAATTTCCGTGGGGAAGGACATCATGAGCGTCCTGCGTAAGCCTGCGTCGCCGTCGTCCCGTTTGACGAGTAGTCGTTCATCATTGCACGTTTAGTGAAGGCGAACATGGCTGCATCCGAGGCCGATCGACTCCCCGATGAGCAGATCCTTGGGCAGATGAAGTGAGTCGAAGCCTTCCTCCTTGGCTGTGGCCGCACCCTTGACCATCTCTCGCAGCATTCTCCTCTTCGCGGCAACCGACACGACTTCGCACGTCATGGCGCAGATTCTGCAGCTCCTCAGTGAGAACCCCGACATCCAAGAACAGGTTCGGCAAGAAATCCTTGCTGCGTGCGACGGCGACCCCGAGCATGAGATCTCATACGACCGGCTGCACGCGCTCCCCCTCCTCGACGCCGTCTGCAAAGAGACTCTGCGCCTTTACCCCCCGACCCCCATCGTCCTCCGCACGTACGTTCCCCATCTTCCTTCCTTGACCCGGTACTAACCCCACCCCTACCTTCGTCCCACGCACAGAGCCTTCGAAGACTCGACGCTCACCCTCGCCCGCCCGCTTCGCACCGCCGACGGCACGTTCACAGACCGGCTCTTCGTGCCCAAAGACACCAACGTCCTCGTCGGCGTCCGCGCCTGCAACCGCGCTCGCTCGCTCTGGGGGCCCGACGCCGAGACCTGGCGCCCCGCGCGCTGGCTCGCCGAGGACGGGCTCCCGCCCGCGCTCGCCTCCGCCGCCGTGCCGGGCGTGTACGCGCACACGATGACGTTCGTCGGCGGCCCGCGCTCGTGCGTCGGCTTCCGGTTCGCGCAGATCGAGATGAGTGCGTTCCTTTCCTCTCTCGCCTTTGTGCGCGCGCGTCGGGCAGTGCTGACGACGATGCTACAGAGGTTGTGATGTCGACGCTACTCTCTCGCTTCGCCTTCGAGCCTTCCGCGACGCCGATCTTCTGGAACGTGTCCGCGATCACGTTCCCGAGCGCGGGTCGCGAGAGCGAGAAGCCCGAGATGTGGCTCAAGGTCCGCCCGCTCGCGCCGCGCAAGTCCGGGTAGGCAGGATGGGTCTGGTGCCCACACCACACCCTACGTCTTATACACACCCACTTGAAGGTAACGAGTCGCGCGCTCGTCACCCCTACAGCACCTCATCCCGCCCTACTCTACTAATACTCACACCGTGTCGTCCATACATTGGCTTTTCCCCCTGGCCCGCCCGGTCCTCCGAGGAGGACCGAAATGTCTTCCTCCTCGTATGCGCCAGACCTCATACGCATTGTAGAATACCTGTATGTATCGCCTACCATAGGGCTTGACCCTCGAGGGCGTAAAACGGGAATAAAACAAACAAAAAATTTCAAACAAGAGAACGATACCCTACCGATGCGCTCTTGGTGTCTCAGACCTCAGTGATGATACTGTACGTAGCTGTTGTCTACAGACTCTACAATATTTACAACATAACCCCCACGCATCCTACGTAGAGGGTCCCCAGCGTTCCCCAGCGTCTACCGACTCAGGGGTGGATACGCGTCCGAGCCAAGCCACCGCGCGAGCTCATGCGACACGGCACCGCAGAAGACCGCCGACGTCGAAGTCAATCGAATTCGAAAGGCGTGGGACTCCGGGGCGCGGGTGTCGAGAGGAATCGAGATCGTGTCTCAGACAACTTACATACGTCCATCCAATGGCCAGACGATTGTGGCGGCGGCAGTCTTGGACCCCGACCACTAGCGGGACCCACACTCGCTCCTCGAAAATGACATTACTTTTCCTCTGAAGATATACTGGTGGAATTTAATTCGATAGACTGATAAAACAGCAGACACGTATTATCAATGAACAAAGAACCACTACAGAAAACACTTCATGGTGCAGAAGCAGCAAACGGAAGTCGCGAACGACATAGTACGAACTCGATCACATAAGTAGTAAACCTCCTGCCCAGGGCCTTGAGCCCATCTAGTGTGCAACAACCCACGACCGCCTCGCCGCGCCCGCCGCCGCTTCGCGCACCCGCGCACGTGCCGCCTCGCCGCGCTCTCGCGCATCCGCCCCTCGTCCCCGCACACCGGGCACCGGAACACCACGCCGATGTGCACGTTCAGCCAGTGCCGCCCGACGCACTCGAGCGTCATCCGTCCGTCCCCCCTGCGACCGCTCGCGCCCGCGCCCGGACCGGACGTGGCGCACCCCGGCATCGGGCAGCGCGCGACGCACGCGCCGGAGGGAGCGCGCGCCGACGGACAGGCCGCGCACAGGTCGTTGTGGTGCGCGCGCTTGAAGTGCGTGCGCCAGGCGGCGTCGGTGGCGTGGAGCGCGGCGCCGCAGCTGGGGATAGGGCAGGCGTAGGCGTCCGATGACGATGTGACCCGGATGGGCTGGAGGTGGGAGGGGAGCGGGGAGGGTGGGGCGCGGCGGGGACGCTTGCATGGGTGGGCTGGTGGAGGGGACGCGACGCGCTCGTCGTCCAGCAGGCGCTTGCGTTTCGGCGATTGGGGGCGGTCCGGGGTGGGGACAGCGCTGTGCGGGGTGTCAGCGCAAGACTCAAAGGTGTTGAAGGTGTGGATGTTAACACACCTGTAAAGACCCAGCGCGGAAGGCACAAGGGTATCCAGGCGCGGAGACGAGTTGAAGGAAGCGCCCACGGTGCGTGGTGCTGTCTGATGAGGGCTAGGGCTCATGCTGCGCCCGAGGTCGATGAGGTAGTCGACCTCACGAAGAGGCTCTGGAAGAGGCGGGTTCACGAGGCCTCCGCTCATCGCGTCTGGCACGGAAGTCCAATTCAGCAACTCGAAGTCGACAAAGTGTTGAGGCATATCGACCGCGAAGTCGCCACTGGCGCCAGGTTCGAACGGACGCAAGTCAAACGATCCGGCGCGCGTGGAATCGTCCTCTTGCGTGGAGCCTTCCGGAGCCCAGCAGTTGAAGTCGTCCTGGACCAAGGGAGCGCCGAACACACTGCAGGAGACGGGACTATGAGCGCCATGAAGGAAGACGAAAGGATATGGAGACTTACCTCATCGGATCAAGGACAGGGCCACAGACAAAATCAGAGTAGAAGGCCATCTTGCGCAGGAGATGGGGGGGATGGGGAGGTAAAGGCCACGCGTCTAAGGGGGTCCGGGGGAGGCTGCGGGGATGCCTCGTCCTTGTCGAACATCCCGAATTTTATACGCCATGGTCCCGATGCCCGCCGGAGAGGCGTGAGTGTGCTCCGCGCGGCGGTGGACCTAGTAAAGAGCACGGCAGCCAACGAGAGCGCGAGTGAGCGTGGTGCGGACGGAGTAAAGAGCGTCGAAGCCAGGACGGGCGGTGGGTAAAGAGCGTCGAAGCTCGGTAGTGCGGAGATTCGGACTCCGACAATACAGAGTAAAGAGCAGAGAGGGGCGCCATCACAAATGCTCTTTACTTATCATGATGAGATGGTGGCGGGCCTGATACGGCGTGTTTGTGAGATGCAGAGGCCTCTGGACATGTTGAGGATGCTCCTGCCTTTTATTTGACACCACTCGTGAGGGAGTTTGTGCACTCGAGGGCGAGGGCGAGGAGGAGGACGGGAGAAGTGGATCAGAGTCGAGCAAAAGACGGACGATAAGGCAACTCTCAGAGTTTGACGTCGGCTAAGTGCGTGTGGCCGCGCCAAGCGAACACGTGTAACAAGCGCGCGTCCACAGCCCGCCCAGTCCGTGAGGCGCCCTGCCACGGCTCTTCGTTGCTGGTGGCGTCTATTCATCAGTAGAAGGTTATGATTAGGTTGGATTCAGAACGGGGTCTAACAGGGTCTAACGCAATAGATCGTGATCCGGAAACAGGACACACTGACCAGTGTTCAGTCTCTAGATACGTTCGCCGCGTGCGCGAACTGGGTCTCCGGATGATCAGCGTCTGCTGCGGTGTCATCGCAGCCATGGGTCCGCAGACCGCCGGGCCGATCCTCAAGTACTGAGGCCTCAGTACTCAGTCGCGCACCACCTGCAATATTCGTCGGTCCCACATAAGCGCACACCAGCTGTTTCGACAAACAGTCCACACGGAGTTGGTTACTCGTACACGTCCTACATAATCGTACAGAGCAAGGGGGAAGACACAACTAGCACAACATACTACAGGAGTGCTCTACATCTCCATCCTGCATCGGACCCCACTGGTCCGCGACCGCCCGCGCACGTTCGCCTGTTCCTCCACATCCCCATCCTCATCCTCCTCCCCGTACGAGTCCACCGAGAAGTCCCAGTCACCGATTGGCCGCCGCGTCCGCGTCCTGCGGAGCTCGCGCCTGAGCGAGCTCCTCGTCGTCCCTACGTCGCGCTCGAACGTGCGGGCCGGGGCAGCGTCCCGCCGCCCGCCATCCTCCGCCCACAGGCGCGGCGGCGAACTCTCGACGGGGGCGGACACGGGTCGGCGCATGCCCAGGGCGTGCGGGAGCCCGAGCCCGAGCCCGCCGGACGAGCGGGGGCGCTCGCCGTCTGCGCTCATCACGCGGATCGCACGCGCGGGGGTGGGTGAGATCGGCGAGGCGAGGAGGGTTGCGGGCATATGCTCGGTGTCGATCTCGGCGGTGAAGGAATAGAGGTCGAGGCTGATGTGCGGCACAGCGTCGTGGTCAAAGCCGTCAACAAAGGTGGGGGTATCAACTTTTTGCCTGAGCGCGACCGTCTTCCGAATGCTGAGGAGGAGGTGACATCCCTAAGCGGAGATGAGCGCCGAGAAGAGAAAACAAGCTTATAGAGCCAAATGCTTACCGAATATGACAGGACGGCAGGGAGCCAGCTGTTGGAAAGATCGTTGAGACGGAGACGTAGAGCCTCGCGGTGCCAGAGACTTACCTGGAGAAAATTACTGCCGTAGTTGGGGTGCCTATGGCTTGAAAGATCGTGTTCAGGGATACAAATACTACCGATGTCGTTAGGTTGAAGTCGACATATGAATGCGACCCCTCGCAGCTCACCCAATAGTCTGTTGGAGGTACGTAAGCGTTATTGTTGCACTGCCCATAGGGATACGCACATGAGGTAGTATGCACTATTGTCGCGAACCAGTTGATAGACTAGAGGCATGTGTTTTAGACGACCATATGATATACACTTGGCGGTATTGAGGCCGAAAATCAAAGCTGCACGCTTTCTGAGAAACTTTGTGTGACGGTATCACGAAAGCTTACTTTCGAATAACAATATCGGGACCCTGGGTTGAGACGTTAGTGCCCCGGCCGGACGTGATATCGATAGGGCTTACCAGGTTAGTTTGATCGCGATATCATCCGGAATGAAGCAACCTCTAAACGGTACTCCAGGCGGTAATTGCAAGGGCGTAGGGTATAGCATGAAGGTGAAAATGAACGACGACTATGTGCAAGTACGAAGTCAGTTCACATGGGCATCACAAGCGCAAGATCGGCCGTACCGCAGTCGTTACTGTAGCTTGGTTGAGTGATATCCAACGAGTAAAAACAAAGGGAGAACGCACGGAGGAGAGAGACTCCAACCACCCATCGCACTGCACGCTGTTTCAGTTCATGTAGACGCACGCGAGCACGATGTTGGCCTCTCACCTCTATGTGAGCGATGATATAATGCGTCGATCCTCAGAACGAGACTGATTTCGACGCAGAGGAGTAGGATCGTCATCTCTCTGAGCGTCATTCCAGTCAGCAGAATATAGATTCGTGCAGATAAAGTAACGCACACAAACTGGAATACTAGCATGGGGAAGCAACTAAAACGGGTGTAAGCCAAGAGCATAGAAGCAAAGCAGCACGACGAACAAAACTTCGAAGATTCCCGAGGCGAGAGTCCTAAAGAAACGGTAGAGAAGAGGTGATAGAGGACTTAGCCAAGGTTGAATGATGCGCATATATTGACAGAGAGTGCCCACAGCTGACCGGCTATGCCGACATATCTCGACAGGAAAAAGAGGTATTTCGGGAAGGCTCTAGTTGACCTGCGTGCGTGTCGAAAGTGAGCTCATCGCGTGAGAGGCGGTGTGGTGGTGGTCCGCACCTCCAAACATATTCAATCTACGAGACGATACGTGAGCCCGGCAGCAGCGATCGAATGTATTGGGACGTGACAGACCTCGTCATCAAGAGTCGTTAAAAGATCAAAAACCAGGAGTGACGACGAAGCGGCTATATGCACGCGGTAAAGGCATGGAAGGGCGAGTGGGCTGAATGGAACGCGTACTGTAGTGCGTAGCTTGCCCGTGCGCGGCCGAGAAGAGCACGATGGCGCTCATATGCGTGGGCGGGCGGCAGCGGCGTGGCAGACGGCGTATCACGGCTCATGCGGACGGAGGGAAGGGGGCGCGCGGGTCTGCGGGAAAGATGGTGGTGGGTGGACAAGCAGGCAGGGAGGAGGTGCCGCCAGTGAAGGTGGAGGGCGACGGCGGGAGATAGGCTGAGGGCTCGCGCACACGCCGCACGGGCCCAGTGCTGCATGTGACCCAAGTATGCCTGCCGAGATGTTCTAGAGATGTTCGGGAGCAGAGCGGAAGCCGCCAGGAAAGTGGATGGGTCGCTCCCGTTCGTTGATCCCCTTCCTCCCCGAGGCGGTCTGCGGCATGAACCAGCACTTTGTTTCAGAGCCCTCATGACAACCGCTCAGGCGGATCACGTTGCCCCGAGCGGGTAAGTGCCGCCAGCCGAGTATATCGGAGTTCTTGTCTGCGGTTGGCCCACTTTGGGCCCACTGGAGAACCGCGCGGAAAGGATCATGCCCAGAGAAGGACAACCTTCCCTCTAGCTTTACTGCTTCGACCAATTGCATGGAAACAAGCCCTTGGAAGGAGAGTAGACGAGTAGCTTGAACAGTCAGTCCTCGTGGAAGTAAAACAGCAATCGGTGTGGCGAGATAGAGGCGCCAAGGCACATCGAAAATCCTCTTTCAAGTTTATCCACAGTCAATCTTTTCATTTCCAAAGCAAATCGAAAAGGCACCGTATTGCTACGCGACATGAAAATGAATATCCTCGACCGGCATCATCTTCCCGTTGATATACTACTTACTCGCCTACCAGCACATCCCACATCACTGCTCTTGCCGCTCACCCGCTCCAGACGGCCGGGCCGGCTGAGTAGAGAGAAGCAGGAGCGTCAGCCGCCGCACGCCACCAGGAAAACATCCACGACACTCACGAGAGGTGTACCCGGTGATACGCACGCGCCGCCGCTGTACGGTGCACCGCGACTACACTAGCGCCCGCGCGCGGCCGTCCACCTCGATCTCGCTCGTCTTCACGCACCTCGACCTCTCCACCGCGCGCACCCATCGCGATCAGCCCGCGAGCACCCCATATCGACGCTCCAGCATTCCAGGCTAGACGCGACGCCCACGGACACACCGCGGCGCAGTCCACGCACGACCGAGGCCGGCACGGTACGCACCCGATCCACGTACTCACATATTCTCTCCTTTTCTACGTTCATCCATTCCTTATTCTTTCCCTGCACCTGTACATTTACTTTCGCTCCTGTCTCCTACGTTTCAGGCTCAGACATTCATTCTCGGTATCGACCTCGGACATTTTTCGTGTCATGGCTTTGACTGTACATTGCTATCTACATACTCGCCCTGTGCGTCGCATGTACTTAGGCTCACGTTTTGTTATGATGCCAGTTCACTCTCCCGCTTCGTTGCGTGTGCTGTGTGCTCACCTCGTCTCGCCTTCGCCTTCGCCTTCGACCTTCGACTTCGACTTCGCCCACGCACGCCCACGCTCACGCCCCGCCACGCCCATTCGATTCCCTTCGCCTTCGCCAGCGCCGCGCGTGCGCGCGATCTCGTCTCTTCACCCCGCGTCTATTCCCTCCTCGTCCTCCTCGCGCTCGCGCGATCCTCTATTCTCTCCCTTCGCGTCGCTCCTCACGCGGCGCGTCGTAGCTGTTCTCTTCTTTCTCTCCGACTTCCCGCGTCTCACGCTTACTCGAGCTCGCTCACTCGCCCTCATCACTTTGACTCTTCGCGAGTTGACTGCACATCATCTGGAGCCCACCGCGAGGGTAGAGAAGAGACTACAAGCTCTCTCATTGTAAGCCTCTGAACCGGCG